GGCGAGAAATGGAATTCCTTGGTAGTTCTAGACGGGGCTAGTTTTACCATGAATAACCTATGAATACAACATATTTCGCCCCTCAAATAACTTGCCAAGTTAATCCGTTCTAACCGATGAGTTTTTTTGTGGGGCTTAACGACAAGTGAAATATCTGGACTCGTGCCGCAAGCACCACGTAAAGTGACCATCTGCTGGATTGAAAATCAGTAGATAAAGTCGATGATTGCGGATCTCTCCGGTTAGAAAAAGATAGAAGACACAAGAGAATGGTGCATTAAATAAAGAAAAAGCAGCTAATGCGTGCTTCTGTCATGAACAAAAATTCAATCAACCGTCGAGTCACTTTGGCCCATAGCCGATACCAAGACAGCCCAGATATCCCAAGAATTGGCATTAGTGACCAGGACCCCCTGTATTGCGCGGTAACGCTAAAAGCGGGGCCGAGTAGCTGTTGTATCGCTGCTTACTGCCCCTTTCTACATTTTATTTTCGGGTTCACTCTAATCCCGCACTTACAAGTTGTCTATTCAAACAAATCATGCGTTTTTGTGTCGCCACTCCCGAGAATCGGGGTACTGGGTAGTAGCCCCAAAGGAGTTAGATCTTCGACGCAGCCGTGTCTAGCACAAGAATAAATAGTCGCTTGCTCGCCATCACGGTGGTGCAAGTTGCAAATGCGCGTTCTTTCACTCAACGAGCACAATGGCCATTCTCAGCAAGCTTCACAAAATCGTTGGTGAAAAGTCTGCTACGGACTCTCATGAAGTTTCGACAAGTGACCCAGATGTTATTCAGATGAGGGCCAATGACAAGGAGGCTGCACATGACTTTGATGAGATTAACGGAGTGTCCAAAAATGATGAAGATAGACCAACTGAAGATGCGCAAGTTGGCGTGAGACAAATCGAGGCAGTCACTTTAGCTTGGGGGAAGGGGTCTTTGTTCACAGTTTTGATATTGTTTGTTTCAACCCGTTTCTAATCATCTCACCGACTGTTTAGAATACTACTAACATTTCTACCTGAACAGTATTTGGTTTCTCACACTCATCAATAACATGAAAAGCTCCATGGTCTACAGCTTGACTGCCTATGCCACCAGTTCCTTCATGGGCCATTCCCTTTTGACGGTTATCACGATCGTCGCCAATGCCATGACAGCTGCCGTTTACATCCCCATGGCTAAAGCATTAGATCTCTGGGGTCGCGCGGAGGGTCTCCTTCTTATGACTTTGTTTTGTATCATCGGACTTATTCTACTCGCTACATCGAAAAACCTCGAGACCTACTGTGCTGGAGAGGTAAGACACCTAGCCTACGGCAGATTGCTATATGGGCGTGTGTGCTAAGTCTAAATAGGTATTTTACTCTGTCGGCTTTGGCGGACTTGCTTATAGCTGGGATGTTCTCGCAGCCGATGTGACTAACCTGAGAAACCGTGGCTTGGCATTTGCTTTCACTTCATCCCCAGCTTTGATTTCTGCATTTGCAGGTTCCAAGGCTGCAGCCGAGTTTCTCCTTCATGTGAACTGGCGCTGGGGCTATGGAATATGGGCAATCATCTTGCCGGTATTTGCTCTACCAATCTACTTCATGCTGGCCTACAGTTTGCGCCAAGCTGAGAAGAGAGGAATTATCGTCAAAGAGAAGAAAGCATGGAATTTCAATCTACAAACCATCCAGTGGATTGCCATCGAGTTTGATGGTGAGCCATTCAAAATCTTTCTAAAAACGAAGTGTGAAAATACTAATATCGGGTTATATCTCTAGTCCTGGGTGTTATTTTGTTCGCTGGCGGTTTCGTCGTTTTTCTTCTGCCCTTCACTCTCGCCAGCAGTGCCCCCAGTGGATGGCAAACTGGATACATCATTGCGATGATAGTAGTTGGACTTGTCACTATCATAGGATTTGGGCTATACGAGACTTACATTGCCTCAAGGCCGTTCTTGGACTATAAGTTTCTCACCGATCGAACAATCCTGGGGGCATGCCTCCTGAATATGACATACCAGATCTCATACTATTGCTACGGCAGCTATCTTTCATCATTTTTGCAAGTGGTATATGAATTGGATGTGGCCACGGCAGGATACGTTGGAAACACCTTCAGCGTGGTTTGTTTTGTCTTCTTGTTCATCGCTGGCTGGCTGATTCGATGGACTGGCCGCTTCAAGTGGATCCTTTGGATATGTGTTCCAATGTACATTTTCGGACTGGGTCTAATGATTCATTTCCGTCAGCCAGGTGGGTATATCGGTTACATTGTCATGTGTGAAGTATTTTTCTCCGTTTCTGGAGGTATATTCATTCTTTGCGTGCAAATAGCTGCCCTTGCCTCTGTCGACCATCAACATGTGGCTGCGGCTTTGGCACTTGTGTTCGTGTCGGGTAGCATTGGCGGAGCTATTGGAAGCGCTATATGTGGAGCCATCTGGACAAACACCTTTTTGAAGCAGCTAGAGCTTCACTTGCCCGCCTCTGCCATGCCGAATTTGGCTCTGATTTACTCGCAGCTTCCCGTGCAGCTGAGTTACGAAGTTGGGAGCCCTGAGCGGAATGCCATTGTTAAAGCCTACGGCTATGCTCAGCCAAGAATGCTTATTGCCGGAACCGTGTTTATGGTTCTAGGTTTTGCTTGGGTTGGGATGATGAGGAACTTGAATGTCAAGAAAATGACTCAGACCAAGGGAAATGTCCTTTAGTGCGGTGTCAAGATTTGTCTGAGTATATAATACTTGACGTCGAAATTTTGTGCTCCAGGGCTTGATTATATTCTTGATGTGCGAGATCCCCGAAGTTGCAGTGCTTCCTACAAAATGGATACCCCTAGCGTAGGGCTTGAAGGAATTTTGGCTCAGATGTCTCAAATTGGAACATGGGCGTTCAGGTCATTTGTCGAAGACTGGGCAATATCAACGATCGCATTAATGCTTCGAAAACCTCAATGCAATATGTGCAGCCATTGTAATCACCTGCATCTTCTTGGTCTCATCAATTCCACACCTGGGCGCTTAAGTAGGCATGTGGGTGTACAAAGTATCTCTCTGACCAATATCCACATTTCATGGGCAATGTCAAATGTCGCTGAATTCCCCCCAAATCTGGCTGGCAAGCGCGTATAATACTCTTCAAATATCACTACGACAGTCAAAATCTCTACAGACTCTAGGTTATATTTCTTTTTTTTTTTCTTTAAAAAAAAAAAGGTGGACAGCTTCGACATAGAGATGGGAATGTGGAACTCGCTAGGCCGGCTTGCAGTGTCCAATTATCATCAGGGTTCACCCCAGAATTTTGCTGCTGCCTAGTCTCCGCCAATTTTCTTGTATCACATCACCATTGTCACTAAATTAGGCTACAGTAGTTTTCGAAATCAGTTTGACCTCAAACTCTTTCGACTTGATTTCCGGAATATGGATCCTGGATATGCGGATTATGATTGGATGCCGGGCACCTCGACTTAGACCGCTTTCTACAAATAGTCAACGTATTTTACAATACGCATTCAGTACCATCAGTGGTGTATTTTACACGAAATTAGCAGAACACACGGGATCACCTCTTCCCCTCTCGTCCCTGCATAACACTTAGGAACTTCATGTACAACCGCTTTCTGCTTACCGTTACTAATGCGAGCGACATGGCTCCAGGACTCTCGCCTTCAAAGCTTGCTTTCGTCCGTGATATGATCGAGAGCGGATCTTTCCGCACATCTGAAATGGCTGAACAAGCTGAATGTAGCAAGCAGACCATTATCAGTATCCGCAACAACTTGCGGCAATTTGGAAGCTTATACGCACCCCAAACCCGAGTAGGACGAAAACGGACTGTAACACCCCTGATGATCGAAGCCCTCTGTAATCACCTATATGAGAAACCTGGCCTCTATCTTGAGGAGATGGTTGTATCCTTATGGGATGAGTTCCAGGCCATGGTTACAGCCTCCAGCATCAGAAGAGCCCTTATAGCAAAAGTTTGGTCTAAAAAAACGGCACGGAGGCGTGCTAAAGAATGAAATGTCGAATTGTGGGATTATTATCTGCATTATCTATCAGATTTTAAGTCATACCACCTAGTCTACGTTGAAGAATCTGGGTGTGATAAACGTGTTGGGTTTAGACGAACAGGCTGGGCACCACGTGGCACGTCTCCTTTGCAAGTAACGCAATTCCATCGAGGTCAGAGATATCAGATATTACCTGCCTATGCACAGGATGCGATCGTTCTGTCGCGTGTCTTTCGTGGTTCGATGGATGCCACCGTCTTTTAAAGGCTTTATAGCTCAGCTGCTTCAATATTACGGACGATGGCCAGAACCTAAATCTATCTTAGTCATGGAAAACGCCTCATTTCACCGGTCTGAAGGCCCTTAAACAAATGTGCTCGGACACAGGGGTGAAGCTGGTCTATTTGCCACCGTATTCGCCAGATCTGAACCTGATTGAAGAGTTTTGCAGAGCTCAAGGGATTCGTCAAGCGTAACTGGGATTACTACATACGAGAAAGGCCCGAAGCGAGATTTGATTTGTTCCTTGAATGGTGTCTTAATATGGTCGGTGCGAAAGAAGAGAGCGCCAGATGTCATTTTCGACATGCGGACTTGAACATAGAACTTCTTTGATGCTTGAAACCCCTTCTGATCCTGTCCCAATCATTCTTCCCCAGGATGTTCATCAATTATTGGCTCTGAGCACAACCCTTTTTTCTTGCGGTGTGGATGATCAAACAGTTGAACATTACGCTGCTTTTACAGCGCAGCGAAAGGGTAACCACGCAGTATAATGGATAACTACTACCCAAGACTGCAGTGGTATCTTTTATTTATAATTTGTAGCCAACCACGACCCAACTCTACTGATACCACTAGTCTTGGTATGAAACGGAGTTTGAGATAAATTTCAGAACGTGATGCTTCAATTCGATGTTATTATTTCTCATACAACTGGTAAAGCTGGCCAAAGTATCCCGATCATGACGTTAAAGATTTTTTTGCATGTATTACATGTACGCATCCGTGGCCAACTCGTAGGCCTCCAGGAGCTTCTTCTTTGAATCAGCGATTTGGCTCGCGCAGCTCGGCACCAGACCTTCAATGTTGTAGACGAATGTCTGGTGATTATTGTTAGTCGAATGTATCCAAAGGGGGGGTTTGAGAGGGGTCTCGAATAGCATACATCAGTATAATACTCGTCCATACGTATGAGATGAGAGACAGGGGCACTCAAAGTAGTCGCGCCAAACAAAGCGTGCTTCTCAATAAGAGTATTCATGAGATCCTGCGAGACAGTGACAAACTAAAAAAAAAGAAAAAAGGAACTATCAGTCTCGATCCTGAATTCTTTTGGTCAGCAATGACTTACATTGACAAAGTTCTCGCAAACGGAAGCCTGGTCTGCTTCCTCAACCATCGAGGGGGTATTCTCAATATAGCTCTCCTTGGCTTTAATGATCTCGTTTTTGTAGGTGGTAATTCCGTTCTACATGTTCATTAGTATATCGGTTGACCGTCCCATCTAAATCTTTTCGTTGCTTACCGGTCCCTGCCTGGGGGTGGTGTAAATCTTCAGATCATTGAAGATTTCACGGGTGTTGGAGATGCCCTGAGTGAGCTGCTGGAGTTGAGGCACAAGAGGGCTGCTGGCCAAGGCCGGGCTGACAGCAGCCAGAAGAGCGACGGCAGGAGCGAAGTTGAGCTGCATTTTGTGTTATTTTGAAGGTGATGAAATGCTTAATTCGGGTGTCAGGGAAGGAATAGCAGACAGCAAGCCCCTCTTATAAGGAGGATCGATTTCTTCAGGATCATTTCGGGGGTATGACTTCCACCGAACAGATCCGGCTCCAGCTCGTGGGAAGAGATCTGCATCAGCTGTACGGAGTACAGTCATTAAAAGTCCCCATTTTGAGTCCAACAAGTGCCGATCTTGAGTTCTCGTCGCGATCCGGGAGCCGTGATCCCCATTTTTCTCAGGGATCGACGAGTCGGGATGGATTCTCTTCATACCGTGAAACCGGCTTGTAATGTAAGATCACCTTCTCAGCTAGCATGTTCTCTCCACAAAACAAAGCATAGTTTGTGGCTTGACCATGGACATTTAAGATATTGGCAGACTGTGCAGTTAATCTATCGCAATCGATCGAATGGGCGTATTTGATCTCTAACCCACTATCCATCAAACATGTAATGGCTCCATAACACGGGAAAACAAGACCCACCAGACCCTTCAACTATCAAAGCCAAAGATCCATTGATCAACAAGCTGCCGATCGATCTACAGGTTCCTGGCCACCTGCTCGGGTCAAATTCTGGAAGGTGATGTAGCCCCGGGTATGAGAATGGCTCGAGCTGATTCCCCCCAGAGGCGACCTTATATGAAATCAATTTCCACTTCTACTTCTACAACTTCGCTATACCAAAATAATCCCATCACAATGCAGTTCACAATCGCCTCCATCTCTCTCCTCCTGGCCGGCGTGGCCTCGGCCAGCTCTTCTTCCGCCACTTTCACTCCTAAGACCTCCATATCCTCAATGCCCTCCGTCACTATCCCTCCCACTGCCTCCGTGAAGAGCGCTATTTCCGCCATTCCCTCTGCCTCCCGCTCCTCAATCATGGCCGCTGAATCCTCCGCCGCCGCCGAGATTATCCACTCCGACGAGTACGACTGTGCTTACCAGAACTACGGCTGCAACTGGATGGCTTCCGATTACACCTACGGCAGTGACTACTGCGGCGCCTCTCCCTTCGAGGCTGGTCAAAACTTGAGCGATGGCCACGTTGTCCTGGCTGTTTCAAAGGATGGCTCTGGGGATTGCGCCTCTAAGGCTGGTAAGCAATGCTGCAACGTCCTTGCCGAGTCTCCCTGCAAACGTGGTGAGAAGTACCTTGACTGCACCATGGCTTAAATTGTAAGTTCCTGTACATAAGTACCTTCCGAGATCCATATTCTAATTCTAACAGAGGATTCTAAGATCTATTTGTAAATACATGCACGGATATCTTACCATAGGGAACGGGGTGCTTGCTTTGACTCGCATTTGAAAAAGAAAAATCAATTGCTTTGTCCTATACCATGTTTGATGCTCGTAAAAATCCGAATAATTATTACTTTTCCGTCTCAAACAACATGACCAGAGTGACGCATAGCTGCGAATCGTAAAGTGAGAGAGTTTTGCAAGACTAGTACTGGTGGGAAAGCGGAGAGCGGGCAGACGATCTTGCCAGATTGCCAGATCTACCAAGCAATTCTCCGGGTTTCGATGTATCATTACAACTTTATTACAGTACATTGATAATTAGCCACAGCCATTACCCTCTTTTCTGCCCAACTAACAAAGCGGTGAAACTAAACAGGTCAGCGTATCTCGGAATTATCTTCGGGAATTCAAGTCGAAAGAGTTTGGGGTCAAACTGATTTCGAAAACTACTGTACATGGAGCTTGCATATCTGAGTGGCCATCATGATTTCACATCCTGTAAAAAAGGTGGCCCTGTCCACGGAGTCAGGCAACAGCATTACGAGAAGAGCGTTCACAGGGAGGAGGGTACAAAATTAGTGGGAATGAACTCGGAATATGCGACGTGTTAATTTGCGCGCAATTGTGCCCGGGAGCAAACTCTAGAATCCCCCCCCCCCCTCGCTCGAGATTGACGCCCCACTGGTATATGAAGACACGGTTTAAGTATAAATAGAAGCTCCCACAATTGAGCCTTACAGGTCAAGAGATCAATATCCGAATGGTTCAATTGCTAAGATAAAATATCTCCTCGTAAAGTGCTCATCCACCATGATTCGGTTCAACAAAACATCGATCCGTCCAAACGATTTGTCCAGCTGCCAACATGTTCGACAGAAAAGGCTCTGTAATAAATTTCTAGAAAGCCGTCTCTGAGATTAGTATATACAGACTCGGTGCAAGGTTTCTCTCATACCTGAACGAGGCTATGATCGAACAGCGCCTTGTTCCATCTGGGTCGGAGACTTGAAGCCGTATGAAGCGACCGCTGCAGGCTTTTGAATCCCGGGTGACATAGGATAAGACCACTGCTGTATAGGGGGTGGCCGAAAGGAATTCAGCTCTATCTCCTTCTGTTTTCGCTTCTTCTCCCGGCGAATTTTGATGGCGAAGACAATGACTACGCCGATTACAATAATCAGCACGATCGGGATAATGATGGCCTTGAGAAGGATCTTAATTAGACCCATGATGAGATCACACTGATAACAAAGAGGAAGACGAGGGTAATAGAGAAGAATCTGTATTGGAAGTTGGGCCTTCTATGGTCGTGATTGCGGATGAAGAGAGACAAAATCCGGTGGTGCCCCCTGAGAGGATTTATAGCTTCGATAAGCCAGCATTGAGTACAATTATTGTCAAGGGGAATTCATCACAAGGGAAATGCCTTTGAGATGGCGCTTACTTATATGACATGGTTGGGCGAGAGTATCACAGGCCCACAAGCGAGGATGTGACGATGCATGTGTTACCTTTTCAGGCCATATATAGCCCGCCAATGAAGTAATGGGAGGTTAAGAATTCACGAGCCCAAGGACCAAGAGCTGTCCACTTTGTCCGCAGGCTAAGCTTCAGCCCTACAGGGCTGCAGTGATGTGATCACTGGTGCAGAGTGGAGAACAAAATCTCCACGCGCACCGGCCGACTGTCGATTCTAACTTTTCGAAGCGAGGGGATTTTCCAGGATCAACCCCACTGGACCAATCAAGAGGGTTCGGGATGCTAAAGCGATCCCGCGGGCGTCGTCGCTAGAAGTATCTGTCCTAGCAGGTGGAATTTTGAAAGGATCAAACTAGTCTGACCAAAAGAAGTGGTACGGGTTTCCGCATTTCTAGAATTCCGCAATTAATTTTCAAGAACATTAAGACCTAGGATCTTCGATTTTCACAACGTGGCAAATACTTGTTATTGAATTAACGCTATGAGCGCCGTGAGTACCTCCAGGGCTTGGAATCTGCGGGCCAATAAAATTCGAGATATAGTTCAGCTATTTCCAGGCACCAAGATTTCTTGAAACTTGAACACAGTGCTCCGTATTGGATTCTCGCTCGGTGCTTCGTGCAAGAATCATGATAGGACTGAGGGAATGAAGCTGTCAATAACAAGGGAAGCGATAGCCCAGCGACCGGAAATTTTCATACTGATGGAGGCTGGAAATGTGGGTGCACCTGGCATGAAAAGGTGGTGGGTGCCAGTGGGTCGAGAAGAGAAAATGAAAGCTATCTAAAGACAGAGAAGGCACCCTAGCACGGCATTCTGAACGCCTGAGGCATATATCCCCGCAACATGATATCAACCACAATTCAAGCTAAAATGTATTAGTGGGAGTCGTAGCACACCAATGTCCAGATCCAGTAGCTGCATGTGCAAGCTGTAAAGCGCCAGGAATTTAGGAAGGAAACAAAAGACAGAATTCCATCAAGCAATGGCACCACAAAACCGAATGAAACTTTCTCAGATGAGCCTACCCAAATGCTAAAGGGAAAAAGGCTCCATGTGAAATTAGATGAGTTAATAAGTGGACAGGCAGATTTATCACTGGCATGGTAATTTATCATGGAGGTTAAGCGATAATGCAAATACAATTCACTAAAACTATCCATTTATTTGATTTCAGGTTCACAGTAAAGATAAAATTAAACCTAAAGCAATTGTAAAAAGCACGAAAACACTCGTAAGACCCCCCCAAAAACCGCCAATATCATGAAATCTAATACCCCAATTATAACGTGAAGTGAGCTATCTCTTTGGGTTGATGTTTGACTATATGGCCAAAAACCGTATTTCAGTAGCTCCCAGGACCCCTATTTTCGCTGCTCTCAGGGCTTTGCAATTTTTGGGCCGTCATCTCACGAGAACTCCGGTGCTTTGGTAGCGTAAAAGAGTCATAAGACGGCAGTAGCCAGCCAGGATGAAAGATATTGAAAATCCCCACAGCGACGATCATCATGACACCATCGAGAGCGATGAAAAATACCTCGTGAGTTATGATATAGCCTGTCCAGCCCTGAGCAAGCTCAACAACACGATAAATGGACCGGATATAGATAAAAACGACTGAGATGATCATCGCGAGAACAATACAGTTGGTGGAGTCCACTTTCCCCATCTTTATCAAGCCGGCACGGGTCGTCCGTCGAAGGAAGTCAATCGCACAGTATACAAACACACTGATCGAGACTAGTTGAAAGACTATACCCGCAACCATGGTGTTGGTGCCCGGTTTAGTGTCGCCTTTGCCATTTGAAGCGGAAGATGCAAGGCCGCCTCCAGCTGCTTGGATAACGAGAGAGATGACGTCGCAAGTGCAGAATATCCAAAGGTAGAGCTTGGGTGAGAGGAAGGAGCTTTCCGGACCGAACACTTTGATCAAGCGACCAAGTAAAATGTAGATTCCGGCTGTGTAGAAAACAGGAGCTGTAATAGGAGAGCGTTTTATTAGTTCTGTGTTTGCTGCAGGCGATGATTGGTTGTATTGGGACCTACCAATGATCAATGTCGATATCTGAATCATGAATGCGGTACTGTTATATGGGCAATCAGAGCTCCAGGTACGTCCAGCCCAGCCAAGAACTTCCACTGTTTATCTATTAGACTTGAATAACCAAGAAGAGTGCGCACTAGATTCATACCAGCGCTACCAATGGCAAAGACACAGCACCACCATGTCCGCTTCCAGGAGAACTGCACAATATGTGCAATCATTGTGATTCCGAAGAGCAAACAGAATGCAATACCTGCTCCTTTTGATGGGATATAGTCATATGAACTCTTGAAGCCTTCGCGGTAGGCATGACAGCCAACAGAAAGCTCTTCATAGATCTGCTGCCTTTCAGAAGACATTCTGAGTGATAAGAGACAAGAAACTGTGTATTCGTGGACGGAATATGAGATATTAATTGTGTGGATGGAAATGAGGAGAGTAGTAGTTATGTATTGCAAGACAAAAGGAGATATCAACCTGGTTATATAGTATGTCCCAGCTTTGAAAGTCTCACAGTCTCCAAGCCTGGACCCCAAAATTCCAAACACCTATCTTGCAGCGAGAAATAGCCCCAGCCCAGAGCGGGCTGAGCAAAATGCAGGATTCGGACCAAATTCGTCAATGCCTAGTTGCCATAATTACCCAAATCCACATATACGATCAGACCAACTATATAAGGCTGAAACCACGTTGATATTTGGACGCCATGGCGCAGCAGGATGTGTATCAATTCTCTTTGACTGGATGACGGACTATGAGTCTGTGGGCCATCATCATCCGAAATCTGAAGCACGGTTTGTTGTTACCAGGCTGCAATTGGATAACCAGGAGATTGGGACTAGATGATTGGCCACATCGTATATTAGTCATCAGTCTAACCCCGATTGGACTAACCCGCATAATCTTATTCTAGCAGGATTATTTTCAGGCGTGCTCAGCCTCACCACTAGGCATTTGTCGGAGAGGCAGTTCGACTTTTATTGGTCTACTCGTAATTTTGTCATCGCAGGGACACGCCCCTTTGAGAACGGTCTATGAGTAAAAATCTTGGCGGACATCGGTTTTAGGGGTTTGAGATCAAACCTATTTTTGAAAAGTATGATGGAGCTGGAAAGAACGAAACGAATAAACTACTAGTAATTTCTGACCTGGTTTAGATAATTCAGAAAAACTTTCTGGCAAGTGATGGAGGGTTAAAATCGGGTTGTTGCTTTATACGGCATGTTACTACCCAGGTATACATGACTCGTTCTCAATCACTGTTACTTTAGTCAGAAACTGGCTCAATTATGTCATCGGAGATTTCCGCTGCGGGTATCTTTTCGTGTTGTGTTTCTCCAGACCCCCGTGAGGCGTTTTGGGAATTTCGGCTTCGATGCAGACCCACCAACGAATCATCGCTCGCCGCATATTATTCTCGGTACTCAGATTTGATAGGTTCGAACTTCATAATAAAGATGGACCAAGGAGAAGGATATTTATTCAATCCTGTACAGCTGGACCCCTTTTTATCAACCCTCTGAAATCGCAGGGTACTATCTTCAATCAAACTTCTATCTGAAATGAATGATGATTCAGATCGTTGTTGATGTTCCTCAAACTAGCAAAACCCCATCAGCTCAGGGATTCAATTTCATTCGGATTCTAACATAGATTTAGACGCATCAGATAGATCATCTGTATTGCCAAATTATGAAACTAGGAACAACTAGTACTCGCGTATCTCGCACGGATTGGTCTAGTCAAATCTTAAAATGTGTCGCTTCACAGTCGAGATGAGTTTTCCCGGATGACCATTCTGCTTAATCAAACAGCCGTATGTACAAGCTCTCGCAGTTTTTTTCCGAATTTCTCACATGTAACAAAAACTATGATTTTGGATCGGATTGGGATTTGCCAGTATTTAATACCAAATGTTCAAATATTTACTCTCGGGTCAATGTTTGTTGTTCCTGGTGCCTCAGGCATCATTATTGCCTGCTCAGGTTCACTTTGCTCTCCTTCTCGATAAAGACAGTCATCAGGGCATACACACATTTATATCACACATCGTGACGCAGTAACACTCTGCCCGGTCATAATTCTCGACTTCCATCAGTATTCTTCAAAGTTACACGTGGCCACCCTTAGTTATCCTCGTATTCCTTCGGTCATCGGCGTGTTTACAAGCCATATCGGCGTATTTTCCATCGGCTAGTATATTTTCGGGGGTAAGAAAAGTTTTACGACTAGGAAAGCGCTTCGTACTTTATTAGGTCAAGATCTCTGATTTCTCTGGGCCTTAGCCTATTTTGTATATAACAAGATAGAAATTGAACTCCAAGTTCCTTTCTAGCTCGTGTCAAACAGCTTAATTCCCATCAAACTACCATCTCTCATTTCAAGATGTTGACCGCTCTCTTCCTTGCTCAAAACCCACCTGATACCAAATACACATGCACATTGAAGGCTGGCTATATTCCTAGTCTGCTCAGTGACGTTGTATGCGCAGCATCTGATTCTCTTGATGCGCTAGAGCTGTTCAGCGAGCTCTTACAGGAGAATCATGCATCATCGTCTTCTACGGGGTATATGGCATTTGATGCCCATGTAGGAGATACCGCGTGCCAGCTTCGTGCTCTTATGATCATGGCTCTGAGGCACCACCTACTGAAAGACGGGCGCCTTGCCCGATTCCAACGGCATGTTGCTTCTATGATAGATGCACTCCAAAATGTCATTATCCGAGCACGAGACTCGTGTCGTATGTTGACCGCAAAAGGATCCAACTTCGAGAAATTCGGATTTAATCGCGCGGGAGAATCACGCTGTAGTCTCTTGATGAAACTTGGATGGGTAGAACCCATCTCCGAACACGAAACGCGATCTTCGGGGTCAATAGAAGAATGGAATCCGGACAACTTTCAACAGGTGATTCGGCTCCTCACCTACAGCTACATTCTGTCAAAATACAAGACATTTGTGCGACGAAAGCACATAATTGGTGCTGAATTGGACCCCGAAATTCCGATACAATACGCTGCTCGACTGATGGAGTCTGATTACAACTCGAAGAATCCCGTTTTCCCATACTGGACCCAGCAAAAGCGTGTCGAGCATGACTTTCAGTGCATGCAGGTTTGGTTATCACAGCTGAGCTGTGCATGGCTGCAATCCCTAGCACATTCAAGGGGGCAAAATGACAAACTGCAGAGGTAAACGCAAATATAGCCCATCCCACATTGGACTTTTCGAGTTCCAGACTAACTTCCATCCTCGGTAGCTTACTGGAGAAGACAACAAAGGCCAGTCGCAAAGGCTTAACTTCTATACCGAGCTTCGTTGGGTTTATCGCTTTGCGTCAGCTTTGGGCTCAGACGCCTCCTCCTATCTTGATCGCGGTCAAGCGCTTCTGTAGTGCAACTTGTATGAGTTCTAAGCCAGCCCATCTAAAAAGTATTCATAAGCTAACACCAAATCAGCTTTCCATGTTAACTACTTTACTGTCACCATCGATACAAGTACCTGCTCTGGGTCCTCCATGCTTCCGACTCCTTTCCAATGGAAGTTGGAGCGAGTAACCGCCGATCAGTTGATATCAGATGAATCTACAGATCCATGCTTGGTCATCTGTGGTAACTCCATCGATGGACCATTGGTCGATTACCTTTATGCATCCTCAATCGCAACTCTGCATTCGGATGCTGATTGCGGGGATAACGAGAAACATTGCACCCGTTTTCAGCTTGCTGATCATGATCAAGTTGCGCTCTCTGGTTATGCTCTTCACAAGCATTATGCATACCCACTGAAAGGAGAGAAATCACCAGAAGATACCGACCTGTTTGTGAATCAACTTTTAGAAGAGGCTGAAGCAGGATTGAGTCAACAGCTACAGATGGCGAGGGATAAGGGTGACGAAGTGGGGACATCTTCCTCTTCACTTAAAACATTTATGTGGCAGCATATCTTTTTGGAGACGCCAGGTCGACTCGCCTATAATATGCAAGAAATTGGAGGAACCCTGCCAATCAGCGCGTTGGTTCAGAAGTGAGAAGATGGCATGTCTTGTCGGTTTTTTGCGCGTCCTATATATGGTCTTTCTCGCTAGTTTTCTCGGCTTTTTACCAAAAAAGCCTTATATACTTTGGACCTCGTACTGCAAGTAAAAATCTATTTCATTCAATTCAAAGTCAAGCGCTAAAAGCCTGATTCAGCCTCGCCGAGAGAGGTTCCGCTCGCCGAAAACACGAGCTTGCCAAATGCCCGGCGTTTTTCATAAACAAAGAAAAATAGCGTACTGCCCAACGAAAACGCGTAGGGGACGCATAATTAGAAACAAAACCTCACAATGCCAAAATGTGCCAATTACCAATCATCGATCCTACGCGACGCCCGTTCCTGCGGCCAACGCCTCCCTCCGATTTCAACTCCTCTCGATCACGCCAGGCCTCACCTAGATGACCAGCACGCGCTTGTTCCTTTGGATGCGTGCCACCAGGTGTTGGAAAACTTAACACTTTTGGGTAAATATAGGCGAAATCACACTCTATGGAAAATTTTTCATACACTCTGGGTTCATCGTACATAATGATTGGATTGAATCAAATCGAACTGGTCTAGATCTATCTCATAGTTAATTCTAAATCACAAACCGGGCCCAAACAAACTAGGTCGAATTGAAGGGCCAGCCCTGGATACTGGCCGTCAACAGCTGACCCGACTGTATCTCGCTTGCCTTTGCCTTAAGCTCATCCACATCCCAGTTCGCCCAAACATATCGCCCGTTCAAAAACGAGGCCTCCTCACTAGCCAGCCAGACTGCAAAATCACCCGAGAGTTCCACTATATGACAGTCAGCTTCCAGTTATAGATATACCGAAGTAAAAAAAAAAAGAATGAACGTACCAGAATCCAAAGGCACAGCGGCAGAGTCCGTTCCAGATGCTTTAAAGATCTCCGTTTCGACCATCCCGGGGTGCAGCGCCGCGGTAAAGATTGAGGGATTTTCTGCGGCGATGTATTCCATAAGCTTTACGATTGCCAGCTTCGAAATACCATAGGCTGACAAGCCTGTCAGCATGGTAGCGGGGAACGTAATTGCGGCCGTGTAGCCAATCACGGTAGCATGGGCTGGGCGAGCGGTGGGTAGGAGTGATTTCACGGCAATGAGGCTGCCTTTCAGGTTGGTCTTGGAAGGGTCAGTGATAAGTCGATGCGAATAAGCGAAGTTGGAATGCCATATCTTGAAAAACTGACCTCGAGATTCTGCCACCAATCTGTAATAGACGCAAACTGTATGGAAGAAGGGGATGAAATGTATGCTGCAGCAAGAAGTAGTATATCCCAGGTGCCGATGGAGGCTGCAATCTCAGCGATCCGCTTTTCATCTGTGATATCGGCTACACAGATGGAGCTAGGACAGGATAGCAATTTTTGTGTCTCTTCTAAAGTTGATTGTGTGCGCCCGAGCAGTATTATTTTGCTTGCTCCGGCGCGAGAGAACGATGCGGCGGTTGCTCGGCCGATGCCGCTTCCCTGCAATCAATCGGTATCAGTTTGAGAGTCAAGTTCTGTCAGGAAATTCCGCCGTTAGAATTAATCTTACGGCTCCTGTGACAATAATGGTCTTGTTGGCCACACTTAGTTCGCTTCTCGAAGGGGAGATAGCAGGATAAGAGGCATTGTGCCAAGTCTCCGTGAACGAAGGCAAAGGGGGTTGCATTTCGATTGGCTGACAATGAATAGAAGGCTCTGAAACAGGGAGAGATAGAAACAGGAAGGGGGAACAGAGAGGGGGGAGGGAGATTGAGAGATAGTTGTAGCAAGCTTACTTGTTGAAGCCGGAGCTCCCGCTGTTAGCGTCAGGCGCTCAATGGGGCCACCTTTAGCGTAACCTTCCAACGGTTTATTCATCATACCAACGAGCAAGCGAATAAAACATAAACCATCGGTCCAGTTGGTAACCTCGGGTTAAAAAGGGACTGTCAATGATATGCATACATCCGAGTCCACCGATTTTATTTAACCGTATCCCAGAAGGTCAATGCCTATACAATAACAAAGTCTACTATAGAAGAAAGAAAAAGGCCGAAGAAAATTGAAAACGGGAATGAAAAAACACCACACCTTTGGGCAGTACTAGCAGTCTATGAAGATGTGGTACGGCTATTGCTTGAGAGTGGACAGGTGGACGCGAACTCCAAAGATCCACCGTTACATTGGGATTCACAAGATGGCACGTGGAAGTGGATTCCCTGCCAGCGATCCGTTGAGCTGACGAGGAAAAGGAATGGACTTGCGTTGTAAATCCAATGGACTGAAGGACCTCGCATGACCCACTCCCTGTCCAAAAGAGTTGCATTTCCATTTCGACAATTTTAGGGTCCGCAGGAACCAAACCTATGCCTCTGGATGCCGAGTTAGTTAATAAACGCTCCAGCAAGGACGTAGAAAATCCATGGCTCGACCCCAGGTCGATTGCTTGGAGAATAATGATATAAGCTTGGGCCCACCATGTTGATGGATGGCCCCAATTATCCACTAACATGACGTTAGGCTCATACTCCAACAAGGCTTCAAGTATAGCGACTTGGATCCATTCTTTCCGAGCTCTAAAAATGGAAGATACAAACCACTCTGAGTCTTGAACAAACGCACACGGTGCAGAAGCCCAAGATAGGGCAGTGCGTCCATCAAAATCCTGGGAATTAATATCCACCCGACCACAACGCAGCAACATCTCAACAATCGTTGGTCGCTCGTAAATAATTGCCATTATCAGTGGAGTATGCCCATTCAAGTTTTTGCTATTGACATCCAACGTCTCGATATTGATCAAAATTTCTGCCACCTCGACATTGGATTCCTTGATAGCCCAAGCCAGGGGTGACCAAAGTTTATTGTCTTTGGTATTGATGTGAACTCGGTTGGTCTTGAGAAGAGCATTCACTGCAAAGGTCTGCGAGAGTATCCATGAGGAATCGGGGATGATGCTGGGAGAGATTGATCCGGCAACACACGAGAGCGGGGTTCTTCCCTCTTTGTCACGCCCGTTCACGTTGACCGTGGCTTCGAATATTAGAAACTCCAGCATTGCAGAATCATAGTTTCTAATTGCCCAAAGGAGCGGATTTATCTCTAAGCTCTCAATCATGTCATTAAGATCGACAGCCTTTGTGCGAAAAAGAAGTCTTAGCATTTCCACATTGTTGGTCGTCAGAGCGGATTTGACTAGAATCATGTCCAGCGAATTTTGTCTTTGCTGCTGAATTTCAAGGAACCTCCTCATGCCAGAAATTAGTTCGAGGTCAACAGAGCTCCCCATCACACTTGATGATATGTCCATCTCAAGCCCTAGTAAAGCTCTTATAGAGCCCATGTATCCTTTGCAACACGCAGTCTCCATGAGAACGCAGGCTTTGATATTCGGATCCCAAACAGACGGAGTACCAGGTATAGCGATGCATAAAGGTATGAGATAATGGAGATCTCTCTCAACTAGAATGTAAAGCAGCAGTAAGCTGTCACTATATTCCTGGAGTCCCGGCAGTATCTCGCACGAAATGCGAATTGTTTTGCTTGAAGGAGAGAGCCGATTAAGAAAGTCCCCAAGAAGCTTTTTTTGGGAGACGCCGCCTGCCTGAGCGGAGTTGCTATGCTCGAGAATATATGTCATCGCATAACGAAAGAAAGCGAACTTCGAGTCACAGGGGGGGCCTGGTGGGTTCAAGTTCGATTCCAAAGGTTTTTTCTATCTGTAGCTCATGCCAGGGCCGTGGGTGGTTCGCTGCAGAAACACAATCGAAACAACTTGAAAGTTTGGCTTGCTTATGTCCGGGCTGTGAGCGGTTCACTGCAGAAACGTAATCGAAACAAAATTCTGCAAGGCGGCTATGGGAGCATCCGATGAACCTTTGGGGATCAAGCTTTTCGGACAGAATTCTCGCGAAGCCATTTCTCTTCAGCAAGAAATCTCTAACAGACTCATGGATGAAGCGAACTCGTGAATTTTTTGTTGTGATATTCTCAGTCAGTCCTTTGGTAACATCGAGTATGCGACGGCTCATGAATCCAAGTGAATGCAGCTCCAGATCGATATCCTCCTCAGCAGTACCTGATTTCTGAAATAAGAGTGCGAAATAGAACTCATCTGTGACAAGCCTCTCAAATCCAAATAAAAGTAGCTGCAGACTGAAGATCAGAGCTTCTTTGTCTTCTTGTTCTCGCGTCAGAATATCAGTGAAGAGATCATCGAGTTCATCCGGTATCTGGTTAAGTCTTTCCTTCATTGTATCGATTTCGCCTTTATCAAAAGCCCGGTTCAATAAACGAATAACCAGCATGACCCATAAAAACACCCCCGCTGCTCTTTTGATGATCGTATCCCTGATCTCCTGGGCCTGTTTAGAACTGCTGACTTTGAGTTTAGTTTGAACGTATTTCTTTAAATCATTTTCGTGCTCCTGTTCATCCTCAAGAATTAAGTCGATTCCTTTCTCAAGGGATATCCGTGGATAGTGTCGGCTTGCCAAGCAGACTCTCATGTTGACCGCATGTTCGATGGCAGATTTCCCTAGCTCCTGGAAGAAAGATATCATGTCCTCGACTTCTTTCTGATCACATTCATCGACAGCATCAATCAATATAACTATTTGACAGCCTTTCAAAGACTTGATTGTCAGGGACAAAAGGCCTTTCACGTCTCTTTTTGTCCATTCAATCTCGTCCTTTGGAGATCCAAGGCTTTTTGCTAACTTCCAGAATCTCTTCATAGAATTCTCTGAAATTCTCTCTGAAAGCAAAAGCTGGTGCAAGAGCGATCGATACATCCCTATGATAGATCTTTCCAAGAACGTCCCCTGGGCGTAAAAGAAAAATGAGAGAATGACTGTATCTCCGAGCATCCTTTCGGTTTTCGAAAGTAGATATTTCATCATGGTCGATTTCCCTGCACCCGGCTTTCCTTTGATCCAGAAGAAGCCCCCATGAATTGGTAACTCCACATGACTGGTCCATTTTAAGTATTCAGGATGTCTCATCATCCACTCGCATGTCTTCTCATGAGCTGATGATATTTCATCAACGCGAAGTTCATCCCGCGGGAATGTTAATGTTCCGAGGTAAAACTCCAAGTCTTCTTGCAAGTCTTCTTGTGAGATCGACTCGCTCAATTCCGTAGCTATTCTCTTTTAAGAAGATGCTCGACCAAATTAGGTGGGCTCAGTATACATACTATTGGATGGCCCAGCCGAGGAAATTGGTAAAGGTACAGGTATCTCATCGAGAACCGCTCGCATACACGCTGCAGCACTTGCCGCTGCAAAACGCTGCCATCCCTTCGTTTTATGACTATCCGCGTAGTCGCTGACACCCTTGATCACAATACATGGGAGATTATCCCAGACACCTGCACCTTCCATCTCAAAGGCAATAATATTTTCCTCTTCGGAGATTCGCTCGCGGTCATGCGCGGACATCATGACTGTATCTCCGGATGCAACGAGGCCAAAATGAACAAGTGTTGTGTGCTCATTCTGAGTATTATCCCGACGGCGCACGATGACGGTATCATCGCAACAGGCTACCTCAGTGCATTTGCAATTATCTCGTTCATGCTCGTAGTCGGGACTGAAAAGTAGATCTTTCTCGAGTCCTGGGTATCCGCTTGGGAACTTCTCCTGAACAAGCACCAGGTAAGAAGCTAATCGATGGGTCAACTGGTCATAGCCGACATCTAGCTTGTTCAGGAATGAAAGTATCTCTGGGCTCGGCCTCCCAAGATTGGCGTGCACGGTATTCTTTCGAACGAAATCACCAGGAATGCGGCGCCCCAGATCGTATTGAACAACACCATTACTGACTATCACATCTCCGAGAAAAATGTCATCCTGCAGCGACATCGAGTCTCTTACATGAGGAACGCCCCCACATATGCCGACTACCAGAGCCAGTTCTATGCACGGATAGCTTCGTTTGACATTGCTCGCCACGCTGGATGCAAAGCCTTTTCCGGGTCCTGGCATGTGCGCAAGTACCACATGGTATTTTCCGATGTTTCCCAACGTGTATGCGTTCGTATCGCCAGGAACCCTTCGATACTTGTCGAGGTTTTCATCGTACTTAGAATCGAATAGTGGCAGTACAGCCTTGGCCTCTAACGTAAGTGCGCAAATTATCGAAATCTTAAATTCTTCACGTGATGAGGGGGGTGATATGGGCATTTTTAAATTTTGCGCGGCCTTGAACGGAGGAATCAGATCAAAAAATCGTTTATTAATTGAGATAGTTTTGGGTGCAGTGAGGTGAGTTGGGCATCTCGTGATTTAGCGCCTCATATGCGTCTATTCCCTTTTGGGGGCAGTGCATGTTTGCTTTTGCGGCCTTGTCACCGATCACAACTTACAGCATGTCGGAAATCAGTGTGGGCACTCTTCTACCGACGAAAGGATTAGAAGATCTTCTCAGGCTATTCTGACTGACCGTCTTAATGCTCAGTAATTTAATCAAGGCGCTACTGCTTTGTTCATATTCATATTCATTGCCATTGAGACTGGGATGTTGAAGTTAGATATTGAATAAGTATTCAAATCCTAGATCTGATCACCCATGATATCCTCATCAACGTCAAACCTAGTCTCATCCTCTGCAACCGAATAGTCCGTCCCAGAACTATTCCAAGCCTTGCTCTTGTGCATATGATCAATGAACTCATCGCCCAGCCCTATATCATTATTACTCTTCTTAACGCTCGCGGCAAGGGCCTCCAGCGTGTTACTTTCCCTCACAAGTCTACCCTGTACTTGGAGTTCATGCAATTGGGATGAGGGGTGAGCACTTGGGAATCGAAGCATTGTGCCCTCGGAATGACCGGGAGTATGTACCAACGTGGCAGATACAGAGCCAGACATGATGAGAGAAGCAATGACCGACTCGGCCAGGTCGGTATCCCTGGGTAGTGAGGATGTTTGCTCCGAAAGCTCCGTCACAGTCAAAGCAGCGAATACGCTTTTGATTCCCACCAGCGAATGCACTGTGAACGAATCCAAGACCTGAGCGACTAGGCCGGAGTTGTTATCCTAATAAGATGATTAGCGAAACATTCCTGCCATAAAAGTAAGCTTTGGTCCGGAAGGCTGGACTTACCGCACTCCAGACATTCCTAGCTGCGTCAATCTCGGCATTCAGTCGGTTCAAGTCACGGAGCTCGAAGGTATTTGCGAGGTTGATGTAAGGCCTTGCGATGGACTGGTACACTTTGTACACATTCGGCGCAATCATACTAGGAGGCGGACGAAGCTGGGGGAAATGTTAGCAATGCAGAGACACATGGGTTGTATCGGAAAAGGCCTGATGGCTCGGCTCGGCTTGGCTTACCTTGCCTGTCTCCAGCAAGCCCACCAGCACCCATTTCTTGTAAGCTTCCACCATGATCATGCTAACGGGACCAGTAGTCGGGATCGCCATGACAAGTTCTAGAAAATGGGAAGCTTCACTCCATTTCTTGAGTGCTAGGTAGACCATTCCGCCATACAGGAAATATCGAGAGAGATCTCTGGAGCCCAGCGGGGCGGATAGACCGGAGTTGTTAGTGATAAATGCAAGACTAGACTCGTGGTCGGCGCAGAGCACCGGGGCGCCCTTTGGGGGGAAGCGTTCTGAGATTCCTGGGAAATGACAGATGTGCTTGTTGAGAACGGGAAGGATGCAGGTATATGCTTTGGCGTGCAAGCAGAGACGGACGAGAAGGAGGTGAGTCGATGTGAATACGGCACAAGATGGATCCAATCGCAACATGGCATCTTTGATTAATTGCGTGGCAAGGAATGGCTTAAAGATGTCAGTCTCTCGGTAACTCAAAATCCAGATATCCAAAGTCCGAAATTTACCTTGGAGGCAGCCTGCGCAGCTTGGGCCACGAGCTCGATAAGCTGTCGCCATTCATGACCGACATATCGAACTTGAATAGGATTGAATTTCTTCAGATAGTGGACGCATTTTGTCCATAACACCCGGGATGGAAGCAGATCTGCGGGGAGTTTCTCTTGGGATGTTTCTTGCAATGTCTGGATCTGCAGTCGCAGCAGGAAGAGGTAAGTGATGGCATCGGTGGCTGGGTCAAAGTTCTAGTGAATAGCGTGTATTATTAGCCGGATGTTACCTCAGGTCGGTTCCATAGAGAAGCGCTACCCACATCTAGAAGAGTCGGGTCACTGGCAGCAAAGTTGAGGGCATTACTGGACAACGATCGATGAAGGGAGGTAACTAAGTCCCGTATTTGACGATCATATTCTTCACTGGATTGATCTGCAAAGTGCTGCAGCTTCGCAGAGCTTGCGACAAGGGCCGATATGGAGGCCATGTGGGCTGCTAAACCCGACGACGGTTTGGGCGGTGTGGTTGGGCGGTGTGGTTGGGCGGTTGGAGTGCAGACACGGTCAACAAAGGCCAAGGCCAGTAGGAAAATGAAGACTTGAGATGTATAGATTGTACTTTGGAGTATGTAGAAGCCAATCAGCAGATGGTCCGAGTCGATGAAAGAAGGTGACGTTAAGGTGAGGGACAGCTGAGGGACGGCAGATAAACAGCGGAGAGCGGAAGGCGGAGAAGAGGGCGGAGAGTAAGGCGGAGAGGAGAATACCTTAAGGTAAGCTTACTTAAGCGTAAGGTACGGAGTAGAGTTGGGTGGATCGGCAAACCCCACCACAATCTCACTTATCATCCTCGACTTGACTCATCCCCGCTTCTAGCAAATTTCCCTCAACTTGGCATTGTTTAACCCTCGCCCACAATGTCATTGACCGATTCCTCCGCGGTAGATGTCGCCCGCAGCGCATCACTAGCCTCTCGTCAACTCGCAACCCTCTCAAACGAAGCCCGAAACGAAGCTCTCACACTACTACACAGCGCCTTGGACAAGAACCGAGCCACTATTCTCGCCGCCAACAAGAAGGATGTCGAATTAGCCACCCAGGCCGCAGAGGATGGTACTCTAAACCACAGTGTCCTCAAAAGGCTAGATCTCTCCCGCCCTGGAAAATACGATGACATGTTGGAGGGCATTTTGAGTGTCCGTGATTTGGAGGACCCAGGTATGCACCCCTCCATTAGATTGCCAATTGACTTGGAAACTAACCATACGGTACACTATTCAGTTGGCAAGATCACGCTTCGGACCCTACTAGATGAAGGTCTGACCCTGGAGAGAGTCAGTTGCCCCATCGGTGTTTTGCTGATCATCTTCGAGGCTCGCCCCGAGGTGATCGCGAACATTGCCGCACTGGCCATCAAGTCCGGAAATGCCGCTATTCTGAAAGGTATATATATGTCCAAGCATACGGTTGAAATATCCTAGCGCCGGGCTAACACAAAGATAAATTGATAGGCGGCAAAGAATCAACAGGATCATTCGCAGCGATCGCAAACGTGGTCTCAGACGCCATTGCTGGTTCCCAAGTTCCCGTTTCATCAATCCAGCTCGTGAAAACACGCGATGCAGTCTCTTCCCTCCTCGCGCAAGACTCCTTCATCGACCTCGTCATCCCCCGCGGATCCAACGAACTGGTCCGCCACGTCAAAGAAAACACCAAGATCCCCGTTCTGGGCCACGCAGACGGACTATGCTCTGCGTATATCCACTCCGACGCCAAGGTCCAAACCGCCGTGAAGGTAATTGTCGACTCCAAGACAGATTACCCCGCCGCTTGCAACGCTCTCGAAACATTACTGGTCCACGAGAGCGTGCTCGAGTCCATTCTCCCCGAGGTTGCGTCAGCTCTATTGGCCAAGGGCGTGTCACTACGATGTGACCCGCAATCCCTGGAGGTCCTGAAGAAGGTCGTGCCTGCTGAAAAGGCCGGCCAACTCTCCTTGGCCACGGATACCGATTACGAAACCGAGTTTTTGGACCTGGTCCTGGCTGTCAAGACCGTTTCCTCTCCTGAGTCCGCAATTACACATATTAATACCTTCCACTCCGGGCACACGGATATCATCCTCACTGAGTCCAGCCAGGAAGCCACTCGTTTCATGAACAGCATTGACAGCGCGGGCGTGTACTGGAATGCATCCAGTCGATTCGCGGACGGCATGAGATATGGATTTGGCACGGAAGTCGGCATCAGCACCAACAAGATCCACTCCCGAGGACCCGTCGGTCTAGAGGGCCTGACAATCTACAAATACCTGATTCGCGGAGACGGTCACGGCGCCGCAGATTATCACGACGGCGAGGGTGGACGAAAGTTCCTCCACAAGAACCTGGGCCTCTAAAAACCGAAACCCTAGACACGAGATACAAGCCATCACTACGCAGATTACATAGTTAAGACCAAATCGAGGTCCCAGCAGCCCAAAAATTCAGGAAATATCTTTTTGAACATTTCGCCATAAGAAAAGAGGATGAGGACTAAGCCGGATGTAATTTTCTTTTGCGCCTCCCCATTCGTAAATTTCTGAATCTCCCGTCCAACCAAAAGTATTCCTTAGGTACATCGACTTGAAGTCCCCGGCTAGACTAAGGGAGATTGACACCCGGACATTGAGCACTGCGACCAGATCGCCGCAATACACTGCCACACACGTGTCTGCGCCACCATCTTCACGAGGTCTAGGGCTTTTTCCCTTAGACCTTGAAACCGCGAGAACGTCTGCGGCCACGGGCACGCTCGAACTTGCGACCCTTGCTGGCGACGTAGGGCTTCTGTAGTTATGAAAAGAAGATATTAGCCAATCCGTAAATACCCAGATATAGAAAGGTCCGGAATCGAAATCCTTGCAAAAATCCATTGCCGCATTCCGATTTCGGGGTGTGTTGCAAATACGCACCTTGTGAGAGTGAGGACCGAAGCCGAAGTGCTTGACAGCCTCACGGGAGTTCTTGGGGCCACGGAGGAGCAGGGTGTTGGCACCGGTGGGGGCACGCAGAGCAAGCTGGTCCAGGGTGAGGGTCTCACCACCGGCCTTCTCGATACGGGCACGAGCGGTAGCGGTGAAGCGCAGGGCAGCAACGGACAGCTTGGGGACGTTCAGGAGACGGTTGTCGTCGGTGATGGTGCCGATGACAACGACGGTCTTGCCCTTCTGGGCCTCGGAGATGTTGGCGGCAATGCGCGAAAGCGAGACGGGAGGACGGTTGATGCGCGACATGAAGAGACGGCGGAGAACAGCCTTGTTGAAGTTGGACTCGGTACGGCCTGTGAGAGAAGGAACCGGGTCAGTTTTTTTTTTCTTTGATTCCATATTTCGCCTCCGGTCGAGAAATTTGCAGGTCGGGATTCCGGAGACGTCGTTCTTTCAAGGAATGGGGGGGATTCATACGGGCAAGGAAGCGGTACAGCTTCACAAGCACCTGCAGGTAAACGTTGTCGCTCTTCGCAGCCTTGCGGTGGCTGTTGCGCACATGGTGACGGTCCAAGTCGATACCTGAGATATTGCGAATAGTGATTAGCGTTTGATTCGAATGGGAGGTGGAAGGGGGAATAAGGCGATTCGAATGAGTCGATTAGAGCGTCATGAATCGTCTGTAGGGATGGCACATACCCATGGCTGCTGTATGATATGAACACCTGTTAGTTAACTTGCTGTCGCTCCCGTCTGGAAAGTGTAGGAGGTTTTTGGTCTTGCACTCTCGGCTGGCGGCTGTGTGCGGGTTGTGCCCTACCCTAGTCCTGATATGGAAGGTGTCACATGATGAGGTCCCAACTTTGGGTGGATCGGGCTAGACTACATTCGGATGGATTAGGTAACCCTAGCGCCACTCGAGGATCCAGAGTTAAACCACTTGTAGTTAGTTGACTAGGTGACTTATCTGGGGAATTATGCATGTGCAATGGAATGGGTTATTGGTCTTCATTTTCTTTGTTCAATCAGCTATATACAAAAGACAACACAATAATACAAAATGCTACAACATTAGTTGCAGACCATCTATGCCAGACTATATTGACAAGGCAGAGAGCACTTCTAAGGTGTATTGTAACTAATCATCTCTATCGCCCAGGCTGACCAGGAAATCCCGTGTCAGTTCGAAACTGAGCCAGCTGCTCGCCATGCTAGGTGCCACCTTGAGCAGATTCGGACCAATACCTTTGAACAGTCCACGAGCCCCTTCCTCAGTTACGATGACACGAATCGCATCGAATATCGATTTATACTGATAGCCCATTCCAGACATGGTGTTGATTTGAAAACGTCGGCGTAGAACATCACTGTTGCAAAAAGTTAATATGGAAAGTTGACCTGGTGGAGGACAACCGGAAAACTCACAAGGGATATGTGCACGTTTGGGCCACAGCCCCGGAAATAGCACCTGCTAACAGTTTTCGCCACGGGCTAGGGTTCTTTTCTCCTTCAGGAGTGAGATATTCGCGGACAGCTTCATATGTCATGAAATTCAGACCAACCTTGAAAGTCGCAGGTTAGCAACATGCGCAAAGCAGATAGATCAGACAGAATAAAAGTCCCTTCACTTACATAAGGAGCGACACCGGCAACAGTTGGGGCAATACCCCGATAGAGAGCAATCATGCCACCCTCATTCTTGTAAATTGTGACCATGGTAGTCCACATGCCAGGCAGTTTTTGAGACTGTTCTCGCGGTCCAAGGTCGGCAAATGATGCTGACTGAATCGAAAGTCTTGTACGGACGATGTCGAGAGGGTATGTCACGGTGACCGAGGTAATACCTGCAATACCACCACAGACAAGGCGGCTCAAAGCAGACATGTCACCATTAGGAGACTCAGCGAACTTTTAAAGACATGTCAGCTCTTGAATACTTAAATAGAATAGAAGAAGGTAGGGACTAGGGTGTACCTTCTTGTAAAAATTATAACTTCCAAATTGAACGGCCGAGTAAGGAATAATGCGAATGCAGTTCACGCCATTTCCACGCATGAATCCTCTCCAACCTTCTTCCCGGCCCATTTTCCCCAGAGCCTTCCAGATGGATAGTTTGTATTCTTCTCGGCCAACGCTTTGGACCTGAAGTAGGATTTTTAACCGTTCTAATGGCGAGACGATTGTTCGAGATACAGCGCCGGCTACGCCACCTGCCATGAAGGCGGCAACAACAGGTTCGGCGATTTTGTTTTGTGTTCGTCGCAGGATGGTAGGTTGCGCCGGTATGGAATCCTAGTCGACGGTGAGTGAGGAGGTACAAGACATGCAAGGATGGCGAGACACTAACCTGGACTGATGATGAGGATGAGGGAAGCTGAATTGCCTGTAGAGTTGGCTTAGATGTTCCCTCTGATCCATCCTCTCGGGATGCTTCCTTGGGATTGAGGCTCATTTTGGCGGTATCCACATCGAAGACTGTCAGATCGAAAGGCCAAAGTGTTCTTGAACCGGGCGAGCCAATTATTTTCCCATGCACTGTTTTTCACTTCTTTTATTCGCAAATAAAGTAGGTCGAATGCTGAACTGCCGATCGGATGGTATCGCTATGCCAATATAGGAGTGAAAGCACCGAAAACCAAGATGATGACGTGGGTCGCGCTGGCCATGAAGATTGTTCGCTCACTTCACGATAGGTCAAATCTTACAGGTCCATCATAGAGATCGCAGACCCAAAGGTAGTTCTTGATTTGTGTTCTCGAATGTCGATAGTGAGGGTAGCTCAGAATGACGAGCAGGGCAGGTGGAGAGGAGAGGAGAGGAGAGTCGGAAGAGGGGGCTGGTGGAGCTGAGCGTATTGAATGTTGCTTTTTCTGTAACCACGTTGGATTGAGAGATGAATCGGTTCTCTCTCACACAGACACACCTCACTTTCTACTTGTAGGTTCAAGTAGTTGCGGAAGGGGGGGGGAGTAGAAAGAACTGGGGTAGACCGAAGGAGAGATGAGACGGCAAGGAGTGGAAACCTCAAGGCAAACCGTCCCGACGTCCACGCGGTACCTCCCGAGGCGGCCGCATTATACAGTACGCGTGGTTTTATACTTACTCTTCCCTTCTTTACAAACCTGATTTTGTTGTAAATTCCACTAATTGGGTGCTTTTTATAATCATCTAAATCTCATTTAGTTTTTATAATTACTTCTCTACATTCCTCTCTCTTTCATCCATTCCTCTATGCATCCAGTGTCGTCATTGGTACCTCTCCCCAACTGTACTGCCCACTCCCACCGCCTTCCCACCTACCTTCCGTCTTTGACTGCTTCATTTTCCATTTCTTTCTTTCACCCCTTCGTGTAATTCTACCTTCCTCCCTTCTACGACATCACCGATTCTCCATTATCCGTCATGTCTTCTCGATCGGGGACGACCCTATATGTCACCGGCTTTGGCCACGGCACCCGAGCCCGCGATCTTGCCTACGAATTCGAACGGTACGTCACGGCTACACCTCCGCGTTTTTAAGCCCACGGCTTCCCGGTCGCTTCTCCCTTCCGCCTCCTCCCCCAATCCACACCCCCCAAACCGTCCAATGTCATTCTCTCGTGCATGATCGAATCGGCTATCCTCCTCGAATGAGACTCGAGCTTCTCAATCCCCCAATTCTCCCATTCGATATTGAATATTGGTCGTCTTTCATCTGTCTCTATAAACCTTTGATCTCAAGCCTTCTTATACGACCTTGAGAAGCTAATGACCTTTCCAGTTACGGTCGTCTCGTTCGCTGCGATATCCCAGCTCCCCGCACACCTTCTAGTCGACTGTAAGTTGGAGCTCGTCTAATTTAAATCTTCCACTCTCTTAACAATCTTCCAGATTCGCCTTTGTCGAATACGAGAGCCGTCGCGATGCAGATGATGCATACCACGAGATGCACAACAAGCGCATTGGACGCGACGACCTCCTGAAAATTGAGGTATATCCTTTCCTTTCTCTCCCAACCCCGCCTTAATACATTTATTAACCTCAATTGCTCTTATAGTGGGCACGCACACCCCCCTCGGCCTCTTGGAGATTTGATTCCGGCCCTGGCCGTGAACGCACAGGTCGTCGTGAGCGCACTCCTCCCCGCCGTGGTCGCTCTCCGTCTCCCCGTCGCAGCAGAGGAGATTATTCTCCCCGCCGAGACGATCGATATGAGCGTGACCACGATCGTCCCGCCGCCGATCGGGATTACGAGCGCCGTGATCGTGACCGTGACTATGAGCGCCGTGATCGCGATGGTGATCGTCGTGACCGTGACCGTGAACGTTCTCGTGATCGTTCCCGCAGCCCCGAAGACCGCGAGCGCGATACTAAAGAGGAACGTCGCGAGGATGACCGGGAGCGCCGCGAGGATGACCGGGAACGCCGCGAAGATGATCGGGAGCGTCGCGAGGAAGAGCCTGTTACCAATGGCGAAGACAGGAAAGGTACGTAACTCCAATTATAGAAGAAGCAACCCCTATCAAGCGCTTGGCTTACCTTTCACAGTACCCCTGGACCCCGTTCCCTCTGCTCACGATGAGCTTGATACTGCTGAGTAGATCGGTCGACTCAGCGCCATGCCATCCCATTTCGAGCCACTTCGCCTATAGGGACTCAAAATCGATAGCTACCTTGCCCCGGGTCCTCGCAACCGGGTTTTGGAAATCCTTTGACCACTACTGCCGCCGAATGTCCCCCGATTTCGAGCGTCATCGTATTCGGCTTCTTTGCGCCAGGTTGACTTGATTTCCTACCCACCTTGTGAAACATTTTATCCGGCTCCGGTATCCCATGCTGGTGTTATCTTTGACTCCCCTGTCTCTTTTATTTTCCTTCCGTTCTGGCTTTCTTTTACTTTAACCTTTCCTACTTTTTTTGGAGATCTCTTTATGGGTGTCGGTATTTATCCTGGTCAGCAGCTCCGAAACGAACGTCGAGCGATCAGATCGTGTTCCAAGTGTCCCATCCTCGCCCGTCTCTCGTCCTTGCGTTTCCCTCGATGAATACCAATACCAAACCCACCGTCCGCCATTCCCGTCTTATTCGCAAATTTAATCCAAAGCGATTCCGTTCCCATTTTCCAATCCCCCTCGCCCTGTACGATCGATCGGAACCCCCCCCCTCGACGACTGCTCTCGGTCGATATCGCTTTTTTACGTAGAGTCGTATGCGCAAGGTATTCGTAGGGGAGATGCATAGCAGAATTATGTCAATACTAATTGACCAACGCCCACAGTGGTAATTTTGATAATGATTGAATGTCCTCCCCGCCCACTGGGCTCTTTTGCTCTCCAATGACGTAGGAAATCCTTCGTGCGGGGGTATCAGTGTCCAATGTGAGAATCACTATGGCCCCTCCTGCCGGTGGGACTAACTAACCCTAAAATAACCCAACCCTAAAATGGTTAGTGGCAGGACGAATACAGCCTGTTGGCCAATCTATAAGCTACTACATGGTGTCAGAGGCATACTACTGGAAGGCAGACATTGATTGAAAGTGGTGATCAGAAGGAAGAGCCCTGGGGAGCAAGCTACTAAGATGGGTCTACGTAAGGAAGGGCACCCTTGAATGCCCGAGGCAGTGGGTGCTACTAGTACTAGTAGTAGGCATCCTCAACATATAGCAGTACCTACAAGCGGACGATGAGTACGAGTCAAGCCCGCTTCCACTCTCATTTCCATCGTTATGAGAATTATCGAAAGAGAAATTCAAGTTCTGACCACCTAGGCATTCGTAGCGGATGGTGGTCTGACTTCATGAATTGTGGAGTTTGCCGATCGAGTCAAGCTTGTACTTGAGCTACCTAGGTAATATTATGTCCATTGATAGAAAACCATATTCGATAGGCTGTCATTGCCGCCTTTACCACGCTTTATATTCGACAAAACCGTTACGCCCAGGCGGTTGGAGTACATTATCAGGATTACAAGGTTTGTCATACCTTACTACGATGCTTATGTTCGAGGCAAGCTCTATGACTATTGAAAATAAACAAGTCGTTTTGCTAGTTTCATGACCCTACGGCTCAGCCCGGGCTCCTTGATCGAGGAGAAGCTTCGCTAGTTCCTCATGGCCTTGCCTCAAAGCCCATTTAAGTGGTGAGGTTCCGGTCATATCATCGCATAAGTTGACATCTGCCCCCCGTTCGATGAGATGTTTCGCAACGGTCTCATAGCCACTCGCTGCGGCCCTTGAAAGTGGTGTCCGGCCATCTGGATCAGTAGCGTTGATATAGGCTCCTTGCTCGATAAGAATTCTAGCGAGAGTATCGTAACCATTTCTCAAAGCAAGTGAAAGTGGCATCCATCCTGATTTATCGCTTGCATTGACATCTGCCCCCCGTTCGATGAGATGTTTCGCAACGGTCTCATAGCCACTCGCTGCGGCCCTTGAAAGTGGTGTCCGGCCATCTGGATCAGTAGCGTTGATATAGGCTCCTTGCTCGATAAGAATTCTAGCGAGAGTATCGTAACCATTTCTCAAAGCAAGTGAAAGTGGCATCCATCCTGATTTATCGCTTGCATTGACATCTGCCCCTTGTTTGATGAGATTGGATGCAATAGACTTGTAGCCACCACCTAAGGCCCTTAAAAGCGGTGACCTTCCATTGATATTATCGCATATACTGACATCTGCCCCCTGCTCAATGAGAAGCTTCGTGAGGGTCTCGTAGCCCCTCGCCACAGCCCTTAAAAGTGGTGTTGGGCCGTCTGGATCAGTAATGTTGCTATCAGCTCCTTGCTCGATAAGAATCCTAGCGAGATCGTCGTAATCATTCTTCAGAGCGAGTGAAAGTGGCATCCATCCAGATTTACCAGTTGCGTTGACATTTGCCCCCTGTTCGATGAGAAGAGTTGCAATGGCCTTGTAGCCACCATCTGAGGCTCTTAAAAGTGGTGTTAGGCCGTCTGGATCAGTAAAGTTGCTATCAGCTCCTTGCTCGATAAGAATCCTAGCGAGATCGTCGTAATCATTCTTCAGAGCGAGTGAAAGTGGCATCCATCCAGATTTACCAGTTGCGTTGACATCTGCCCCCTGTTCGATGAGAAGAGTTGCAATGGCCTTGTGGCCACCTTCTGAGGCTCTTAAAAGTGGTGTTAGGCCGTCTGGATCAGTAAAGTTGATATCAGCTCCTTGCTCGATAAGATTCCTAGCGAGATCATCGTGATCATTTCTCAAAGCGAGTGAAAGTAGCATCCATCCACTAAAAGTGCTATAGGACCGAGCCTGGTATATATCAAAAAGGTTGTTGATGTAGATCCAGTTGTTTGAATGGAAAGAGGAAAGAAAATCGGATTGAGGAAGAACTTTTGCTGCAGCGTTGGCATGGTAGAGGGTACTCTGACCGACATACTCCAGAAATGGGTACTTGGTCAATATTTCCCTACGCTCTGATAATAGTGTTGGATAGTTTCGGAGTGATGACTTGCTAACAAGTTCACACACCTCCGTATGGTTCATATAGGCATTGCAGCAGTCCTTAAGCCTGTCGTGGCTTGGGCTCTCCCAATCAAGCCCAAGTTCGGGCCACAATTCATAGAGCCCTCTGTCCTTGATGAGGAAATCTCGAACAGATTCATGGATGAATTGAACCGATGACCCCCAGTAGGATGTTGTGATTTCAGCCAATCCCTTGGAGCAACTGATCACATATCTATGAGACCTGGGGAGACCATTGATAGTATCCTGGACTAAGGCATCTGGTATTTTGGTATCAACCAGACTCGGACTCTTTAGTGATAAGCCAGACCAAATAGCATGGTAGAATTCCTCTGGTTTTAAAGGTCGCTCTGCACAAAGAATCCAAAGAAAACAAAGCAGAAGTCCCTCCATATTCTCATCATCACGTCTCAGTAATTGCTTGAACAGGTCGCTTAACCCACTTGGTAGCTCCTCAAGTTTCCTGCCAAGGGACATCGCACCCCTTTCAAGCTCCCTATTGAGGATTTCAACAACCAAAACCACCCACATCAAAACACCAGCAGATTTCTGGAAAACATTTTGGACAATATGAGGGTCTTCAGTTCGGAGTTCGTCCCTGATGTATGCCTGCAAGTCTTCTGCGTGGCCGGGTTGGTGTTCTAGTGTGATTCGGGTTCCATAACGTATAATAATATAGGGATAATGCCGACTGGAAAAGCAGATTCGAAGACGTTCGGCTGCGGAACTTTCTGCTAGCTGCTCAAAGTATTGGATCATGTCACGGACTTGTTGCTCGTCGCATTCGTCGAGCGCATCGATAAGGCATGTAAACGAGCGTTGACCCAGGAAATCAACTGCTTTTTGAAGGAGATCTTTGAGGACATCCAAGGGAAGGCAGACCTTTTCATCTTGGGTGGGAACAAGCCTAGGGTCATCCAATACCATTTGTAGATCAGGGAATCCATCGAGAAGCTGAAGCAGCAATGATCGATACATCCCTATCACAGATCTCTCTAGGGCTTCTCCACGAGCGTTGAAAAAAAAGGAAGCAGTGACGACATTCTTGAGGCCAGCCTGCTTCGAGAGAATGAATTTCATGATCGTCGACTTTCCAGCCCCGGGTTTGCCACTGATCCATAAGAAGCCAAGATGGGTCAAATTTTCCGGATCTAGCCATGCCTTATAATCAGGGTGACTGAGAAACCATTGACATGTTTTTTGGTGGGCCATTCGGACATTTGATCTACGATCGTCCATTTGCGCAAACCGCAGGGATTTTAGTATACGCCGCCGCTGGTCTTCTGGTTGTGTAATCCGATCTATATGATCTAGTTTGCCTCAGTCCATGTTATTTCTCACACAAAATTAATTTCGGCACATGGAAGCTTACCTGGGGTAGTGGGTATGTGGATCTTTTCCTTATCAATTTCGGTGACAGGGAGCCCCTCGAGCAATTCTTTTGCATATGCAGCTGCAGTGGCCGCAGCATACTTCTGCCATTCTTTGCTCTTGTGTGAATCGGAATAGTCACAAATACCCCGAATTGGGAGACAGGGGATAATATCCATCAGACCCGCAGCCTCCATTTCGAAGCATATCACATTCAGTTGTCGAGCAACTTTGTCTCGGAAAAGGCTATTTTTAATGACCTGGCTCCCTGACGCGATGGCACCGTAATGAATTGAAGGATCTTTCGATACCCGCGTACTTCGCAGCACCAGCTTTGAGTGGTCACATTCGTCACAGTTGGGGTTTGGACCCTTGTGATGGTAATCTGCCTGAAAGAGGCGATCTGGAGAGACTGGGTAACCAAACTGGCATCCTTCGAATTTCTGCTGGAGAATAGATGGAATTCGACTCGGTTCAAATTCATGCTTTGCGCGTAGAGCAGTCACGGCTGTCCCTAGAGATTGGTGGGGGATCCTGGGAATCGCTGTCCGTTCCAACTGCTGCCAGTGGTCTTCGTGAATGACTTTTCCCAAATCGGTTTGCATCACCCTGGTTCCAACCACGATGTCACCCAGTCGCACATCAACCTGACTCGGCACACCACCGCCAATTCCAACCATCAAACCAACTCTGATTGCGGGGAATGTCCGCTTTATGTTCGTTGCTACATTCGCTGCGTTGACAATACCATACTGATCTGTTGGTAGACACGCAATGACAATGTTATGTCCTTGGACATTCCCAAAAACGTATGTGTTGCTGTCGTCGGCAAGGGCAGGTAGAGGTTCGTGAATAGTATCCAGTACGGCCCGGGCCGCTGCCATCTCGATCGATAGCGCACATATCCAGGCAACAGTGTAAATTTTACGCCGTGCGGCTGGCAAATCATGATGATGGAAGGTCTTCTGTCGCTTCGGCAAATGAGATAGACCCGTCTCATCATGACCGCCTCGTGGAGGGCTGTCCATCTAGCAAAGACTCGGAGGAATGACTCGACTCGGCGTAGAAGGCCAATAGGAGTAGAACTTGGTAGTTGGAGGAAAACCCTTCTACTGGCCCATGAATATCGCAAGCGTCCTCCCGGTAAGCCCGCGCCGTCATTGACTGATTCAGATCTGTGCTGAGTAGTGGGAAGCAAGTGAGTTAAGTGAGTTGGTTTGCACAGTTGGGCAGCGCCGCAAGCGCTCAGCCTCAAGCCCCAACGCAATGACCAGACATTTTTACCGCTTCCAACTGTCTTCACCCTCTTGGCGCATGTGTATATTTGTGACTTGTCTTTTAAACTAGGCTTTTTACGTCCTTGGTGTATCGTATTGAAGCGTATATGAAAAGCAAATTTATGCTGGATAGCCCGCGCGACCTCCTGTTTGGTTTTGTTATATCTTACCACTAAAATAGAAATGGGGCCGCGACTCGCAGATTCCTGGTGTATTTTTGTAACATAACCTAGTGAATTATTGGTTAGCTCAATGACTGGTGATTCCCCTCACACCGCTCCCCGCTCTATGGCTACGTGAGGGGACCCGAGGTTATGTGACGTAGCCCGTCGATACCGCGTAGCCCGGGGTATATCACTGATGTTAACTCACTCTAACTTCTAGAAACAAATACCAAATCAATCATGCAATCTTCTAACCAAGGAATCTCTATCGCAATCGATGTAAGTTGGCAAAAGAATCAAGGCCAGGTACAACCATCCCCAAACTCGATAGAATTAACATAGTCCAGAGGGGCGGTACATTCACAGACTGCGTAGGAAACCCCGGAACCGGCCGACTTGAAGACGACATCGTGATAAAACTCCTCTCCGAAGACCCAGCAAATTACAAAGATGCACCCCTCGAAGGAATCCGCAGGATAATGTCCACAGTGACAGGCCGTGAAATTCCCCGCGGAGAAGCCATCGACACATCGCTAATCAAATCGATCCGAATGGGCACAACAGTCGCAACAAACGCCCTACTCGAACGCAAAGGAGAAAATATCGCCCTGGTCGTGACAAAAGGATTTAAAGACTGTCTCCAGATTGGGAACCAGTCTCGGCCGAAGATCTTCGATCTCGCTATCAAACGCCCTGAGGTGCTGTATGAGGAAGTCATTGAGATTGAAGAGAGAGTTACTTTGGAAGATTATGCCGAAGATCCGGAGCGAACTGTCACAGATACAGCTCCACGCGGACAAAGCGCCGACGACGCAGAAATCGTCCGCGGCCTTTCTTCCGAAGCAGTCCGTATTCTCAAACGTCCATCCGAGAATGAAATCAGGACACAACTCCAGCAGGTTTATGATCGGGGAATTCGAAGTATAGCAGTCTGTCTTATGCATGGCTACACCTTTCCGGACCACGAAGCTCTAATTGGCCGCATTGCTGCGGAAATCGGCTTCGAACATGTCAGTCTGAGTCACGAGTTGATGCCCATGATCAAATTAGTGCCGCGCGCCACATCCGCCTGCGCCGATGCGTATCTAACGCCCACGATAAAGAAATACATCTCCGGCTTTCAGGCCGGGTTTTCTGGCGGTCTTGGAAGCGAGAGCGTGAGACGCGAAAATGGTTCGCGCGGTGCTCGGTGCGAGTTCATGCAATCGGATGGAGGATTGGTTGACGTGGACCAATTCTCTGGGCTACGGGCGATATTGTCTGGTCCAGCGGGTGGAGTCGTGGGATACGCATTGACGTCCTACGATCCTGTGTCGAAAATTCCTGTCATTGGGTTTGATATGGGTGGTACCAGTACGGATGTTAGTAGATATGGCTCTGGTCGGTACGAGCATGTATTTGAGACCACGACGGCTGGGGTGACCATCCAGTCTCCGCAGCTGGATATCAATACCGTCGCAGCTGGTGGTGGATCACGACTATTCTATCGCAATGAATTATTTGTCGTCGGTCCTGAATCCGCGGGGGCTCATCCGGGACCTGCTTGTTATCGCAAGGGTGGGCCTTTAACGGTGACGGACGCGAATCTCTTCCTGGGCAGACTTATTCCGGACTTCTTTCCGAGAATATTCGGACCGGATGAGAATCAGGGCTTGGATGAGCAGGCCAGTCGTGAACTATTCGAGAAACTCACGCTTGAAATTAATGAGAAGATTGCGTCGAGTGGTCAGAGCAAGAAAATGTCGTCTGATGAAGTTGCGTTTGGATTCATCAAGATTGCTAACGAGACTATGACTCGTCCCATTAGATCCTTGACTGAGGCGAAAGGACACGATACCTCGAAGCATCGATTGGCCACCTTTGGAGGTGCTGGAGGCCAGCATGCCGTAGCCATCGCGGAAAACCTCGGCATTCGACAAATTCTGATCCATCGGTATTCGTCCGTCTTGTCGGCATATGGAATGGCGTTGGCGGATGTCGTTGATGAAAGCCAAGAGCCAGAATCCAAGACATGGCGTGATGACGACAAAACAGTTCTGCAAGAGCTCGCAAAGAAGATGACGGAACTGAAGCAGCGATCAGCCACAAGACTCAAGGAGCAAGGCTTCGATGATGAATCCGTGGTATTCGAAGAATATCTCAACATGCGGTATCGAGGTACAGAATCCGCCCTGATGATATTAAGACCCAATACAGAAGACGCAAATCAACATTTTGGCGGTGATGACTGGGCCTTTGGAAAAGCGTTTGTGCAACAGCACGAGCAAGAATTCGGTTTCACTCTTCCAGACCGTGATATAATCGTCGACGATGTCCGAGTCCGCGGAATCGGAAAGACTTTCGAAGCATCCGAGAAAACAGTTGACCAGCAGCTCCAAGAGTCCAAACCAGTCGATGTCGTGGGCCGCGAATATCGAAAGTCTCAGGTATACTTCGAAGGCGGACGATACGAGACGCCAATCTATAAACTGGACGATCTCCAGATAAACGACCGGGTGAAAGGACCAGCTATACTAGCAGATGACACTCAAACTATCGTAGTGACACCAGGTGCCTACGCACTCCTAACCAAGACCCACGTCGTGATCAATATCGGAGAATCCGATGCCAATCCGCCACCAATCAGCACCAAATCCGTGGATCCCATCTTATTAAGCGTTTTCTCGCATCGATTTATGGCTATTGCGGAGCAAATGGGTCGTGCTTTGCAGAAAACAAGCGTTAGCACGAATGTCAAGGAACGGCTTGACTATTCGTGCGCGTTATTCGATGCGGAAGGTGGCTTGGTTGCCAATGCACCTCACTTGCCGGTTCATCTTGGGAGCATGTCAACATGCGTACGAATGCAAGCCGAGCTTTGGAAAGGGAATCTGAAGCCTGGGGACGTTTTGGTCTCCAACTCGCCTTGTCAGGGTGGAACTCATCTTCCCGATATCACGGTGATACAACCGGCCTTTAGCGAAGGGAAAATAATCTTCTACGTAGCTTCCAGAGCACACCATGGTCAGTGACAACGACTTCTTTCCAATTACACTCTGGGGTATTTACCGGACTGTGCCTTAACTAACTCGCCTCCAGCTGATATCGGAGGTATCCTCCCTGGCTCAATGCCACCCCATTCAAAAGAGCTCTACCAAGAAGGCGCACGTATCAAAAGCGAGAAGCTTGTGTCCGAAGGCAAATTCAACGAAAAGCGTATCACGGAACTCCTATATGACGAACCTGCCCAGCATCCCGATTGCAGTGGAACAAGATGTCTGGCAGATAACTTGAATGATCTCAAAGCTCAAATCGCAGCCAACAAGAAAGGAATCACATTGATAAACACCCTGATCGAAGAATACGGCGAGAATGTAGTCTTGTTCTACATGCACCAGATCCAAGCCAATGCAGAGCTCAGCGTGCGCAATCTCTTGAAGGAAGTCAGTCAAAAGTTCTCGGGTAGAGACCTGAGTGCCATTGACTATATGGACGATGGTACCCCCATTCAACTGAAGATCTCCATCGATGCGGAGAAAGGCGAAGCGATATTTGATTTCGAAGGGACTGGCCCGGAAGTATACGGTATGGATTCTCACAGCACTTACAGTTACTCGATCGAGTGGCCTTTTCAAAGCCCAAATTACTGACAGCGATCTAGGCAATGTCAACGCCCCAGAGGCCGTCACGTACTCCGCAATCATATACTGTCTGCGCTGTCTTATCTCAGAAGACATCCCCCTCAACCAAGGCTGTCTGAAACCAATCGGTGTCCGAATTCCTCCAAACAGTCTCCTCTCCCCATCCGAGTCCGCAGCAGTCGTAGGAGGCAACGTATTAACAGTAAGTCCATGAACCCTGCCAAATAAATCGCAGACTCGCACTTCGCTCGCATCCACACCCACTAACTCACTTCCCCCCAGAGCCAACGCGTAACAGACGTAATCCTAAGATGCTTCCAAGCCTGCGCCGCCTCCCAAGGCGACACAAACAACCTAACCTTCGGCTTCGGCAGCAACCGCGCAGGCGAGGCCTCAAAGAAGGGCTTCGGGTACTACGAAACCATCGCCGGTGGCAGCGGCGCAGGACCAGATTGGGAGGGAACATCAGGAGTGCACACCCACATGACCAACACGCGAATCACCGATGCCGAAGTCTTCGAGCGTCGGTATCCGGTTTTACTCCGCGAATTCAGTCTGCGGCCGAATTCTGGCGGCAGGGGCCAGCACCGGGGTGGAGATGGGGTGGTGCGCGATATCGAGTTTCGTATTCCGGTTCAGGTTTCTATTCTCTCTGAGCGGAGGGTTTATCGTCCGTATGGGCTTGAGGGGGGTGAGGATGCGGAGTGTGGGCAGAATCTTTGGATTCGGAGGGTAGAGAGGGCTGATGGGGGTTGGGGGGGAGAGGTGTATTAGTTTGGGAGGGAAGAATTCTACTATGATGCAGCCTGGTGAACGAATTATTGTTCGGACTCCTGGTGGTGGTGGGTGGGGACCGGTTGGGGAGAGGACTCGGTTGGTTGATGAACCTGATGCCCGTCGTGCGTGGCGGGGAGGGTCGGTTGCGAGCTATACGGCGGCACATGAGGCGAGTATGTAGGCGAGGAGTCAAGATACTTGCTTAGAGAAGTCATTGGAAGATCCGCAAAACGCAGAATAAAACATTATCATTTGCACAGTGGTATCATAGAAGAAATTGAGCGAAGAACGGCGGCCTTTGAAATCCCAGCCAGCCACAGAGATAGATGGATGCATTGACTACCACATCACGCCTCACTATCCTCATCACTCGTAGCCTCGATATTCTGCTTCGAGGGGCTTCCCCCTTCCCATCCATTTCCTCATCAGTCCCTTCAGCCTGACCCTGAGCCGTATTATTGAAGTATTCAGGTCGAGGCAGCGATTCACCCTGTTGCTCGACGGCCTTCTCAATATCAGGAAGAAGCTTGACGAGCTCGGCGAATTGTTCCACCGGCAAAGAAATTCCCTAGCCCAGCGTAATCAAATTAGCACGAATACGACTTCACTTCAAGGCTTTATGTGCTGTGTGCTGTTGAAAGCAACTCACCTTCTTCCCAGGAAGTTCCTGTCCGTCCTTCTCGTAATATTCGCGCACATTAACCATCGTTCGACCGCGGAACTTGGAAACAGTCACACGGCGCATTTTAGAGACTTCCCAGTATTGATCGCCGTTGGAGTCGGTTTTGCTTGGCGCGCCTTTGTAGCTCACACGGCTCTTCTTGGCTTGGGTGTCTTCCGCATCTTGCTGAGACGAGGAGCGCTTTCGGGATGTCATTTCGATTGATGATTGATGAGATATTAAGAATCGCTCGAGCTGGCAAGAAGCTTGTACAACAATGTGTTTGTGCGAGGTGAGTGAATGTGAGGCTGAAAGCTACAAGGTGCTGTCGTGAGAGAAGGGACGCGCTGTAACGCGTCACGTCACGTGGTGATAACACTTTCACATCCCAGTGACGTCATATCATCAAGCTTCCCCATCCCATCAGACCATCTTAGAGAGTCAACACGCGCAACCCCTGAAGCATAACGGAGAAAACGAATCCCCTCGCGACTGTCTCAACCTGGAGACTGTCAAAGATCTTTTCAAGGGCTTCTCGGCTAGCTGCAGCACCCATGACACTCGTGAGGGCTTGGGGAATTCCTCTCTGCACGAATAGGCGTCTTGCCTTGTCTCGTAGTTGAGTCTTCTCCTCCTCGGTCGGGGGCGCAGGCCAAGCGGCCAATTCCTCCTCGGTCGGGAGCGCATTCTCGCGTAGTTTCTTAATATACTCGCCGAGAGCATCGTCCGAAGTGTGGCTTTCGATCATCGAGTCCTGTAGCAAGTCGCGGATTGTGTCCAGCGTTGGACTTCCGGGACGCAGGATGTACGATTTTGCTGCGTTCAACAGCGTGCGACGGATATTCCAGGCTGATGATAATGTGTAGAGCTCATTAATCACGGCGAAGATTAGTTCGACCGCTATCTGGGTTTCGTCTGCTGTGATGGGGGCCCGTGATCGTGATGGCGGAGGGGTGTGGTTGATGTTTCCTGAGCTTTCACTTTCATCGGCGCCAGTGCTATTCTCCGATGAAAGCTTCGGCGTCTGCGGGGTACGGGTCTCTCCGTTCTTCTCTGCTTCCGCGCGGTCGGTTGATTCGGAGGAATTGGAGTTGGCACCCGCCGAGGATGCGAGCGTCGATTCCGAGGCCCATGTGTTTTGCCCAATTTGAGTTGGGTTCGCCTTGATATCATTATCACTAGGTTCTGGTGATTGAGACTTCTCTTCTTTCCATGCATCCAGAGATAAGGTCGTAGAGGATGAGGAAATGCGTGCACTTTCTTCCTCGCTTGACCTGTCTTCGGCAGAGCGAGCGTGGATGTTTAAGCCAACGGGCGAAGAATTGACCCGGCCCAGATCAGTGGCAGAGCCCGAGGCCTCCTTAGGGGTAAGAGTAAGATCTCGTTCCGTCTTGGATGGACTCTTCTGGTGCGTAGACTGTCGATCAGCAGAGAGTGTCGGTTTGCGATTATGCCCACCAAAAACGCCCGTAACCCCATCAAACATCGCACGACCACCCCCAGCAACACCTTTAGGAGCATTCGTCAAAGCTCCCAGCATTCCCTTGCCCATGTTTTCAAAGGCGCTCTGACTAGGGAACGAGAATCCGGACTTGGGTGTACTTTTCTCGCTGGGGTTCGCCTCTTTCTCCAAGAAGCGTCGCATCCGATCGGTATCAGCAAGAGACTCATGTCTCACAGCTTCTTGGAGATATCTCTCTAGCTCGTGTGCAAGTTCCTGTCTCGTCTTTCCTTTCCACGGCGGCAGCGCGGGAAATCTGCTGGAGAAACTTTGGATATTATTCAGGCGTGAAACCGCCTCCAGCATTTCGTGGAGAGACTGGAAGTCGGCATACTTGCGAAATACCATCCAGCCAGTAGACCGGGTAGACGTCGGCTCGACCTGTAGCAGGTAATCCCATGTAGGCCGAGACTTGATCGTCCCCTTTTCACTTGATGCCGAGTCGTCGTCCACCAGGACTTGAGCACCATGCAGACTTATGGGAGCCGGGGTATCTTCTCCGGATTGGCGTGCAGCAGATACAGCGGGCGCTGGCTGCTCTGGCACTAGCGTGGAGGATGACCCGGTCGGGACATGACCTTCAATGGCCGCGGAGCTTTGCTCGGGGCCATTGGCGGTAGTACCGGGCTGTTCGATATCAGCTTCAACCGAGATACTCGTTCGCTCGGGTCGATCCGAATGTATCGATTGATCGGATGGTACGCTCTGCTCATCATGAGAAGCAATCAAAGCACTCAATCGCTTTGCCTCTAGCAACGCCTCCTCTGTCGCCGTGTCCGCCGATTCCGACTTCCGCTCCGCGCTCTTCTCTAGCTTCGGTTCAGCGGGTGCCTTGATATTCTCCGGGGTCTGGGCCTTAGATGCGCCGGCACCAACACCTTGATTGCGAGCTCCCTCAACACCCGCATCAATAGCATGCATGAGTTCAGATTCACCATCCTGAAGAAGATAAATAATCCAATCATTGATGAATTCCGGCCGAGAAAGGCTAGTAACTGTCGACTCGAGCACGACCCCGGCGAAAATTTCCCGCAGGAAGTCTCGGACCGGCGAGCAGCGGTATGAATTTGCATCAAGGTAATTCGACAGTATATCGTCCGCAATCATGCTCATTTTCTTTCGCTGTTGTTCTTCGGACAGAACGTTTGCGAGACTGCTGTCTGGGGAATTCTCTAGATACTGATCCACGATTTGCTTAGCGTCATTGGGTGCAGACCCAGTCGCCGTAAATGCGGCGGCAAGTTCGTTGAAAAACACAATTATTATAGACGAGGAGTTCGTGAGAAATTGTAGGAAGGTGTCTTCCGTTCTCTTATGGGAGAGGTGAGACGAAACGGCCGTGACGAAGTAGGTCAGGGTCCTTCGGCAGGAGGTAGGAAAAATAGTCTCCGTGGGGAGAATCGGTTTATACCAGTATCTGAATTATGTTAGTAGATGTGTTAGCCAGTGCTAGTTTCGAGAAGGGTGCGGTCTAGGTAATTCTCACTTGACATAGTCCTTAATGACCGTATCAGTGAGCAATCTCAGAGCAGCAGCGGTAGCCGGCCGAAAGGTCAAATACTCTAGATCCTCATCTGAAAGATCCTCCGGGCAAGCCGCCACGGCACCACTATCGACTTTAGAGTCGGCAGTGGCAGCGGCAGTGGCTGCTGCTGCAGCGCGCTGAGGCCAGTCCAAAAGTCTATGAGAAACCTCCAATGCAAGCTCCTTTCGTTTTCTGAGAGACGTTTCCTCATTTCCTCCTCCATGGGATGTCCCCTCCCATGACGCATGCAGGACAACACCTAAGCTGACACCGATAAGCAGCAGGCCAACCCGTCCGAGTATAATGTAGGTGCCGAGCATTAAGAGCGCAAATACGCCAATGAGGGTTTCATTGCTGGACGTTGAAAGGAAATCGAGGACATGGTCTATGAGTTCCTTTGTGGATTTCGTGTTGGGGCCATCTTGCTTGGTCGCATCATTCCGCGTTGCGAGAGGAGTTGGTTCCGGGGGGGTTCGCGGAGGGAGCGGCGATCGCAATCGCATCATTATCGGGTTGGTCCATAGTTAGTCTATAAACATTAGCGATGAATTATTACTCAGGATTTGGCAGAGAGAAAACAAACCTCCATGCCCCTTAAACGCGTAAGTCCAGGGAAATGGAAGTAGAAAGAGGGGGATGTTGAATGGGAGGAAGTACGGGCAAGTTGGCATCCCCCGTGTTCAAGTTGGCCAGTGCGTTAAGAACAAGCAATGCAATTAATAGGATCGACGGGCCGAGGCACCTTGTGAGATTATATGGAAACATACGTCTTTTAAAATGGATATTAGGCTAGTATTCAATCAATGTCATATTCATATTTATTGACTAAATTCTCATAAGAGAATGTGTATGTATCCGTTCATCATTGCCCGTGCAGCCGTGGGAAAGCGACCGCGAGGCATCTAAAGCTAAACAGAATGGAAATTCCTCTCCGCTTGTAGAGTGAATCTGGGCACTCAAAGAAAATGTGCTTCATGCCAGATGATAAGATAGCGGTATAAGTCTACGAGATGCAAATGCAACAAAAAGAAAAAGTGATGCAAACCCCTTTTGCCTTGAGGCATGATCAGATCAGACCAGGTCAGGTCAGATCACGATCGTGCCCTCACATACTTGGTGTGCGACCCCCCTCGCAACAAGCACAAGCCCCTCATCGGTCTTCTTAGAAATCTCGACGGTAGTAAAGGCAAGGCTCTTGCCCACCTTATTAGCCCGACCTTCAATCTCAAGCCAATCGCCGGTCTTCGCGCCGGAGAGGTAACTGACATGGATATCAGTGCTTACACCCGTGGCATCCAAACCCGTTGAGGCAATGGCCAGGCCGCCCGCCCAGTCAGTCACGGTAGCTGAGAAGGCACCGTGCAGACTGCCCTTGGAATTGAGTTGACGAGGTCCGACTTGGAGTCGGGCCCTCATTACACCGTGTTCTGCATCATAAACTTCGGCCTCGCTGAGGAGAAACTCGTAGATTGGGCTGTTGGTGCGGGTGCGGTCCCACACTTTGAGGACCTGTTGGAGCTCTGTGCTTGCACTCATGGTGAAGGGGAGGCGGAATTGAAAGAAGGGGGGAATGGGTGTGAGAAGGAGGAAGGGAAAACGAGGGAAAAAGGAAGGAGAGAAGAGTCTTCGGGTGGATTCTGCTAAGCTAACCGAGCCTGGGAGCTAGTCCCGATCGGGGGCCTTCATCTTAACTTCAAGTTGCTCAGATATGAAGGAATACGACGTATCAAGCAACATGTTGTACCTAAGTAGGTAGGTATTATTTGATAAAAACACTCAACATAGTAGGGAAGGAGAAGCTATACGGCGATACAGATACTGTGACCTATAGTATATCTGCCAGTGCTTTAGGTTGGTATCAAACACGTGATCTGGCGAATGGTATTCAAGTTATCGACTAACCAGCCACCCGCCATGATGGGGCAAGGAATATATGGGCAGCGGTAATTTGTGACATTTATTCTAATACTAGCAGTATGACGATCTCAGTTTGAGAATCTAAATCATGGTTGGAAGCAACTTCAGGTTCAACTTTACTAGTAGTACCTTGGAGTTCCAGGCTTGGCGGGTAGTCCTCCTTCTCTGTATATACATGGTAGATATATATTTACAAAATTCTCCAAAGACCGACTCGGACACAGACAAAAAATGAAATAAAATGAAAGCTCAGGTCGGAACCATCGGCAAATATTATTGATCTCTTACAATTGCTTATTCCGATGCCGCGATTCCCTCGACAACATCTGCGAAAGCATAAAGTGATTAACATCCTCATCCCCCCCAGTACGTGAGATGACTAGCAATACTCGCGATAAGAGAAATATCGAACGCGCCCCTACCCAAAAAAGAAATAGTCAGTATCCACAATTCCCAAGGGAAAAAAAAAAAACCTCGGATAGGATAGGATAAATCCCACTCACTCTTGAATACTATAATCCACCCGACCATTCGAATTCAAGCCGCGAACCTTAGCATCTTCAAACTTCAATTTCCGCTCTTGCTCTTCGGAATCCAAATCATTCTCACTTCCAGAACTAGATGTCGCATGACCCTTAGAGTTCTTCTGACCATCCCGACTCCTCTGAAACCCATCATAAAGCGTCTCCAGATCCCCGTCGATAAGCGTCTGCGGCTGATCAGAGCCCTGCGAGGACTCCGCACCAGACTGCGCCCTCTTATGCCCGCGCTCGTTCGTCGCATTCACAGCGGACGAAACCTCATCCGCATGTAATCCCAAACTGCGATTCAGTAAACTACTCGCCACCCCCGAGGTAAAGTTACTCCAAAGACTGCCAACACTCTGACCCATCCTCGACCCGATAATCGAAAGACTCTGTCCAGACTGCGTCCAGATACTCTTCTTCACAGACGGGAGAGGCTGGGGCTTGAGACTGGCCATGGCGGGAGAAATAAGCGGCTCAAGACGATAACTCACCGGGTCAGAGGGGTGGAAGATATTATACAGATCGCGGCACTTAGGCGCGGAGATAATAGCCGAGTTATCGATGGGCCCGCGACCAGCCTGACTCTGCGAGTCGCGCTTCGAAGAGTTCAGGGAGCGGATGGCCTTGGCGTCAAATTCGATGTCCAGCGCGCTTTTGCGTTTCCTCGAGCCTAGAGGCGAGTAGCCGGCAATTGTCTTGCCCTTGAGCATTTGGAATAACGCGATGGGCGACCCCAGGCAGAAGAATTCCTCGCACTCGAAGCTTAGCTCGCTTCTCTCTTCTTTCCATTGGTCGGCGAGATCGTCGGCCGGTGCGGTGAATCTTGTATTTGGGGATCCGGTCGTGCTTGTACTTTGGTGGCAGAGGATGTCGAATAGAATCGCGCTTCCGAGGGAGTGGCCGCAGAGACTGACGGTGCCGTTGAATGATGGGTTGCGCTGCTTATAGAGCCCGATTATTCGGTTGCACTCTTGTTTCACGATGTTGGAGATGTGCTCGCAGTAGCCGCTCTGGTAAAGGAGGACATCCATTGCCAGGTCGGATATCAGGTTTCGGACCGCTGGGACGCTTTCGAGCGTGATGTCTGCTAGACTGGGGTATGCATCGTCATCGACGGTGTCGGCGTCTGTCAGATCGAGTTCTTTTCTGTTCTGTCGGACTCCGCGGTAGGGGAAATCGAGTAGATGGCGCCAACAGCTGTATAGATATTAGTTTGAGCCCGTCCCAAAAAGCAGTATTTAGGGAAATTGCTTCTGTAGGTGACTTACACAGGAAGGACCTGGACGCGACAATTGCCGTCACGATCCGCAAAGGCCGCATTCAACGCCTGAAGATCCGGTGAAGCCTTGTAGACGGTCTTGAGCGTCTTGCGAAGCACATTCACATCGTGTATGAAATTGATACTCTCGAGTCGTAGGCCAAGCCGTTGACCAATACCATGCGTGACGAGGATGATATGATCGACTTGTCGATCTCGATCCTCACTATCGACTTCTCGCAAGTCTTCCATCTCCTGCTCCTCCTGTCTACGAGCTTGTTCCTCCAGCTCAGCCGGGTTTTGCGGCTCGCCTGCCAGAGACGACATTTGTCGCTCCAGTGTTGACTGAGGTCGTCTGATTTCCGGGTTATCGGCTTCTGTTGGCCTGTCTATACCATCTGTTCCCTTAGATTTGGATATAGGATCTGTAAATGTCGCAGAAGAGGGGACCTCGGGTGTTCTAGCGCCGGATTTATCGGCGGGCTTTCGTTCTCGATCTCGTTCGCGGAGGTCAGATGGTTCTCTCGGGCGCTTGGGCTCGACTAGACCACGCACTACTTTTAGACCTGGGGCACCGCCGAGTTTTTGATATACGGTGGTGCTAACACGGGACATGAAGTCATCAGTAGTGACCCAAGCCGTTGAGGAGTCCTGATAGGCCACGATTCTATTCATGTAGGCGCCAAACAAGCGATACTGACGAGACTCCATCGTCGAAGAAGCGGGTATTTTCCCGGTACCCTGTGAGCGAGACTTTGACGATTCCGGATATTGTGTTTGCGTTCCGAACACACCGGGCCGTGGATCTGCGCTGCCATCCGTACGGTCACGGTCACGGTCGTTAGAGCGATCATGCTTCGCCGAAGCCGATGTCGCAGGGTCTCCGGAGCTGGCGTCCGCGGCGTCCGTCCTCCACGGCCGAAGCTTGAGATATCCTTCTTCCAACTGCGTTGCCAGATTTTCCTCGCAGGGCTTCAGATTCGATCCATCTTGGAAGAACCACGTCCCCCGCCGGACTTCATAGACAGGACCAATCCAATAAGCCGGGCCCAGCTCCCGTTGCTGAACATCGACGTCAAACAAATAATCCTCGTTCACAGCGACCTTGGTTGAAACCTGTGCCCGTTCTCGTTGTCCATCCTTGTTGTGCGGTAGATCCTGGCCGTGACCCTGGCCCTGACCCTGATCGCGATCTTCATCTTCGATAAGGTTCTGGAACGTAGTTTCGATGGACTGCGAGTCCTTAAGCGAGAAAGGAATAAACTTCTTCGGCGGCGGCAGCGGTTTAGGATCGGATTTCTTAGCATCGTTTAACGAGGGTTTCCGCTTTGGCGAATCCACGGCGTAAAACCATCTCGGCTTCAACGCGGGACAGTCGGATGGGTAATGGCGCTGGCCTAGCTTGTGTCGGTGTGTCACGGTATGATCTTCGCCTTGCGAGCGCTGCAAGACATCACCAGAGCTCGGATTATGATCCGCGGCTTGAGGCTGAGGGGTTGAGCTCCTCGGGGTATTCCATGGGGAAAAGGTCCCCAGAAATGACTTTTGGTCAGTGCCCGCCATAGGCGTTGGCGTTGTTGGCGTTGGACGCGCCCGTCGCAGGGCCACGTAGCGAAGCAACGTGGCAGGGAAATTGGAGATATTTTATAGGAGTAAGCAGGAGGATGTTGCGAATGATTTAGATCTCATTAAATGCCCGATTGGAGGTGTGCCGGGGCCATTGTAAATAAAAGAAGTGGGCGGCGTGGCAGGTGTTGGCGGGTCGGAGATGGACCCGCATGATGTAAGAAGCAAGCTAGCGTGTGATCTCCGGTTCCAGAACCAGAACTGAGTCCAACAAACTCCAATCTAAACCCACGCCTTCATCACCTGCTTGAAAAGGGTCCAACCAACCGAGGTAGAATGGATCACTCTCACTCTGTGACAGCAATGGTGGGCCCCGTGACTTGATTTCAGTCGTCGATTCTTGATTTTGCTTGTTCAAAGTGGTCATGATCGCCTGTGCGACATACCGCGCATCTCGACTGGCGGGGGATTTCTCAATACAGATGGTATGGGCCTGCCTCAAAAGGGACAGGATTGAATCTGCAGTCGCAGGATCAAGGACCGATTGACCGGGATTCAAGTTCTTCCCACGAGTATGAATATGGATCGCCAGACAAAGCACCATGGCCCCTAATAGAAAATCATTCATTGTGAAATTAGTGAGCATCCACCGTTCTCGATGGAGTTGACCACCAGATGAAAATTCTCGATATATCTCGATGAACTGGCTGACCAGTCGCTGGCCCGCCTCCACGCAAGATCTCGTACTGAACAGATTTCCTCGAGTCATGTACTTGCGATGAAACACACACAGGCTCTTCAGATAGATAAATTCCACGTAGATGCGAGTCATCACGAGAAATGGGGGATCAGAGATCGAGTCCGCTAGAGGACGCGTTCGTAAAATTTCCGGGATAGTCGTATACATGCGCCGAATTTCGTTGTCGAGTTGCAGGATCTCGGGTTCGGATTTCTCCGTGAAGCTCAGCGTATCGCGACATACTTTTCCAAAGCTGACCATCTGGCGATCCTTCACAATGAACCATAATAGACCGATAGCTTCGGTTTCGGAGCGAGAGGGTGGTAGAACCTGAGTGTCTTCGTCAAAGTCGGAGTCTAACAGGTTTCGCGGTGACCGCGTATCACAGTTCTCGGGACAGATATTGCTAGGAAGACCCAGCTGGAAAGAAACCATGAGATCAATCTGTATACAAAGGGCCCAGAAACGCCGACGCATTTCCCCTTCGAACACACTCATAGAAGACCCTAGGGAATCTGGATCTCGGTGGTATCCCATCTCGTATGCCATTCGCACAATCATGCCAAAGATAGCACCGACTTCCCGGGACGGATCAAGACTTTGCATATTAATACAGTGCGCATAAAGAGTCAAGGCTTCAAGCACATATCGCTGTGGCCGATGGTATTCGCCCTTGACGAGACATTTCCCCGCTGCTTCTTGGAAGTGGGAGACCTCGGCAAGGACATCTTCTCGTGTCGTCGGGGCAATTCCAACGGTACCGCGAACCATACTCGCCACTGAGCAGATAGAGAAGAGCATTGACAACCAGAGAGGATTCGAAGCTCCCGGATCTTCCCAGAATGCGCGATACTGCCGCTGGAACTGAAATGTATGAATGAAAGGAATGATAAATGTTTCTCCTTGGAAGTAGACAGCGAGCAGCCGGTCGATTTCGATCTTTGGAGATAAGTACTGCGAGATGATCGTTTCCATAGAGTAGTTGCTTGGAGATCCGAATATAATCATATCCCTGCCGATGGCCGGTGTTGCCGACGACCTACTACCCGAATCAGGCTCGGGAGAGTCATCGTGCTGGCTTAACGCGGCTCTCAAACCTTGGATATCATCAAGTATTGCAGACCAATGAGTCGAGCCAACATATCTAGCTCTATTTTCGCCATCTGCGATCTGAGCTGGTACCCGTGGATCGAAACCATTTGATTCAAGTCCGAGGAGAGGCATTGGGTGGTTGACGGAAAGGTTAGATGAAGCAGAGGTTGAGGTTGAGTCTTGCATTAAACCCTTGACCAGTGACTCTAAATGCGCAAGCCGATCCTCCGCCGTATCGGGCTGATTGAGTCCGGGAAAAGTACGCTGATAGGAGCAAAGTGCTGCTTCATCTTTTCTTTCACACGAGCCACACGGTCTTTGAAGATCACAGCGAAGTTTTGCCTTGCGGCACTGGGTGCACACTTGGGATTCGCGCGGTCTTTTAGAGGCGCCACTTGCGTCCTTGCGGATTCGAAATTTGCCCGTTAGGTTGGAGAATTCCGACATATTTTCACATCATTGGATCGTGTTCAATTATGGCTGGAAATTTCCATAAGGACTGGGCCGAAAGAGGTGATGCCTGCCCACCTGCTCCTGCCCCGCATTAACGATGTTGCCCATGGATCCTCCAATCCGAATGCAGGTGTCTAGATATTGGGCCAATGTATGAAGGAATGAGATAGAGCCGTTCAGTCACATAGCTGTCGACTACGGGTAAATCATTCCATGACCCCAGAAATAAACTTGATATCCCCCAAAGGAAATTCAACTCGGCCGACCGAATTTCCTTTTTGGGATAGCTCGGCGTTATGAGGCTGGATTCTCCGAAATCCTCTGGTCCTTCCAAGATTTCTATCCTTCCTCTGAGCCAATTCAAGTGTGATTAACGGAGAATTGGCGTTTATCGCCGGGAAAATAGGCCATGGCAGGTCGTCCTATGTTGGTATTTAAATCAACGTCTTGGATCCCATCTCTGGCTGTAGTTCACATTACATTCATAATTTCTTCGTCATAGGTCTCTACAATGTCTACCCCTATCGTCTTTATTACCGGTGCCAATACTGGTCTCGGCCTAGAAATCGTCAAAGCTTTGTTTCGATCCTCCAAGGCATATACAATTCTGCTTGGAGGGCGCAGCATAGAGAATGCCGAGGCCGCAGCGTACCAGGTACGGGAGGAGTACCCCAACAGTAGTGCAATTGCCGTACCGATACAGATCGACATCGAAGACGATGAGTCGATCGAGAAGGCGTGTGACTACATTCGCAGCCATTATGCGCGAGTGGACGTGTTGATCAACAACGCAGGTAAGGCTGCCATTAACTCTGACCCTGGACTAGGTGTAGCAGCACTCAATGGCTAGCCTTTCCCCGAACTAGTGAGCTGACAAAGACATAGGCGCTTCCTTTGACCAGCAATGGAATCGAAATGGCGCACCGACGATGCGAGAGATTTGGAATCGCTCGTGGGATGTCAATACAACGGGGACTCACATTCTGACTTACACCTGCGCACCACTTCTGCTCCAATCGGCCGACCCTCGACTCCTCTTCATCACCAGTGGTACATCTACTCTGGGCGAGAGTGATAACCTTGCGTTAGGAATCAATCGGTCTCCGGAGAAAGGGTGGCCTAAATCGAGTCTTCTGATCCCGGCCTACCGGTCCAGTAAGACTGGTATGAATATGATGATGCGCGAATGGAGGCGTATTTTGAATGAAGACGGAGTCAAGACATGGTGTGTATCGCCGGGGTTTCTGGCGACAGGACTAGGCGGCGATCAGGAAATGAATCAACGGATGGGGGCGATTGATCCGACGATTGGCGCGGAGTTTGTGCGGGATGTTGTGGAGGGGGCGCGGGATCAGGATGTTGGGCAAGTCATTCGTCGTGATGGTATTCAGCCGTGGTAGTAGACATGGTGGAGGGAGAAGGGAGAAAGAATGCTGGTGCCTTTACAGTAGTAGTAGTAGCAGCAGTAGTAGCAGTAGTAGTATTAATAGTATTTCTCTCCAATATCCTCGACGTCATTGTAGGCAACAAGGGCGAGTTGGGGGCGTAAGTGGAAAACAGGAAGGGGATACGAAGGAGATACTTCTAGTTTGTAGGTAAATGCCATATGCTGTAGAAGTACTAGCCCTGCTGACGCGGAGTTGCCGGAGGTAAACAATACACGTGAATACGTAATATTACGTACTTGGTGGCTCACCCCACCTCTCCGTTCTAAGGTAGTCGTATTCGTAGCCTTGAGGGTTTAGCCTTCCTTGCACTGCCCTTCCTGTGCCCAATCCCTTCTCGGCCCTTCTTTTTCTTCTCTTCCATCACCCCAGGGAGTCTCTGTCCCTTTTCTATTTCTCCTTGCCCCTCCCCCTTCCCCCTCCGTCGAGCCAAAGCTCTCCCACCGCTTGCGCCCGAACGGCTTACCCCTCCACATTCATCATGAATGTCCTCAAGCTCCAGAAGTGCGTATTTACCAGATCCTATATGCAAGCGCAATTTCCCAACAACCCATTGCTAACCGGTTGCGCCTTTCTTTCAATTTAGGCGGTTTCCGCAGCTGGACCAGGGCGAGATTTTCTCCCTCCAGGATGCTTTCCGTAAGCTCGATGTCGATGACCGCGGCTACTTGGACGAATCATCCGCAATCAAAGCCACGCAACAATCCGAGCGCCAGCCTTATGACGTTGTGCGCCAGACCTTGAAAGGCGTGGAGCTGGATAGTTCTCGCCGCGTGGAACTCGAGGATTATATCGATGTACGTGGTCTACCAGCTTACGCTTACCTACCTATTTGGGCTTGCTTTGCTTGGAATATATGGGACCCTGAACTAACAATTACCAGCTCGTTGCTAGGCTGCGCACTGGGCCTGCGACCGGCGCTCCGGGCGCTTCCCCCGCTGCTGTGATCCAAGGAGCTGGAGCCGGTGCTGGCGCCGGTGCTTCCCGCCACGTTTCCAAGGGAAGTGTCGGTGGTAAGATTCACGTCCAAGGATCCTCGTCCAATGTCACCCACACGATCAACGAAGATGAGCGAACCGAATTTACCAGACATATCAACGCTGTTCTGGCCGGTGACCCCGACATTGGCGACCTCCTGCCCTTCCCCACCGACACATTTGAGATGTTCGATAAGTGCAAGGATGGTCTGGTGCTCGCCAAGTTGATCAACGACAGTGTCCCCGACACCATTGATGAGCGTGTTCTGAACAAGGCTGGCAAGAAGATCAAGCAATTGAACGCTTTCCACATGACCGAGAACAACAACATCGTCATTAACTCCGCCAAGGGCATCGGCTGCTCCGTTGTGAACATTGGAAGTGGTGACATTATTGAGGTTCGCGAGCACTTGATTCTGGGTCTTATCTGGCAGGTCATTCGACGTGGTCTGTTGGGCAAGATTGATATCAAGCTACACCCCGAGCTGTACCGCCTTTTGGATGAGGATGAGACTCTCGAACAGTTCCTGCGCCTGCCCCCAGAGCAGATCCTTCTCCGCTGGTTCAACTACCACCTTAAAAACGCCAAGTGGGATAGACGGTATGTGCTTCAAAAAATGCAGCAGCGAATTAACGGCAAATTCTAACAATAATCTGCTCTAGGGTATCCAACTTTTCCACTGACGTCAAGGACGGTGAGAACTACACTGTTCTCCTGAACCAGTTGGCACCAGAGACCTGCTCCCGCAGTCCCCTGCAAACCCAAGATCTGCTCCAGCGTGCGGAGCAAGTTCTTTCCAACGCGGACAAGCTCGACTGCCGCAAGTTCCTGACCCCGACATCCCTGGTCGCAGGAAACCCCAAACTCAACCTTGCCTTCGTCGCCAACCTCTTCAACACACACCCCGGACTGGACCCCATCACCGAGGAGGAGAAGCTAGAGGTGGAAGATTTCGACGCAGAGGGTGAGCGCGAGGCCCGCGTTTTCACTCTCTGGTTAAATTCCCTCGACGTCCAGCCCGCCGTCAACTCGCTCTTCGACGACCTGCGGGACGGAAATGTCCTGCTGCAGGCCTACGACAAGGTCATCCCCGGCAGCGTGAACTGGCGCCACGTCAACAAGCCCCCCGCCCACGGCGGCGAACTGATGCGCTTCAAGGCCGTCGAGAACACAAACTACTCCATCGAACTCGGAAAGCACCACGGCTTCTCACTGGTCGGAGTTCAGGGCGCCGATATCACCGACGGCCAGCGCACCCTCACCCTCGGCCTAGTCTGGCAACTGATGCGCCGCGATATCACCCGAACCCTATCCGCCCTGGCCCAGCGCCTCGGCAAGCGCGAGATCACCGACGCAGAGATGATCCGCTGGGCAAACGACATGTCCAAGAGCGGCGGCCAGTCCTCCGCCATCCGCAGCTTCAAGGACTCATCCATTGGAACGGGCCAGTTCCTGCTGGATGTGCTTAACGGTATGAAGAGCAGCTACGTTGACTACGACCTTGTTACGCCCGGACGAACGGACGAGGACGCCTACGCCAACGCCAAGCTCAGCATCAGTATTGCTCGAAAGATGGGCGCGACCATCTGGCTCGTGCCGGAGGATATTTGCCAGGTTCGCTCGAGACTGGTCACCACCTTCATTGGCTCCCTTATGGCTACGCATGAGAAGATGTAGATTGCACCAGCACTGAACTGTCATTTCTTTACCACATATCCACTATCCTATTTCCCGCGAGACTTGCCCGGGTTAGCTATAGCTACGCAAAGTACTAGTATGCCGGGCCATGGTGTGTTATGGTCTGGCCTGCAAACACAAACAAATACCTGTTACCTTTTTTGATTCCGCATATCTGACTTTGGCGAACGAGAGGCTTGCCTGCATGTCGAAAATTCCATTTCCATCAATTCCTAAGCATACCATCATACCTTAGTACTAGTCTAGTAGCTCCCATCAAAGGTGCTGGTTAAACCAAACAACAGCCTGAGTAAACGCAGACTCCTTCGCAAACCGAACAACAGGCTTCGTGATATCAGCGCGAACAGCAAAGCCATGCTCCACCCCACTAAACAGATTAATCTGGTAAGCCTGGCCCGTTTTCACCAAGATTCCTTCCGATTCGTGCCTCTTGGCCGCCGGGAAAATCGCATCCGTTTCTGGGATCCCGTTAGATATCTTTTTCTCGAATAGTGAAAGGAAAGCAGCCCCGGGGCTAGGTAGTACTAACCAGCAGCAGCAATAGACAAAGGCCCCCGAATCCCAGCCAACTCATCCGCATCAACAAAACTAGGATGCGCAACGTACGCAACATCCACACTCCCAGGCCTAAGGAATCGAACAGCGTACTTGGCCTGAGAAACACCAAATCAAATCAAATCAAATCAGTACATAGTACCAGCGAACTCGTGGGAAGGAAAACTTGAAGTAACAACGTACGCCAAAACAATACCCGACAGCCCCAATCCTCTCACAGCCCATATTCTCCCTCATTTCCGCCAGCACGGCTTTCACGACTGGATCTACGCGCGGCGGCAGATGGCCCGGTGGACCATTGAGCCAGGCCATTAAATCGTAGTTGGCTGGACGGTTGAGCGGGACGGGATCGTTGTGGAAGAGGTCGGGCATTACGACTAGGTAGCCGTTTGCGGCAAGTTGGTCGGCGATTAGTTGGGCGTTTATGAAGCGGTGGCCGATTACGTCTGTTAGGAAGAGGATTGCGCGGGTGGTTTTGGTGGGTGGGTGGGTTATGTAGAGTTCGACTGTGGTGGGTAAGTAATGGAGTCAGGTTGTTGAGGTGGGGTGGCATCTAGGAGTAGATAGAGGTGGGATTGGTTAGGTTCCCAAAGGACGGGGGACATACCATCGCCGAGTTGTTTGAATGAGCCTTTTGGGTTGCCTTCGTGCGTCACGCCGATTGTGCAGCATGCGGCGGGGGGGTTGGATGCCATGATTTAGTTGGTGTACTGGAAGAGGTGGAGGTGGGAAGGATTGAAAGTAACTCTAGCGATGGAAGATCAATGTTGGTCAAATGCGGGGGTTCCATTCTTATATGCCGATCTGATCCGATCTAGGCTACCACGGGGTACGTACTGGTATGACTACTAACTATGTACGGAGTAACTAACTATGGAAGCAATGATGTTGTTGTTCGGAGTTAGTCGGAGATAAAGAAGTGCTAAGAAGGGATCTACGATGTTGGTTTTTTTTAACCTATTATGGTACAGGGGTGCGAGAGCGAATGAATTACGAGACATGCAGTATCGAATGATACTACCTCGACCAAAAGGCACTTTAGTTCACACGGCTACTAGTAAGCCATTGACTGATAAACGATTGACAACCATCCTCTTGACCGCTATCTGAATTGATATCAAAGTCGTCGTCATCGGAGCTTTCAATGTCGATCCAGGAATGCCGATATAAAGCTTTTCATTTACTGGGTACCCTGTGGATCTAAGCCAACCGAAAATTCCGCGAGTTGAGGTCTCCGAAGCTACGTGGGAAAACAAGTGTGAGCCATTTTGTGTTGGGGAGTAGTTTTCCTTATGTTTCTGTGATCGGAAGCTCAGCACCAGGCCATTCTTGCAGCGGGGCAGAATTTGATATCTCCACTGTCAAAGGGTTGTGAACAGCCAGCAGAATATCCAAAGATGTTGTTTTCGGTGCGAGGCAACATGGCCCATGTGATGTACTAGTAGCACAGGTCGATTGTCCAGAAATAAGGAGACCAGCCTGTTCCCTGCTCGATTCTCTTTCTACACAAGTAAAGGACAGCTCAGTGTCTTTGGAAATCAATCCATATCCAAGGAAAGACGTTGTTCTCTCGGGAAGCGATTTCACATCGATGGAAGAAGGTGGGAGACGAGGGGTTTTAGGAGCATTTGTCAGGTGGGACGACCATTCATATATTCATTTTGATGACTGGATTGCTAACAGCGGGCTCTTAGTTAGCCAGGCTGTAGTGGTACATCAAGACTGCAAATAGGGATGGTTCGGTTTCTGCAGGTTGAGCCTTGGGACAAAGGGCATATGACGTGGATACTCCATATAAAGTTCCTACTTTAAACATTAGTCCAATCAGAAAGTCTGGGGTAATTAAAATGGACCCAAAAATAATAATTAGAAAATAAATAAGGAAATTTATTTAGAAGGTGAACCCAAGATGTATTCAAGTCTACTACTAGAAGTGACTTACGCTGTTGGCACGTTTATTTGTGTCGGGCAGAGAAGACAGTGCGACGGCTTTTCCCCTTGGCTTCTCTGACACCCTGAAACCCCAGCCCCAACCCCAACCCCAACCCCCTCAACCTTCACACTGCCAGCGCCTTAGAAATCACCCCTCTGTACTCAAGTGCGCATTCAATTGTGACCTGACCCATCATGGATACCCCCAAAGTACAACTTCCGGGTCCCGGAACCCCAGTCGCGCAGAATGGGGCCAACTCCAACTCCAATGAGGTCGAGATGACCGAGAGCCATGATGCTGAATCGACAAATCAGATCGAAGAGACTCAAGCCGAGGATAATACTATGCCTGATGTGCAAGCCGAGACTGAGCCTGAAGCCCCCGCACCTGTGCAGAAGACTGCGGGGTTCAATTTCTTGAAGTAAGTGTTGCGATGTGGTTGCGATTGTTGCGGTAGTGAATGTGAATGTTATGCACCTTTACCCTTACCAAACGTCATCCCTCAGCAACATCAATGCTACTCTCCTCATATTCACAGTGGATGCTAATCTCACGCCCACTAGCTTCCTAACCTCGCCAATCGTCGAAATTGCCATCGGCGAAGATGACAACCAGACCATACTCACAGCCCATCAAACACTCCTCATCGAATCACCACTCCTCTCCAGATTCGTCGATAAATTCGAGGCATCAGGCCCGGTACGCACCTATCCACTTCCCTCTTCGAGCCAGGCCTTTCCACACTAGTCCACACATACTGACAAAAACCACAGCGCCGCATCGCCCTCCCCGCAGAAAACGCCGAAGCCTTCGGCTGCTTCCTTCAATTCCAATACACCCACGATTACACCGAAACAAAGCCCTCAACCCCGGCCGGATCTTCAGAAGTCGCAACCGCAACCACTGACAACACCGGCGAAGAACTCCTTCGCCATGCGCGCGTCTACACCCTGGCAGAGAAATTGGGCATGCCCGCCCTGAAAAGTCTCGCGCATAAAAAGATCCACTCCGTGAACAGCACGCCCAGCGGCGAGCTCGCATACGCCCGTTACGTCTACACCAACACATCCGATCACGACACTATGATTCGCAAGCCCATTGCTTCGTACTGGGCTGCCCGGAGCCACACCCTGCGCCACGGGATTGAAGAGGAGTGGAAGAAGATCTGTCTTGATATTCCTGAATTCAGCTTCGATGTATTGACTATTGTTCTGAACAAGAAGGAGAAGGCTAGCGCTAATGCTGAGGCGGAGGGGACGCCCAGGGGTCGGGTTGCTAAGCGGATGCGCAGTGAAAAGTAAGGATGGTAAAGAAGGCCAAGGTCATTTGCACAATTCTGTACAATTTCTATGAAATTATATGCTTGATACCCCATCACATTTCAAGGTTTCCTTGACTGATCTATGTGACTGATCTGATCCATGACCATGCTTTTGGATCGAATCGAATCCAATCGAATCGAACATCATTTAAACAAGACATTCAGATTATTCATTCTAATCATTAGAATTAGGGCCCGGGTCTATGAGAATCAGAACAGGCTATCTGCTCTATTTATTGGGCCAGAGCCTCAATCTCTGCAATGGCCTTGGGCGCCGAGGTCAAGTTATCATGACCATCCTTGGTGATGTGAATATTGTCTTCGATACGGACACCTCCGACATTCCAGTACCGTTCCAAGACAGCAGCATCAATGTACTTACCCGTCTCCGGATCATTCAGAACAGGATCGATAATGAAGCGGCAGAAATAGATCTGAAAAAAAAAAAAACAGATTAGCACAATTCTCCAATATCCGATGCAGCCAAAAGCAAGCCCCGAGTATCAACTTACACCCGGCTCAACAGTAATAACCGAACCAGCAGGCAACACCCCCCCTCACACGCAGATACCGAAACATCTTATCCTCATCCGCATAATTGGGATAACCACCGGTATCATGCGTATCCATACCAAGATAATGGCCCAAACCATGCGGGAAGAAAGCCACGCTAACACGCTTCACAAATAACTCCTCCTCCTCACCGCGCAAAATGCCCAAATCCAGCAAACCGCGAATAGCAACGCGGTGCGCATGCGCATGCACATCATCCCACCGCACCCCCTCCTTCAACATCGCAATACACTCATCCTGCATCCGCAAAACGATCTCATAGATCGCGCGCGTCTCGGCCGGAAACGTCCCGTTCAGCGGGACAACACGGGTGATATCCGCGCAGTAGGTACGATACTCGCCGCCAGCATCGATGAGCAAATTCCCCTTGCGCAACTTGGTCACCTGATCAACGAGAAACTCGTCATTCTTAACGTAATGCAGCGTCGCGCCGTTCGCTCCGCCCGCGAAAATGGGGTGGTAGGATTGTTCGCGGCATCCGTTTGCTATGCAGCCGGCCAACCAGGCGGCCTCGAGTTCACGCTCGTTTGTGGCGGCGCGGGCGGCCTTTGCGATGGCTATGTGGCCCTTGGTTGAGATGTCGTTTGCTTTGCGGAGGAGGGCGACTTCGTATGCGTCTTTTACGACGCGGGCGTCGTCGATGACTTTCTTTAGGTCTGTGCTGTTCGAGCTGGCGAAGGCGGCGAAGCTGATGTCCTGTGAGACTTGCTCGCCGATGGAGAAGGCGACGGTCTTGCCGGCGTGGGCGCTGGCGATCTTGGACAGGGTGCTGTTCACGTCTGTGGTGTATTGGACATGGTCTACGTCGTAGAGGTTGGCGGCTTCTTCGAGGGAGAGGGGGAGACCGGACCAGATGACGGAGTCGGGGTCAATGGGGGGGATGAAGAGGGTTAGTTCATCAGCCTTGATGTCGTAGACCATTGAAGCGTCGGGTTCGGGGCATCCGGTTAGGTAGAAGAATGGGCGACGTTGTCTTATATGATAGTTAGCTTTAGCTTCTGCTTCAGCAGGTAGTAGCTAACGGCAAACAGCCAAGCTTCTGGTTGTGTGGATATTTACCTGAAGGGCATGGCCTCGTCATTGTCCTCAATTAGACGGGTTTTTTGCGCCTCGAGGTAGATGGCGCCGGCATCTTGGGCCTTGAGGGCTTGAGCAACACGGCGGGCGTGAGCCTTGCCGGGGTACTTGGCAGCGAGAATAGCGTCGACAGTTGCCATGATGAGTAAGATTGAATTGATACTAGAACCAGGAAAAGGAAAAGGGAAAAAAAAAACTTGACAGCTGGGGGAGGCGGGGCAACGTAGTAATTATTGTATTGAATGGATCCTCGGTTGCAACCGATGCGGGGCTCAACTGCCGGCTCTAAGCGGTCTGAGCTTTGAGTTTGATAGAGGAGTATAAAGAGAAGTATAAGAAGTAAATCATAACACATCAGAATTCACTATTAACATGGGATATCATTTAAACAAGAAACGCCAGAGAAAACTTATGCCCTCCTTTTAAATCTCCGAACCAGAGACATCCTCAAATTCCATTTCCCATTGATCGATCTCGGCAAATCTCAACGTCGCGGCGCGCAACTCGGCACTTGTAAAGCGACGCGGGGTTCTGTTTCCTGTATTTGTATCAGACTCGGCTTCGGAGTCAGGCACAGAAGACAAGGGGGACCCTGATCGCGATAGTTCGAATTCATTCTCTTTATCGACTCCCCCTTCTCCCCCTGAGCGCGAGTAAGTCGCTGCTGTCGGTCCTTGCTCTGACGCTGCACCCTTTTTGCCTCTGGACTTTCTCTGCTTCGGATTATTGAGCGTGGATTTACCCCGAGAATTCCGCAAAGGCTTCGGTTTAGCTGGGACGGAAGCTCCTCGCGATTGAGACCTCCTTGAGGAAGAGGGTCGACTAAGCTCATCCTCTTCACCGGATGCGGCATCGTGCGTACTGTCGTTGTCGCTATCATCATCAGACCCGTCATGACCGCCTGAATCTCGCTGTCTCAGGCGACGCAGCCTTCGCCGGGGCAGTAATTTGTTCTGCAGCACCGCGGTAGACAGATGGGCCGGGTCTTTGGGTCCTCGTTTACCCGAGACCAGAGGAACGACCAAGGGAGAACGCGGCGCCGTAGTAACAGTACTCGCAGGGCTACTGGCAGGCGGGAGGAAAGTTTGACTTAGTATATCGGAGAACCGTGGAGGCTGGGGCGTTTCTCCTGGCAGTTCGGGCTCGTCGGGGTAGGTATTGCGTGGAATTGGCGTAGCACTCGGCGTATCGTCAATTTGGCTAATATCCTCACCCTCGCCCTGGCTGGCTTCTGGAGCCGATGACCGAGGCACTAGTATCTGCACTTCTATTCTTGGTGCCCGTTTGCGCTTGCGCGAGCTCGCGGACGCAGAAGACGGGAGAGATTGCGATTGGGATGGTGAAGCCGCAGCCGAAGCCGACTGCGAAGCTGAAGGTGATTGGCCTTGCTCTGGTTTCGCCAATGATTTACGGCGATTCAGAGGCGTCGATTCATCCTGTGGACTCAATCCGCCCAGAAAATCATCGTCGTCTACTTCCGAAGACCCATCCTCCGCTTGCACCATGTGCAGAATACTTTGTTGGCGCGGTCGTCGACGGAAATTGCTCAGCATCGAAGTGTCGAAGCTTGGTGTGCCGGGGATTCGCGAGTTTGTATTCGTTTCTCCTTTGCGCCCCGCTACGGACATGGTCGAGGAGTAACCGCGTGATCGGGTTGGAGGTCGACTTGCAGTTCCTGGCCGACTGCCGGTTCCCGGACGGTCGCCGGTGGGCGATGACTCGATTGCTTGGTCATGGTTCTTTGCTAGAGGTGTTTGTCGCGGGTCGACTGAAGGGGCGCGCCGCGAGGCGGGGGGTGATTTTGCGGTCGTTTCATTCTGGTCAGGCTTGGGCGCTTTTGCCGCGGCTTTGGGCTTGGTTAAGCGATTTCTTTTGGGGGCTGGGCGTGGCATGGTTTCGTATGTGTTAAATATTTGGGATGGAACCCGATCAAAATTGTCGAGCCTGAGAAGTCGCGTCGGCCCTTCTTGGTTTGTTTGGGACGCGTCCCACGTGTGATAAGGTAACCTTTTTGCTTATCGTGTTGGTGCCTTGTTGCCTCACACTAAACTACATTAAGGTATTTACAGTCACTGGGTACATAGATAGTTATAGAGTATATCTTACTACTTCTCCTTCTGAGTCAATATCATAGAGTTCCGGAGTATCTAGTCAATACCATAATATTCCAGGGTATCAGGCAGCAGGCTCAGTCAAGCGACCCACATTGTGACCAAGTCTTCACATAGACGTGGTTGCCTGAAACCTTGAGTCGCGGGTTCCAAAAGCAGTGCCCGCTCGCCTTTATGACTACCTAGCCTAGCACTGAAAAAGGGAAGCACGATGCACTCCACTATGCCTTGGAAACCTTGGAAGATATGACTTCAGAGTCCTCAGGAAAAGAATTCTATAAAGAACACACACTCTGTCACATAAAAAGTTCTACTCCGTCAAACCATTCATCACTCGCCAAATACTCCCATCATGGCGTCCAATGGGACAAGTTCAATAGCAGATCCTGTTTTACTGGGGACTACTCTGCTGGATTCACTCATACCAGGCTCTCGCATCATATTCCACTTCTTCACATCATACCTTAAGATCGACATCAACGGTTATATCCAAATTCTGATCGGTTTCGCCCTACTCGCAGGGTGCATACAATATCTCCATCCTGATATCATGCAGAGGATCGGCGATCTCATCATCTCAACGGCAGAAATACGCATGGAGGATGAAGTATTCGCCTACATGATGTACTGGATCTCCCGCCAACCCCATATGAAACGTACTAGCCGATTTCTCGCCGCTATCAAATTCAAGCACGACCCCTGGGACGATTCCGATGACAGTGATAGTGAAGGTGAAGCCAGCGACGATGAATGCTGGGACGAGTCAGAAAGTAAATTGACCACCTTCGACGATTACTGGGCCAAAATGATGAACCGAGACAAGTACAAGGCCATCAATTTCACCCCATCCGAAGGCTCTCACTACTTCCGGTACCGGGGCCGTCTCATCAAGCTTCGTCGTAAACAGGAAAGGAGCACATCTCGCGATCTTGGCAGAAGTGAGCGACTGTGGCTATCATGTTTTGGAAAGAACCCGGAAATTCTCAGACAGCTGTTGCTAGAAGCACAAAAGACCTACATCGAGCGCGATGGTAACCGCACTCTGATCTACCGTGCAAGGCGCTATTATGAGCGCGATTTCCACTGGATGAGATGTATGTCGCGGTCACCGCGTCCGTTATCAAGCGTCATTCTCGAGCAGGCACAGAAGCAGGAGTTTGTCGATGATATGCGTGAATACCTTCACCCGCACACTCGCCGTTGGTACTTTGATCGTGGAATTCCGTACCGTCGTGGGTATCTGCTACACGGTCCCCCTGGAACTGGCAAAACGAGTCTTTGCTTTGCGGCAGCGGGATTGTTGGGATTGAAGCTCTATTTGCTGAATCTGAAAATGAATGGGCTGGATGAGGATTCTATGTGTTCGTTATTTGGGGACTTACCACGGCGTTGCATCGTGTTGCTCGAGGACATTGACACTGCGGGAATTACCCAAACTCGAGGCAAAACTGTTACCCCTCGGGATGCGGATGATCATGTCGTTCCTGCCTCCGAGACAGAGAGTTCTACTGAAAATGTCTCTGATGACTCTTCGAGAAATAGCATCACTTTGTCTGGACTGCTGAATGTGATTGATGGAGTGGCTGCTAGCGAAGGTCGGATCCTCGTCATGACGACCAATCACCTTGACAAGCTGGATCCAGCTCTTCTCCGTCCAGGCCGCGTGGACATGTCCATCGGCTTCGGGTATATGTCGGAGAATGATATCAAGGAGCTTTTTGCATCGATGTACAAGTTGAACGGAAGTGATCGACCATGCGCATCAAATGGCCAACAGCAAGTCAAGGGGGAGGTACAAAACGACGAGAATGCGACAAGAAAAGGGGAAAAGCGAGATATTTCACTCGATACTCAAACTTCTGATCTCTGCGCCTCATTCTCCCAGGTGATCCCAAGCGGCGAGCTTACTGCTGCGGAGATTCAAGGATACCTGCTAAACCACAAGGACAAACCCGAAGCCGCAGTCGCAGGGGCCGCGAAATGGGTTGAAGAGATGCAGAAGAACAGGAAAAATTAAGAGCAAGATAGAATAAAGGATCATCAATAAAATTTCTGCGATACAAAAGGGAACAAGTCTACGGAAGAATGTTTGAAAATCATTTTTACCCCGGAATTACCAAATCAACAATCATTCTTACCACTATGATCATTGCAATTTAAATATAGACATCAATTAAATAGCCAAGATAATTCGCGGTAATTCAATGGTTACATAGAGATATCCACAAAGTAAGACTGACTCGCTCGTAAGTGGCCTGATCCTTTCTAGAGTATTGGCTTGCCCAACCAGCCACGGATAGATTCTCCGTGTGGTCTTTGCGCTCAGGCTTCCAGAATCCCGCACTAATCCTGCTTAGGATGGTCATTACTGGGACCAACCGACAGGAACCATTCGCTCATGCATATAATATCTCTTGCCTTCCGCCCCGCGCTTTGCTTCCCCCGATTTTATGCGGCTGTATGACCTTTTTTGTTTCGAGTCGTTCAAGTTCCCGAAGGATACTGTGACGCCAATGTGCCAACCCTGCCCATGGCTTGAATCGGTGCCAATGGCATGAATACATAACAGCAGATTATCTGTTGGAACTAGACCGACTTTCTATCGCAGATAATACCTAGAATCTCGCTTGGTTCGGTCCGGCTTCGACGGGTACATTCAATTCAAACATCATGTCACCACCCCCAGAAGGAGAGAATTTTGATCATCTCATCACCGGGAATGAAGTCAGCTACATATCAACCCAGAAAAAGCGCTCTAATTCAGATGCGACGGAATACCCTAGAAGAAGGGCAACAATTGCTGTAAGCACTCATGCTCCTCTCGCTCCGCCCGGGCGTGTGCCAGAGCCAGTGTATACAATCTGGATTCGACCAGCTAACCCACGCAGTGCCAGATATGCCGACTACGCAAGACAAGATGCAACGGAGCTCGGCCAAAATGCCAGCTCTGCTCAGATCTTGACGCCGAATGCGTATATCGCGAACCAGGAATCAAACTCGACGCAGGAGACAAATTGATCCTCGACCACCTAGCCAGAATCGAAGGCCTCCTTCATTCTAGCTTAATGGGCCCAGGCCAAAGATCACATCGATTAGCCTTATCCTCAACATCCCCAGCAACAAGCAACGACACCAATCTCGCCAACGAAGACCTGCTGATACCCAAAATCCCTAATAACAAGCTCTCAGCAGCAGGACTCGGCTCGTGGGTCAATCCGCCCCAAAACATCAGTATTTCCACAATGCCAAAGGTCCACACCACACCGGCATTGCATCTTCTCCAATGGCCACTTATCCGAGACTTAGTCTCGCGACCCTACGATCCGCAGAACTTGCTCCAACTCGAAATGGCCCGGGAACCGCTCCGCATGACGCCAAGCCCTACTGGCGTCGGAGTCCTCGATTTAGCAAATGCGCCAGCCTACGTACGAGCCTTCTTCAGCCACGCAAATATCTGGTACGCGTGCGTCAATCCATACACCTGGCCGCGATACTACCGGACCGCGCTCGGCAAAGGATTTCAAGACGGCCCTGTCAGTTGTCTGGTACTGCTGGTGTTGGCACTGGGGGCAGCGAGTCGGAATGGCAGTATTGCTTTTATTCCGAAAGATACGCAGGCGCCTGGCCTTGCGTATTTTGCGGCGGCGTGGAATCTCTTGCCGTCGGTCATGATGCGGAATTCGGCCATTGCGACACAGTGCATGGTTCTTGCTTCGGCGTACTTGTTTTATCTGGTGCGTCCTTTGGAGGCGTGGACTTTGTTGTCGAATGTGAGTATGAAGTTGCAGTTGCTTTTTGGAAATCCGAGTCGTGTTCCTGCGCAGTGGAAGGAGCTCAGTGTGAGGGTTTATTGGAATGCTTTGCTTTATGAAAGTGATCTCCTGGCGGAGCTGGATCTTCCACATTCTGGAATTGTGCATTTCGAGGAAATTGTCGATCTACCTGGAGGGTTTGAGGAGGAAGAAGATGACGATGACGACGAAGATTATGATGATAACGGGGAATTAATTCATGACGACAATGCCAACGAGGATCGGGATCATCACCACATGACTGAAATGCTATCGAATGGACAAGGACAACAAGCAGGCCGAGACGAGCTCTGGTACTTCCTATCAGAGATCGCCCTGCGAAGACTCCTTAACCGAGTCAGTCATCTCATCTACCAAAAAGACAGCTCCCACACCCTCTCGTCACTCGGACCGATAGTTTCAGAACTGGACTTCCAACTATCACAATGGTACGAGAGTTTACCCCAACCAGTGCAATTCCCCCTCACACAATTACCATCCAACAACCCAGTTCAAACGGTCCTTAGACATCGCTACAACGCCTGCCGCACAATCATATACCGCCCATACATCCTCGCCGTATTCGAAAACGAATCCGTCGGCGCAGACAACGAGGTCCTAGAATGCTGTCGAAGATGTCTTGATTCAACGCTGCGCCAACTAGAACATATTACCAGTCACCGCGAAGGACATCTTCCGTATCTATGGCAAGGTGCGCTCTCGATGGTATCACAAGCCCTGCTTATCATGGGCGCTACGATGTCGCCGACTCTTTCGACTTTGCTTCCGCCTCCGTTGAGAGTTGATGCGATTATCTCGGGGGTTGTGGTTGAGGTCGAGAGATACTCGCACTTAGCGCCGAGCTTGAAATTGTCGGCGGATATTATTCGTGATGCGGAGCGAAGACGTCAGATTTGGTTGAGGTCTGCAGGGCAGAGATTATTTGAAAGCTGAGCGGGTCGGCTTACCTTCTGGATGCAATTCACAAGCTCAACTCTATAGACTCTCGTTATAAATAGGATGTAAATTTTCGACGGACTACTGATTATGTTTGTCCCTTCTGGAAGCACCAACAACTCCCAAGCAGGTAAGGTTGGATTCCAACGGATCATGAACTGATCAACGGTTGAAATGCAAAACTTCAATCTTTCAACAATCTTTCGCCGCAGGCAATAAACCTTCCATGGGTTCAGCGTTTAAATTGTGTTGGAAAGGCCGATTGCCAATTCCACGAGCTTTCAGGTTACGAATGATGTGAACAAGGGTTTTCGGAATGCCGGAGTCATAGAAGCGGGATACTCAAACAATTAACCTTTGTCAGGTTCATCTCTAAATTTCGTGTTATCGTAAGGAAGATGCTGGCATCCACATTCCGCATCAGAGTGGATGGTCATGGAGAGGTCGAAGGAATTCTACTATGTGATCTGCGGGAATTGTGCATAACTTCAATGCTTCTTGCTGCGCTTCCTTGGCGGTCTATAAATCGGAGTCTGGCTATTGTCATTTTCAGAACGGAGAGCAGTTGACAGCGAAATTTCTCCGCATTCGCTCACTCCTGCTCTACGCCCATTTTCGACTGCGAGTGAGAGCGGTGCGCCGCTGACATCTTCAGAACCAACAATGATATTCTGTTCAAGAAGTGACTTCGCACGAACTAGCTTCTCCACTACATTGGGCCAGTGCATATATCTTTGCGCAAAGAAGAGCGGAGTTCGGCCAAAAATATCGACCGAATTGATATCTGAATTCCACTCAAGTAGCAACTGCACCAGTGCGTCGTGCCCCTTTTCGGCCGCATAAGAGAGTGGAATTCGGCCAAATTGATCTTGACAATTGACATCTGCTTTCCGCTCGAGCAGTAGCGTCACCACTGTGACGTGATTGTTAATGACCGCCCATGAGAGCGGAGTTCGACCGCAATCATCTTGAGAATCAACATTGATATTATTCTCAAGTAGCAGCTTGACCACTGAATTGTGCCCATTTCTAGCCGCCAATGAGAGTGGAGCCCGACGGAATATATCAAGAGTGTTGATACATGAATTCCGTTCAAGCAGTAGCTGTACCACTGCGTCGTGCCCATTTTCGGCCGCGAATGAGAGTGGAGTTTGGCCGGATTGATCTTGACAATCAACATCTGCCGTATGATCAAGTAAAAGCTGTACCAATGTTTTATGCCCATTTGTGGCCGCCAATGAGAGTGGAGTTTGGCCATCTCTAATTTGGCTATTTATATCTGCTTTTTGCTCAAGCAGTAGCTGCACCACTGCGTCATGCCCGTTTTCGGCCGCAAATGAAAGTGGAGTCTGACCATATTGATCTTGACAATTGACATCTGCTTTCTGTTCAAGGATTCTTGTTGTCAATTTATCAAGTCCAAAGTATGCTGCAAGGTGCAAACCTGTCATCTTCGTTTCAGCGTATTCGAGGTAAGAATTTTTGAGATATACCATAGCCTGGCTACAGACGGATACTTTGGATGTGTCTTGGAGAAAGTCCAGTATCAATCGATTGTTTTCAATCGGGGAGTTTCTGGCATGGTATCCCCAAGTTTCCACGGCATAGCCATATAGAACAGTCGTTTCAAATCTCGTACTCAAATCATTCTCCGTTAGGCGGTATCCGGTTTCAAAAACGTCGAATGACAAGAAAGTGATGCAAGATCTGGCAATTTCGGCGTGGGCGTTAGAAACCCATTCTTGCTTGGTCTGCACAAAGTACTCCTGTGTACTATAGTGTACCAAACGTATGATGCTACTTTCATCATCGATAGTTATCAATCCCAAGCAGACTGATACAATGTCTTCAATATGTGGCAAATCTCCGTCGTCAAGCTGGAACTGCCCTTGCTTTATTGCCACGGCATACTGAAGCTCTGGTATGCTGAGCGGCCGCTTTGCGCAGGTGATCCATGACAAAACCTTCGCTGCCAGTTGTTTCAAACCTGGCCGCTGTTGATTAATCCTTTCCATTACCTGATCATAGGCACGACTCAGTATCTCACTCTTGTCTTCACTCGATCCTCGATTTTGCTTCTGAAAGCTTTTCAACGACTGCCGGATATCATTCGTGGTCAACTTGTCGTCGAGAAAACCAAGATAAATTTGTGCTAACAGAAACATTCCATCGACTGCTTCTGAGATAGCAGTCTTTATCTCCTCCTGCAGTTGGCGATTCTTGATAACACAAGGTCGCAGCTGGCTCATGCGGCTTTCCAAGTACATTCTCACGTCCTCGTCAGTCGCACGGATTTCTAACGATAAGGCGTCTTTGAATCGATCCATAATTTCCGATATGAACCGCGATGTCACAAAGATATTTGCACCATGTTGCACTTGGAGGTTGAACATCTCTGATACGAAATGCAGCCGCTCAGATTCCTGGCACTCGTCAAGCGCATCAACAAGAATGAAGAGTTTCGAGAATCTCGCCGCTACACTGAGGAGAACTCTGGAAATTTCTTCGGCTGACGGTCGCGTTCTTCTGTCTTCATGGTGGTTGTAGAGCTTTCTGACACTAGTGGGCAGAGGCTGGCACTGCCCAGCTAGCTGCTTGAGCAAGCTTGCCAGCAAATCGTTGCTCGTCTGATTCTCTTGTCGTTTATAGTTGCAGTAAACATAAGCAATACCCATTTCTGGGTCTGCTTGAAACTCCTGGTCAAGATAATCGATCACAATAGAGCTGATGATCGTTTTTCCAGCGCCAGGCATTCCAGGACAAAACATTGTCTGGCCTTTAGTTTTCTTCCATATTTCAAACTGTGTTGAATTAAGAAGCCACTGGCCTGTTCCGTGTTGTCTCCTTCTTAAGAAATCACTTTGTTGAGGGCCATAGTTGATCGGCGTAATCCAGTTAACTATCTCTAGTTCTTGCTTTTGCTCTAGATGGCTTCTTATCTTCTGAACATTTGCCCCAGATTGGGATACAACCTCGAGAACTAAATTCATATCAATCCACATTAGGCCACAGAACTCAGTAAAAGGTCCTAAGATTGACTCACCCTGTCCAACTATTTCTTTCACTGGCCGCTCTCCCTCAATATCAGTTGGCTGCAAAAATGCCAGAAACTCCTTGGCAAATGCTGCCGCAACAACCGCAGCATATTCCTGCCAATCCTTGTTCTTGTGTGAGTCTGCATAGTCACAGATTCCTCGAATGACGATACACGGGAAGTTGTTCACCAGACCCGCTGCCTCCATCTCAATACATAGGAGATTACCACCGAGATCTTTGTTGAGTTTGTTTCGGAGAGTAGCGTCCTTGATGACCTGGTTTCCAGATGCAATCAGGCCGAAGTGCACAGCCATTTCTCTCGGCTTTCTCTTCACAATCTTTGTTTTATCGCAAAGTCGGCAGCTTTCTTCTTCTTCATCATCATCATCATCATCCTCATCCTCGTCTTCGTCAACATCGGAACTATTATCAAGATCTTTCAAGGCAGCCTCGCTCGCATGCCCATAATCTGCTTTGAATAATACATCTTGCAAATCAGACGGCAGGTATTTAGATACAAGCTTCGGCCACTTCTCCCTCAACTCCTCCAAGTACTCCGGTATCTTCGAGCCGACCAAATCATGCTCCGTTTCCAAAGCTGTCAGGGCCGTAAGCAGAGACGTAGGCGGATTGTTCAGCGATCCAGTCCGTTCGAAGCTGCCACCTTCTTTCGCCTTTCCAAGATCCCATTGCACCACACCAGGAAACTGGCCCACGGGTGTGCTAACAACCACATCACCGAGTCTGACCTTAGGCGGAACGCCGCCACCGATACCGACCATCAGGCCGAATTTTATGGATGGAAAGGTCGAGATCATCCAGGTTGCAACACTTGCCGCCGAGTTATTGCCAATCTGACCCTTGGGCAGGCAGGCTATGACAACGTTGTGATTGCCAATAGATCCAAGGGTGTACGTATTAGGATCATTCTTCGGCTTTGGAAGCCCGGCGTGCCTTCGATCCAGCATTGCTGTTGCCGCGGTCTGCTCTTTCGGCAAAGCACATACCCACCCCACGGTATACTCATCGTGGGTTTTGGGCCCGGGATCCATTTGTGCGGTCATTTAGGATAGCTGGGCTAGGCTTTTGGGCGACCTAAAGTTAACGTCAGTCAGGCTCCGGTCGATCACAGTGTCACTACTCACGGGTACGGCCAAGCCCCTCACAGAGAAATTGTTGGAAACAAGCGAAAAGGAGAAAGCTCTCATGAAATTCGCTTTCCTCGCCTAGTTATGAGCTAAGTGTATTCAGCCTCAGGGGTCGTGCCACGTCAGACCTGCATGCGGGGCTCGAATTCATGCGCTATAATCTGCATCCCCTTCCCCCACCATTAGATTGCATTGAGATCTGTCTATTTCATATCAGCATGGTCGATAGTACTTGAAGGACCGTGCATCAAAATGCCGTTACCTACCTAGGTAGGTACAAGTATAAATCTAGATCTAATTAGTAGATGAATTCACTTGGTATTGAGAATTCACTTCCGCACTTGCTGATCATAGCAAGACTCTTCAACAAGGACCATTCGACTCGCTTCTTTGAAGTCGCTCAGTTTAACCGCGCTGATATATGAGATTAATCAGCAGAGAACTCTTCTGAGTACCAAAGGGAACCTTCAAATTGCAAAGTATCACGCTTTTTGAGTAGCGTCCTTGAACATTGCATTATACCATCTATGTTAGTTAACTGGGATCAATTTAGCCATGGATCATCTAGCAGCTGCCTCGCAGTCCTGCGTTCTTCCAGCAACTACTTAAGCATCGACCTAAGAAAATGAATGAATGCTGCCTTCTCAGTGCCAGAAAATCGCGTCTTCAGACTTTCCAAGGAAACCGGCGGCACAGCCGCCTCTCCATGCGTAATCCAAGAACCTGCAATCATGAAAAATTCCCGAGTTAGGATTGAATGGAACCTGATCGAAAACAGAGGCGACTGCGCTTACCATTAGGATCAAAACACTGATTTGTTAATCCACTGCGCCGGAGTAAATCCGGCGGCGGTGGCCCAATCAGCGCAACCATAAATGCTAGGTGTTTGAACGGATCGTGGCGGCCATTAGCATCGAAGATATCTTCGAATAGATATACTCTTTCGAAGAGATCCCAGGTCTGACCATCATTAGTAAAATACTCAATATGGAGCGGAGTGCGCTTAGATTTCACTTACCAGAGCCCCCACGTTCCAGATATCAACCGCGCTTCCCCAGGGCATCTCGAATATGACCTCCAGGGCCCGGTAGATATGTGGCTGGACGAAAGGACCAGTCTTGTGTGTCTTTCCAATCTTTGCCTCTCCGAGATTACAAAGCATAGGCAGACTGTATCTATGCTTTGATCGGCGGAATTTCCGACTTTTGTAAATGGTGCGCGATTTGTTTTCTTTTTTCGCGGGCTCGGGTGTTCGGTCTCTTCGTCTGCGAAGTCGTAGAGCAGTGTTTTGTCTTCCAGGCTGAGCATCATGTTGTCGGTTTTCGGATCTGATCAAGTTCCCTCAAGTTAGACAGGGTTTATATCGGGTTTGAAGGAGAGAGCAGTCCCGTACCGGTGTGAACAGTGTCTGCAGATGTGCGCCGACGCGAGGGTGGAAATGATGAATCTGCCCCCCTACTCGCCGGATTTAAATCCGATCGAGGAGTTTTTTGCTGAGCTGACGAGCTTTATCAAACGTAACTGGAGTTACTTCGAGGCTGATCCCGATCAAGATTTTGATGTATTTCTAACGTGGTGTATTGATGTTGTCGGTGCAAGAGGAAAAAGTGCAAAATGTCATTTTCGACATGCAGGCTTCAAGATCGAGGAATTCTCCGGGAGGGGCTAGTTGTGGACCATATTGAGGAGCTTTCCATGCGCGCTTTAGACATGCATATTTTCATTGTAACTCCCGTAAGATATTATATCTAAGAATTAAGTTAAGACCCATCAAGAACTTGTCTCGTTGACGCTCTCGCAGATTTCTCAAAAAGGTAATAAAGGTCAAATTTGTCCTGGCCTCACCTTATTCAATTACTAGGAACAGTTCTATCACCCCATTACTCAGACAGGGCTTTCGAAAAAGGTGGGACATATCCAGGGATCTGGCTTGATCCACAGACACCACTACGAACGTACATGTCAAGAATACATACCCCAGTTTGTCCAATAGATGTTTACACAAGGAATAAAGGTCGGGCAATGAATAGTATATCAATCTCTTCAATTCGACAGTACAGGCGATTTGCCAATCCAATCAGATTCTTCTGATAATTGGTCGATTACCCAAACTGCCAAGCTTGCTCTGGATAAGAACATCCCATCGCTGCCAGTTCCTGTGTATGAAGCTTTAACAGCCGCACTAGGACCATTATTCAGGAAGGGTACTCTGAATAAGGTCCATCTCAGCTGCGAGATATCCTGAGAGGTCACGAACGAGCCAAGTCCATGGAACTCACTATAGGCTGATCCACCTATGAGCTTGACAAGTATAATTGATGCTTTCCACTTGAAAGCGCCTTTATCTTGTGGTGCGGGGAAGGAGCACGTTCCCAGCACCGTTGCTCTTTTGTAGTGGTTGGCCACTAAGATAGGGAAGATGCGTTTCATAGCATCAGTAACAGGCTATAATACTTCATCAATAAATGGAATCGGCTGTTTGAAAATGCGAGACGAAAGAAGGGTGAGTCCATTAGTAACGCACCGTTCCTTTAGAGTTCATAACTGGTCCTGCGAATGAGACAAAAACAGTGGGACCGGAAGCTGCCGCTAGCTGGAAACTCGACATATCTTCCAGCGTACCTTTTACCACTGAGACATTCGCATGATTGCTTATTTCGGCAGGAAGCTTAGCTGGGTTCCGCACATAAAGGGTTAACTTTTGCCCTTGTGCTAGTGCGGTTTTGCAGAATTCTAAGCCGGATAGACCTGGCATGGGATTAGAAATTCAACCACAAGATAGGAATTGCAATAGAAGAAAATTTACCAGTGGCTCCAATAACCAAAATATGGATTGTCGCCATCTCCCGGCAATTGCGTATCTTGCTGAAACGAAACTAATAGGTCAGCATCAAATATTCTTATATATCATCTAAACTGGAAGCGGAAATGCGAACGAGCGATGCCGAGATCCGGGGCCCGTCGGTTTTAGATGCTTCCGGCCCCGGATTGATAATAGGTCATGAGAATGACAAATCAGCTATCACTACCCCGTACCAGGGCATAAAATACAGTCTGACTGGGGTTCCTGGGGTATGGCTAAAGTTAGAGTGTGTTTCAAAATAGGGTTGGGGAATGAAAGTCTAAGAGTGTGGAGGTAAATATGATTTCGAATATTACTGTAGCTTTCGAATTTTCCTTTCCTGACGCTGTTTCCAATCTCCCCACTGTTCATTCCAGTTTCCTTTGTCATGAAACACGTCTGCAATGTGTACGGGATAGTACTGTTCCTTATCGTAGTGAGGTAACCTCTCTTCCTCGATCTGCTGGTCCGCAGGCAACTCGACAAATGGTCTTTGAGATCTTTTTTCAAAGGGACGCAACGCTTTCATCAAGATGGCCTTCAAGACACTTAGGCGTGGAGCCATATCTGGTGCCGCCTGATGCCTGAAGAAAAGGACTTGGAATGTCTGGGATGAGTTGTGGTCTGAGGCAGCAACAAGAGTGACAAACGGCCAAGAAAATAAGCCAGCTTGCACTAACTACTATACGGTCTATACGGAGAGGAAGCAGGGATTAAAGTGGAAATGAATAAATACAATCCTATTTCATGGCAATTATGTTCTTTCTTCAAATCATATCTCAACGGCGAATCATGGTATCTTAAAAGACATGGCAGGGGGTGAAGTTAGGTGGGTGAGTGAATATGGACGTGAAAGGAATATTCGCATCAAAAGATCTCAGCCATAAGGCGGGGACGATTTGAGTTTGGTAGTAGGGGGGGGATATGTGAAAGCCTCTATCAGACTAAATCAACACCCACTCACTACCACGCTTGATGAACTTATCAAGCATAAGTCCCACATCAGCCAAGGCAAAGCGACAGATGTAGAAGCCGAAGAACTCGGCCGCGTGTCTGGTGCTGAGTTCCAGACCGACGTGGGTTGGGGAGGAGTGCTTGAGTCCTGGATCTTCGACTTGTTGGGCGATTTGATCTGTGATGGTCAGAAGATGATTAAAAAAGATTCGATGTTGGTGCTTGCCACATACCTATAACTTGAGCAGCATCGAACAGACGCGCCAACGCACTCATGTACTGTGAATTGGGGCCCGTAAATTCAAGTTGACTCGTGTTGCGCTTCACATATGACGATGGAGCCGATGTCATGGGCAGGGAACTGAGATTGAAGCTATCCTTGGCACTTTCGCGACCGCTAGGTGGGGTGGGCGTGCTTGTACCGGCGCTAATACCTGAGGTCTTTGCCCGGAGACGTTTCCAGGTGGGTAGATAGGATTTGTTCGAGGTGCCAGATGTTCTGGAGGGTGCAGGGTCGGGGTGGGCGGCATCCTCAGTTGCTGCGCCCGGACGGACGATTGGAATCGCTGTGTGGACGCCGACTTCGTTGCCTAGCTTCTTGGAGAGAACGCCTTGTACTTGATCAAGGATTGTCTCTAGCGCTTGCATCTCTTCCAACACTGCATCCGCGTCGTAGGTGTCGACCTGGGCGAGCTTGAGTAGTGCCGCAGTCAGTTGATCGCAGTTGGCGATCTTGTCTTCAAGGGCCTTCAGTTTCACGTTCTTTACGCGCCAGACGTCTCGGGGGATGAAAAGCTTTGCGGAAAGGTAGCCGCCGTGGGGGTGGGCGATTGTTTGGTATAGACATCTCATAAGCCAGAATGGACGGGATAGGAAGGATTCGGGGCAAGGCTCGAGTTGTTGGGGCGCGTTGGCTATCATCGTGTTTGGACAGCCCAGGCTGGTAGGTGAATGGATATCACAGTCGAAGAGGTTCAGACCACCGGTAGGCAATCCATTCTGGGTGAAGAATGAAGCAGTTGGTGTGGGTAGGACTGGCATGGTGCCGGGAATAGCAGCCTTTTGAGTATCCAAGGATGGAAAAGAACCGCTCCACGGGGTGGTAGGGGAGCCGGGCGTTATCTCAGGGTTGGGAACAGAGACATTGCGCGTTCGGAATGTCTTTGAATCGGATCCGACCTTGTGTAGTCCGTCTGGGGCCGAGGGTATCTTTCCAATAGTTCGAGGTAACGGAGGAAGATGCTCGTCGTCTTCCTGGGTGCGTGTTTTGGCGAGGTGGATTTGTTCTGCAATAGAGCCAACGGATGGATTGCGTTTCGAAGGATGCAAGCTGGATCGCGATGTGGTTCTGGAGTGTTCGGGTGTTGGGTCGTCCTTGGGAAGAGGCGGAGGAGGCCGACTTGCTGAGGGTGTTGTTGATAGAGGATCCAGACCAGAAGCGTCGGAATCCGCACGAGTGCGATTCGTCTCAATCTTCAACTCTGTGGGTGGCTGCTTGGAGAGTCTTCGCGCGCGCACTCCTGGGATTGGAGGAGGGCCCATTGTAGGAGGTGGAGGAGGGTTGGTCAACGAGGCGCGGTGTGGTGGGAGACCTGGGAAGTCTGATGACACTGGAACTGGGGGCAACGCAGCAGTTGGTGGGGAGGAAGGTAAGTTGCTACGTGGTCCTCCTGGTCCATCGAAAGGCAAAATGTCTTCGTCTTCAGTGAGGGTGGACAGTGTAGCGCCGGTGCCTGTGATGTTTGAACCAGCCGAGCTTTCCCAAGTTCTGCCTGACATGTTGCTCGAGTCAGATTCCCGAGGCAACGCGGACTTGGATTGAATGCCAAATTCAAAATCGTCCATTACATAGCCCTTGGTCATTTCTTCAAGAAGACGTTCCTCTTCCTCTGCCTCATCATCCAAGTAACCAGAATGACGATCCACAGGCTGCTCATCGAACATATTTTGTTCCTGGGCTCGGCGCATTTCACGACCACGATTCATTGCAACCTCCGCCTCGAGCTCGGCCTCCCGAACCCGCTGTTTCGCCAGTTCGATATTTCGGCGGGCATTGGCCACAATATCGTCGCTTTCTTCATCATTGTATTCGATCACAGGCTCCAATCCATCATCATAGGCAGCTTCAACGGCTGCATCGAGAGCCGCATCAAACTCAGCCTCGGTATCGGTGCTAAGACGACGGCTTGTGCGTCGACGCAAGTATACCGATGATGCTTTCGAGTTCGCAGACGACGGAGAAGATGCTCCTGATTCGTCGATTGTGTCCAGCCACGAAGAAGGCTCATTTGTTCCTTGCGCAGACGTATCCAAGTATTGACCATTGAAAGATGGGTTTCCAACGCTGGAGGGAGTCGATCTGCCAGATTGGCCAGTAAGTCGTAAGGATTGACGACGGGGTGGAATGGCCTCTGCTGGCAATGATTTCATCTCGTCAACGGCCGCTTGCAGAGAAAGGCTGGAATTCGTTGAGTTATGTTGACTATTCGGGTTTGATTCGTCGTGCGTGGAGGCATGAAGTAATTCTCCATATGACTCCTGGCTCAGAGGGCGCTCTGGAAGAGCTTTGCCGGCGCTATGGGGAAGGGGCAAGTCCATGCGTTCGAGTTCCGTAATTCTGATCATATAAGTATCGCGCTGTACTTGGTTAGCCTTTCTGTCCATCTGTGGCTCCTGGTCAATCCCAAGACTTACGATTTCCTGCAGCTTGAGTTTCTCTTCATCGCCTCCATTACTCCGCATCATCACTAGCTGCAGTAATTGGCAGGCATCCGTGTATGCTTCCATCGCACCTTCAAAATTGGCCGCGTTGTCGAGAAGTACAGCGGTATTCGCCTTCTGGAGTGCTTTTGAGAGCATGGCTTTCTGAGTTTGGCCATGTTTCACATTTTCCGCATCGGCATCGCCTTCTCCATCCGCCGAGGTAGCACCGTCGCTTGTGCGCGCTGCATTGAAAGGTGTAGAGCCCGATTCCTGAGTATCGTTGGGCGGAGAACTTTGAAAGATGTGACTTGAAGCGGTAAAAGATAGATCCAGGTGGGTGTTGTTTGGGGCTGGCGCAAACATGTCGGACGCCCTGAATTCAGGAAGACTTAATTCAGGGAGCTCCCCGAGAGCGGCTCCCGAACGTGGGCTATGGCCCGCGATGGACATTTTCGAGCTGCCTCGACGGTGACCGGTAGTATATTCAGATGGACTCTTGCTCGAGGCTGTCGACTGTGACCATCGGTTTAAACTTCCCAGACCCTCTTTGATTGGACTGGCGCTGCTGAGTCCAACTGGTGAGACTTCTGGGACATTATTCTCCTTCACCATGCCGAGCCCCGTCGGCGTCACAGCCCTAGAGGTCTTCATCATGCGAGTTCGAGAGCCTGGCCGGGAAGACCGAGAAGCGGGCCGATTAGGGGGCGGTGCCGACGGGGGTTCTGAGAGGGGTCCGGAGGGATTTCGGTGGAAGGCTCTGGGATCATCGTCCACGGCCGAACGGTGTAGCATATTTTCGTATACAATTAGGGATTAAAATGGGCTAGACGTATAGACCAGGCATGGAGGAGTGGAGGATCGGCGTGCAGGATATATGGAGGGTGTAAGCGGTGCTACTCGCGCAAGACCGGGCGAGAAATTAAAACTGTATAGGAAGAAGCGGGTTGAGCGGCGTCAATCATCCTTCATTCGGGGGATGAATGGGTATAATGAGGGCGGGAGGAAGTTTCGTGAGAACAATCGAGGCCGTCTTAACGCATCACTTCATATAGAACGGGAGATTCCGAGATCTATCGCGAGGCAATCGCGGACTGCAGAAGCATAAGTTTCGTTCGCACACAATTGATCTATCGCTGCCAATCAAGTGAAGGTTAGCATTTTCGCGCATATATAGATGAAGAGGAATCACTCACCTAGAGATCAGATAGTCCCGTGAGTCAACAAGAAAACTGCGAATGTGGTCGCAATTGTGCGAAGGAGTTCAGGGGCCGCGGTCCCGCGCTTCAGGGGTGGTCCGTGAGAGGGCGGTGGGAGAGATAGAAAAGAATGCGGGGAGAGGGGAGAGGGGAGTCAAAGATATTTTAAGGAATAGGGACAGGAATAAGAATGATCAGGATAATCATGAGATTTACAGAGAAGGATCAAGGGGAGAGAATGATCTTCTGGGCTGGGCGGGGGGGGCAAAAATTGAAAAAGGGGGGTGACGGGGTGTTTGTCCCTAGCGCTGAGAGTGTATACATCGTAACCAGGAGAGACATCCATGGATAGATACACCCAGGTGATTATGAAAAGCGACCTATGGGATGCGCACAATGATTATCTGGTCTTTTTATTGCATTGATTTGTGTGTGAATGCTGCTATCTCCAATATAATTCTGTTGATAAGAGGGCTATATCATGATACTATTGGGAGATTCTTAGTTCACTGTTATAAAGCTTACGGTACGGAGTACTCAAATATGATATGTTATACATTAGAACCTTAAATCTCTGAATAAGGTATAAAGGATTCTTGAAATTGATTCCTCCAAAAGTCTACTTAATCAACAACATTCTTGCGACTAGACTGATCGAACTGCAACACAACACGCTTAGTGCCGGCAACTCCGAAGGGGGGAAAAAGAAAAAAACTACAACGCCGCGACTCCACACATCCATGGAAGCAACCAGATGAATTCCAGCTTCTTTTCCCCGCGTATCCTTTCCTTTTTCTCTTTCTCATTCTCCACCACAGCTGTCACTGCTCGTCCTACACAAGTCCAATTCTTCCGCAGGATGGCGACCACAGTCAACCCGCGTGATCCGAACACGCTAAGCAACTACAACAATTGGCGCTCTGCTCATATCACCGCCAACTTTGAGATCCTCTTCGATCAGAAGAAGCTCGTCGGAAATGTTGTGCACAAGTTTCGCTCCACAACTGAGGCCCAGTCCAAGGAGATCATCCTAGACACAAGCCATCTCGACATCGGTGAGGTCAAGGTGGATGGCCAAGCTTCCAAGTGGGAGCTGCTGGCCCCGCTGGAACCCTATGGTACCCCGCTCAAGATCAGTCTTGAGAAAGGTGTGCAGCTGAACGAGACTATCGAGGTGGATGTACGTTCTCCTGCTCGCGAAGGGCATCCCTTGAGAGAGAGGGTGTCGTATGACCTCAGTATCAAACTAATCCCGCGCCCCCGCAGATTTCCGTCAAGACCACTGACAAGTGCACTGCGCTTCAATGGTTGACTCCTGCTCAAACTTCTAACAAGAAGCACCCGTATATGTGTAGGTCACCAGGTCACCGATCCAAATCATTTGGCTGGAATCCCGTCTTAACGCCTGTGTAATTAGTCTCGCAATGCCAGGCCATCCATGCCCGCTCCATCTTCCCCTGCCAGGATACTCCCGATGTCAAAAGCACCATTGACTTTAACATCACCTCGCCCCTGCCAGTCAAGACTAGTGGATTGCTGATCAAGGAATCTCACCCGACGACCGAGTCTGGAAGCCAGCTTTACCGCTTCAACCAGTCGGTCCCGATTCCCAGCTATCTCTTTGCCGTTGCAAGCGGGTAGGATTCTTCCTTCTTGAGTCACTCAAGTCAAAAGATACACTGCTGACCTCTATCCTAGAGATGTCTCGGAAGCTTCGATTGGTCCTCGCAGTGTCGTGGCTACGAGCCCAGACAAGCTTGACGAGTGCAAGTGGGAGCTTGAAGCTGACACAGAGACTTTCATCAACACCATTGAGGTATGCATTCAAACATCTCGTCTCAATTCTCAATTCTCAAGTCTAATGGGCTGTATAGAAAATTGTCTACCCCTACGCTTGGGGCCAGTACAATGTTTTGATTCTCCCACCCAGCTTCCCCTACGGTGGAATGGAGAACCCAATTTTCACCTTTGCTACTCCCAGTATTATCTCAAAGGTTTGTCCCCAGTAATAATCCCCGATATTTGACTCTTTCCCTGAAGCTAATTGATGGAAAGGACCGTGAAAACGTCGATGTCATCGCGCACGAGCTCGCCCACAGCTGGAGTGGTAACCTGGTGACCAATTGCTCCTGGGAGCATTTCTGGTTGAACGAGGGCTGGACTGTGTATCTTGAGAGACGGGTATGTAATAATCATCACAACGTCGATCCACCTATTCTTGCTAACCAAACCCTTCCTAGATTCTGGCCGCCATGTACGTTCGCCTAAGCTGTCAACTGACCAAGCTTAGTAAACTAAAACTAACTTGAATCTTTACAGTCACGGCGAGGCATACCGCCACTTCTCGTCCATTATCGGATGGAAGGCTCTCACCGACTCCGTGGACCACTTCGGCCACGACCACGAGTTCACCAAATTGATCACTGACCTGAAGGGCAAGGATCCCGATGACGCTTTCTCCAGCGTCCCCTACGAGAAGGGCTTCAACTTCCTCTTCCACCTAGAGAACCTTGTTGGAAAGGCCAAGTTTGACAAGTTCATCCCTCACGTAGGTCTACACCTCCTCGACATAATCATCAGCACTAGCCTTCGCTAGCCAGAACCCCGCTAACATTTCCACAGTACTTCACCGTCTTCAAGTGCAAGTCCCTGGACTCCTACGAGTTCAAGGCCACAATCCTCGACTTCTTCAGCTCCGACGCAGAGGCCTCCAAGCTTCTCACCGAGCTGGACTGGGACACATGGTTCTACGCCCCAGGCCTGCCCCCAAAGCCAGACTTCGATACCTCCCTCGTCGACGTCGTCTACTCCCTCGCCAACAGATGGCAAAGCCTATCCACCGGCTCCTCCACTTTCAAGCCCGCAGCCAGCGACCTGGACGGTCTGGCTGCCAACCAACTCCTAGTCTTCCTCGAGCAAGTTCTGCGCTGGGAGCAGCCGCTGCGCCCTGAGCTTTCCAAGCTTATGGGTGACGTCTACGGCCTAGCCAAGAGCGAGAATATCGAGGTTGCGAACCTTTACTTCCAGGTTGGTATGAAGGCTGGTGATCAGAGTGTTATTGAGCCTACTGCCGAACTGCTGGGCCGTATTGGCAGAATGAAGTTTGTGCGACCTTTGTAAGTTCCAAGCCACCACCATCTTATCTTCACCCCCTCTCCCGAAATCCGCAACTAATTGATATTGCCAGGTTCCGCAATCTCCAGAAGGCGAACCGTGCCGTGGCCTTGGAGGCCTTTGAGAAGTACAAGGATTTCTACCACCCTATCTGCCGGGCTATGGTTGAGAAGGACCTCTTTGGCAAAAAGGAGAATTAATTAGATCTAAATCCAAACAAGGCTTAGATGCCAGAGTCGATAACCAAGACAAGAAGATGTACCCTACTAGTAATAGTTCTCAAATGCAGCACCAAAGTAAAATGCAAAATATAATACAATAGACAGAGTTGCGTTGAAGTAGATTACTGTACATGATTAACCTCGTAAAGAACAGGCCTGCAAACAATACCTATCCCGCACACATAATAAAACAATGAGGAAGTGAAATGACAATCCAGCGCAGCGGGCTGTCCAGCCCAATCCAACCGGTAACGCATCAGTTACTCGCCTCAGCCATCTTCTTATCAACGGGGTTAAACCCAAAGATCGCGGATTCCGCCCCACCACCCTGCGACAAGGCAAACGCCATATCCGCCTCATCCATCTTTGACAACTCAAACAGCACACGCCGCATATAAGCCACCACCCACGCAACCTTTGTCCAATCCACCTCCTGCCCATCCGGCCCCGTAGCACTCGCCTTCCACAAATTCCTCCAGACAGCCGCGCCCAGCACCGCGTCACCCTTAATCAGACCCTCGTCGTAGGCGGCGATGATTCCACGCCATTGAATAAAGAGGTCCTTCAGGTACTTGTTGCGGATACCCCGGGTTCCTAGGTCGTGCAGGACGTCCATGCGGTGCTCCGCATTGTGAGAGAAATGGTCGATCAAGTGGCGGGAGTATGTCTGGACGCTGTCGCGGTAGGGCAGGGCGCGTAGGCGGACAGTTAGGAGATACATGTGCAAGAAGGTGATTTGCGACCAGGTTGAGAATGTAGGTGTGAGGCCCAGTTCTGTGAGAAATTCGTATTAGTAGGCTGAAGCCGGATTGGATTGGATTCGAGCCGAGGGGATAGGTTTACGAACCCTTATACCACCAGCTATCACTGACACCGAGGTGTTCGCCCGACGCAGTGAGCGGGACCTCGACGCCCTTCTGCGACGCTTGCGGAATCGTGTAATCTCCCTGCTTGGAGCAGGCCTCGAAGATCTTCTGCGTCATGCCGTACGCCACGTACGTCTCGGCCGCGGCGCCGGGCGAAGAGGCACTTCTGGCCAGGCGCGAGACGGCGGATCCTTGCGAGTATGATCGGGACGGGAGGAGCAGTGTGCTAGGGGGTGTGGAGGATGTCTTGGAGCTGACGTTGGCGCTGGGTGCTTGCCATGATGTCGAGGAGATTGTTGCCCGTTGGCTGAGTGGCCGCTGTGCAGGGGTTAGCGTTGGGGTCTGTGGATGCCAATGCGCTTGGAGGTGACGCGATGTCGTACCTGGAGGCCTTTAATTTGGGAGCCGCGGAGCTCTCGCGCGCATAACGTTGTCAATCTTGGAGTCGGCATTTTGGATGGCGTTGGTTATTGTATCGTTACGATTGGCGATCTTTTTTTGGGTTGGTTGTTTACACTGTTTGTTTCTTAGCTGTGGGCGGCGCAGGCGGTGGCGGAGTGTATATAAGGTTGTTTATTCAAGGCCTACTGTATAAGACAATTTAGCTTTATACTTATAACTTTATGATATTAAATCTTTATCAAAAAATACTAACCGCTTCGCAAAATATCCCTTCGAAGTGCTACTTCTAGAAGTTTTCTTTTCCCATATTTCTATTTTTTTCGCGAGGGGGGGAAATTTCTCTCATGTCATACGCCGAAGATTGCGAAGAAGAAATAAAAGAGTAATTGCTGTGCTATTTCCCGTTTCCTTCTCTCCCTTTCGTGCTTCGTGTTCCCAGCTGAGTAAGGGAGAGTCATAAAAAGCATAAAACACACAGAGATAATCATAAGCCCTGGAGATAAGAACATAAAAAAAATAAACAGCAGAAAGGAAAAGAAAAAAAGTAAAACATACGTCCGGGATCAACACTAGAGGGAGAGAGAGGAAAGGGAACAAGGAAAAATAATACGGTAAAAAAATGAAGCCCTGTCTTTACGCCGTCAAGCCTTGGAGAATACCTGGGTAAAATAGGGAAACACATTTGACGTTTTTGAGTAACTTTATATTGTATCCGGTCCGAGTCCCCTTGTATGTATACGCCCATATTAGATAAAGAAGAGCCATGAGAATAGCTCAGTTTTTAGATCAGCATAAAAAAAAGAATTATGTGGGCAAGCAAAGGTGAGGTAAACGCAGAAAAAGTTGCATATCATTTCCGTCTATTTCATTAAGTTCCTTCATGGCTTTCGTATTGGCCACCTGGGCAGCTGACTGTAGTCGATCTTCCTCGCGATAACCTCACTGCCAAAGCCCGAGCGTAGAAGATGGCGACAAGAGATTTGATTCCTAAAATTGATATATCTGACACCCATACATCGCTGCGAATTCCAGACAGACCGGCGAGACATAGCGTAAGTCTCACACTTCAGCCGTCAAGAACTACAGTCTCGGACTTCTTATCTACCACAGGCAGCAATTCAGAAAGCCGATTGGCATCTCTCATTAATGCTGGAATATCATCCCGGGTACCAGCAAGCATCTAGATAGAGGACGATGGGTTAGTATGAGTAGTTGTGAAAGAGCGAGGGTTTCGTACCTGTCTGACTTTCTCGTATTCACATTCCTTAGACTGGTATTCCCGAATCACCTCTTTCTTTTGAAAATCAACATAAACCCGAGTATCGCGAAGTCGAATCAAGACATTGTCCAGCCTCATGAAGAATCTCGTCAAGAGGAGAAGCCTCTCTGGCATGACGCGGATTTTGCAGGAAAGCATGGCAATTCCATTATCGGCCAGCTCGTCCTCATAGAGAACTACCTCATCGAAGAATAGGATCGGATCCGGTCGCTTTAGAAGCTCGATGGGGATTGGCTTCGTTGTTTCCTCGAAGGGCCGGGCGTTCGGGCTTAACGTGCCTTTGTAATCGGTACTGTACGACCAATCGAATGGCTTAACAACTTCCTTGATTCCGTCATGTGTTTTTTCTCTAGAGAAAAAGCGTGGTAAGTCTATGCAAGATGCAAGGTTGGAGTACCTGGCGCGATGCTTCCTACCTGCTCTGTTGCCATTCTTTGGAGTATGCGACCTGCAGCATGGACTGTCCTGTCTTGTCCACCAAGTCCAATGCATCAAACGCATTGAAGTTGATCCCCCATCCACTGGGGGGATGCTCAATGCATACATAGTTATCGCCAAATATCATCTCCGGCACCTGAATGCCCAGCTTCTTGGTCATTTCGTCGATCGGGTCGGCTTTGAGAATGGGGAGCTTCTGAGTCGAGATTCGGAAGCCACCAACAGAAATCTGCTGCGGCTTCTTAGCCTCAGGTGATACTGAGGCATGGCCTCGTGGGGGCGCAGCTGGTATTCTGGAAGCCATCAGCACGTTAAATCATAACGTCATGTAAAAAGCGTTGCGAGACAAATGCGATGGGATGGTGGATCGCCCTACGCGGGGCTAATCGCTATCAGCGGAATAAGTGCGGGCCGACGGTGTTGCTGGGGCGACGCGCTGAACCGAACCCAAACAGTTCCACTTCCACTTCCTCCATTTCTCCAACTTTCATTCTTCTATCGACAACCTCGCCAACTTCGACAACCCTACTGACCATGACCGCCCGGGCTTGAGTCAATTACTTCGATACTTAATTCGACATCTACTCGCCCAGTGTTCATTCCCTTATCCTATTATTCCCTGCACTGCACTGCTTCCTACTTCTTCTCAACAATGGCGACGAAGACATTAGAGGCTCGATTCGAGCACTTGTCCGTCAAGGAGGAAAAGGAAGCTACCGCCAGCCGTGGCTATGGCAAGCAAAAGGTACGGTGCCAGCAGAATCATATAACACTTTCAAACAATCTAGTTGACTCGATCTGCTCTAGGACTCTCTTTCTACCGCCTCTAGGCCCGGTCTGGGCGCGAGCCAAAGCAACTCCAACCGCGCCCATTTGCTGAAGCTGGCTCTGCAAAATACCAATGACCACAAGACCAACTCAATGAATATCCCTGCCTCCCCAGGCAAGGGATCACAAGGCACCCTGGTGACCCGCAACACCGACGAAAACGGCGAGCAGCGCACCTCAACCTCTAGCACCGAGTCCCTTATCCCTAGGGAGCTGCACCTCGGTATGTTCGAGATCGGCAAACCTCTTGGAAAGGGCAAGTTCGGCCGCGTCTACCTAGCCAAAGAGCGATCGTCAGGATTTGTCTGCGCCCTCAAGGTCCTGCACAAATCGGAGCTGCAACAGGGCGGCGTCCAGAAGCAAGTTCGCCGCGAGATCGAGATCCAGAGTAACCTGCGCCACCCGAACGTACTGCGCCTGTACGGGCACTTCCACGACAGCAAGCGTATCTTCCTGATCCTGGAATTCGCCGGCAAGGGAGAGCTGTACAAGCATCTCCGTAAAGAGCACCGATTCCCCGAGTGGAAGGCTGCGCAGTACATTGCGCAGATGGCGGCCGCTCTCAAATACCTGCACAAGAAGCACGTCATGCACCGCGACATCAAGCCGGAGAATATCCTGGTCGGTATTCACGGCGAGATCAAGATCAGTGATTTCGGCTGGAGCGTGCATGCCCCCAACAACCGCAGACAGACGATGTGCGGGACACTCGACTACCTGCCCCCAGAGATGCTGAAGCCCGGCTCTCAGGACAACTACTACAGTGAGAAGGTTGACCTGTGGAGTCTGGGTGTTTTGGCCTACGAGTTCTTGGTTGGTGAGGCGCCTTTCGAGGATACGCCTGTTATGACCCAGCGGCGAATTGCCCGCGCGGATATGTCTGTACCTTCTTTCGTCAGCCCTGAGGCTAGGGACCTCATCAAGCGAGTAAGTTTCCCCCCACCCCAAATTGCCTGCCCAGGCATTTACCTCGCGAAATTCACCTGCTAACATCATTGGTAATAGTTGCTTGTTCTTGACCCGGAGAAGCGTATCCCCCTGGACGAAATCCAGCGCCACCCTTGGATCCTGAAGCACTGCGTTAAGGAAGCGAAGCGGAGCTCCGCCTCTTCCAAAGAGGGCAAGGCATGATTATTTACGCATGACAGATTGGTGTTCTGGTGTTTTATTTGCTTCCCGTTTCTGTATCGCTCGATCCATGGCCATGGCGTGGATCACATGGTGTTTCTGGCGTCGCACATTTTTGCATTTTCGGAGTTTCTTGGAGTATAAGCTATGGACGGCGCATGCGATCTGGGACATGGGCCTCTTAATTTGATCTTCAATCCATACAGTGCCAATGAAATGATATGGTACATTCACAAATGATTCTATTGTACAGTGCCGGACTGGGTGAGATGAGAGATATAGTACATAATAACGCGGTGTAAGTAGTAGTAATATAAGAAGCAAGGGCGCAATGCGATGCGGTCCGGTATCATCTGTAAATTTCATCAAAGGGCCTCGTGTCTCGGAAGCAGCTGTTCCAAACTTCATTCACGACTTGGGTTGCATGCGCCTCGTCTCTGCAGGTTGGTCGAGCTCGCACGGAGAGAATCGCTCTCCTGCGAACACACTCTTGGTGCTGTTGGGTCAATTTCCATTGCCCTCGTCGAAAGAACTCTCGTGACCATCTACACTCGCCGCTGAGTGAACTCGCCCGAATCTGCGCGAATTGGGGGGAACGAATTAGTTGGTTCTCGGACGGTTGCAACTTCAATTGCAAATGCAATTGCAATTGCCCTTTTAAAGGGAGTGGTCAGACATACCTCTGTACAAGCGGCATGTCGCAGATTATTAGACCAGTCGACCTTAAACCGCAGATGATCATACGCGTGAACCATCTCGTGAGCCATGGTATCTTCCAAATGGCCCTGGTCCTTCATCTCATTGGCGCAGATCAGGATGCCGTATTCCGGGTCGAAACCGCCGCCCTTGCGGTCTGTGCAGCGCCGGCAGTAGATATTATGGTTGTGGAGGTCGCCTCCCAGTTGCTTGATGTTATCGCTCAGGTAACGGATGACAGGGCCTGTGGGTGAGCATTGTTAGTCGAAGCTCCGAGTAGGGCACAATTGTCGTGGGGATCGGAAGCAGGCATACTATATTGAAGGAGGAATTCCTTTTGTTCATCACAGCGTTTGCAGTCGGCCTCTTCGTTGCGGATATCGCGCGTAAGACGGAACTGCTCGATGCCGTCCGGTGACATCTTCCCCGTTAGGATGGAGTAGATGTTCTTGAACTGGGTCCATGTATCATCGCCCGAGACAAAGCCGTTATCCGGCTTATCCGGCTTATCCTTGCCATTGCTAGGTGAAGGCGCAGCCGCACCTGAGGCTGAGGCAGAGGACTGAGAATCGGACATGTTGAATCGCAAGCTGTAAGAAGCACGCCCGCGCCGCCCGCCGGAGAAGGAAGAATGCTGATGGGCGGAGATTCCCGGCAGAACTCGCGGAGATTGCTCCGATACGGAGGGCAGAAGAAGGTAGAGTCAGAACTTGACATTGACATTCTCGCAGTCAGACGACAGAGGAGGGTTACTGGACCGTTTTCATTCTTGATTTCTGGTTTTTATCGTGGCACACAGGCATTATTTTGTTGCTACAAATTGATCCGGCCTGTACAAAATGGCGGCCGCTTCGGGGCTGACGATTGTGATCAAACTCGGTGCGGGGATACACATTCAACCCGCCAATGCGTTGCGGTAAACTGCAAACCAGAACGAATTAACTAACAACGCTGTGTTCTAGGGACAAGTTCGATTGTCGACGAGAAGACACATGAGCCTATTCTCTCCATTTTGACATTGATTGTCGAAACGGTAGCTAAGCTGCGCAGAGATGGGCATAGAGTTGTGCTCGTTTCCTCTGGCGCGGTGGGGGTTGGTTTGCGGAGGATGGACGTGGATGAAAGACCCAAATATCTACCCCGAATACAGGTGAGCAACGTCCAATCTCTCAATAGAAACCCCTATAGAGCTGGAACTGGGTCTCTGAAGAACGACACTAACTTGAATTACTACTTAGGCCCTCGCTGCTGTCGGCCAGTGTCGACTGATGAGCCTGTGGGATAACCTCTTTTCTCACCTCAATGTTCCGGTGGCTCAAATTCTTTTGACGAGAAACGACATTGCAGATGTATCTATATCTCTCTCGAAATTCCGGCCTTCATTGTTCACACCAACTAACCTCTCCAGAAAACTCAATATTTCAACGCGCAAAATACCTTCGAGCAACTGTTCGACATGGGTGTGATCCCCATTGTCAACGAGAATGACACTTTAGCTGTTTCTGTAAGAAACTCCACCCCTCCAAATCACCAGCAGAAACCTAGTCTAACTTGACATCCCGCGGGGTCCTTAAGGAAATCAAATTTGGCGATAATGATACCCTCTCAGCTATTGCTGCGGCCACAGTCAAGGCCGATTACCTATTCCTAATGACCGACGTTGACTGTCTCTACACCGCGAATCCGCGCACAAATCCAGACGCCGAGCCCATCGAAGTCGTCTCCGACATCTCATCTCTGGAGGCCGACGTCTCATCAGCCGGATCCTCCCTCGGAACCGGAGGCATGAGCACCAAAATCGTCGCCGCGAAGCTGGGAACAAGCGCCGGCGTAACGACAGTCATAACGAAAAGCTCCAAACCCGGAAACGTCCACGACATCGTGAACTATCTCCAAGCCCTCCAAGCGAAATCGGCCTCAAACGGCAGCGACTCTGGCGCCGAGATAGAAATCCCCGCCGCACCACTCCACACCCGCTTCCTGCCCTCCGAAACCCCAATCCAATCCCGAACATTCTGGCTCCTGCACGGCCTCCAACCGCACGGCACAATCTACATCGACCCGGGCGCCCACGACGCCCTCCTCCTAAAGAAAGCCAGCCTCCTCCCAGCCGGGGTACTAGCAGTAGAAGGCCACTTCGGCGCCCACGAAGCAGTCCGCCTCGTCGTCGCCGAAAGACCGGACCCCGACGCGCTGAATGGCGACTTCCTGCACCACAGCGCAGAGCCGAAGGAAGTTGGGCGCGCGCTGGTGAATTACGGCAGTTTTGAAATCGATCATATTAAGGGTCGGCGCAGCTCGCAGATTAACGACCTGCTCGGATATTCGGATAGCGATTATGTTGCTCTTCATGAGAATATCTCGTTTCACCCGGAGGATCGGCATAATCATCGGCCCACGACGCCGGTTATGACGCCGGCGCTTGAGGAGTGGAAGTCGCCTAAGTCGTCTAAGTCGCCGACGCCGATGTCGCCTTGATGGGATGGTCTACACTACCTTACGCTATTGTCGGCATGTATCACGAAACGAATGATGATTCTGGACATGACGAAGCTGGAACTTGTATATAGGCATCGATGGCCTGGTTTTTCATCAATAATGGTCCATTTGGAGTATAGCCTGGAGAGCATAAAGGAGCGGTGGTGGGTGGGGATGTGTTATGTTGCATTTACGTCTTGAGATACCAGTCCTTGTGGACGTATGAAATATCCGCTAGCATATATTGAGCTCAACCTCAATCAAAAGCAGTATATAGAAAACATGGAAAAAAAATACGAGACAGAAGCAGACGCAGAAGCAACGCTGAGAAAGTGATGCACTACCTTAATAGCGATATTCCTAGTCCTGCCACCGTTCCAGCCATCGCTGCATTCTCTTATCCATCGTCGGCGCAGCGGCTGGTGCAGCCTGAAAAAAAAGAACAATCGTATTAGCATACTTTGTTTCTCAGTATAATGTCGGGGCGGGCAACAAACCGTATTCTCGATACTATGCGTAGTAAACGTCAAATACGCCGTATCAGTCCACTGCACCGTCGGCGCAGGAAGATACGTCGTAGCCTTGACAAAGGGGAAAGGCGGGTACTGGGGCGTGGGCGATTTATCCAGGATAGTCGTGCCGGCCATCTTGGGCATGGGCGCATACTTTGTCAGACCTGTTTGTTCGCCGTAGGGGATCGTGTGCGGGTCTACAGCGGCTACGACAGCCGCTGGCGCTGCCGCCGCCGCAGCAACACCGAGTCGTTTCCTTAGCTCGAAGCGTTCTGGATCGAGCTCGGATGAGGTTTGTGTTGGGAATTGCAGGGCTGGGGTTGGCTGGTCGATATCGAGAGCAGCACTGTCGCTGGCGCTGTTTAGGATAGACCCGTTGTAGATTGGGGTTTCTGGGGATCCGGCGAGAAGCTGGGTGTCGCCGTCGACTAGACCTAATGGGAGCGGGATCGGGATAGGTTGCATGGACTTGACGGCGTCGGATATCTTGGTCGAGAAGGAGCCTTTCATGTTGGTGAGGGTGAAGTGGGATGTGAATCCGGACCACTTTTCTTTGGGGTCTGAAGGAACGACTTTGAGGAAGCTGTGCAACTGATATTAGCAAGGTATTCTTTGCAAAGTGATGGGTGTTGTTCGTACTATGCATTGGGCTCGTTTCCTCCGACATTACGGTCGACTTTGAATGAGAGCAGGTCACCGGGGACAACGGCGCCGTCGTTGATCACTCGTTCCAGCGATTCCTATGGTTATAGATGGTTAGCGTCTTGGTTGTATAATATATTTCGAGATGGTGTACTCACATAGGAACCCGTAGACTCATCACCAGCACAGAGAAAGAAGTCATAACGGCCAGCTGTCTGCCCATCAAAAGCCCACATCAAACTCACAACATCCTCACCATCAAAGGATAAGCCACTGAGAGTCTGGGCCGGCGCAAGTCCTAAGAAGGCGAACAGAGCAGACAACCGAATCAACCGCATACTGTATATCAAACTGTCAAGACTCGAGAGAAAGAGAAGAAGAGAGGACAGCAAAGCGGATCATAGCAAAGCAATGCGGACCAAGGGTATCACCCCTTGGTCGCGAGTAAGTGTGGTATGTATCCCTCATTCCTGACAGAGGGAGAGAAGGTACTCCTAGAGGGTGTAAATGGGGTGATGTGCAGCGCTAAGATAAGAACAGGCCCGTGCTATCAGCACTGATTAAGTAGATTTCCGGAAGCTCAACTCTCCTTTACCCGCTCCCAATCCCCGAAATCAGGCCACACCCACCATGTCGACTCAGGCGAGCTGGACCTCGTTAACAGGAATCCTAACCTTCCTATTCGAAGGCAGTCTAAGCGCCATAGCCGTCGCAATCCTCATCACCTTCGGCGTACCCATCTTGCTACACATCTTCTTCTTCCGCACTGTGGCGTCACCGCCATCAAGTAACTTCCTCCTCCTCGGACCAAGCGGTGCGGGCAAGACAGCTTTCACGACTCTAGTACGTACCAACCAACATTCCTCACTTCGATCCGTATCCGTATCCAGTACACTATACTAATACCACACAGCTGGAATCAAAATCATCGACCAGCGCCAAAAAGACCCAAACACACACATCCCAAACATCAACCCTAATAACCGTCAGCCTCCCACCCACCGTCCCCACAGCCAGCAACCGCTACCGATCAATCAACGACCCCAGCCTAAAAGAAGCGTCCAAAAACCCCGTCCGCTACCGTCTAAAGGACACACCGGGCCATGGCAAGCTCCGCGAATCGCAAGGCCTCGCCGAGCTAGTCTCCATGTCCGCCAGCAAGGATATCAAGACCAAGATCCGCGGTGTGGTCTTCATGGTTGACACGGCTGCACTGACGGACGAGGCGACCCTCCGCGACAGCGCGAGTTACCTGCACGACGTGCTGCTCGTGCTGCAGCAGCGCGCGCTGGGGAAGGGCAAGTCGTCTACGAAGCGCGATGCGGAGATCCCTGTGCTTATTGCGGGGAATAAGCAAGATTTGTTTACTGCTTTGCCGGCGGGGTCGGTGCGGGAGAGGCTTGAGGGGGAGATTGAGCGCATTAGGAAGAGTAAGAGTAAGGGGTTGATGGATGCTAGTGCTGATGGTGGGGATGCAGAGGAGGAGGAGGAGGTGCTGGGTGATGATGATGGGAAGGGGGTGTTTAGTTTCAAGTTGCTTGAGCAGGTTGGCATTAAGGTTGATGTTGTTGGGGGTGCGGTTAAGGGGGATGCTGAGGAGGAGGTTGGGTCTGGGGTTAGGAGGTGGGAGGAGTGGATTGGTATGTGTCTTTGAGGAATAGAGGACTGCCAGTGCTGTTGGTGTTGGATGTATGATGGGGGAATGAGACTCCGGGTCTCGATAACTTAAACAAAAGTTCAAGTTGTGTTGTTTCGTCGCTGTTGGCGAGCCTACTAGCTTCTTGTTATATATTGGGATTATATAGCTGTACATCTCTCTCTTCACTCAAAATGATATCAGAATTAACTTGAAAATACCAGGATCATATGGCAACTCAAAAAATGGATTAGGCGGAGATTATCAATTCAGCAAGACTAGTAGTGAAGTAGCCATAGAAACTACTAGAAGGATCACCGAATTCCGAGTCAAATATTCAATCTTCAGATATTGCCCTTAGCCACTGGCAGTGGGCCGGGTCTATGAATAATTATTTGTAGGTACGAAACCATGGTATCGCACAATCTATCCTCAATTCCCAGTGTTGAAACCGATCGGAGCCCCGAAAGGCAAAAACGCCAGATCCCAAAAGGATCCAAAAAATCAGTTTAAACAGAAAACAAAACGAAAAACTCATCAATTAGCAGGAAATGTTGAAACTCCGCCCCAAAAAGCAGCAACTGGGCTGCTCCATATGCAGATCATTCAGAAACGTCGTATCATGTTTATCTTAAGCACTGGTGCCGTTGCCGTTGGCCTTGCCCTGGTGCAACAACCAAGAAAGAAGATCCACCTTGGTGACAATCGCCAACGGCTTAAGCGAACCACCCTCGCCCTTCTCAGTGACGACCGCAGCAGAGTTCCACTCGAAGAAACGGTTCAGCACGTTCAGCGGTGTGTCCATGGTGATTTCCATGAATTGGCGGCGCTTTTGCAGGCCTGTCGCTTCACGGGGGTCCGTCACGACCTCGGGGATCTTGGAGAAGTCGAACATGACGTCGGAAACGGGGCTCTTGGCCGAGGCGCGGCCGTGTGTCAGTCGGCTGAGGACGTTACCCAGAGTCACCAGGCCGACGAGCTTACGGCCCGAGGGGGCGAGGACAGGGAGTTGGTCGAAGCCCTTCTCGCGCATGATTTCGATGGCGGCTTCACAGGGGAAGTTGGCTGTCACGGTGGTGATGGGTTTCAGGCGGAGGGCGCTGACCTTGGCGTTGGAGAGGGGGTCCTTGGATCCGGTGGGTTTCTGGGCCTCGGTGACGGTGTCGGAGAGGGGGGCGGTTAGGAGGTCGTTGGCTGCGAGCCAGTCGTCGTCGGCGAACTAGAGGGGTGGTTAGTATAAAAAGACGGGAGAAGGTAGATTCAAGTAGATTTGATGGATAGATCGTACCTTGGTGAGGTAGCTGCGAATGCTATCAGGCAGGACAACCACCACAACATCATCCTTGGCAAACTTGCGCTCCTCATTGGCCTTGACCAGGGCGGCAATGGCACTTCCACTGCTACCACCAACAAGAAGACCCTCCTCGGCAATCAAACGGCGGGAATATTGGAAGGACTCCTTATCAGCAGTCTTGTACCACCGATCAACGATCTTCTGGTCCAGCACATCGGGAATGAAATCATAACCGATACCCTCAACCTTGTACGGCTCATTTTCATGGGCATCGTTCAGGGTGGTCGGGAGAGCGAGAATTGAACCAAGGGGATCAGCGGCGATCACATCGACATTAGGGTTGTGCTTCTTGAGACCGCGAGCAATACCGGTGATGGTGCCACCGGTTCCGGCGCCGGCAACAACAGCATTGACAGCGCCGTTGGTCTGGGCCCAGATCTCCTCGGCGGTGCCGAATTCGTGGGCGTTGGGGTTGTTCTCGTTGCAGTATTGATCGAGGATGTGAGCATTTGGGAGTTCCTTCTGCAGACGCTGCGCGACTCCGATGTGAGATTCGGGGGGAGTCGAAGGCGGCTTCGTTGGGGGTACGGATGATGGTTGCATTCAGAGCCTTCAGGACGGAGACTTTCTCGGCGGACATTTTCTCGGGGAGGGTGATGATGGTCTTGTAGCCCTTGACAGCACCGACCAGAGCAAGACCGATACCACTATCCTAGTTAGCGGGGTCCAATACAATAGAGGACAGAGGAAACGAACGTGTTGCCACTGGTGGGCTCAATCAGAGTATCACCGGGCTTGATGCGGCCGGACTTTTCAGCCTCCTCGATCATGCGCAAGGCAATACGGTCCTTGACACTGCCTCCAGCATTGAAGTATTCCAATTTGGCGTAGACGGTGGCATCAATTCCCAAGCTGCGGGGCAGTCGGTTCAGTCGGACTAGAGGGGTGTTGCCGATCTGTTGAGTGATAGTGTCCAACGCCACTGGCGGGTTGGGCTTGGTGGAAGCCATTGTGATAGACAAGACTCAGACTCGTGTCCAAGAGATAAGATGAGAATACAGCAAAGCAAAAAACAAGAAAGTGGGTGAATGTATGAATGTACTACAAAGTACAAAAGTAGAGTTAAGAAGAATTCGCCATTTTTTTGGCCGGACAGGTGATCACCGATAATAGCCGCATGCAAGAGCTTAGGTAATTGGTCCATTTTTGGACACTGGACCCATGGGTTGGACCCGCAACCAGGGCATCACTCCTATAGAAAACATTCAAAACTCCGACCTCTCGCCGATTACTCCTTCATTTCGGAGAACAATCTGGCTCTGACAAGTCAACACACCACAGAGTTTATATACACACCCCTACCATCCCATCCCATCCAATTCCCTGAGGATACTATGCTCCACTGCAGATCATCTCACTATGCCCCAGGCGGTCATTCATGGTATTGACACCGGATCTGACCGAACACTCCTAAACTAGAACAAGGATGCTTCTGCAAGAACAAGCATTGCAGCAGAACAAGCATTGCAAAAGCATTGTGCAGAATAAACCTCAATCCTACTGACAGCTGGTTTAACTTTGATAGTTTGTTTTTCTCGCGTCGATCGCGCTCTGGACCAGAGGCCATTCTGCAGCAGCCAAGTGTGGCTGTGCCCGGATGCCATTCCCCACTGAGCGCGATTTGGCTTGGTCGCATCCCCTGACTACTTGGAAATCGGAGATGACCTGACGTGAGGCGGAGCGGAGTGAGGCCTTTGCCCAAGGACATGTTCAGATGTCGTCTCCATGTGTGCCAGCAAAGCTTCCCGGATGGCAAGGGTTGTCCCCAGCCAGTCCCAGGGCAAACTATATGCCCAACCACCGTCATCCACACTGAGAAACCCCACTGCATGAGAAATTCACAGCCGATCTGCGATACAATGTATCATGGATCGTGGCCGCCAAGCCCTTGCCGGCTCATCACTGCGCTTTGCTCAGAGTTTCATTGGTTGTGTGGAAAAGCCAGCGCCAACGCAGCCCCAGGGTGGAGTGGAAAGGTCGTGTTTTTTTATTTCCTTCCCCGTCTGTATACAAAATCGAATCCCCAGCCTTTGCTTTTTTTCTCTTCGCCCCTCTGTGCGACTCTTCGTGCGTTCCGCAAGCGTTCCTCGTGCATCTCTCTTCTTCGATCCAATTTCAATCAAAAAATACCCCTTGGCATCTTCTGCAGCTGGTCTGCCAAGCATCGCATCCCTGATTGTTTCGTCTCTCCTCTTCCTTCTTATTTCGTTTAATCGTCATCCCATCGCATCGCCTACCGCGTCGATGGGCTCCATCAGATCGTATGCCTCCCAAATCGGGGCTGTCTCAACCAGAGACGATATCCATCCTCAACCGCAGGAAAAAGGCACAAATGGACAAGGACAGAGCTCGGTCCTACCGACCCTCGAAAAGGACCATCCCGCCCGCTATGTATTGGGCATCTTCCGCGTGAAGAGCGCAGGAGAGAGCGGCCGGACTGGAGTTCACCCAATCCACTTCCTCCTCGTCTGCTTCAAGAGCATCTGCACCGTATCCATGGTCGTCAATATCCTCTGGCCCTTCGTCCCCGCCGCGATCGTAATGCACTTCGCGCGCCCCGACCTGCACGTCTGGGTATTCGCGTTGAACTATATCGCCATGGTCCCCTCTGCAAACCTGCTCGGCTTCGCGGGCGGAGAACTAGCCAAGAAGTTACCCAAAGTATTCGGCGTCCTGTTAGAGACGACGCTTGGCTCTGTCGTCGAACTGGTCCTCTTCATGGTGCTGCTGCATAATGATACCAGTAATGAACCCAATAGCGAACATAGCTTGATTCCCGTCATCCAAGCCGCGATCCTCGGCTCCATTCTCGCCAATTTGCTGCTCTGCCTGGGTATGTGTTTCTTTGTTGGCGGGTTGAAGCGCAGCGAGCAGGTCTTTCATGAGGCTGTTAGTGAGGTTGGGACGGGATTGTTGCTGGTAGCGGGCTTCGGTCTTTTGATCCCGAGTGCGTTCTACTCTGCACTGAAGGGTGCTGTGAATCCGAAATTCACGCTGCAAGAGCTGGATGACTCGGTCACTACTATCAGTCGTGCCACTTCGGTGATTCTTCTAATGGCGTTTTTCGGGTGAGTTAAACTTGAGTTTCCAAAGTGCCGTGCCGGGCTGGCTTGGCCAGGGCAGACTGAATGATCCTCCTATCCAATATGCTTGCTAACATACGTGGAATCTATCAGGTACCTCGTCTTCAACCTACACAGCCACAACTCCATCTTCGACGACGTCTTAGAAATGGACGAGCGACAAGACGAAGACCGAGACGAAGAAAGCCAGCGCGCAAAACTCACCTTCATCGAATGTCTCATTGCCATCGCCATCTCCCTTACATGCGTCTGCATGTCCGCCGTGTTCCTGGTCCAGGAAATTGAGCACATCGTTGCCCTCGGTGTCTCGGATAACTTCATGGGATTGATTCTAGTCCCCCTCGTCGAGAAGGCCGCCGAGCATTTAACCGCCGTCGACGAAGCCTGGGATAACCAGATCAATTTTGCGCTGTTCCACTGTCTCGGCCCTTCGATCCATACTGCCCTGTTGAATGCGCCTCTTGCTGTCATTGTGGGCTGGGGCCTCGATAAGAACATGACCCTCAACTTCGAAATCTTCATGGTTGTCTTGCTCGTGCTGTCGATCTTGGTCGTTGGCAACTTCCTGCGTGATGGGAAGTCGAATTACCTAGAGGGAATGCTTTGCGTGCTGGTATACTTTATTATCGCCGTTACTTCTTGGTATTATCCTAAAGTTGATGTGGCGGCGACGAACCAGGCTTGACCTCGACCTCGACCTCGACCTTGGGCGATATTGATAGTGATATTCTGGACTGCCCCAAGGTGGACTGGACTAGATTATTGTAATTTACCTCTTTCATAAAAAAATACATTCTGAATACGATCATTGAGGATACCAGTATCTCGTCTCATGCTGCTCTGCCGAACACCCAAGAACCTTCTCCATTGTAGAGTAGACATCAAATACTGGGCAATCCATCGGTTTAAATTCGGAAAAGAGTCCATCCTGTCACGTAGCTCCGAATGGTCTAGGGGCCTTGGCCCTAACCGTTTTGGGGGAAGAGTGGTTAGGTTGATTAGTGAAACACTAGTAGTCTTGAACCACCTTTTTGCTGTTCTTGTTTTTTATCCAGGTCAGAATATCGATTTCAGTACTCGGCATTGTTTTTGCCCTTTCTTTTTTTGTTTGCTGTTTGTTGTTTGCTCTTGTCCCTTTGGTGAATCGTGCCTTGTATGTTATTAAATCACGTGATCTATACTATTGATTCCCAAAAGGGGAAATTTGTATACATCGGTCATATGCACGTGATCATGGACACTCTGTACCTAGCACACCGCAAAGTTAGCAACCCTTAAAGACAAAATGTTCAAAGGCGATATCACATGACCCTGGGCACGACTCGACCTCGTGGTTATTCTGGGTGATAGGAGCTGTCGTTGGTCTGAGCTGGGCTGGGGCAGCTGTCGCGGGACCTTTAGGGAGCTCCGCTCCAACTGATAACATCGTCCCATTTCCCGACCCTCACCCGATCTCCGGCTCCGACCCCGCGAGTCGACCAGCACCAAAGATGGAAAACCACCTCGCCGACACCGTGCATTCCCACTTCAAGGAGCGGGACTTACCCGTGAAGCGCGATGCAATTATTTCAGCCCTGGAAGACCACGCCACAGGCAAGGAGAATGCGCAATGGGTGTCAAAACATCTGCACCCTGATACCCTGCTCTCGCGAGAAGAGCTAGCTTTGTGAGAATATCGCCGCACACTTCGCTTCGCTTCTGAATCAAGGACTGATAAGTGCGTGTGTAGGTACAACAAACTCTCGCAGACGGGCAATCTACATCCCATATTACGTGAACCGGACCTCGATGCGACGCGACCGTTTTTGGAAACGGATATTCGGGCGGCGATTCAGTCGCTCCAGAGCTCGACGGCTACGGTTCAGAAACAATCAGATACGCTTTCGAGACAATGTGACCTCCTCAGAAAGCAGCTTCGTCAACAGCAGAGGTTGGATGATGACCGGGCGAAGGATATCGCGCGGCTAAGGAAGAAGCATGAGGCTGGGAGGCAGAATACAACAATCGCGGTGCGTGCGCATTATACCGTATACCAACGGTTTGCGGGGACTTTCACGAAGGCTTCCGCGGAGACTAGGCTACCTACAAGAGCTGTGCAAATGCTAAGGGTTTATTTTACAGGCCAATGAACTTTCCGACAATCTTGAAGCGGGCTTTAGGAGCGCGACAGAGTCGGCGGGTGCTGAGAATAGGAGGATTCTCTCCACGCTATCCACTCAGCTGAAGCAGGACGATAAGAGCCTCAATCACTTGGAGAATCTCATGTCGAGCATCAAGTTTAATAGCAATGATGCGGATACGGTTAAGCGGACGGCTCAGCTCAGTTCGGTTCTTGCGGACTATGTGGCTGAGGAGATCCACGATCGATTGGATAGATTGTACCTTGAGGAAATCGAAGCCGGAGAGTCTGCGTCTGCGTCCGCGATAAACCAGCCTTCGATTGAAGCAGAGACAGTCCTGGCCTTGGAAGAGGAACTCGGATCCTTGTTCCCAGAGATCGAGGTCTTGGCGGAGATGTCGACGCGTCAGGAATTCCAGGAGCCGATCCTCCGGGAGATCCAGAATGAACACAGTCAACTTCGAGTTGTGTCGCATCAAAAATTGGAAAGGGTGCGTGCTTTTTGAAATGCATAATTCAGTTGATATGGCATGCAGCTAACCTTGCACAGGTCCTCGATAGTATGGTCGACATGACATTGTCCAAACAAGACTTAATCAAACAGCTCAAGGACCGGGGCTCAGCAAATGAAGTCCTAGAACAACTAGCCAACTTATACCAGGCAGAAACCTCCATCCCACTCGTGCCCCAGCCCTCATCTCGACGCGAGTCATTAAGACGGCGCTCGCTACAACCAGGCATGATTCTCTCCGCTGCGCGTAACCCGGGCTCCTCTATACCTGATCAACCACAACCAGTATTGGAAAGCCTCCTCCGACGCGTCGGGCTATCGCCAGAATCGGTCCTTCGTCCGCGGGCAGACAATGAGGGTGGCAGTGCTCAAGGAATGCACGAGAAGCGAATTCAAATGGCAGAGACATTGCGGAGTCTGGGCACTGCGGTGAACTCTCCACTTGTGGGACAATTGGCAGTCTCTGACCACGCGATGCGGCTCTTGACTTCGTCATTGCATGCGAATTCCAAGTTTGAGACCTCGCTGCCGGATCCCGGGCAATCGGATGCGCTCGAGGCTTTGGAGAGCGATCTTGCTGAGCTCCAGAAGGGCGTCAAGGGGATTGATTTGGAGGTTTTGCACCAACGGGATAAATCTCGGGCGAGACTGTTGGAGAAATGGGGTTAGGTCAGTTGCGCATGAAGGCATACATGCATGACGGTCCGGTCCATAGGACCCGCTGCGCTACTAGAGGATGGTGTGCAGCCTGCGCCCTGAGAAATCAATCAATATTGTTTTCAATTTGGAGCCTGGATTAGAGGCGAGAAAACCAACGCCAAGAACTGTTGGTTTTTGCAAGAACTTGTTGTTGCGTCTCCGCCAGTAGTTTCTCATGCGCGCAATCGCCCCCAAATTTCCCAACTCAGCCACAGTTATGATTCGACGACGGGGTGTGGCTGGGCGCAGTGTTGCGCCACCTGTGCCATAACATCATTTATCGCTCTCGTGGAATCCGTCAATCTCCGTTTTCCCGATTTGCGATCCATGGCGTCGAAGGATGCCGAGAATAAATGATGATGATTTGCAGGTGGGTCGGCCGCTCCCGCAGTTCCTGCAGAGCAGAGCCGCGCCCGCACGTGAGGAATCACATACGGACTACCACTCCAGTTTCTTCTCCTCACCACCAGGAAAACCAAGAAGAAATGAATGGCGGGTTGAATTTGCAATCAGTCAATCTCTATTCTTAACATGAAAAATCACGAAACAAAGACATTCCATCTCTTACTATTCTATACTGTATAAAAGTGTTATGTTAGCCTTTCGTCACCTGTGGTACCCCTGCTGACTCGGACTGCGCCCCCTGTGACCAAAGCGTATCATACAGCACTGGCATCAACCACCGACACACTTGAAAATAATACTACGAGAGTGAAAGCCTTGGAAATGGTTGCCTTCTCTTTTATTCTTTATCGCATTTACTGCCTACGCCCGAAGCGAAAGGGAAAAACGGGCACATATAGTAGTATATAAAATGTCATCGCCGCAAAAGGGCAAAGGCGCTCTTTGTTCCGAGTCCAAATAAGAGTTTCTGCACTATTCTTGGCTACGCCTTTGTACTTTTATTATGTCGTAGACAATGCCAGCTGAATCCTGCACACTGTCCCAAAATCACCTGCTTTGAGTCTATGACCGGCAGTAGCCCATGCACATGCACATTCCGCGTCTTCTTTATTCCATCTCTTTTGATAGATCCGCCTCTTCTGGCCTGGAGGGGACTGCTGTCGGAAACTAACTTGCAAAAAACACCCATCCGGCGCCTTGGATCGGGACTTTGTTCCCGTATTCCAATTCTGGACCGTCGAGGGAACCTCTTTGTTTGGGTTCGGTAGGGGCTGTCGAGCTCAGGTATCGTGTCTCATCTTTGATTCATATACTCGACCTCGACCTCGACATCTTCTCGCTGCTTTTTGGTACGTTAAACGCCCCTGGGAAAGAGAAAAGCCATGAACTCTTACAGATACTCCTCCGTCACAGACGGCCATCGATCAAGATCAAGATCAAGACGAAGATCTAACGACGATTTCAGGAACGATTTAATGCAAAGAGACACCCAGCGAGAACCACGACGAGAATCACTTTCTTCCTCTAGATCCTCTTCCCGCACCTCGATTAGAGCCATTAGAAGAAGATCGAAGTGGTATCACGAAGTCCCAGTCCTCGGAACATTCGTCCGCACAATGAAGGATATCTTAGGCTTTGAAGACTCGCTGCGCTACCGAGAACGATATCAGCATATCGAAAGCTCACACCGTCGTCGCCGACGGAAGAGATCCTCCCCCCCGGACGATGAATACTACTTCTATCGTCGACCTCGTCGGAATTCGGGCCCATTTCAAGAAAACCCACAGCCACAACACCAATACGAAGGAACTCGCAAAAGAAACCGTATATATCACTCCCCTGGCCTGAAGCCCCAACGAGGAAGTAGATGGGGGGGATATATACCGTGACCGTGACCGAGGCCGAGACCATCCAACCTGGAAAGACGAACCTCTTTTAGAACGCCCTTCACGCTCAGCGTCCACATCCTCCTACACTCGAACCCGCCACCCGAAGATAATCGAAAGAACACCCAACACAACCGCTGAAGCCAGCTCCGCCCCAAGAAGAAGAGTCTCATTCACAGATCCACTCGAAACACCACCCCGCCCCCTAAGGCAAAAACGCTCTTCAATCGACGACCAAACCGGGTCCCGGAAACGGAATTCCCACGAGACATCAGGCCGCTTCTACCGGGAAGATACTAGCATCGATACTAGTATCCGTATCCAAGAGCGAGAGCCCCGGCCTCGCTCACCAGTACTAGAACGAACGCCCCTCCGATCCGGACGAAGAATTTCAACATCGCCCCCAAAACGCGGGTCCCCGGGCAGCTACGAGAATCATGGTTATGACTACGGTGCCGATGTGCAATATATCCCGTCTCGCGAAAGTAGACCGTACTCGTATCCTGATATTGATATCGAGATCGTTGACCGATCGCCTAAACGCCCGCGAAGCTCGGAGCGGCGCGAACGGTGGTACTCTAGTATGAACCGGCCGCCGGATATAATTGATGCTGCGAATCAGGAGCTCGATGCGAGATCGAGGCGAATGCTGGATGAGGCATGTTATCGGAGATCGGCTCTTCGGGGTCGGAGGAATGAATTTGAGGTACGTCGTTGACGTCTTTGATTTTGAGGGAATGTGGGTGGCTTACGGATTTTGATAGTGGAGGTTGAAGGGTAGAGGCTCGGGGCCTTTATTGTGGATTGTTACTTAGATTTTGCGATGGGCGTACTAGTAGATCGAGGCGCGGCTTTGGGGTGGATGGGGGAGTTTTGATTCTGGATTGTGGGCGTTTCTCTTTGTTACATCTAGCATATCACTTCCTTTGATGTTTTCATTTGTTTGTCTATTTACTTGAGGTCTATTGGAACTGAAATACAAGAATAGAGGTGGGGATTGTGTTCGGAGTATATAATTATGATGACATAGATGTTTCATTTTGTACAGAGGTCTAATGATGATCTATGATTGTGTTATGTTGATGTTTTATTACGATCCGTTTACTCGCCATTGACTGCCCTGAACCGGACCGTCACACAATAAGTTATCCCGAAACCGGCCTGGTAACTCTCAATCTCCATGAAAACTTGAAAGATGTGCCAATTTTGTGCAGGACCCAACAATCCCGGGGCGGTATATGTAGTATGCATCGGACTTAAAGGACTTAGAGGATTTAAAATTCTGGTACTAGTAGTAATTGATATATAGTACCAGTACTATCAAATTAGAGCTCATTCTGCCAGGGTGATCGAACAACCTTGGAACAATCCACTGCAAAATCCTCCTCCCCTCAAAATCTGTCATAATTCACTGCTTTCCTTTGATCGCTTTTCCCATTTCGCAACGTCCAATCCGACATGGCAAAATCCGCCCTTCTCGTCGTCGACATCCAAAACGGAGTCGTAGACCTAGTCCTCGGCACCGGCCCCTCAGCCCGAAAAGAAGCATTCCTCCAACGCATGTCCACAACCATAAAAGCCGTCCGTAAGGCCGGCGTACAGATAATCTACTGCGTGATCGATCTCCGCAAAGGCCACCCGGAAGTGAAACCGCACAGCGCCCTACACAAAGCTCTCAATTTCATGGGCCGATTCCTTGAAGGCGAGGGGTCGAAAGTGCACGCCAGCATCGCACCACAAGAGGATGAAGGCGACTTGATCGTCTACAAGCGCCGTGTCTCGGCGTTTGTTGGGAGTGATTTGGAAATCATTTTGCGGAGTCTGGGGGTGGGGGATTTGGCTGTGGCGGGATTGTCGACGAGTGGGGTTGTTTTGTCTACGGTTCGGCAGGCGGCGGATTTGGATTTTGATGTTACGGTTCTGGAGGATCTTTGCGCTGAGTTTGATTCGGTGGCTGGAGAGGGTACGCATAGGGTGTTGATGGAGAATGTTTTTCCGGGTCAGGCTTTGGTGATGAATTCGGGGGTTTGGGTTGATGGGTTGGAATGTTGAAGTTATTAGTTTACGCTGGCAGTGGAAAGACCATGATGTATGAATACCAATATTGGAAATATTATACCACTATTAGCAAGATATTTAACAGATATGTCCACGGGATTGACATCGATCTAGCCTGAGATCTGTTGTTTAGAGACCGCCAGTGGATGTGGATTGAAGAATTGGAATAGCTCTGATTTTTCTAAGGGACGGCATTACGACAAATTTTTTGAACACATCGGATTTGCATACACCGGAGGTCCATTTTGGGAAGCCTAAGAGATCAAGGCTATTCGGGTTATTCACGCTTTCATGGACTGGACAATCTACCGAGATGGTTCATAAACTATAGTCAATAGCAGCCGCTACTACTACTATTATCACTACTACTACTCGAATTATGGGAGAGATGATGATCAAAATAATTGCGCTCATTCAAGTTCTAAGGTGAGAATGTTTATTTTCTCAGCCTCTACTAATACTATATATTTGGTATTTGTCACGCGTGAGGTTATCCCGAGGTTGAATGTTCGGAGATTACTCGGCATTAAGATTACGCCAATTTACAACTATTAATGGGGTTGAATTGAGTAGATGCGATAGGTAGCGTAGCAACGAGTAGAGATAGAAATGTTGACATCCATTACTTCTCCTTCCTCTCCCACTGGAACGGAGAGTTTGCCGATCTCCTGTGAGGAACGGAGTACTTGCACAAGCTTAGTCCAATGGAGTGCGAGTGGAGCAATTCCGAGCAATCCAAACCACCTTATCTTTCGCCCCTTAGAATAACTTGGAACCAGGGAATAAACTGGTTTCCACTTTTCAACACTTTCAACTCTTTCAACACTTTGCTTTTCTTCCTTTCTCTTCTACTCCCCAATGCGCGCACTTTAACCGATTGAACGATTGGCTGTAAGTACTCCGCCGAATCTGGCGCTGTGGCTTTTTGGGCATGGCACGTTGACACAATCAGGCAGCCGGGCTTTGTTTCACTCGCACTTTCGACTTTCCATTCTCACGCATCCTAGAGACGATATAACTATCAGCATCAGCATCAGTATCAGCATCAGCATCAGCATCGCTGTCGCTGTTGCTATCGGTTTTCTTTCCTCTGACATCTATCGGATCTTGCATGCCTACCTGCATTTATCATTGCATCACGCGCATCCATACCACCCATACACCGCATATACCACGCTTCGACCCCCGACTCCGTGACCCTTCATCACGCCAGTCCAAGCCCCAGCCAGTATCCATCGTCGCAAAAAAATGAGATATCGATCCGAAGGACTACAATCCACCTCCCGGACCGGGCGCGCTCTCTCACGCTCAACAGCCACCTCGGCCTACTTCTACCCCGGACAATAAAACACGCCCGAAATTGAAAGAATGGCAGCTACAATGACTCAAGTCGAATACAACACAAATGGCGCCCCATCACCACCGCTGAAGCTAGCCCTACCAGCCTCAGACTCCAAAACCACAATGGACGAATCAACCGCAGCAACAGCAGTCTTTAAAATCTCCCCCGAGGAAGCCCTGCAACAACTCTGCGCCAACGTCGAAACACTAAACGCCTACTTCGCCTCAAGCACAGGCGCATCAACCACAGATCCAAATTCCTTCTGCTCAACCCCGATCGGCAGCGAAACAGCCGCAGAAGAAGGCCTCGCCGTAAAAAGCGTCGGTCTACACTGCGGTCCTTCCTCGACAGACCAGGACCAAGAACGGCAGCGCACAAAGGAAGAATCATTCCAAATGGCCATCCTGTCGCGCAAATTCCTCTCCAAGAAGATCCCGCCCATTTCGCTGCAGAACTATTTACTCCGCCTACACCGCTACTGCCCGATGTCGACGGCTGTGTTCCTCGCTGCGAGCGTCTACATCACGCGCATGACGCTGGTGGAGAAGATGTTCCGCGTCACACCGAAGAACATGCACCGGCTGGTCTTGGCGGGTCTGCTCGTTGCGATTAAAGCGCTGGAAGACATGGGGTTCCCGCATACGCGGATTGCGAAGGTTGGCGGTGTTAGTGAGGTGGAGTTGTCGAAGTTGGAGGTTAGTTTTTGTTTCTTGGCGGATTTTGATCTTAGGGTTGATGCGCGGATGTTGATGGGTGAAATGCGTGAGGAGGAAGTGTCGGATTCACTTTCTCCTGGTCCTGAGTAGGATCAGAACAGATCAGATCAGATTCTCGATGATGATGGGATGATATTTAATGCGTTTCGGATACTGATTCTGTGCGCCGGTTCTATGTACACTTTTTGAATGTTCTATGTTGATAGGAATTCTCGGATAGGAATCAAGCAATGTAAATAAAGATGAATATGAATATTATGACTTCCATAAACTCAGACTCCACAAACGCAACTATTGAGGCTAGAAACCAATGGTTGTCTTTTGATTGGTTGAGGCGGAGCGGTCAAGGGGACCGAGTCCAGAGTCCAGAGTACGGAGTGAGAGTACGGAGTGATATCTCCAATTCCAAGGTTTAGGCATATTCTCGTATAGGATTCTCCTATTTCTATGTTTTCTATGTATCGAATATCCCGTGATGCATATCCAGAAGTGCTCATACCTAGGTATCACCGGTTAGTTTTGCTATCGTGTTCAACTCGGGGGTATACATCATGTCCGTTGTACCACCGGCATTGGCATAATAAAGCTGGAACCCAAGTGTGTTTTTTTTTTCTGGAAACAAAAACAGATCTAGAAGTAGAGCCAGGTTCTCTGCAGAACTAGGATAATCCCTCAGCCACTCCACTCCGTAGGGCAGGGCTGAGTGCAAAGTTAGGATCGCGGCAGCCTGCGCTTAGTGGAGCCTTTTGGATTTCCCCGACTGCCAAAAAAGTCCGCCCTTCTCACCCTGTTCATCCCCCATTTCTTCATCTACGCGGAATCTGTGCTGGTTACGGGAATCGCAATGTCCTATTAGAGAGCGTTTATAGAAAACATCTGGAATCGCGCACCTATTCGATTCCACTCCGAATCCCTGCCCCCGTCCGACGGCAGCCTCCCGATCCTCCATCCTCCCCGGACACCCCCCCGTTCACGATACACGCCTCGTCATGTCTTCCAAAACGCCCCCCTCCGATACCCAGAGCAGTAGTCCCTTGGGACAAAGCTCTCGATCGACATCAGCCATGACCGGGAAAGAGACCCCAACCCCCTCAAACACCGATGTCGAGATGAAGACCATGCAGTCCAATGCGCCCAAGGGCTCTATCCCCTTGGGTGAGGATATCATGCAGCTGGCTCGCATTGGAGAGATCGGGGCGATGCAGAATCTGTTTGCGACAAAGAAATTGACTGCGAATCATCGAGATGAAGAAGGAATTACTCCGCTACACGTTTGTTTGCCCAATCCTCCCTGAGGGTCTCCCCTAGTCCACCCGCGGAGATTCAATGCAGTAAACCGGTCCAGCTAACTCGTTAATGTGATGCCAGTGGGCCGCAATCAACAATCAATACGCCATGTGCAAATTCCTCCTCGACGCCGGAGCCGACGTGAACGCAAAGGGCGGAGAGTCCGTGGCTACACCAGCCATGTGGGCAGCGCAACGATGCCACTACTACATCGTCAACCTGCTACTCACGCACGGCGCAGACCCGCTCCTCACCGACGTCCAAGGCTACAACATCCTCCACCTCGCAACCATTGACGGAAACGCTTTCCTAGTCGTCTTGCTCCTGCACCAGGAGATCCCCGTCGATGTAGTCGACCAGCAAGGCCACACAGGCCTGATGTGGGCCGCCTACAAGGGCTACCCAACATGCGTGGACCTATTCCTGCGCTGGGGCGCCAACGCCAACGCCGTAGACGAGGGCGGCCTCACACCCCTGCACTGGGCTCTGGTCAAGGGCTCACTGCCGTGTGTCTTGAAGCTGTTGGAATACGGCGCGGACCGATTCGCGGAGACCCGCGACGGAAAGTCGCCCAGTACAGTCGCGCAGGAGATGAATACGATGCGCATCTGGTACCGGGCTCTTAATGAGCGGGGCTATGAGCCGGATGGGACGCAGAAGGAGGTGCCGATGGGACTGGCGATTGTCCGGAATAAGAGCACCATGGCGAAGTTTTTCTTCCTGTGGCCGTTCCTGACTATTCTTCTTGCGCTTTGGATGCTGAGCCATATCTCGGTTTTCCTTAGTGTGCCGCTGACGCTGGCGACGCTTTTTGGGATGCAGTGGTCTGCGCAGCAGTTGGCGAACCGAGGTCCTTCGGAGTATCGGATTTTGCAGAAGACGGTATGTTATCTTATAGCAATAACGGCTGTGCTTTGATTGGAATGGTTTACTAACACTGTGTAGCCGTACTTGGCTGGTGTCTTCGCAGGCACATTGTTCTGGGTCGGCTTTTGTTATGTTTTCAGGGTATTGCCAGGTGAGTTTTGGAGATTTGAGGTTGATCAATGCTTGCATCGGAGAATTTTGCTGACAAGGGAAATAGCCACATACTCTTCATCCCCGATTTTGAACATTCTGTTTGCCATCTTCTATAGTCTTACGGCCTATTTCTACATCTACGCCATGATTCAGGATCCGGGCTATGTGCCCAAGATCAGCAGCCGGAACCAGCAAAGGGAGATGGTCAAGCAACTCTTCGAACTCTGGAAGTTTGACGAGGAAAACTTTTGCGTCCCTTGCATGTCGCGCAAGCCTCTCCGCAGCAAGCACTGTCGCCGCTGTGGCCGTTGCGTTTCGAAGCATGACCAGTACGTTGAGCTTTCACCCGAACTATTTCATTAACCCAACTGCTAACCACATCAAAAGCCACTGTCCCTGGATCGACAACTGTGTCGGAGCGAACAACCTCCGCCACTTCGTCCTTTACATTGTTTCCCTCGAAATCGGCATCATCCTGTTCGTCCAGCTGACCGTTCGCTGTGAGTAGCCCCTTCACTATTACCATCCATCCAAACAACCCCCCGCTAATCCCACCAGATATCAACGCCCTCCCAGCCCCAACAGCTGCATCCTGCAACGTAATCAACGACGCCTTGTGCAGCTACGTCACCCGCGACACATTCACCCTCGTCCTCAACATCTGGGTAATCCTCCAACTAGTCTGGGTAACAATGCTCTGCGCAGTCCAACTAGTCCAAATCTCCCGCAATCAAACAACCTACGAAAACATGCGCGGCCACCACATCGACCGCTCATACCCAAGCTCCCAAGCCTTCGCCTCAGCAATGACAGCAGGAACAACCTCCCTCGACGCAGCAGGCCTCTCCGCCACGGGCGCAGGCCCCAACCCGGCCCTCGCCAGACCCCCGCCCCCACGCCGCCGCCACGGCAACTGCTTCTCGCAATGGTCGGCGCTACTAGGCATCGACGCGTTCTTCGCGACAGCAAGAGACGGTCTCCGCGACGGACAGGGTCAAGCAGCCGCCCGACCCCGCAATCCATTCTCGCGCGGCTTGGCGACAAACTGTCGCGATTTCTGGTGCGATCCGGCACCTATCTTTGGCAAGAGACAGACTGGTTCTGCGATGTTGGCGGGTGAGGTCGTTAATTATCATGACATGTATGAGACGCCCATGCGGATGCATACGGGTGCGCGGTCGAGATCCGGTGATGGGGGTGCTTATCGGAGTGTTGCGGGTGAAGATCCTGAGCGGATGGTTTGATCTGGTTTGGGGGTTGTTCTGAGTCTGAGTGTGCTTTACGCAGTTCATGGTGGTGGTTGGTGAGCATTAATGACCCATATGTGATTACAGCTGTGTTTTTTCTTTTTCCGGGCCATGGCGGCTGTGAGATGTGCATTGCGTTGGGCATGGGTTGTCCGTGTTATGCATTTGGAGATTAGTGAGCTGGGCTTGTGCTTGGCTTTGTATTGTACAGTGGACTAGAAATAATGATTATCTTAGCCTTATGTTTATTTCTGATATCACTGGCCGGGTCCTTGGCTGGTAGCGGCTATTCTATTTATTACCTTGAAAGACTCGGAGTAGGTAGGAACTTGTCCGTACTGCGGCATTCGGATGATGTAGTATCATTCAAGTTGGAACGCATCTTTAGCAACTTGAAAGAAAGATATTATTTCCAAGGTTCAAACTAGTAGAGCTCCCCTTTCGGAGATCTAGGTACATAGTTAGCCTGTTTGCTACTGATGATGACTACTATTTAGCACGACGCCCAGGACTCCCGAGGTCAACAACAGCCATTAGTACCTACAAGTAGTCAACTTGAATTCACAAGGGTACGGGACGGGCAACTAGTAGTAGGTCAACCTTGAAGACACGATCTTACGCCCCCCAAAGAACTAAAACGAAAAACAAACGTCTGCATTTTGCGTTCACTGTCATATATGGGGGAGGATACGATGTTCGGACCTCAAGGCCCGGGTCCACCAGGGTAGGAAGTTCAAGTTATTACTAGTAAGAGGGCTCTAGTTCCTACCTAGATACAACCCTTGAAGTGAACTTGAATCCAAGCTGTCTACAAATCATACTGGCAGTAGGTACGGAATATATATATGCGGCGTTTGCCCTAGATCTGGGGCTTCCTGCCCTGGTGGTTCAACTATTTAGTACTAACTGGTAGGAACTAGTGATTCAGTTAACTATAGGGTCAGCGGGCATGTGTGCAGGAAACAAGATCATATTAGCAATACATTTTTCGGTAGGGTTGAGTTGGGTCTAGTTATCTGTATCATCTTCAGTAAATGACCGCATGAAGTGAGTACTATCCAGTCTGAAATCGCCCAATGAAGGGTTGTACAAGTAGTAGTACTAGTTAGTAGTAACTACTTCACTAGTTCCTGTCTGCAGCCGAGAGAACTTGAACTCTTCGGGTTGCCCGGCCATAGAAAGTGGAAAGTGCGCCAATAGCAACTCGTAAAATTGGAAGACACAGAAGTACGTAGTAGGTACGGAGTACCTAGGTAGTAGTTAGTAGGTACAATATACATACTCCGCAGGACAAACGGCCCACACTTGGACTAACAAGGAAATTGATGAGACGGACCCTGCAGCAACCAACCTAGACAGACAACCTGGTTCCAAAAGTCAACTCGGACGACGATCTATCCGCAATATTCCAGAAACCCGCCCAATTCCGCCTCATACTCCGAGCCGGAGACCGAGCCGGGATACAGCGCGGTCTTTGGCGAGGAACGTATAGCGGTGGGGAAGCAGGAATATCCACTTTCCTTCGAGGCGACAGCTGGCATGTACAGTACAGTACTTTAGTCGGAAGAGACGAACCAAGGAACTGACGTGTGGGAAATTGGTCCGAGCCGTAGGGCATGGCCAAGAGCTCGGGAGAACAGGGGAAGACATGATCTGATCTAATCTGATATGATATGATATGATGTGGTCTGATGTCCGCGAAAAGCGCAGTAAGCGAACCGCCGGCTGGCAGGAAAGGAGATGAGGCCGGACGCCACGACAGGGGTTGGAGTGTCGGTGGAAGCTGGTGAGAGATGTTATTGGATGTTGAGTTGAGGTGGGAATGGATTTGAATGCAGGGTCTTCAAGTTGTATGAAGGATGGTAATTACGTTGGATTTAATTCACGTTGCTATGCCTGATACAATCATTTGACTTCAACCTTCGAAGTTTCTAACTGTTTCCTCTTCTAAGTAAAGCATGTAGGTGTACCTAAATATACGGTAAGCTTTAATTTCACAGGACTCGCTTGACTCTTCAAGGGTGACAACTTTGGCTTGGATCTTTTCTCGACTCCGTTGCACATTTCCATGTATTTACTGTAAGTACTCATCAACTCAACTCAAGTCTAGCCCAGCCCAGCCTGAACCCGTAATGCGTATGTACATACAACGACTCTCCAAAACCTGCAGATGCAAGCCGACTCCACCGGGACCTGCCCCATGCATTCAACAACCCAACCGGCTGGGAGGCGAGCGAGGGAGCGAGATGGGATGGCGTGGAAGCGGGTCCTCGGTAGCCGGAACGACGAGGATGAACGTGGGCATCTGCATCTGCTGCATCTGCTGGCCTGTCTGGACGCTTTTGGTACTCTGTACAACTTGAAATTATGGAGTCCATATCCGTACACGAGGTGTGTGTGTACCCCACACCTCCTGCCGGGTTGGACTGAGCCAGCCGAGAGGACCGGGCGTGAATGGTAGAGGGTCCATCTCGCTAAACAGTATAGGCAAGTGATAGACGGGGAAGTGGGAATTGCTGGGTGGGCTGGGGACATGTAATTGGAGATTAGATCCTAGCCTAGATTGTGCCAAACAAATAGAAAAAAGAAAGGTGCGGTGACAGCCTGAGGAGTTCAGTTCAATGTCTGGACTACGCGCCATACGGGAGTGGCAAGACCCGACAGAGTGGTATACCATGTACAGATGTACTGTACCATTTTATTTAATTTTATTTTCCCCGGTGCAGTCCAATTGCCAATTAGACCGGGAATCGGAGTGGGATTCTGATCAGATAAAAATTTTCGCCCGGAAGTTATCTGATTGCGCCACGCTGGACCCACTCCTTTTTTTTCTTTTTTCTTTTTTTCTTTTTCAGTGTGTGTACCACTATACGGGGAGTATGTAACCGTGTACAGAGTACGGAGTAGGACAGCAGGTAAAAAAAGTACCGTATCTACTCGCGCACTACTGAAATACAGTTGCAAGAAATTGGTCTGGATTGTTCTCTCCCCCACTATGGAGGGAGGGAGAAGGAAACCGACGAATTTCCCGATTGAGATTAATTGACTTGACTTGACATGTGAAGTACTTACTTTACATGTACTATGTATGCTTAATTTGTACTCCGTACAGAGGAATCAAGTAGATTAAAGTCATTCTTTTCTCCAAATTGCCACTTTCCTTCAGGGGATGAACAGGGTCTCGGACAGGGACTCGAACCGATCAGCGCGCAGATCATCGCTTACGCAGGTCAACGACAGGCCCCAGTCAACGGGGGACTCGGCTAGACTCAAGGTCAAAGGTCCTCTTCGCGCGGTTTCCGATGACTTTTCGTTGTGGGTGGTTGGTCTTGGCGGACGGAATACTAGTACACGAAGTAATTCAAGTTGTATTCTATCGTGGATCCACTTAGTACTATACAGTATACCTAGGTACAGTATATCTGTATCTATCAGGGTACTAGTATTCCATACCTAGTTTCGTATGAAGAAACCAAAATTAATTTCCCACTAGATCATACCATACTTCGAAGCCCTGTCTCCATCACTGTCGCTGTCAGCCTCAGTACTCCGTACTCCGTACTGACTCCGTAGTAAGCCGTATGTGCGGACTGAGGCGTAAGAGGGCTGAAACGTTGCTAGTGATCTCGGCAGAGGTAGCCTCTTTGAGTGTAGAGGGGTATTCCAAGCTACTTGGCTACTCCAAGAAAAAAAAAGATATACCAAGTCGGTGGGTGGGTTATTGAAAAAAAAAAAAAGTCAATTGAAGAAGAAGAAAAAAGCCGTTCTCTCATTAAATTTCCAATTTCCAACAGTCTAAAAACAAATGCCGCGCGTAGACTCTAACATAGCAATTGAAAAAGGGGGTATGTGAGAAGAAAACATTGAAAGTCAGTTGTGCGTAGTTGTTTTTTTTTTGGCAGCCATAGCCATAGCAATAGCCATAGCCATTCCATTCCATCTCATCCGCCTCTCCTTACCCTCTCACTCACCCCGACTCCGGACCCAGTTCAGATCGGATTCGTAAAGGTAGTAAGAGAATATTAGGAAGAAAAATTGTATCACTCCATTTTATTCTTTTCTTTACAGCATGGCACGGACCCGGGTGTCCTGCACCACAGTACCAGCAAGCTGATCTTCAAAGACAGAGTTGACAATCTCGCCACCACGGACGGCAAGAATAGACAACAAGCTATCGCTCAAACCGTGAGTCTTCTCGTTGCATCCTTGCAACCAGATACCCGCGTCTTGGCTGACCTTGCTGCTGTCGAGGTTGACGCGGTAATCACGGCCAGGGGTCCAGACGCTCTGTCCAGCCGGTCGTAGAGATCGCACCTGTTCCAGCAGTTGCTCGTGTGCGTCGCGCTGGTAGCCCGTTGCCACCATGACGGCGTCGACTTCCAGTACCTCCTTGCCCTCGGCGCTCTCGTCCTTGACGGACTTGACGTGGATGCGCATGCGTTGAGCTGGGTTGTGGTGCTCGATGCGAGCGACGCGGCGCTCGGGGAGAATGCGGTGCTGCCACTGGGTTTGGTCTGGGTTGCGCACGCGTTGCAGATACATGGTGTTGTAGATCTCTTCGATGAGCTCCAGGCGGACGACGGAGTAGTTTGTGGCTTTTTCGGTGGCGATGCGCTTGTGGCGCTCTTCGGCGGGGAGGTTGAAGAACTTGTCCACGCGCTCGGGGTTGAAGATTTCGTTGACGCTGGGAGGTTTGTTAGCTATATCCTTCATTTGATTTGATTCGATTCGATTCCACTGTCTGGGACATCACGTACAAGGGAGAGTCGTCACTGGGACGCAGAGCTGTGTCCCGCAGGATCAAAGTAGTGCGGGAGTTAGGGTAGCGGCGCTGCAGATCGTGGAAGATCTCCGCGGCACTCTGGCCACTGCCGACGACGGCAATGTTGTATGCCTCGGACTCGTTCTTCAGAACATTAGGCAGGACGGTGCAGTACTTGGACGAGTGCATGATGCGCTGATCCTGGGGGAACCCGGGAGGCATCTTCGCCTTACCACCCAGAGCAACGACGACCTTTCTCGACCGGCGCGAAGTAATCTCGCCCGTCTCGCTATTGCGCGAGCGAACAACAAAGTATTCCACGACACCATTGCTCTCCTTACCCGGCACCACGTCAACGACCTCTTCGCCGTAGGAAACGACGTTGTTGAAGCGCTGCGCACACCAGCGCATATAGTCCTCGAATTCCATGCGCGCGGGCAAGAACGTGCCCAGGTTGGTGAAGTGGATCAGACGGTCCTTGTTGTGCAGGTAGTTCAGGAAAGTGAAGCTGCTGCGCGGGTCGCGGAGGGTGGCCAGGTCCTTGATGAAGGAGATTTGCATGCGCGAGCCGGGGACCAGCATGCCCGAGTGCCAGGCGAATTGCTTCTGGCGCTCCAGGAAGCAGACCTTGGGCTTGAAGTTAGGGTTCGGGGTGCGGCCGAGGGCGGGGTCGATTGCGTCGTTGAGTGCAATACCAATGGCCAGGGAGGCGGGACCGAATCCCACGCAGAGGAGATCGTGCATCTCATCTGCGGCGGCGGAGCGCAGGAGGGAGCGGGTGGGGGATGATTGAACGCGGGGCTCCATGGCCTTCACGTAGGGGAGCTCGGCCTTGCGAGCAATGGGCTCCATTGTGTAGTAGGTTTTTTTTTTTTTGGAGGATCGGGAGTGACAGCAAGAGCAAAGGAATTCCCGTGAAGAAGAAAGGTCGGAGAGGGGAAGGAGTATGAAGGAGTATGGAGGAATAGAGCTCAAGCTAAAGAAAGAAGCTTTCGGAGCTGGTGAGAGAAGAGAAGAGTCGAAGAAGAGCAGGTCCGGCTGGGTTATGTATGTCCAGCAACAGTCACAGTTCAACAAGAGTAATACTCAGGTGGATCTCATCAACTCTCCACACCGGATATTTCTGTCTTGGGAGAGTCGGATCGAGGCGAAGCTGTCCGAGTCGTGCAATGGAAATAATAAATAATAAATGATAAATGATTTTATAAATGATTTATTTGTATTGTATTGTTTTAATGGTGCTCCACCGCCCGGGGGTTGGTTGTGTATTGGTGATACCTGGTGATGCTTGGCTGTATTTCTGGTATACTCGGTATAATCGGTGGAGTGTTGGTATTTGTGGTATTTGTGGTATTCAGTGGTCAAAACCGCTTGTCTCAGATTTCGTGCGGATCTGATAACCTTGACCACGTAAGATAAAAGGGAGATGAATTTTTCTCAGTGGATACGTTGGGCCATAACAGGGCGTATTATTTCCAAGGTTCTTAGTTATCAATCAGATCAGTAAATCAGTACTGACAATACTGAGGGAGTAATTTATAGGGAAGGTGTGTTATCCTTTTATGGTGGGATTATAATATTCCTTGATTTAATCCGGCTTATTCTGCCTATTATTAATTCGATGACCATCTCTTTTACTTGAGAAGGTCTCCACTTCGAGTGTCAGTTCCTGCACATGGCGAGGCCTGCATGCTTGGCAACAAAAATTAATTTAGCATTTTCCGCCAAAAAAAAAGCAACTTGTCCGTACGGAGGAGAGGTAGGATGTTCATTTGGTTCTTCTACGGAGTACTTTGTCCGATGTCGGGAAAACCGGGTATCAGTTACCAGTACCACTACCTACCTTGTACACGGGAGACCTCCGATGTACACAAAGTAATACTACTATACAAGTAAATACTAATATCTCCTTGGCAGTGGGGGATGAAAATTCAAACTTACCTAGGTACCCTAAGGGGGACCTGAACTGACTTTGGCCGTCGTTTATGTTTCCTGAAACGTGGGGCCATTGCCATTCGGGGCCATCGAAGATCACAATCTGATTGTTACCCGAGCGTTAATTTCTCCGCGATCTCTGCTGGATGTCCGAGGGTATGATGTACAGGGTATACAGGGGAACCTTGTATATTCTGTTCCTAGATGGTCGTGATGCACACACCTTTTGGAATAAACTTTCCTAGAATTCTATTCTCATTCGATCATTCATCATGATTTGAACCCTGTTCTCCCTCACCAACCTCGAGTACGACGCCTGTACGTCATCCCAGCGAACCACTGGCAGCTCGTGTCGACCCACAATCCAACGTTGCTAACTCCGAGCTCTCTGCATCTCTCCAATCTTCTCTCCATCCCGAGGTTTTTTTTTTTCTGATTTTCTATTTTTTTTTTTAATTCTGTGCCCTCAAGCCTCCCCCAGATGGAGACACTACAGTAGTCACAGTAGTGTATCGTCCATTCAGAAGCTCGACAATAAGCAGGAAAAAGCAAGGACAAAGCAAAAAAGGAACCAAGAATTTGTTTAAAAAAAAAGAAAACAAAATACTCCAAAAAAGATCCCGAAAAAGCGCCACTTCGGAGAAAAGCAGAGCAACAGGCCATCCACCACCTTCCCACTTGGCTTCTTTTTCGCGCTTGTCTCGGCCCTGCAGGCAGATCCGCCCCTCCCACTTCCACTTCCACTTTCACTATCACCACCACTCCCCTCTCTCTCCGATCACACCCCTCCCGCACAGTCATGATATACTTTGTGATTGGAATTCGCCATTTACCCCTCATCGCATGGCCTTTTCACTCGCACTCTCGCCCTCTTTTTTCGTGATTCGTGAACACGGCCCTCTTCTGCCGCTAGTTGGACCTACTGCCCCCCCCTCCACGCGGCTACCACCTGCATAAGCACCCAAGACCCTCCTGGGTCCAACCAGCCACTCACAGCCCTCACAATAAGCAATCTATAAGCATCATTAGATCATGTCTGATTGATTGAAACAATCTGCTTTAGATGGACCGTTTTACCCAAATTCCCGTTCATCATGGCGAGAACGGCGCCCAACGCGCTATATTCCATGATGTGGAGACTCATCGCCTTCCGAATGAGCTCGTCGCCGTGTCTTGGGCCTTGTTGTTGAGTTCGTGCGCCGGAGAGCAATCTCAATCTCCCGTTTTTCTCCTGAATGGGGATCCGATCAAGGTGGATATAGCTACTCGCACAATCAAGCTGGTAAACTTAGAAAGTCCGCTGGACTCTGCTTCATCTCCTGCTATAAATTATTACTCCAATTTCTCCACCGCTGTGGTCATTGAATGTGAAGATTCAACCCTCCAAGACCGCTCTTTCAGCACTCACAAAGATTTCTCGACTTTTTCTTCTTCACCTTCATCAACATCTTCACTTTCACTATCCCCTTCTTCTTCAGCTTCAGCTTCGGATTCGAACTCCGCTTCAGTTTCCCCTCTTTTAAGCTCTACCACTACTCCCACAGCCACTCTGTCTTGGACTCTGAACCGCAAATCTCAGATGAGCGTGCTGCATTCTACTGCAGGCATGGATGCAACCACCTTGCATCAACTCGGCAGCCAGCTGAAGCAGATCGTGCATGAGCAAGTCATTCAGTCTGACAAGCAGATAGAATTATCCACCCCGGAATTTCCTGCATTGTCAATTTTAAACCCTTCCCCAGAGCTGTTATCAGGCCCACAGCTTCTCCACGAGCTTGCCTTGAGCGGTTCTAATGACTCCAACAATGCCATCGAGTTTCTGGCCGCGGATGGAGGCATTCGCAGTCTTTCTTATAATTCGTTAGACCAACTATCCTCCAAACTAGCAACGGAAATTATTCATGCTTCGGCTGCACGAATGAGCGATGGGCGGAAACTGGTCGTCCCCGTTCTCCTACCACAATCCCTCGAACTGTACATCGCCTGGCTGGGAATCCTCAAAGCTGGCGGAGCATTCTGTCCCCTGAACACCGACGCTCCGCCTGACAGGATAGAATTTATCTTGCAGGACGTTGCTGCATCCGTGGTGGTTACGCAGAGTAGCTTGGTGGCTCGGGTTCCAAAAGACGAACGCCTGGCAGTGATCAAGGTGGAGGAGATTGTAAACTCAACGGACAATCTGGAGATTTCCCGACCAATGGCACAGGCCTCACCTTCTGCTACCGATCTGGCCTACGTGATGTACACATCTGGATCAACCGGTCGCCCGAAAGGCGTGGGCATTTCCCATTTGGCTGCTACCCAATCTTTGCTCGCGCATAATGACTTGATACCCCATTTTAATCGCTTCCTTCAATTTGCGTCGCCTACTTTCGATGTTTCCGTTTTCGAGGTCTTCTTCCCTTTCTTTCGCGGGGCTACGTTGATCGGCTCCGACAGGGAGCAAATGCTGCTTGATATTTCTCACGTCATGACTGAAATGAGGGTCGATGCGGCGGAGTTAACTCCCACGGTAGCCGGGGAGTTGCTGCGCACGCGAGCAGCGGCGCCTTGTTTGAAAGTGCTCCTGACGATTGGCGAAATGCTCACGAAGCATGTCGTGGAAGAGTTTGGCCAGTCTGAGAATTCAGAGGGCATTCTCCATGGTATGTATGGCCCGACCGAGGCTGCAATTCATTGTACCGCAGCCACGAATTTCCAAGCCGACTCTGCGGTCAATTTGATCGGGAAACCGTTCAGCACCGTGTCCGCGTTCATCATGTCATTGGAGTCGGAGGACAAATCCCAGACGAATGCTGAGCTTCGGCCTCTTCCAATTGGCCAGATTGGCGAGCTTGTGGTGGGCGGTTCTCAACTAGCAGATGGATATATCAATCGTCCGGAGGAAAATGCCAAAGCGTTCATTGAAAGCCCGGTCTACGGCCGACTCTACCGCACGGGTGACAAAGGGCGCATGTCATCAACGGGTGAGATTGAGTGCTTTGGACGAATCTCTAGTGGCCAAGTCAAGCTTCGAGGCCAGAGGATTGAGCTCGGAGAGATTGAAAATGTCATTTGCAAAACCTCGAATGTGCGAGCCGCCGTTGCTATTGTTAGTGGTGGTAGCCTGGCAGCATTTGTCCTGGCGAATGACCAGGGCACCACGGACCGTGAGCTGCGAGATACCTGCCGTCAATGGTTGCCCCGGTTCATGGTACCCGGCGAGTTCATTTTGATCTACCAATTCCCTCAATTGCCATCGGGAAAGATTGACCGAAAGGGACTTGAGGCTGATTTCGTGCGTCGCCGCAATGCTGCCCAATCTGTCGACCAACTTACTTTCCGCGATGAGGTTGAGGAGACGATCGCATCTTGTGTGTTCGACGTGCTCGGAAAGAACGTACCAATCAATGATTCTTTGGTCTCTGCTGGTCTTGATTCGCTCGCTGCTATCCGGCTCGCTTCTCACCTACTGGATATAGGGATGCGTTTGGACGTTGCGCGCTTGCTGGAGGCGGACAGTGTGGATGGGATCTGGCACCTTGCAAAAGCACAAGCTACAAGTGAATCGACAGAAGACACACAAACAGCCATTGACCGAATCCGCCAACTTGTTAGAGATGCCGGTGCAGCAAGGATAGAGGCGCTCGGACTGAGTGCACAGACTGCTGAGATCGAGCCATGTAGCCATATCCAGCAGGCGATGATACTGGAAACCGCGCGAGACACCAAGGCTTACTCCAATTGGATTGAATTGCAGTTTGAGCCCACGGTCACCTCCGATAGCGTGCATGCTGCTTTCGCCTCGCTTTTCGAGCAGAATGCGCTGTTGCGTTCTGGGTTTGTCGAAATCGGCCTCAAGGAGAATTCTTATGCTCGCTTTACCTGGAATACTCACGGTGACCAAATAATACACAAGTGTGACGCCTTCGACTATGAAATCTGTTTGATCTCAGAGAATGACCTCCTACATCCTCTGCGCCTTCAATTGAAGGACTCAAGTGATGGCGTGCGGGTGCTAGTGCATATCCACCATGCACTGTACGATGGCTGGTCTTGGCAATTGATACTGAGAGATCTCCAACACATCTTGAGTGGCGAGGAGCTTCTTCCCCCAAAGCCAACATACAGCATCATCACTGATTTCTTTATCGAGTACAAACTCAGCGAATCTGCCAATGACTCTTCAAACTTCTGGCGTGACCAGCTTCAAGGCTCTCCTTCTCTCGCCTTCCCCAACTTCCATAGTGTGATAAATGTGTCGCCGAAGACACAGGAAGCCAGCCGAGTGCTGGATATTTCCGTTTCAAATCTCAACGAGGTGTCCCATAGTCTGCAGGTCAGCCGACAGACGATATTCCAAGCTGCTTACTGTTACATGCTCTCAACCTATCTCGGCTCAAAAGATGTGACGTTCGGAACCGTCTTCTCAGGCCGCACTCTACCAGTGAAGGGAATCGAAACCGTCCTCGGGCCCTGTATCCGAACACTCCCCACGCGCATGGATCTAGACAAGATGCAAAACGTCACAGATCTCATGCTGGCAATCCAGAACATGAACCGCAAATCCCTTGAACACGGGAGCCTCCCGCTACAAGATATCAAGAAGGCTTCGGGTATCGACCCGCAACGATCTCTCTTCGACACTGCCCTCGTGTGGCAGGAAAGTATCTGGTCCGAGGACCAGAGTGCACTTTTCCACGAAATTGGCAATGGCGAATTCCTGGAATTTGCATTCTTATTGGACCTCGAGCCGAAAGAAGATAAAATTCACGCGAAGATGTCCTTCCAGCAGTCTTTATTGCCACATGAGCAGGCGCAGATCCTCCTCGAACAGATTGACGTCGTGGCTTCTATTCTCATTGAGAATCCAGCGCTGCCAATTGAAGACGTTGCCTCCCATCTTCCTTCGTCAATATTATCTATCTCGAACGCGGAACCCGAGACTGAGGCTGAGGTTGATATTCCAAGCCTGGTATCTGAAATCGAGAGAATAGCATCTACAGATCCGTATCGAAAAGCAGTGGAGGTTCTCTTGAAAGGCTCTTCTGATTCTGAGTCCATGATCATCGAGAGCATTTCCTACGCTCAATTACACTCTCGATCGAATCGTCTCGCGAATTACCTGACCCAGGCTGGCCTGCAGAAGGGCGATCTGACGGCACTCGTCCTTGAAAAGTCTATCGATATCCTGATTTCTGTCCTTGCCCTCGCTAAGATTGGAGCTGGTCTTCTATCTTTGGCTCATGATACCGATGCTACGCCCCAACTCACTAATTCCATTCTCGCCACTGCGAAACCGCGATTCTGTCTTGTTAATCAATCCGTGATTGATTTGACATTGCCAGCATCGACCTCGCAAGTTCTTATCCCAGATTCTTCGAACGACTTTGATGACTGCCTCGCCTTTTCCACGAACCATGACGGATTTCATATTATTTGTGCCGAGAATCCGAATCCGAGTCACTCAACCTCATCTCCAACGAATAACGACCTGATGAACACGGACTTCAATATTTTTTCCTTTTCCTCTTATAATCTTCAAAGCCACATCAAGGCCCTTGCGGATTCTTATCCTGCTGTTTCAAGCGGATCGAAGTTATTGCATACGTCTCCTCTTGCATCTGCTAGTGAGTACTGATATCAATATATTAATACATTGACCCATATCCTGTGGAACGCAAAGAAAGCTAATCATTGGATAGCCTTTTTTGTCGATTTACTTTTCGCATGGCACTCTGGAATCACCTTTTGTTCAGCTTCAGCATTAGACGCGCGGAACACGGGGACTTTGCCGCATATTATCAACGCGATGAACATAACGCATTTGCATTCTACTCCTTCATTATTGTCGGGTATGGGTCCGGGCCAGGTTCCCAAACTCGAATGTATTATGGCTTCTGGGGAGCCTGTGCGGGCGAAGGTGCATTTAGACTGGGCTGGGATTGGTGTTTTTTCAGGTATGCAGAGTGGCCCTGGAACAATCTAAAATCAGGACCACTTAGCTGATAATTTCGAAAAATAGGTTACAGATCTCAAGGGATTTTGGGGATCGGGACTATTTGCAATCTTGATGTCGCGGTCTCTCCGAATAATATCGGTTTACCTCTGAGGAATATGTCCGCGATGGTGATCGCGGATAAGGCGACAGGGACAGGGACAGCGACAGCGGCGCTTAATCTACTCCCTCGTGGTGCGCTTGGTGAGCTGTGCTTTGGTGGGAGCCAAATTGTCAGTAGTATTGAATTTCTATAATGTATCATGGCGGAAAAGACTAATCTTCATCTCTAGGGCCGGTTCCTTCACGCGGATGGTCGTGGTGAAGAGAAATTCATCGACCACCCCCAGTTTGGTCGACTTTATCGGACTGGTGATCGCGGTAGGATAGTTTCAGATGGCACCATATCTTTGGTTTCCGGTCTCAAAGTATCGAGACAAGATATTGATGTCGACGAGATTGAGCGTGCTTTGCTTTCTTCCGGCATGGTTGAAGATTCTGTTAGTATTGCACTGGAAAATCCCATCACTAACCAACAGCAATTGGCAACTGTCTGGACTCCGACAGAAAAGGCTCGAAAATCAACAGACTCCGAAACTCTAGAAGACATCGCCAAATACCTTCTCACTGAACTCACAACAAAAATTCCATCGTCAACAATCCCATCTTTGCTTGTTCCTATTCGTGCGATCTTCATGACAAAGTCTCACACAGTAGACTATGCAAGGATACGTCAAGAAGTTGAGCAGATGGATCCACGGAGACTTGCACTATTCTCTCTCCAACTCGATGTGGAAAATTCCGATGCTCCTCTGAGCGAAATTGAGCAGATCATTGCTGGTACGCTATCTACGGTGACTGGAGTGGATTTAAAAAACATTGGCAGATACAGTTCATTCTATAAGCTCGGACTGGATTCGCTTTCTGCAATCTCCTTCTCGCGAAAACTACAGGAATCTGGCCTCGAAAGACTTCCTGTATCGACAATTCTTCAACGCAGCTCCGTTGCTCAACTCGCAAGTGTTGCAAGTATCTTGACGAATGGACATGTGACCCCGCCAATCCCAACCGAGGATAAGCCCGAATCGGTTTTCGATGAAAATTTCCTTCGCGAAGTCAGTGATGAACTTAGCGGCGAAGATGTATCTGTCAAAAGTGTCTATCCTTGCACGCCTCTGCAGGAAGCAATGCTAGCAGCCAAATCTGGCGATGACTCGGCTTATTTCAATCACCTACTCCTGCGCGTGAACACGGATATTGAAGACTTGAAGTCTGCATGGAATCATATGTTGCAAAGGCACGATATTCTCCGAACTTGCTTCAGACCAACGAACGATAAGCGTTTCGCGTATGCGCAGATAGTGCTGGAGAATGCGTGTTTACCATGGTTCTATTTACAAGTATCCACGCAGGGACTCGATCATGATGTCGAAAGGAGAAAGTCCGAATTCGAAAGTCGCTCTCCAGTCAAAGACATACTTCCGTATTCGCTGACTATATACGCGAATCCTGCCGACAACACCGCGCACCTGTTGCTGTCTATTCACCATGCGCTTTATGATGGAGAAGGAATCGCACAACTTCTCCACGAGCTTCAGGCTTCGCTCGCTGGTGAAAAATTGCCAGAAACTACATCATTCTACAAGTTCATTGACTACATGCTCTCGACAAACACAGCCACTGAAGTATCGGATCAGTACTGGGATCGATATCTATCTGGCATTTCACCGAGCCTTCTATCAGCCCCGGCCAAAGAAAGGACGTCCGACCAGTTGGCTTCTCGGCAGGTCCAGGTAGCCCTGAATGGCTCCTTTACCTCATTCAAAGACCAGTGCAAGGGTCTTTCCGTGACGCCATTGAATGTTTTCCACGCTGCCTGGGCTAGACTCCTATCCTTCTACGCCGGCTCATCGGATATCTGTTTCGGCAACGTATTCAGCTGCAGAACGATTCCTCTCGAGGGAGCAGATCAAATTGTCGGACCGTGCTTCAACACTCTTCCAATGCGAGTCAAATTCACATCCACCTCCACAAATGCAGACATGATGAAACTATGCCAGAAACACAACAGCGACATCCTCCCCACCAATTGACTCCCCTGCGCCACATTCAGAAGCGGACTCTGCCTCTGCACGGGGGCTCGATGCTCTTCGATACATTGGTCATTCTCCAGACTAGGGGTACCGAGCTTGATCGGCGATATTGGGAACTCCTTTCCGATGAGGGCAATATGGGATTCCCTTTGATCTGTGAGGTAATTCCCGATGAGACGCGCGATACGATTCAGATTTCCCTCCATTATCAGCAGGCTTATCTGGAAAATGATATCGTGGAGAGACTTGCGCGGGACTTTGTGGCTTTGGTCGAGAATACAACTCAGTATCCTTCTTCGCAGGCTTCGGATAAGAGAGCTATCGGGGAAAATGTGCCGAAAGTATTTGAGAAGATAGTCAAGTCTAACACTTCTCAGACTATGTCCGCTGCTCGACCAAAGACTTCTCGGCCTTGGTCTGTTCAGGAGGAGGCACTCAGGGAAATTCTTTGTCAATATTCGGGAGTCGAGCCGAGCGGCGTGTTTTTGCATACGACGATCTTTCAGCTTGGGCTTGATAGTATCAATGCTGTGCAGATCTCGGGAAAGTACCATAAGATGGGATACAAGATATCCGCAGGTGATATTCTTGAGGTATGTTTTGTGCCATCTTCCCAATCCGTATCTTTTTTGGGGTTTGACGACTAATATGAATTCAGGCTGCTTCTATTGAGAATATTGCGTCTCTTCTCGATAATAGTGTAAAGGACAACTTGAAGGAAGAAGAAGAGTCATTTGACTTTGCGACTTTCGAAAGCAAGCATCTCCGCGCCGTCTGCGAACAACATCAAATTCCGTCGCAAAACGTGCATTCCCTGCGACCATGTACACCCGTTCAAAATGGAATGCTTGCAAGCTTTACCCATTCCAGTGGCAGTATGTACTTCAACACAATGGCTTTGAAGTCCCCGGTGACTCTAGATCGAGTCCTACTCAAACAGGCATGGTCAGCTGTGATGTCTCAGCACGAGATGCTTCGAACTGGGTTCGCTCAAGTACATGACCAGCAGTACCCATTTGCTATGATCACCTATGAGCCAGGAGTTGAGATCCCGTGGTATGAAATATCCCCAGGCACAGACACAGGCACCAAGGAGACAGAGACATCCGACTCTCAAGGAAAGCGGGTTCTTGAAAACCTCCATCAACCCACTTGGGCTGTGTCAGTTGAGTCAAGCGAAACCATCACGACAGTTCACTTCTCGGCCCTCCATGCAATCTACGACGCCCAATCATTGACATCGATATTCGCCGATGTCATGGAATCCTACGAAGGCAAGCTTCTTTCGCGCCGTCCCTCAATCACTGCAACCCTTGGACCCATTCTTCTCGAAAGCCACACGCAGAATACCGAACAATCGCGTGAATTCTGGACAAGCATCGCACCCGAAGCCCATTCCACCAAAATCCCTGATTTGAACCCGATCCGAATCGAAAAGAAGGACTCGAAGTTACTCGAAAGGTCTATTTGCTGCTCAGTTGCGCTGAAGGAGCTGGAAAGTTCCTGCCGAGATATGGGCGTGACTCTACAAGCTGCTGGACAGGTCGCATGGGCAAAGTTGCTTTCCGCTTACACTGGAGAGAAAATGTGACATTTGGTACCGTTCTTTCCGGTCGTAATTTATCGGCTTGTGCTCAAGATGCTGTGTTCCCTTGTTTGGTTACGGTGCCTTCGCCGACTCATATTGGGGGGGTCTAATCGTGGGCTGTTGGAACGCACGCTGAAGAGAAATGCAAGTCTTGTTAAGCATCAGTTTACGCCGCTCGCGCAGATCCAGAGGTGGCTTGGTAGTGATGAGCCGCTTTTTGATACTCTTTTTGTTTATCAGAAGTTTGCTTCGGGGCCGGTGGATGTGCGGAAGTGGGAGGTTGTTGACGAGGAGACGAGAATTGATGTATGTTTTGTTTATGGGGGCTTTTCTTTTCAAAAGTCACAGCTAACATCTCACAGTACCCCTTGTCAATTGAACTGGTTCCTCATCAGACAGATCTTGAAATCCGAATCAGCTACCGAAGTGACATCGTTCCAGACAAGCAAGCTAAGATCCTTCTCGACCAATACGATAACCTTCTGCAGCAAACCATTTTCTCTCCTGAGTCTGATTCGGATGATCATTCTGCTCTGGGAAATACTTTACTTTCTATTACGCCAGCCAAGGAGCAATCGCTGCCCACATCAGTCTCTCTTCTGCATCAATTTGTTGAACAGAACGCACAACGAATCCCAGACAAGACTGCCCTCGAGTTTGCATTTGGTTCGAGCATTGACGACCTGCAAAAGAAGGTCTGGTCCTATCGCGAATTCAACGAGGATGGTAATCGAGTCGCACATTTCCTGCAAGAGAAGGGCGTCGTGCCGGGTGGTATGGTGGCCATTTGTTTTGATAAATGCCCCGAAGCCTCTATAGCAATTCTGGGAATTCTCAAGGCTGGGTGCGCATATGTTGCCATTGATCCTACTGCTCCCATCTCTCGAAAGCAATTTATCTTGGGAGATTCCGACTCCAAGCTCCTCCTCTGCAATATCGCCAGGGAGGCTGATCTCACAGGGATTGAGGGAATTGATATCAAGGCACTTGACCAGCCTGGAATCTTCAAGGATTATTCGTCAGAGCAGCCTTCTCTCTCCCGCGAGATTCATCCCGATGATACTTCCTACTGCTTGTATACATCTGGTACGACCGGAACGCCAAAGGGCTGTGAACTCACCCATGACAATGCCGTACAAGCGATGCTGGCCTTCCAAAGACTCTTTTCCCCGCACTGGGATGAAGACTCGCGCTGGCTGCAATTTGCATCATTCCACTTTGACGTCAGCGTCCTCGAGCAGTACTGGAGTTGGAGCGTTGGTATTTGCGTGACTTCCTGCCCCCGCGATCTCCTATTTGAGGATTTGCCCGGCATGATTCAAAAGCTCCAGATTACCCATATCGACTTAACTCCCAGCTTGGCTCGCCTGGTCCACCCTACTGAAGTTCCCTCGCTATGTCGCGGTGTATTCATCACCGGCGGTGAAGCGCTAAAGCAAGAGATTCTCGACGCATGGGGCGAGCACGGAGTCATCTACAACGGATACGGACCTACAGAAGTTACGATTGGATGCACGATGCTCCCGCGAATGCGCGCCAACGACAAGCCCTCCAACATCGGACCTCAATTCGACAATGTTGGATCCTACGTTTTCCGACCCGGTACTTCGACCCCCGTTCTCCGCGGTGGTCTTGGTGAACTGTGCGTGTCCGGGCCTCTTGTCGGCAAGGGGTATTTGAATCGGGACGAACTTACCATTGAGCGATTCCAGACGCTGCCCTGGGGCGATCGCATTTACCGGACTGGCGATTTGGTGCGCATTCTGCATGATGGCAGTTTCCAGTTCCTCGGTCGTATCGATGACCAGGTCAAGCTTCGCGGGCAGAGACTTGAGATTGGAGAAATCAATGAAGTCATCAAGCAGTCTACATCTACTTTGAATGAAGTAGCCACTTTGGTGCTTAAGCACCCGAACCAAGCGAAAGATCAACTGGTTTCATTCGTCACTAGGGTTGTCGTTCCCGCTGGCACGGATAAAAAATCACGCAGCGTGGAGGTTCTGTCGCTTTCTTCTGCTCAAGATCGGGAATTCTTGTCCGTCATTAAGACTGCTTGTCACACGCGGCTTCCGGGGTATATGGTGCCCACGCACATTATTCCCATGTCTCGATTCCCTCTGTCGGCGAATAACAAGGCCGACATGAAGGTTTTGAAGGGGATTTATCAGGAACTTTCTCTGGACGATATTCAAGGGTTGAATTCTATGACTGTTGACCGGGGCACGAAGAGTTTGCATGAGGATACGATTATTTCGATTTTGGCGCAGTTCATTGGGTCCACTGATCCCGGGTCGACTACTAGTATTTCGTCTTGGTCGAGTATCTACGAGTTAGGTCTTGACTCTATTTCTGTTTTGTCGTTTGCTAGGAGCTTGCGAGAGGCGGGTTTTCCTCAAGCACAGCCGTCGCTGATTATGAAACGTAAGTTGAGTTTGAACTTGAAGTTTCTTTATGTTTGGTTCTGGTGGATATATATCTCTAACCTCCCTCTCAGATCCCACTGTTTCCGGATTAGCGACAGCCCTGGAAGAATCGAAGGCTCCATCTACGTCATTTGACAGTCTTCATAGACATGCAAAGCAAGCCATGGAGGCCTTTGCTCACAAAAATTCTCACTCTGTCATTGAAAGCATCGGCGTGTCGGATGGGGATGTCGAGCAAATTGCCCCTTGCACCCCGCTCCAGGAAGGTATTATATACCATTTCCTGTCGAGCCCCACACCCCTCTACTGCTCTTCATTTACTTTCGAACTCAACGCGTCTGTGGACCTTGAAAAACTCCAGGCTGCCTGGAAACAAGCACAAAGTGAAGTCCAAGTACTACGAACCCGGTTCTCACCATCACCCGACGGCTATGCCCAGATTGTGCTGAAAGAGGACGTACTCCCTTGGTTCCACAGGGAGGTGGACTCTGATAAGGGTATTGAAAATGCTCGGAAACAAGGGCTACAGCGATGGATTGCCGGACTTGACAGTCTCAGCACACAGCTGTGGGAAGTTGGAGTGATCACAGCCCCTGGAAGTCGTCTTTTGTGTCTCAACATATTCCATGCTCTCTATGACGGAAACAGTCTCAGGTTACTTCTCGAACTTGTTTCGCGGATATACCTAGACGAAGACAACGGTTCCGAAAAACCGCCCAACTTCCTCGATGTGCTTCACTTGGGCCCTCTTTGCAAGGACCCTGCTGAAGAAAAGTTCTGGAAAGACCATCTTGCAGACTATTCGCACAAATTCTTGCCTGAGACCGAACGGTACCGAGGTCGGCGTGGAGTCCACTGTACAGATAATTCGAATCGATGGAATCGAGTCTCTGGATCATCTCCGAAAATCGCTCAACGTTACCGAGCAAGCGATTCTTCACGCCTGCTGGCTTCTGACGCTCTACGACCATTACTCATTCGTGCCATCATTAGGTATCATCGCTTCTGGTCGAACGATCGACGTGCCAGGAGTCACCGATATCATTGGTCCCCTGTTCAACACCATCCCAAGCAATGTACAGCTTCGTGGCTCGAAATCATGGTCAGAAGTCGCGCAGCGATGCCATGAGTACCACGCTTCGACAATTCCCTTCCAATACACTGCTTTGCGGGACATAGTTAAATGGCTTGGACAGAATCCTGATGAGCCACTTTTCGAATCACTTTTCGTGTTCCAGAGAGACAATGCCGAGGGCGAGTCCTCAACCAGCAAGCTCTGGAACGCACAAGATGGAGAGGCCCAGCATGAATACCCCTTGGCATTTGAAATTGCGCGCAATGGCAATCAATCACTCACCGCTACGCTTGCTGCCAAGGGTGAAATTTTGTCACCAGAGGCAGCGAAGGATGTTCTTTTACATTTCCAGAATGTCTTGTCTGAATTTGCTCAGCATCCAGATAAAGAACTGCTTTACGTCAATGGTATCGCGGGAGAAAAACCGGCACTGACAAACGGCCACAATGCCAATTCCCAAGAGCCGACTGCAAAATCCGAAGACTCATCATTCAGCTGGACTTCTCAGGCCTCCACAATCCGCGATGTTATCGCAAACCTAGCCGGGGTAGAAGTGCAGTCCATCAATCCAGGGACATCGATCTTCGAAGTTGGACTCGACAGTATCGATGCAATCAAATTATCCTCCCGACTAAGCAAACATGGAATCAGACTCCCAGTCAGTTCTATAATGCGACACCGCAATGTCAAGGCCATGTCGGCGCAGCTCTCTATGGAAGATATCCCCGAGCAGAACGGATCATACCCGAGACTCACCCATATGACCAAGGCACTAACCGAGTTCCTTGAAAGGGAAAATCTCGTCCCTCAGGGCGTCAGTCAAATTCTACCTGCTACGCCAATCCAAGAAGCCATGATAGCAGAAATGACTGCCTCGGAATTCCAGCACTACTATAACCACGAAATCCTGCAGCTGGAGCCGAACGTGGACCTGACGAGACTTCGAGAAGCCTGGAGAACAGTCTTCAAGTCCCACCCTATTCTCCGTACGTCTTTCATTGAGATCTGGGATCCGAAAATACCCGCTTCATATGCGCAGATCGTGCATGGAGAGGATACATTTGATTTCCGAATCGTGGATTTGGACGGAAAGCCCGTTGAGTCAATCATTGAGACTCAGCGCATAAGAGCCATGACCCAGCTGTCAAATTCTCCGCTGCTCAGTCTGACCGCGGCTATAGAGGGAGATGAAACTTATCTCGTCTTGTCGATTTCTCACGCTCTCTATGACGGGTGGTCAATCAATTTGCTCCACGAGGACGTTGCCCGATCCTATAATGGCGAAGACTGCATGCGACCACGTCCCGACGCTATTCTGGAGCAAATACTTGAATCATCAGGGGAGCGATCACTCAGTTTCTGGAGAGCAACGTTGGCAAACTGCACGCCGGTGTCTTTCCCGGCTGGGAAGAATTCAAAGAAGGATTCAAGCGTCGTTCATCGTGCAGAGCAGTCCTTATCCGTCTCATTTGACAAGGCCGAGACCTTTTGCCGACGCCATGGTATTACTATGCAGGCACTACTCGTCAGCTGTTGGTCCCTTGTTCTGGCTACACGTGTCAAGAGACTGGACGTTATCTTTGGCCTCGTCCTTTCTGGTCGGAATGTGGCTGATTCCGAAAATGTGATGTTCCCGACGATGAACACGGTTGCGATGCGTGTCATTTTGCACGGCTCGCGGTTGGATCTCGTGAAGTATGTCCAGGAGACTCTATTGGAGATGTCGGAGCATCAGCATTTCCCGCTTCGACGGGCGAGACCGGATGCGCGGGTGCAGAATCTTTTCGATACGTTGTTCATTTATCAGAAGAGACCTGATGAGGAGGAGAAGAAGAAGTCAGGGGAAGGAGAGGCTTTGTATAGGTCTACCGGGGGTGCGTCTGATGTGGAATACCCTGTTTGTGTGGAGGTTGAGGGTGTTGGGAAGGAGCTTGTTGGCCGGGTGGCCTGCAGGGGAAGTGTCTTGGGTGAAGAGGATACACTTGTGTTATTGGAGCACATGTCCCATGTGCTGTCATCGATTATCAACGAACAGTCGAAACAGACTGTTGAATTTAGCAGTAATGCCATGGATATCTGTGGTCACTCTGTTGTTCAGGATGTGGATGTCTCGAAGCCAGGCATCCAGAACGGAGTCTTGGCCCAGACAAATGGCCACAGCCACACGGAGTGGTCACCCATTGAGTCCACCATCCGCAACGTTCTCTCGATCGTGTCCGGCGTACCCGAAGACGCGATCCAAAAGACGGACAATATTTTCCAGCTCGGATTGGACAGTATCAGCGCTATCAAGGTGGCTGCGCTCCTCAAGAAGCAATCTGTCAGACTCGCTGTTAGCGATATGATCAGGGAGGGCACAGTCGAGAAAATGGCACACGCAGCGACAGCGAATAATGATAATGGTCAGACAGAACCCACCGACAAACAAATCTCAAACGCCTTGGCCGAGTCATTGAGCGGAATTGACCTCGCTGCGTTAGTCAAGCCTTACGACATAGATCCCGGACGAATCCAGAATGCTTTTCCAGCGACTGCTGGCCAATCCTACTTCCTGTCAATGCACAGTTTGAATCCTGAGGTCTTCTATCCGGCATTCTGCTACCTTTCCTCGTCACAATTGAGCCAGGAGATTCTAGAAAACGCATGGAGTCATCTCACAGCGCAAATACCCATTCTTCGCACGACTTTCATTCCGACCAGCGCCAGCAACCCAGGATGCCCGCCTTATGTCCAGGTCATTCTCGAATCCAAATCAGCGCAGAACCCGGTCATCTGGCATGAAAATTTCAATGCCTTACAACCGTTAGCGCTCATCAAACAAGAACGGCACTTCGGTTCAGTTCCGGTTGCCTTGCACGCCTGTCAAACGCCAAATAGAACAGCTCTGATGCTACACATCCATCACGCACTCTACGACGCCGTCAGCCTACCAGCCACGGTAGACAAACTATCCCAGCTCTGCCAATCATCCCCGCTTACCTCCGAGCCAAATTTCGATTTCGACGGCGATCTCTCGCATCTCGTGGCACTGCAGCAAATCCACTCGCCCGTTGAAAACCGCCGGCGCTTTTGGCAGCGCTACCTGGGCCGAATCTCAGTTCGTCATGCAGACAATGCAGAACAAAAACTACCATTGGTCAAGGATAAGGCCAAGGCCAAGGGTTTCGGACCGATCCAGCAGTTCTATCGACCCGGTCTGGTTCCAAATATGGCTCGTGTCGAACTAGCCGCCAGAAGACAGGGCCTTGGTGTCCAATCGATCTTTTTAGCGCTCTATTCTCGCGTGCATGCCCGGGTTTTTGCTCAAGATGCAGGGGAAAACAGTCCGCTTGTGGTGGGATTGTACCTTGCGAATCGGTCGCACATCGAGGGGTTGTCTGGGTTTACGGCGCCAACACTGAACATCGTGCCTCTGCTTCTAGACACAGATGGAAAAGATTCACTATTTGCCGCCGCGAGGAAAATCCAGGACGATATTAATGAGATCAGTCGAGAACATGTCTGTGTTTCTCTTGCCGAGATTGCGGAGTGGACCGGGGTGCGCGTCGACGTCTGTGTTAACTTCCTGCGGCTCCCGGAGATAAAGGAGGAGGGGCAGACCGTCAGCGTCAATGGACACGGGGTCGGTGTACAGTTCAAGTTGATACAGCGCGAAGACCTGGGAATAGAACACGCCCAGACCAACGGGGCCCAGAAGCCTACGACCAACGGTACCACCGCGTCAGGACTCGGATCAGGCTCGATTCCGAACCAAGCGTTTTCCCCGGAGGCGGCTATCGAAGACATCTTCATGGTAAGTGACCTATCCCGGCCATCCACATAGATCCATCGAAACGAAACGGGCACTAATGCATCTACATTACAGCCTACGATCGACGTAGAAGCAGCCATCCGTGACGGGAAATTGGACTTTGGGCTTTTCGCCCCGAGGACGCGCTTGGATGGGGTTGATGCGGGGGGGGTGATTGAGGGGGATGAGGAAGGAGATGGGATTCTTGACAGAGACGGATGAGGTCTCCTGAGAACTCCTGGAGGAGGAGGGCTCAGGGGTGAAGTGAAGGGTCAGCATGCCACGGAGTAATTCCCATCTCATCTGATCAGGGGAGCAAGGATGGGATGGGATAGGATGAGCCGGAGCCGGTCTCGGTCTCCTCCTTCGTTCTTTGGCTCCTTAAGGGGAGGAGTACGGAGTAGAGTAGAATACTTCCTATCCTATGGAGTTCTCCGTGCCTGTGCTCTCACCGAAACCACTCAGAAACGGCTGTTATTGGCGTTATTTTGTGTTACGATAGTTACTAGTTCGCAGTGATAATTTTCTTTTTTTCTTTTTCCTTTCCTTTCTTTTTCCCCTGTCCCGTGCATATAATTGCTTTTGTTGGCCCGGTACTGGCGTTGGATGTGTTCGACTCAATAAAGTGAGATTGCATAGAACGAGAGGGGCAGAGTTGTATCCCATGGGATATGGTGTGACTGTGTTGACCCACCGTGGACGCAGGTTGCGGATGCGGACGGGACGGGCGGATCTTTCTAAGGGTTGGGTTGGGCTGGGTTGGGCAGGGCTAAGGTTGACAGGCCCACTAGGGAATTTGTTAGACGTCGATATTTGCCACTCTTTATAGTACTGTACTACACAGTATATAGTAAATTGTAGGTAAATGGTAGATAGGAAATAGTAAACAAGAACCATGAAGCGAGACACTATGAAGCCATAATATGAGTAGTAGCCCCGGCTACCGGAACGTGATGGATCAGATGAGAGCAGTCGGAAGTGTGGATGAGATGGGGGAATAGGGGAGGCCCTTCCGAAGTAAGGGCGAATCCGCGTGGGTGTTGGTGGTGGTCTGTGGTGGTCTGTGGTGGTCTGTGGTGGTGGTGGCCTGTTCAGACGCGGTGGCGGTGGGTCCCTGGTTAAGCACGGCCTTAGTTCCAACGAGTAAGACTTTTCACGCTGTGAGAATTATTTGTTATTTTATCATTAGTATTTTTGCCTCTGTGAATGATAATAATAATCATAAATCAAATTTCATTTTTCCCCATAATATGAAAGTATTTCGCGCAGCTGCTCCATTAGGTGGCGTTATGTAGTGTTTGGGCTGCAGGGGAGTTTTAAGTCGGGCACCTCCCCTGGTTGGACCGTCAACAGAAGAACGCACAAAGTTACGCAGGCACAAAGGTACGGATAAAGAGAAAGATTCCCTACGTGCTCTGTGATACATTGCGCCACTATAGGTATACACTAGGCATACACTGCACCGTAACTATACAGGGTATACACACACTGTGTATATTGTTGATGACATAATTGTTTATGTCACGTCGCGTCCCCCGCCGCTAAACCGGATCGGGGATCGAGGATCAACAACGCGACTGGCGCGTTGATTAACGCCCGCCATCCTTCGACTCCATTTACATTTGACTTGCCCTTTGCTTCTGACTCTTGGCCAACATTCTCTGTCATCTTCAATCTTCCGCCCTTCCACACCTTCTCTCCACATCGATCGCGATCCCACATTCCTCTCTCGCCCTTCTTTTCGACCTCCCATCTCGCGTGGACCGACACCGACTCCGTCACCGACAACTCGACCAAGGGGATTTGCCCCCCTTGCACTGCCGTTCTTCCTTGAAACACTAGGAAGACGAAATCAACCCAACACTTGCCCCCCCCGTGTTGACTGGAAGCCGCATGTCCGCGTGTCCGGCCTGAAACATTCCCGCGCGACTGATCAACAACTCCGCGCTCTCCAGCCCACCTGGTCTCACACCGCGCGCGCGCAACTGTACTTGTTCCATCAACAACACCCACCCACCATATCTCGCGGATTGCGCTCTCGACGGGATTCCCTTTGAATTCTCTAATTGTTAATCGACAACTTGCAATGAGTGGGTGAATGGCAGCTGCTCTTCTTCCTTCGCCACTCTGCGGCTGCGCCTTCCCAGCATTCCAGTTGAGCCCTTCGTTTGGTTCGACCTTTTTGACTCACGCCCTCCCCCCCCCTCGTGAAGGAGAAACGCGTTGTTTGTCCCTTTCCCTTCCCCATCGCGTCACTCTTCAAGAGTAGACCACCCTGGAAGGGTTGGAAAACACACCTTCCTCGAGCGAACCTTTTGCGTCCTATTGTCCAAACTTTGTCAAAACAGTATCAAAACCCTATTTCATCCCATAATATTGGGTCTCCCCCGTTGGGTGATCTCCGTACGCGATTGGACCGCCTCTCATTCCCTGAGTTTGTTGCGCGGCACTTTGAGCATTCCCCAGCTTCGCCATCATGGTTGCGACCTTCTCGCCGCACCGGGACTCTGGTGGAACCCTCCATCTTCCATCGCACTCGGGCATCCATCACGTTGATGCTAGTTCCGCCATCCGCCAGCTTCGGCGCTCTTTGTCGCGCTCGCCATCCAAGAGCTCCAATTTCTTCCTCAACACTCGCAATCAATCACCTTCCAAATCGAACTACGTCTCTTCTCCATTGTCTCCTTCTCGCCGTTCCTCTCAGAGCAACTTTGTGCTCTTCCCTTCATCTGGTCAGCCTTCACCTCTTGCCGTTCCTTACCCTCCTAGTGCAAAAATCACCAGGCCGGCCATGCGACGACGAACGTCCCCACGCAGTCCGGCCAAACGTGCTCTCGCGGCGTCTGCAGACAGCGGCAACACTTTTCCATCTCAACCGATTGCACCGCCACCAGGAGAGGAAAATGATCTGACCATCGACGACTTGACGGATCCTACCGAGGATTCAATTTGTACGAATTTTGGTGTTTCAACCACCCCAGGTGCGCCGCTGAGTGAAACTCCGTTTGCGCCTCGTTCTACACTCTCGCGCATCGAAAAGCGCCGAAGTGGGACGTTTGGCTCATTTGCGACAGTCAGTCCTCTGAAGCGAAGTGACGGTATTATGAATCTCGACCAGGCCTCTCGAGGGAGTCCCTCTGCGAAGCGACGCAGCATGCATGCGCCCAATTTTACCGATTTTAGTATATTTGATAACAATTGCGAAAGCGCGCCTACAAGCCCGACAGAAGGCGAGTCTCCATCTTTCCCGACTCCCATTCAACCATTCAGTCCATTCGCCACTATTCCCAAGCGCTCTTCCTCTCTGCGACGCTCGACTTTGCAACAGAGACAGGGAGAACGGCCACTATTCGGCAAACCCCGAAGCGGGGACGGAGATATGCCTCCTGGAACTCCATTGGCAGTGCGCCCACGCATGTCCTTTGAGAGCGGTTTATTCGAGAAAGGACAAGACACTAGCAATCTTTTCTCTCCACGACCTCCAACCAGTCCTCTCTTCTCCCCTCAGCCCAACAACGCCCCTTCCGCTCTCAATGTCAACACTCAGGCTCCCCGACCTACCGCCCACCCTCTCTCTCGAACAATCACTCAGTCTTCTTCCGGTTCCAGTTTGGATGACTCGCCAACTCATGAACCAACGCACAAATCGGGCCCGCCGCGCCCCATCTTCAATTTCTCCAAGTCGCTTCCTGCTGGTGCGACTCGTCCAGCTCCCGTGCGGCGGATAACACGTGAAGATTCAGGAGAATTCGCGACACCAAATAACTATAAACTAGTGAAGCCTCTGCCCGCGGCTTTCATGTCAACTGGGTTGATCTCCAAGAAGAATCGCAATGCGGAAGATCCCAGTGGTACTGGTTTTAACAAGAACATGCCTGACACGCCTTGCAAGCGACCTGTGAATTTGTTCACTGCGGGACCCAACCCACCACCAGAGCGTCTGTTTGACAAATCTCAATCCCGACTTAGGGAGTCCGAAATTGCGCCTGAATCGCCTTTCAACCCAACTCCGTTCGTCGCACGCTCGAAGCCTGGGCCGTTTGCCAAAGGAATGGGCATCTTTGGCAACTCCTTCAATCGCCCCGAGCCCTCCCGTCGAGGAAGCGTTATCAGTGTTGACGGCGATGAGATGCAGGCTGAATCTCCATCCCGCCCTGACAGCCAACCACTCACTGATTCTGACTTCCCTCCCACTCCCACCAAACAAACATTCCTTCCTTCGGTTACTTACCCTCCTTCAACATCCCACATCGCTTCCCTTGAGCGGTTGTCAGAATCCAATTCCAGCGCTCACTCCACACCCTTGCGTGACCGCTTCCTCCAAGTAACGCCTCAGACTCCCCGCGATCAATACTTCCCTCCGGATCCGAGTGGATTGTCGATCTCCGTGCCAAACGATCAGTCACATCCCCCTGACTTCGGCAGCTCCACCAACTCGAACGGTCTTCCGGCCACCCCCACCGGTCCCCGAGAGTCCTTACTTGCCAGCAAGCGCCCTAGTCTTTCTCTGAGTGGATACCAAGCTCCCGATGTGGATCCCAGCTTGACTGCACGTTTCGAGAAGGTTGAGCTGGTAGGAACTGGCGAGTTCTCAAAGGTCTTCCGAGTCGGTCAACCGCACGATGCTTCCGTTCCTTCGGTCTTTTCGCTTGCATCCAGTGGCCCCAAGTCGCCTACCGAGTTGCCCCATCAGGTTTGGGCCGTGAAGAAGAGCAAGCAGCCTTATACTGGTCTCAAGGATCGTGAACGCCGCATTCGTGAGGTCGAAGTGCTCAAGACTATGACCAACACCGATCACGTGATCCACTTTGTCGACAGCTGGGAAGACTTCGGTCACCTGTACATCCAAACAGAATATTGCGAAGAAGGTAGCTTGGATGTTTTCCTGGCTCAGGCCGGCCTGAAGGCTCGTCTGGATGACTTTCGGATCTGGAAGATTCTGCTGGAGCTCTCTTTGGGATTGAAGCACATCCACGACCAGGGCTTCATCCACCTTGACCTCAAGCCCGCCAATATCCTGGTGACCTTTGAAGGTGTCCTCAAAATTGCCGACTTCGGTATGGCTGCTCATTGGCCAGCCCAGGATGGTATCGACGGGGAAGGTGACCGTGAATACATCGGACCTGAGATTCTGATGGGCCGTTTCGACAAGCCTGCCGATATCTTCTCCTTGGGTCTCATTGTGTTTGAAATTGCCGGCAATGTGGAGCTGCCAGACAATGGAGTGTCATGGCAAAAGCTTCGCAACGGTGATATGAGCGATGTTCCTAGCCTGACCTGGAGCTCGGAAACGAGTATCTTCCGCGATGCCTCTGGAAACCCAATTTCTGAAGAATCATCGTTTGAGGATCTCTGTGCTTCGGATCTCGGTGTTGATGACTTCGGCGACGATTTCCTCACAAGTCGCCAGCTGAATGCTCCCAAGCCCGCCCGGCTCGCCCGCAGCGGCGAACTTGTCGATCCGCCCGACTTCATGATCAACGCTCACCACGCTCAAGCGCTCGACAAGATTGTCGGGTGGATGATCTCTCCTGAGCCCCGTGACCGACCCACGGCGGATCAGATCCTCGAAACATACGGTGTTCAATTCGTGAACCAGCGTCGCCGTGCGGGTGCCACCGTCTTTGAAGGCAATTTTGGCCCTGCCGACGAGATTCTGGCCGAAGACGCCGAAATGATCGATGTGTAATCTATCTCCCCTTTTTTGACTATTGTGCATATGGAGGGTGTTCTGTGCTTTCTTTCTTTTCTTTTTCCTTTGTCATCTGTCCTCGGTGTTGAAATGACTCGGCGCTCTCTCTGTCCATTTCTTCATCTATCTCATGTCACGTTCCGATAACGATTTTTGCCTCCCTCTATTGATTTCGGGCTTCTCGGGTCGAAGCCGAGCCCGCCTGCTTTTATCTTCTTGTCGTCGACTATACATACCCCATTCGGCCGCCACGATTCGACGGCGTTTGTCTGTGTCTGTTCGAACCTGTTTTCACCCATATCTATCTCTCGTCATGACCCTGTGGAGTTTGCTGAGGGTGTATGTGTATACCCTGGAGTTTCAGCGTGGCGTTTTCCTTCGTTGTCTTTTTCCTTTTTTTCCTCTTCTCCTTGGTTCCATTTTCCTAGCATTATTAGGTGCCACGGAATGTACCAACATCGCTTCGCGACCGGGATACTCCTCTCTCGTATTTGCAGTTCAAAGTCAAGTATGTCCCGACCGTGACTGGGTCGATGTGAGCTAAGCCCGTCCGTCGCTCTTGGTTTGGCAGATGCCCTACTTTTGATGTCTCTTTTTGTTATTTTTTCTTTCTTTCTTTTGTTCCCTGATTGTGATTGATGATAATGATTCCCACCATGCTGTGTTTGTGCTAGCGAGATCTGTTTGCCTGTCTTGTCTTGTCTTGTCTTGTCCGAAGAGGAGAGTCTGTTGAGTAACCTAACCAGTTGGTTTCTATGTTCTATCTGTGTCTGTGAATAGTAGTAGCCTGGATTGAGGGGAGGGCCCAGGATGATATTAATGAATATCTGCAATGACTGTTTTTCTAAATATTGTAATCTTGTAATGGAATCTAGTGTAATAACTCTGCCTATGCCTATGCCTAGTATGCCTCCCGGCTTCCCGTCATACTACCCACTTCTGAATTTCTCCATGGGAGTCGCCGCCGCTTGGCGCAAGACGGGGTAAGGAAGATTGTGTGAGGGCCTATGTACATGGGTATCGAGCACGCATCGAGCACGCATGAGAGCGAAGGCGTTCATCTTGAACTTGTTGAATGTGCCATCTCCGAATTCCCAGGTTTAAGCTGCAGTAGTCTGACAGAATTGCGTCCGGTCTATATCGTGTCGTTCATTGATGAATCTGAGTCTGAATCTGAGTCTGACGGCTTCAAGTTGATCACCAGCTGGTTAGACGGATTCTCTTCAAGTTGGTGATAAGAGTTATCCATGCCGCCAAATGAAGTTCCCACAAGATGAACTTCCGGACTGTTGCGTTGTTCCCTTCTCGCAGCGCCTCCGTTCAGGAAAAGGAAAGACCGAATCGAATCGAATCAAACAAACACATTGCTGGAGCGGAAGGAACTTGAAGTTCGTATTTTCGTCAGTACTAGTATGTATCGAACAAGGCGAAGTGCCCAGGTGAGTTGAGTCAAGGCAGATAATTAGTACTGAGTGTGGGCATGACAAAGGATGGTTCTTTCCATGGAGGGCTTTTCGATCACGATGCTCGTGAAAGGGCCGGTATAAATAGTATAAATATAGGTGGAAATGTTTCCGAGTTTGAAGAGGATATCGATCATGCGCTGGTTGAGCTGTGTAGGATAAGAGATCTGCCATTCTGGGTGTGTGGTGGGCCATTTATGTGTGTGGCAAACTCGGTGTGTTGATACAGCACTCTTTACTTGTCGGGACGGTCCTATGGAGGGACATCCATTGTTGGGTCGGTTGGCAAGATAAATTGAAGCCTGACCGAGAACTGCGAAGCTGAAAATGAACCTGAAGCCACCATGGCAATAATCCAGCTTGGTGCGTTTCTTGCCAGTTAGGTAGTATAGAAAGTGCGAGAGGTCCCTGGAGCCAAAGTGCGTCAATGTGTTGTGAGCACTGGCAGCTTCTCATGGGAATATAGCCGAATCTGACAGATCTGGATGTCGTGTGTTGAGTGATCACAGAGGAAACTTGAATATGTGTATGAGTCAGAAACTATCTGAGGTCAGAGGACCTACATATAGCACTAGTACCTAAAAGTGTGGGCTGGCTAGGTCTACGCAACAGGACAAACGCCAGAGCGTTTGTCCTGGGCCCGGCGCACCCAAGCCCAGGGAAGGAAAAGATGTCACGACAAACGACGGAAGAAAGAGATGCGAGCTGACTTAACAGCCCCAGCCTATGTCTCCGGGGTATTAATTGCACCATCAGAATGGAATATCTAGGTAATCTAGAGTTCCGAGTCTTATAGAACTTGAATATAAGGATGAGCATCAACCTTCAAGTTCTTAGCCTTTTATTGAGATATTGACAGCCTGAAGCTCCAAGCACAATCTTTGGGTGATCTACTGCCGTCTTACACTCCACGATATTCAGGTAGACTACTAGTACTAGTACTAGTATACACAACTTGAAGCATCCCAGGTCGCCCCTACCTTATTGCTAGTAGATAGAGAGAGATTAAGGCACTTGATAAGAAGAGAGCCAATACTAAGGCTGAGATTGCTTATTCAAAAGCGATTTTCAAACGAAAAGAGATCAATATCGCCCTTGGTCAACAAGAGAATACCAATTTCCTTTGCCGTCTTGAGGCAGTTGATAATGGTTATGGTCTTTGGATGGGTGCGATCAGATCCTTTTATGACGATATTGCTTCGGCGGCGACTCGGCGTATTAGCCAAGGAGGTGATGGGCTCTCCGCCACGATTGGTGCTAGTATCCGCGATCTTGCAGATACGCATACTCAGGATTGGTAGAATTCGGTGTTGATTCGAGATGTTTTCGGTGTCGTTTCGTGTTCCATAGGTTTTGATAGTGCAATTTGCTTGTTCTGAAGTCATCTCCCCTTTCAATATTAAGCGTCCCGCTTAACCATACACATCAAATTGAATGCAAATAGTGTAGGTAGGAGCAAACAGTGATGACTCTGTCGCACTTTCTTTGCAAACGCAATTTGAAGGTTGCCTGTCATTCACTATTTTGTTGACATATCGGCTTCTTCCTTCTTCATCTCTCCACCTTTTCGACTTCACCTTTTCAACTTCACCAATCTTTCATGATGCCTGCATCTACTCGTCGAACTCGGCGTACTCGCCGTGAGCGAAGTCGCTCGCCTGCACCAGCAGCTAGTCCTATTCGAGAACGACTCGCAAGTGAGGCTATCCCGGATGGTTTGAGTGGGACAGAATCTGTCTTTACTGCTAACAGTAGGTTTCTTGATGATATACTCGAACGTCGTCCCGGTCGCTCTCCGACTCCTAGTGTCTTCTGAGCTTTTCCAATTTCCCTCATGGACCAGTCGGTGCGAATGTCAAGCTCGACGTCGTTCTTAATGCTCGCCACTATGTTGACCTCAGATCGTGTTGACCTTGATCTGAGGTTGAGCTATTTCTGAGTGAAGTGAAGGGATGGGTGATGCGACCTGAGATTGGGAAAAAGCTAGAGATGTGAGAGGCTGATGATTTGGCCGGTTCCAGCCTCAAGGTCTTTGTTCTGGGACTGTTGACATGTTTTGTCCCTTGGACCATGGTCCCAGTGATATTTGAGAGAGTCTCAGTCCTGAAATCCTGAGGTTTCAGCAGTTAGTTATGCTCCCAAATCGTCAGCCTCTCGCATCTCCAGCTTTTTCCCAATCTCAGGTCGCATCACCCGTCCCTTCACTTCACTCAGAAGTAGCTCAACCTCAGATCGAGATCAACATAGTAGCAAGCATTGAGAACAACGTCGAGCTTAACATTCACACTGACTGGTCCATGAGGGAAATTGGAAAAGCTCAGAAGACACTAGGAGTCGGAGAGCGACCGGGACGACGTTCGAGTATATCATCAAGAAACCTACTGTTAGCAGTAAAGACAGATTCTGTCCCACTCAAACCATCCGGGATAGCCTCACTTGCGAGTCGTTCTCGAACAGGACTAGCTGCTGGTGCAGGCGAGCGACTTCGCTCACGGCGAGTACGCCGAGTTCGACGAGTAGATGCAGGCATCATGAAAGATTGGTGAAGTTCGCCGTGGCCTGTATCTTCAAGGTATAGACTAAAGCACACTCAGCCATTTTGCTGGATATATGACTAACGAGCACAGACACGAATTTATATATGACAACTATATAAGCCTATGGAATGTTATTGATTACTGCGCAACTACTGTGCCAGTAACCCATGTATGCCTGAAAAGTGATAAAGTCTCGAGCTTCAAATCTCGGAACAAACTTGAAGACAATATTTGGAAGTATTGTACGTTCTCCCGCTATCTTGACATTGCCTAAAGCTCACAAATGCAGATATACCAGAAAGTATGGTTGACTGTCCAGTCTCTATTCAGGTTGTTGGGAAGCGGCTACACGAGGAATATTTACTAGGCGTCACCAAGTCACTGTAGCTTTGCTTAGAGACCTTTAGCAGAAAGTAGCCTAGGACATTCAAATTTCATGATCTTTAAACGGGCAGCATTATATGGATTCCAAGGTTTTTATTTTTATTTTTTTTTTTTAATTTGCGGTACAATTACCTCTCAAAATACAGTATAAAATGAATGAAATAATGTCCTCTTGTCCCAAATCAACTTTAGGGCGAAGATGAGCGGCCAGATCGAGAGTCATCAGAGTCGTCCTCAATCACCCTTTTATGGTTACAAATGAGTTGCACAACAAGAGGTATCTCAACGTCATCCATCTCCAGAATAACGTTAAACTTTCTCAGTTCCTGGTGATGCTCTGCGTCGAACGGGTCGCGATGTGAAATATATCTTATCATTCGTTCATACCAAACCTCCTGCAGGAAATCCATCAACGGAAGCCCATAGGTTTCAAATTGATATTCAAATTCAGCCACAAGACTCTCAAAGGGTTTGAATTGATCTCTTTGCTCCTCCATAATTTCAAAACGGTCGCATTGGTCTCTGACACGTAGCCGAAAATTCCAATGATCGTCGATTTCGGTGCAGCAGCTGTGGGCGAGCCCTAGCCCGTCGAAAGTAAGACTTCTGATAATTGAACGGCACGGCTGGGAATCTGACCGGTTGTATTCGATGAGGTGTTGAAGAAATTTGCGAAAAGCTGCGGCCTTTTCAGCGATATCTTCGGGTGCCCGATAAGGTGCCCGATAGTCGAATGAACCAATCACACGCCGGATAGCTACGGACAATGCAGTACATCCACTAACAGAACACGGACAGGAACAGGCATCTGTGACTCTTACGGAGAGTAAATTGTTCACAATTTGGTGGAGAGGGGCTCGATCCTCAACTTGGTGGAAAGGGGTCGGGTCAGGATCATTTGCCCAAAGAAAGTCGATATATATATGTTGGCCCATGTTAGCACTTATTAGATGAGTCAATGTCGTAGTTGATCTAGGAATTAAGGCTTGTAAAGGATCCGCGCCTTTGGAAATAAGCCAAGCAATTAAATCTAAATGGTACTTGGGTAATGGAGTGGAAGAGCAGTGGATCGATAGTAGTGTATTGCCGCATGGAAGTTGTTGATCCACGTCGGTAAATCCAAACTCGTGTGCCTTCTTCAAGATATGGAAAGATTCGTTCTGAGATTTGGAGTATTCGGGACTTTTCCCCAAGGGCATGAAATCCTCGCTTGCCAAATTGGAGTATACGGATTCGCCCTCGATCGGCCTCAGAAAACGGTCGACTTTAATTCCTTTCGCCATCAATGCAGCGCAGAGTCGATAGGCATTAGTATCGGGAAGACCGGTTTCTCCTTTCCTGATCTCAGAAAGCCGAGAAGGGCAAATATGTGCTTTTGCGATCTCTAATAGCTTTTTTCGTCGTTTGGCAATTTCACCAAGAAAGAGGATTTTCAATTTGCTTGATCCGGTGCGAAGTGTATGGGTGATTGAAAAGGTGTATTCTGCCTCAAATAGAACATTGCATGATTCGGCATATTGACCCATTTCGCTATCTTCGTCGGTGATTATTCCCATCCATCCGTGATGATAATCGCCTGGTAGTTCTGAGCTTGATGATTTCTCCAGTAGCAGTTCCACCCCCGCAGGCCAGCCCATCGCCAATTGAAGCAAAGGAACCGCGATTCCAAATATAATGCGGTCTAGTGATCCTTTGTTCGATTTGACAATATCCTGTAAGTCTCCGTATGACTCCCGAAGAACTGCTATATACGCAGCTGGAAGGTCAATGGCTGTAATTTAAGTCAGCCATTTGCCGACGACATCATGATAGCCTGGTTTACTCCTTACAATCTTCGTCCCTTCGCAAAATCTCTTGCATGTTTTTCTTTTCAATCCACGAGAGTGGTGGCCAGTCTATAGGACCTGCTCTTTCCACTATGCGCGGGATCAGCATCAGTGCCGCTTCGGTCAAAATATATTCACTGCATAATATTTGAAGTACGCAGCAAGACGAGTAATAATCGAAGGTGGAGCCGTAGTGAAACATGGATTTGATGAATTTAATGACATTTTGGGAGTTTTTGCACACAGGGATCTCCATGAAAAAAGGGAGCTACCATAGTCAGTGCTGCATCTTGATGGAGGGGGTTACCTTAGCTTACAGCTAGTATTGAAATAGGCCCCTTTGAGAAGCTGGAAAATTCAGGATAAGCCAGTAAATCGTTAGGAGCAGCATCTCCTCTCGAGAATGCATATTGGACTTGCTGAATGAAATAGTCGACGTCTTGCCACCCGTAGCGCGTGTTGCTATAACCCTTGTTTGAGTATTCATGGGTACATAAATTCCCTAGCCAACTATTGCCTCCGACGACAGTGGAATATCTCAAAAACGGCGCAATCGAAGATCCACCAGATCCAGCTGGAAGAGAGAAAGTCCCAGTGACCAAGAGCCCTAGCCACCTATTGTAGTAGGTAAAGCGTCTTTTCGCCTGTTTGGCCTTGTAATTCCCTTGGGATTGGGGAGGTGATGCTAACCAGCTCTCGTCACTAAGATGATCACACACTTCCTTGATGAGGGATGGTGGTTGTTGGAGGACAGTTCGAGGGGAGGAATTTGTGAGGCAAAGCTGAAGCGTTTTCTAAAAGTAACTTAGTAAAGAATCCTCATTAGAGAGTGAGTATACCCACCACTCCCTCGAGAATTTGATCTTGTTTAATAACGACGGTATCCTGTTTCAACCTAAATTTGTGGACATTTCGCGCCGTAAATCTTTTCTCGGTCGCATATATCAGCATCGTGCCATATTCGAGAAGGGGTGCGAACTTACATGGCCAATGCCGTTCGTACAGTCGCTTGTATTTCATCCAGACAACTCCCTATTTCAAAGACGGCCTCTTTTTTCAGGGGATAGATTGCCTTTTTAAACGTAGATCGAACCTTGCCGTGCAAACTCTCACTTGCAAGGGGCTTGTACTGTTCGACTTTGGAATCCAGCTTCTTCACCTGCGCCTCGAGAACAAGCGCCTTTGACTCAAGGTCACTGGCAAAACCAGGAGAATCATCCCTCGTGTCTTCGATCAGATCGCGTAGATTCTTCAGCGACGATCGAATATCCTCCGCTTTGGTCGCAAGGCGTTGAATGTTATCGTTCTGGCCCCGCACGGCTTGCGTATAGTTGACGATCGTACTGCAAACCTGTAGACCGAGAGAAATGACCCCGACAGCGCTGCCGGCAACTGAGAAGGGGTCGGACATGTGTATGTAGCTGTCGCTTGTGTATGGAGTACTCAAAAGAAATAAAAAGGGAAAGACAGTCTGGAGTGCGGGGGCTCTGAAGCTCAACCTCGAGGAGGCGGTGCTTGGGGCTGAAATGCATGCGTTGGCAGCTATTTGCTGTGTTTGCTTTTGAATCTCTACTGCGCCTGCGCAGGTGAAATGGTCGTTCGGCTTTCTTGATTGGTAGCGGCATCCCTGCATTTTGTCTTGCTAAGCGCTGGGTATTCGCACCGCGTTCTCGGGCGCTTCAATTTTCATGAAGGGCATTTGTTTGGGCGCTTGCTAGCTGGTCTTTGAAAGTGTTCGTAATTTCAGTGTTAATGGGTTCAGGACAGGCTTGGAACCTCAGAGCACTGAGAGTGGCGGCGATATTAGGCGAATGTCTAGAGATATCTGGAAGGGGTCAGGAAAGACGATCGTCGATGTCTGAGCCCTGGAACCACCGACATTTTTTGAAGGTTCTTTCAAGGCTTTGACCGGATTCTACAAGGTGTTTATCTCGTTCATATATTGATTGAGTATACCCGCCAGTTCTGAAAGGAAATTCACAAACTATTATCTCTTTTTATGGGATAGACTAAAACCAAGAAGAATAACGAACGGACGTTCCAAAAAGTATATACCAAGACCCGAGAAATACGCAATGCAATGCATTGGACTATATCTATACTAACAGCCGCAACGAATAGGACATTCAATCAAGGTATACCCGGCCAGATAGAGCGTAGTAAGTAACTAGTACTAAGTGCCGCTACTAAGCAAGACCAAGCTCCTTATAGAAAGCAGTAGCTTCAGGCTCACAGGCCAAGAATTGCGTCAGTGTAGTCATTTCATCCTGCGACCCGCCCTTCTCGAGGACTTGGTATCTGTACCGCCGGCTGGCGGCCTTGTTCATGGGGTCGTCTTTGAAGATTGTGTAGAATATGTCTGCTGAGTAGACTTGGCAGCTGTAGCAGTCCGTTGTTAGTAATTGTGACTGAGTATGACTGTTCTCGGGGTCAGTTGACGTACCTCAGATAACCGTAGTAACCGGCATTATAACCACCAATCAAATCGCTAAATGTAGCCTCGCCGTGACCCCATTTATCGCCTGCGCCCAGAGCCTCTGGACTATCCATTTGGGTAATTTCCTTGTGGAGCCGGTTATAAGTGGCTGAGATAGGGAGGGCTTCGATAGCGGCATGGCTGGCGGGCTCGTGGACACTTATGTCGAAAATGCCAAAGTGCAGTTGACGAAGGTTGAAAAGCGCGTCATTGACGTGCTTGGTGCGGATGAGGTTGTTGATGACTTCATCCGGGATTTGAGTAGTGGGTGTGGGGACCGAAGTGTCCTTTCCAGCACGGCCCTGGGCTTCTTGCTAGCGCTAAAGGTAATCGGGGGAAAGAGTTGCGTAGTGGGTGCTGAGCGTGTACGACTTCATCGTAGCTTCCTCTCTTCCACCCCATCACTATACCTATGTATCCCACACTATCTTCGAGTCTTCCAACAACCCTCCCCCTCCCCCGACAGAATCTGCAAGATGAAATCCCCCTTAACCAAAGTTCAGGCGTGCATGTTGTTGGTATCCCTGACATACGAGACCCCGACTCCAACGGTGGTTCCCTCCGGTTTTTCAACGCGAAGACCGATTCTGGCCGTGGAGATCGGAAAAAAGAAAGAGAAAACTCTGAGACAACAATTTGACCAGCCAAAAAGGTTGGAAGATTGAGAATAAAAGACGATACGGGCTCTCGAACATCACCTGCTATGCAAACCCACAACATCGAGCCACTTCCACTCATTTCCTCGAGAACATCTTCCGGTCGACAAGGCTTGTGTCATAATTTGATCTCGAATATCACCTGGTATTCGCAAGCCCACGGTATAGAGTCACTTCTACGCACTTACTCATATAATCCTCATGAGTCGACTAGGAAAATTCCGGGAAGTGTCACCTGAAACAGCTACCGAGTTTTGATGGATGTGAGGGAATTGGGGAGATGTTCCGCAAGAACGTACGCAATGGACAGCCTAGCTGGCACAGAAATGACGGGAAATGGAATTGAAGATGTTATATCATGGTCTGGGATCCCCGATTATTCTAGATTTCCATCCATGTTGCGGAAAATCCGCACATGTGTGAATTCGCTTACGAGAAAAGCCTCGTCCAAGCCATCGAGAGACTCTGGTAAGAAGATATCCCAATCCAGACTACTTTATCAGATCGTTCGTCTCATACATATACCTAGGTATACCTAGGTAATTTCGAGTATAAACCCTCAGATGGAGCAGAATTCGCCGGAGGCCCGGAGAAGGAGCCGTACTACAGTCTCAAGTGTTTAATTGTTTGTTCGAATTACCAAGGTAAATCAGCCTGAGCCATACAAGCCAGTTCCAGGAAACTTACATTTTCAACCAGATGTTGATTTCTATAAATTGTCTCATAGCCTGTACAGCAGCATAAATAACCAAGTGTATATCTAAGGTCGTAAAGTAGTTTGTAGTTCAAAGTGGAGTTGGTCCGAGATCGCCGGGCTTGGCACTCACCTCCGACCTCCGAGCTTTGCTCTTCTGCCCATTTCTCTCCTTGTCACTTCTTCTTCACCACACGCCCCTGGAGGGTTTCCTACTATCATAATACCTATACGCACTATGCGCTAAGCTGTTTCATCAGCCTCCAACCAATTCCCTCCCACCCGCCCTCCCGGCCGCCCTCAACATGGATAACAAGACCTTCGTCTCGGACTCACTCATCCGCCTAACAGGCGCGTCAGACCCTATCGCCATTGACTTCGTCCTTGCCGAAGCTAGTTCCGCCAAGTCCGCTTCCTCGCTACAAGATAAGCTTGTCTCCTTCCTCGATGGCAGCCCCGACGAAATCGGCGCATTCTGCGGCCAACTCTACTCGCGCGTCGGCAAGGGCAGTTCCCAACCCACAGCTTCGTCCTCGCGATCCACAGCACCGGCCGCATCTACGAAAAAGAAATATCGGCTAGTGGAAATGGGCGAGGAACAGACCGACCCTGCAGCAGCTCTAGGACCCGTCAACGTGGAGGCCGAGCGCGAACGACGGAGACGCCGCGATAAAGAGCGCGACAGCGATAGAACCAGAGAGCGAAGTCGACGAGAACCCGAAAGTCGCGGCGATCGTTCGGATAGAGATGATACCCGGAAGCGAGACCGCAGCCGCGAAGGGGAGAGCCGTGATCGACCGCGCTCGAAGAAAGTGCGGAGAAAGGATGATCATGATTTCGATGATCGCTGGGGCGATGAAGAGATCCCAAATGATGAGGGGGAATACGATGATGCCGAATTCGAAGAATCCCCCTCCAAACGGACAAGACTCGAGGATGGATCTGCCTCCCCGCGCCCGGCTGATGATATTGATCCCCAGGCACAGCAAGAGATTGACCGCCAAAAGGATCTACGGGAACGTGATGAATTCGCCAAGCGACTCGCGAACAAAGATGACAGCAAGTCGAAGAAGATTGTCGAGGATAGGACGCGGGATGGCGAAGCTGCGCGCCGTCGTGCACTGGCTGATGATGCCTCTGCGCGGGCTTCCATGATGCCTGATTTGCGCATGCGCTCAAGACAGGAATACTTGAAGAAGCGTGAGACCGAGCGCCTGGCCTTGCTGCGCAGACAGGTCGCCGAGGAGGCGACGGAGCTTCGCGAAAACCCGAATTTGACGCGCCGAGAGAAGGAAGAGTTTGCGCGTAATAGGGAGGTTCTTATGATTGCTGAAGAGCGTCTGCGCATTGATGATCATCGGGATGGCTACATGATGCCAGACGACTATATCACTGAGAAGGGAAAAATTGATCGCAAGAAGAAGGAGGATGCGTTGTATAAGCGCTATGTTGATCGTGATGAGTCTGGTCAGGAGCGTTTCGTTACAGAGCACGAGGAATGGGAACTGGAACAAGCTGCCAAGGCGAAGGCCCAGATTAAGAAATCCGAGTTTGTCGACGAGGGCGACTATGAATATGTGTTTGACGACACGCAGCAGATCAATTTCGTCATGGATGCGAAGATGGAGGGGACTCAGAAACCGATGACTTCGGAACAGCTTCGATTCAAGGAGCAGGTCGATGCGGCTGAGAAAAAGGCTCTCACGATGGAAGAGACTCGGAAGAGTTTACCCATCTATCAATTCCGCGACCAGATCATCCAAGCAGTTCACGACCACCAGGTCTTGATTATTGTTGGTGAGACAGGCTCTGGCAAAACGACCCAGATTCCTCAGTACCTGCATGAAGCTGGATTCACCAAAGACGGCTTGAAAGTCGGATGTACCCAGCCGCGGCGAGTCGCTGCGATGAGTGTCGCGGCCCGTGTGGCGGATGAAATGGGCACGAAGATCGGAAATGAAGTCGGTTACGCTATTCGTTTCGAGGATAACACGAGTGACAAGACCATTATCAAGTACATGACTGATGGTATGCTTTTGCGAGAGCTGCTTACAGAGCCAGACCTTGGGCAATACTCAGCTCTCATGATCGACGAGGCTCACGAGCGGACGGTACCCACCGATATTGCTTGCGGTCTCCTCAAGGATATTGCCAAAGCACGACCAGACCTGAAGCTGCTCATCTCCTCCGCCACGATGGATGCTCAAAAGTTCCAAAAGTATTTCGACGATGCGCCTATCTTCAACATCCCTGGTCGCCGTTACCCAGTCGATGTGCATTATACCTCACAGCCCGAGGCCAATTACTTGGCTGCTGCCATCACCACTGTTTTCCAGATCCATGTCACACAGGGTCCCGGTGATATCCTGGTGTTCTTGACTGGTCAAGAGGAGATCGAAGCTGCAGATCAAAGTTTACAAGAAACTGCTCGAAAATTGGGCAGTAAAATACCGGAAATGATCATTTGTCCCATTTATGCCAATTTGCCGTCCGAGCTGCAAACTAAGATCTTCGAACCTACGCCACCGAATGCTCGAAAGGTCGTCCTCGCAACCAACATTGCCGAAACCAGTTTGACCATTGATGGTATCGTCTACGTGATTGATCCTGGATTCGTCAAGGAGAATGTTTTCAACCCGCGCACCGGCATGGAGAGCTTGGTTGTAACACCATGTTCGCGTGCTTCGGCCAATCAACGTGCCGGACGTGCCGGACGTGTTGGTCCAGGAAAGTGCTTCCGGCTCTACACTAAATGGGCGTACTATAACGAATTGGAGGAGAATACTACACCCGAGATCCAGCGCACGAATCTCAATGGTGTGATTCTGATGCTGAAGTCACTTGGTATCGACCAACTTCTCGATTTCGACTTTATGGATCCGCCCCCAGCGGAAACTATCATCCGAGCATTGGAACAATTATACGCACTTGGCGCCTTGAACGACCGAGGAGAGTTGACCAAGGTCGGTCGACAGATGGCCGAGTTCCCAACGGACCCGATGCTGGCCAAGGCGATCCTGGCAGCAGGCCAATACGGTTGCGTGGAGGAAGTCCTTTCAATCGTATCGATGCTAGGCGAAGGAAGCGCGCTCTTCTTCCGACCAAAGGACAAGAAAATCCACGCCGATAGTGCTCGCAACCGATTCACCATTAAGGATGGCGGCGACCATCTCACCCTCCTCAACGTCTGGAACCAGTGGGTCGACTCCGATTTCAGCTTTGTCTGGGCGAAGGAGAATTTCCTTCAACAACGCAGTCTGACACGGGCTCGTGACGTCCGCGATCAACTGGCCAAACTCTGCGATCGGGTAGAGGTGACGGTTAGTACCTGCGGCGCGAATAATATCGTTCCGATCCAAAAGGCCATTACGGCCGGGTTCTTCCCCAATGCCGCGCGACTGCAGCGTGGTGGTGACAGTTACCGCACGATCAAGAATGGACAATCGGTCTACCTCCATCCGTCCAGTACGCTCTTCGAGGTCAACCCGCGCTGGGTGATCTACTTTGAGCTGGTCTTGACCAGCAAGGAGTATATGCGCAGCAACATGCCCCTTCAGGCAGAGTGGCTGGTTGAAGTGGCTCCTCACTACTATAAGAAGAAGGATCTGGAGTCGTTGGGACTGGATCGCAAGACGCCGAAGGGGACCGGAGCGACTGGGGAGAAAAGCAAGGCGTGATGTGATAGTGATATGATACAATATAAGTCAATGTATGTCAATGTATGTCATCCCATATAGTTATAGTTATACAGCAACCGTATAGTGCAAGCACACTTCAATTCACCCTCCTAGCATAATACAGTCACTACTACCTAATGAGTAATCAGCATAAACAAACACAATCCTCGGTAAAATCACGGAAATTAGGAAATGGAAACCACCCCAACCAATCACAACGCACGCATTGGCGATACATCTGACCGCGGCACTCCAACTAACCTCGGCCCCGCCTCCACAAAACTCCGCCTTTAATAACGTCACGCTCGTCCCCTTTCAAGTTGATCCTCTCTACCCACCATTCACAACTTGAACACCGTTAAAAGTCACACCACCACCATGTCGCAAACATTCTCCCCAGCCGACGTCGCCTCCCACAACACCGCCGACAAGGGCATGTACATCATTGTCGACACAAACGTCTACGACGTCACCAAATTCGCCGACGAGCACCCCGGCGGCGCAAAGATCCTCAAGCGTGTCGCAGGCAAGGATGCCTCGAAGCAATTCTGGAAGGTACATCACCTCACCTACCTAGTCCGGACGAATCGAATCAAGAACAGAACGAATCGTGTGCTAATCCCGTTCTTGCTAGTACCACAACGAGTCCGTGTTGAAGAAGTACTCTCCCAAGCTGAAGATCGGCGAGGTCAAGGACGCGGCGAAGCTATAAGTGCAGTGCAGTGCAGCTTGAGATGTATATTTCATTCGACTTGGACCTGATATCGATTTGATTCCATTTCATACTCTTCTGTCGGTCCGGTTTTGCATGTGAGAGGACGCGATCGTGTGATCGTCGGAACTCGCCGAGAAAGTAAAGTGAGACGGAGAGCGAAACCAAAGGCCGACGCTTTCAATACCCGAGACTGCCTCGGCGGATTGTTGATTGTTGCTAGCGATGGAAGATTGTGTTAATACCCCCCCCGCCTTTCCAATATTTTCTAGTTATTTATCGATTCTAGAATTTAGATTTTTGTTATCAAATAGCGCGTATCTCATTTACGAGCTAGGATGGACGCTCCAGGGCTAGTTAGCGTAGGTGGAGCGAGGCAATATAAAATGCCCACTAGTTATCTAGTATTGACTACTACTCACTAGTAATGGACAAGAGAAATGAGTTACAGCCGGTATACATTTCGAGTATACATTATACTATACTATTCAGTATCTATATAGTTGCAATGGTTTAGTCAAGTCCAGTGCTTCCAACGCCCCGTATCCAACCAAGTCCACCGCTTGCTTCGCTTCGAGTTCCAAGGAATGTAATATCCTTCGCACAATGGTATCACCATGAACAAATCAAATAAACCCAGAACAAAGAACGTTCAAGAAACAGACGAGAAAGAGAAGGAGAAGGGATGAGAAGATGAGGGAAGAATGTGAGGATAAGTATGAGTAGATATGAAAAGAAGGGAAAAGAAAAGAATCAAAAGGAAAGAAAAGAGGTTAGGTAGAGAAGGGGGGGGGATTAATCACGAGAAGAGTTGTGAAGTGAAGTAAAGTGAAAGGTATGTAGAGTGTGTGGGTAAGTCGGAAAGGAAGGAGGAGTAAACAATAAAAAGGTAGTATGTACGGGCTGACTGCCATGCCATAAGTCAAAAGCAAAGCGGTGCAAATCCAGCGCCCTGAGCTGGTGTAAAAGAAGGGAAGAAGGTATAGATAGATGATCAGGGACCATTAAAAGCAAAAGAATTAAAATCCCCGAAACGGATCCGATCGGAACGAAAGTTCACTGCCACCATCAATAGATGGTGCATCATAGTCAAATCGTCCATGACTGAATTGACTAGAAGTCTTTCGTCCACGCGTTGATGCTGCAGACGGTGCACCTCTCGGCCGATTAATTTGCTCAGCATGATGATCGATAAACGCCTCCATACGCACCGTGCCAACATCAAAAATATTGCTCGCACCGGTACTAGAAGCTCGTCCACTTGCCTCGGAAGTCCGACTGATACTGCTGCGCCCACTCCTAATACCCGACGGCAGAACGGGCGGCGGGACCGGCGCGGGCGAGAAGTATGGGTCTGAGGAGCCACTGTGCGAGGAGGGCACTGTGGCCATTGTTCCTTGGCTGGAGAAGCTACGGATAGCGTGGAGGGCGGGAGGACGGGGCACTGTGCTTGTATTGCTGCGTTTGCGGTTGTGGTTTGAGAAGCGTGGGACATGGGGTGCGTCGGCGGCTAGGTCGTCGTCTGCTGGAGTTGGAAGGGGAATTTCGGGGACGGGGTCAGGTGTATTGCCGAAGGATCGTTTGCCCTTGGGCATGGGTCGGGGTCGACCTTTTGCTACGCGGATTGAATCGCGGATAGGGTTGCGGCGGAGGCTGGCTGTTGGTGGTGTTGGTGAGCCGATTTCGCCTTGTGGTGCGGGTGGGACCGCGGCGAGGTCATGCAGACCTATCGAGGAGTGGCTGAGGAAGGAGAGGGCTGTTAGCCAGACGTAGTGGCGCTCTACTGTTAGAGCTGTGAATTTGAGAGCGCGTTGTGGTGTGAGGACGAGGATCGAGCGGTTGAATGGGGCTGGGGTGCCGGAGCCCTTAGGCATGGGGTTGTCGTCTTTGACGTCCAGCACGGATTGAATAGTGACTGAAGATGTGATGTTAGTTTGTACGTCACAGAGAACGAGGTTGTTTTTCGTAACTTACATTTCCGCCCACTCTTGCCCAGTAAGGCAGGCCCATTAGTTGGCTGCTTGCTGCTCCACATTATAGAACCTTCATAAGGTGCAAGCCAGACCCATCGCTTGTGTCGCACGCCGCTGTTGGTGATGTTGGCAGATACCTCGTCGGGATTTTTACCTTCCCAAGGTTCCTTGGACTCGCCCATGCCGAAAGACTTTCGTCGACGAACGTATTTGAACATCCATTCGCCAACCATTGTTTGGGCAATTGCGTCCACGACACTGGTGGGCTGGACACCACCAGTCGAATCCTCTCGCTCATGATTCCAGTTCATGGACGGTACAGCAGCGCGGTGGTGCGAAGTCCGTTTCTGAGAGGTATTTGCGGCTCGTCGCTCCCGAGGAGCAGTGATATCGTCAAATGGCATAGGCGGTGGACGGTATGCGGCGTATGCAGTAGGACTATCTGCCGTGAACGGAGAGGTTGATCGCGTCGGCGATGATAGTGTCTCCGGACGCTCAGTAAGATCGCTTTGAGACATCGCAGCCGCAGATCGGACTCGGCGCAATGTTGGTCGGCGGTGGAGTGATGTGCGCGCACCACGATCCGAGAACTGTCGACCAGCGGAGCGGGTTGGGCTTGGAGGACCATCGCTGCCATGCAATGGGAGCTTTCGAGAGCTCAACCGGATCGGTACCGGGAATGGAGGCGCAATGCTTGAACCTGCGCTGCCGCTAAGGCTTGGCTCACTGGGGCTCCGGGCTCGAGTCTTCTGATGCGCTGCCGTACCGCTGGATATCATGGCCATCTTGCGCATACCGGGTTGTCTGCTGCTGGAAGCGTAAGCTCGGCCGCCGCGGGTTGAGGCTCGCTCTGTATCGATGGACTGTCGAGACTCGGGGTCGGATAGGTGCTCATCAATTTCCGGAAGGCCAATATCATCCAAGCTGGTTCTTTGCTTGGAGTTCACCATTTTGCCGCGGCGGAGTTTATACGAAGCAAATGGTCTGTTCAAGAGGTCGTCATCTGTGAAGATGTCACGCTCCATTGCCCCGCCTTCGTCGTCGCTCAGTTGCTCAAAACCGGCGAAGAGACTGCTAGAGCGGAAAGGACGTCGAAGCCCGGACATAGGATCGTCTGAAAGAGGGCCATTGTCATTATTTCCTGGATAAGCTTGGGATAGTTCAGATGCGGTTGCGCGGGGTGGTTTTACAGGTCGGTCTGCTGTCATCGGTCGTTTAGCAGAGCGAGGCGGAGGTACTGGTGGACGATAAGGTTGATACTGTTGAACACCAGCATCTTGAGTCTCAGCCCGGGTAGGTAGGTCTGGGATGGCGGATGGAAGAAGGCTGGCTGGAAGTTTCACTGGTCGGTTATCGATACGGATCTCCTCCGTTTGTATGGCGATAGAGCGTCCTTCAATAACTGATCGGAAACTGGCCTGGCATGACGCATTCTTTGTCTGCGGGGGAAGAACCACGCTGTTTCGTGGTGAGGGGGGCTCGGAGCCTGGTGGGTGGATGGTGATCATGGGAACATCCATTTCGGATGGAATATCATGTGGTGAAAGTGTAGTTCTTGGAACCGGAGCAGGTTCTTCGTTAGGGATGTCCTCTGTTTGAGTGGATGCCGATGCCATTTCGACGGGGTTGGGTTTGGGAGTCTGCTCAACAACCAGTTCTGTGACGCTGGGAAGATCCTCCACAGTCTGGCATGAAGTAGATGTCATCTCGGCTGCAACAGTAATTGTCGCAGTGTCCTTCATCTCGGGAATATCATGTGGGAACTCGGTTGATGCGGCAGCATCCACAAACGCGGGCACGTTCTCTGGCTCTGCCGTGGCCGACATTTTGGGAGACGGAGGGGGGCGAATATTGAATTCCCATATCGCAGTATTCAAAAACAGGTAGTTGCGGAGATGTCTTCGAAGGACTCGCCAGATCCAGGGCACGAAAATCTCCTGCCACGGTGGAAGTACTTTGCATCGACAGACCAAGAATCTTTCTAGCCTTTGACGAAACAGCATAGGATGCCGCTGAATGAATAGATAATGGTCGTTCCTCGGGAAGGGCACCAGGCGATGACGGCTCTTCTTCATCAGAAATGACGAATTCCTCCTCTTCATCGAAGTCCAATTCTTGCGCGAGGTTTAACCCGGAGTCGCCCTTGCCCGCAGCCATGCTCATCACGGAATATCGTACATTATGGAAGTTGGGTTGGTCGTCTCCCTCGTCGGTCGTCACGCTGGTCATACTGGCACGTCGGCGGCCTTGGCTGCTTGAAGCCACACTGGCAGTGTCACTCCCTTTGCTCTTTTCCTTGGCCGTATCATCATGTTCGCTGGATTGCGATTGCGGTTGCGAATGGCGGGTGCTAGCCTCTTGGGCAGCAGCAACTTCGCTGAGAACGGTCTTCAAACGGCCCTCCACCACATGAACTTTCCGTTCCAGATTCCGCCTTTCATTGTCCCAATTCTCTCGGTCTTGGTCCCACATCATCTGTGTTCGTTCGGCATCGTCTTCCCGACCACGAGCCTTTCTTTGCACTTGTTCAAATTTCTTGCGCACATCGTTAATATTTTCCACGGCTTCGTCTCGTTCGCGGGCCAACTCTGCCATTGCAGACGAGGTCCCACCCTCGAGAAGCTGAATCTGATGCTTCAAAGACCGAGCTTCCCTCGTGGCCTGCGACAAATTCGCACTGAGGGTCTCGCCCTCTGTCCGCGATTCATCCAAACTTTGTTCCAGCGAATCGATCGCCTTTGTTTTACTGTCAACCTCCCGGCGGAGGTTGAGAATCTCCGAAACAAGCGATGCATGGAGGGTGGGCGTGATCCTTCGAGGATCAAACGGGTACAGTGTATCTTCTTCGACGATATCATCATCCATATCGGTATGTCCATCTTCCGGCGAGAAAGCGGGTGTCGGCAGACCGGGTGGGGAGGACGGGACCGGAGACGAGTCTCTTCGACGCCGCGCTGGTCGAGATCTGGATCTTGCCTTCGAGGCGGCTCGGGAATTAGACGGCGCAGGCGATGGGTGAACTGTGGAGGTCGCGGGGGACTGCAAATCCATGGCCATGGCCATGGCTGACGCTGTCTGTGTCTTCTCTCTCTCTCTCTTGTTGCGCTTTGGTGCTGGCAAGTCAAAACATCACCGGGATATCGTGTTTCCAGTGTGCTAACCAGAACACGACGCTGCCGGATCCCATCAATCGAATCGTGTCTACCGTAGTTCACTCATTCGTTCTTGCAGTGCTGAGTTGAAGTGTCGTAATGTATCTTACTCGGTTGCTACTCAACACAGATCCAATCGGTCGCAAAGACGCAAAGATCGTCGATACTCGGTCGAGGGTCACACGCGGGGGGGGTCGAATCCAACGGTGGCTGCAGTGGAACAATCAGTCAGCCACTTTTGTTACAGCGCGGATGCAAGATGCACAGGCTGGGGCGCGAGGAGCAATGCAGGAGAGCAGAGTCAAGTAGTTTTAATATGCACGGAGGTTCCTAAAATCTAACTTACATGCGATGCGGGCGTCACCTTGGGGTTGGAAAGAAGTGGGAGGAGATGGGTCACAGATGTCAACTGCCCCCTGGAGGATTCACAGGTCGATCGCGATCACGTCCGAGTCGGAGTCCACTGGACCTGGTACAGAAGTACCTACAGAGGGGAAACCGAGGGGACCTCGACGACTTAGGTCGTGACGGGCCTTGAGGATCCACGGGACTTTTACAAACGAGGCAACGATCGGACGTGATGCCCGTTAGATTGCTTCAAGGCCTCTTCTTAGATCAGCCTTGCTGAATAGGGAATCGGAAAAGGACCGGATGCGAGGAAGCGGCCTTTGCTTTGGGCGAGGCCAAAAAAAAATAATCCCAAAAAAGTCCAGGGGTGTTCGTCAGGGGGAGGGACATGGGGAAGCTAGCAATCCACCCGATTAGCCAGGATGCAGCTTGATCCACTCGAAAGCTGCCAACCAAGACACTAACTAAAGCATGGCCCCATTCTGCTTTCAGGTCGGTAGGTCCGGAACATTAATCGATCTGGATACGAGGCGAGAAGGACGGAGATAGAACGGAGAACCTTGAAAGTAGCTCCATATGCACATAGCTCATGTCAGTGGGAGGCTGAGATGAGAACCATGGATTTGAATGGCTTCTGGAAACGGGAAAATCAAATCTCAAGTCCCGAAAAAGAAAAGCAAAAAGACAATAGCCAATGAAAAAAAGGGGAACAAAGGAAAATACACTAAAACAAAGCAAAAAGCAAATGTTTATCTGGAGCAAGCCCTGACCAAGGCGATACAGGCGCAGCAGAAGTGCGCGGAGGTCGGAGTAGCTCAATTCAATTCGGGATAGGAGTCGAGTCGCATTGAGCAAGAGCATCATAATCCACTTTTTGCAGCTCCCAGGCTTCAGACATGGGGAAGGTGTTCGTCGGTGACGAAAAAGCTGGTTCCACGGTCCCACCATGGGTCCAAAACAACGCGTTCAATTCGGGGGCCGGCCAGGTACGGTCACCAGCGACAGAGCTAAGATCTCGGCCCCTTTTTTGTGGTAATTGCTAAGAGGCACCGGTGGAGAGGAGTAACAGCCCACTGTCCATTGAGCTGACGAGCATAAATTGGGTGGGTGAGTCGAATAGATTGGACACTGGTCTGATTGTGGAATAGGAGAGCCTGTTAGCGTGTTTGGGAATGACCGTTCCCTTGTTCTGGCGTTGGCCAGTCCGTCTTAGCGTGAGGTTCGCAGGTGATGATCGTCGTAGGCAATTTCATTCAACGAGAGCCTATGGCCCGTGGAAGGTGGTTTCAGCCAGGCGCAGCTGCATCGGATCTAGGGGCTGTGGGAGAATTTGGCCGAGTAAGTGCTGCATCAATTGCCATTTTAATCCGTATCTTGTGAATTCAGTCGGTACTCTCCCTTCTTATTGGGAGGGGGAAAGGAAAGCTCGGAATCCCCGTCCCGCGAAGTCCATCCGAGGTCTCCACTGGGAGCTTGCGGCATCCACTCTGAAAACCAAACTTTTGCTTTGTTGATTTGATTCTTTGTTTGGCGAAATTCTGGTACGCGATGCGACGTGATGCGATACGATGCAGTGCCGAGGCCATTCCTATTCCTTCACTCACAGGTTGTGATCTTCCGCTCCCTCTATGGTAGGGCCTGGATATGTATGGCCTGGAGCCCCCGGCTGCCAGGCGCCCTCAGACCCTCTCATTTCAAGTGCCGGTCGCACTTGTAGACGTTGAGCGCGGCTAAGACATAATCATAAAAATAAACGTCAACCAATCAGCCACACGGTGCACGGGGTTAATTAGTAATGCTCACTTGATTGGGTCTCCTGGGACCTCCAAATACACGAAGACGCGACAATTCCTGAAGTGGGCAGCACCTCCGTGAGCCAGTACGAGCCAGCGATAGTGAGGGCGCAGAACGACCCACCACGACCAGAGGGAGCTCAGGGTACCGATGCACACACGGGCCGTTTGACAGGTCGATTATCTGTGATGGCTTGTCATTCGACAGAGGGTCTCCGTTCTTTTTTTATGTATTTCTGACAGGCACGCTAATGCGCTCAGACATGGCGTCGTGGTGGAGATGGCATTGAAACGTTGAAGGAAGATGAAGCGGGGGAGGAAGGGAAGTGTGGTGGAAGTGCCAGTGGTGGTCGAGACACCCTTGGAAGGCATGAAGGGATGTCTTCAAGAAGTTCAAATATTATTTATTATTATCTATTATTATACACTTTGTAGCTGGAATAGTGTAGTAATTCTAACTTCTCTTTTGACCAAATTACTTTCCTATCAACTATTAACGTGTTCCACAACCGAACGGGCCGGACAACCGAACGGGCCACCCCACCCCATTACGACGATATATATTGAATATAACTCAACCACCATATAATATATTGCAAAAACTAGGCGTTATTCACAACTGGGCACCTATTCCGCTTGTGCCCTGGCTCCCTGCAATTGCCACAGCGCTGTATAGGTCTCTCAATCGTCGTCCTGGTTGCGCGGCGTGGCGCCGGGGGTATTGCCAATTGGTGCTCATATTCAATTTGTACACGCAATTGCAGGTCCTCTGCTGTAATTCCACCTTCGTAGGGTAATTGCCTATTTGGTAAAGCTTTTTTTCTTTGCTTACGTCCATTTTCGGCCATTACACGCTCATATGTTGTCTTTAACATAACCATCTCATGTGCAAGTAATTGTGCACCTCTGGTAGTCTGCTCCAATTGTCGATATATGTCATTATCAGGGGTTATATCCCTATAGACTAGTAATCGCTTGATTGAGGATGCCTGCCGTTGAAAATTGATAGCTTTGGATGGTGTATGAGGTATGAATTCACGACTGCTATCACTACCATGTGATGGTGGTGGTGTAGGCGATGGGGGATGAATATCAAGTTTTGATAGTACTGTCTCTGGCGAATATGGAATAATGCCCGCTGCCATAAAACTGCTAGCAATTATAGAGGTTTTGTATGTTGCTGCGCGTGCTTTAGGGTATAGACTAAGAAAGTCAGGCTTATCAATATGTGTAGAGCCCACACGTGCAAGATCTTGTACTGCCTGACCATAGAAGTGCTTCAATACACTAAAACAACCTACATCTAGTGGTTGTAATAGATGCGATGAATGAGATGGCATACAAATTGGCACAATATTGTTCTTCATGCAGATAGTGTCAAATTGAGGGGTGACATGACTCCCATGGCCATCCATAACCAAGGCAGACCAGGCACCATGTTGACGCTTTTTGACGTATGGAATGAAGGAATTTTCGAGCCACGAAATGCCAATTTCATCAGTTGTCCATCCATTAGCACTGATCTCAAAGCGCCAGTCATTCGGGACAGTACTACACCACGCTGCCATCAATACCTTCGCTTTAAAGATAATAGTCGGAGGGAGAACACCATCCAGATGGACACACTCAATTGCAGTAACCCACTCTCGGTTACCCGGTTGTAGGAGTTTGCGCTTCCCCTGCCACTCTCGACTGGTAATAACCTTTGAGGTGCTAGTAATCCCCATTGCAAATCCAGTCTCATCGAAATTGTAGATATCTTCGTTAAGAATACCATATTGAGCAATAGTATTGCAATATTGATTAAACCATTCACGAATAAGCTTCGGATCCTCACATAATGCACGCTGTGCAGCGTAGCGACGTGAAAAACGTGTTTTAAGCTTATCGCGACGTTTGACAAAGTTCTGTACCCAGTTTATACCGATTGTAAGAGAGGGGGTAGTTGAACGTTGAGCGAGTAGTAAATTGGCCATTTCTCCTGCAAGAGCAAAGGTAGGGGCCTTGCCACGTGCATCTAGATCCAATATCCAATTCTCTAACGAATCCTCTTCAATTGCATCCAATTTTGTGCAATTTGCGCGAAGGGTTTGGCGATAATGTCTTCCCTTGAAACGCGCTTGCAATGTTGCACGAGGTACCTCAAAAACGCGCGCAGCTTCATTCAGAGAAGCTACTTTTTCATTTCTTAGCGCCTGTATAGCAAGTTCAATCCTGCCTTCTTGCTCAATTCGTTTTTGAGTTTTTGCAGTACGAATTGGTGGCATGGTGGTGGTTTGAAAAAGAGAGCTGCAACACGCGACGCGTTTTTTAGGTGGGGTGGCCCGTTCGGTTGTCCGGCCCGTTCGGTTGTGGAACACGTTAGAGCACAAGTACTAGTACTAGTACTTTGTAACTGTATTTTGCCCATGGTACTCACAGTATACTAACTAACTACTACTACTACTACTACTACTACTACTACTACTACTACTACTACTACTACTACTACTACTACTACTACTACTACTACTACCACCTACTATCTCACCACAGTCTATCTCTCATTCCAAGGTCCCTTATCCTTCCAATTGTGTCTCCCCTTGCTTCTTCAATTATTGTCGCTATGAATTCTTCCAATTGCTCCGCATGGAAAAACAATCAGCCTAAACCAAATGGCATCCAACAGCCTCGGTCCAAATGACTCAGCGCCTGTCGCAATCTTCAGATGCATCGCAACCTCATCATTTCTCATTCAAATCATATATATCACCTCGTGATCCTCCTACACCACCCAGGCACCCTTACGGAGTACTCCGTCCATTTCCCCCATCCTCGCATCGAATCACTGGACCTATCCACTCCCACCCGCATCCATCCCCACCCCCCACAATGCCGGATCAACCTCCCCGCGCCCTCTTTTTCGACACGTTCGGTACAGTCGTCGAATGGCGAAACTGCGTAACCAAAGCCCTCCAAGCCGCAGCTTTACAGATCTTAGCGCATCCCCCCAAAGATACCCCCATCCCAACAGCCGTACTCGACCGTGCGTCCGCATTCAGCGAGACAGACTGGCTCGGGCTCGCCGAAGCATGGCGTCGCTCCTACGGCATCTTTACGCAGACCTTTGACCCGTCGACAAAATTCATCTCAATCGACGAACACCACTACTCCGCTCTAAAAAGCCTTCTCGACGAGCGCGGCATCTTGCCCTTATTCAACGATAGCCAACTATGGGATCTGACGTTTGCTTGGCACCGACTTGATCCGTGGGCTGATAGTGCCGCGGGACTCGCGCTGCTGAATACTCAATTCGTTACCTCTACGCTGTCGAATGGGAATGTTTCTTTGCTGGAGGATCTGAAGGAGCACGGTTCTCTGCCTTTTGCGCATTTGGTTAGTTCGGAGCATTTTGGTGCGTATAAGCCTTCGCATCAGGTTTATCTGGGCGCTGCGGAGAAACTTGGGTTTGAGCCGGGGCAATGTGCTCTTGTGGCTGCTCATCTTAGGGATCTTAGAGCCGCGAAGGATTGCGGGTTTCAGGCTATTTTTGTGGAGCGAGAGTTGGAGGAGCAATGGTCTGCTGAGGAGATTGCTAAGGCAAAGGCGGATGGATGGGTTGATATTTGGGTTGATCAGGATACTGGGGGTTTTATTGAGGTGGCTCGGCGATTTGGGATTCACGAGCAATGAGATAGTTTACACAATAGATCCACAAACCCACGAGTGCAAGTAATTCCGAGAAACCCGCGGAATATCTGCAACAATCCATGGATGCTGACGCGATCACGCGAGGGATTTGTCAGCTTCGCAACCAGCATGCGATCATCAAATATGACTTTATTTTGTTTCTTATAAGACGATTGCTTCAAGTTGATTATATTCAGGTAGCTCAAGACGAATTCGAGTTCTACGAAGAGTCAGCAGAATCTATTGTATACCTAGGTATCCACACGGAGGAAGTACTAGGCTGAACCATTACTCAGTCATCTCTATACTAAACTACATCACTACTGCCCAACATACAATTCAGCCATGAGCAACGAAGTAAGCTGACTCTTCTCTTTCTTCATATTGACACAGCTTCTCCCAGCAATACCACTCGCTAACTTGAACCTGCAGGACACAAAAGTCTACAAACACGCCGACTCAGACGGCCACTTCCGCCGCAAAGATTCGGCGTTTCGATCCCGCGTCTCCCGAGACCCAACGGCTGAATTCCCCGCCGAAAAGGACCGCTACGTCCTCTACATCAACTACGGCTGTCCCTGGGCCCACAGAGCAAATCTAGTCCGCAGCCTGAAGGGTCTTCAAGATGTTATCCAGCTAGTCGTACTAGACCCCGAACTCGGCCCGAACGGATGGTTCTTCTCCGGCCGCTACGGATCTGCCGAAAAGGACCCGCTATACGGCTTCACGTACCTCAAAGAACTATACCTAAAGGCAGATCCGCAGTATGAGGGCAGATACACTGTACCCACACTGTGGGATAAAAAGAAAGAGACGATCGTCAATAATGAAAGCAGCGAAGTAATTCGCATGCTTTATTCCGAATTCGACGAATTCCTGCCGGAGAATTTGCGGGAGGTTAATCGTCCTGGTGGCGGATTTTACCCCCAGCATCTCCAGAATGAAATTGATGCGATGAATGCGTGGGTTTACCCCGAGATTAACAATGGCGTTTACAAGACTGGCTTCGCAACCACGCAAGCGGCTTATGAGGAGAATATCTATCCGCTTTTTAAAGCTTTGGATCGGGTTGAGGATCATCTCAGTCAAGCAGAACACCAGCCTTATCTCTTCGGCGAGAATATCACCGAGGCGGATATTCGGCTTTATACGACTATCGCCCGATTCGATGTCGCTTATTATCTGATCTTCAAGTGCAATTTGAAGATGATTAGGCACGATTACCCGCGTATCGACCGTTGGTATCGGAAGCTTTATTATGATGAGACGGATCGCACTCGTGGGGCTTTTAAGGAGACTACTTTCTTTGATATTGTAGGTTTTGCTGGGCCTTGATGTGATATGGATGTGCGTCATTGCTGACTTTATTTAGTACAAATTTGGATATTGCGCTGCGCTTGGAAATAAGACTGGGAATAAGCAGTTGGTTGTGCCGGTTGGACCGGTTCCTTATATACTTCCCGCGGAGAAAGGAGAGTAAGGTGAATGCACGCACCTGGCAACTGCGAGATTTCAGCAAATAAGGCTCTGTCTGTCTTGAAAGGAGAGGGTAATCTTTGACAGGTGGTTCCACTAGGAGTACTTAGTAGTTTGCGATATTTCAAAACTACCAGGGGATTCTCACATAATATAAGACTATTGATAGCAAGAGCAAGTCATCAGAAACATGTGAATGGTATCTTCAAAAGTCAACCTCAGCGTCCACTTGTCTCCTTTCTATACCATTAGTGCTGTTGCCGCTATATAGGTGCCATAATTAAATATGAGTCAATTTGTATTAAAGACATATTGGAAAGTTTACTAACACTACCGCGAGCAATTTAGCGCCAATGCTCGATTGTGCGAGCGACTAAATGCAGCAAGTCGAAGCAGGACAGGATAATTCTCCAACTAAAACTACTGATGGTACCGGGACTGAACCACAATTTCACCAATATTGGCCACCGTCTCGTTAAGTACGCGAACCGGCCTGCTTCCCGACCATGATGCAAGAAGAAGGAAGGGCCTGAGTGCTACTCAAACTCAAGGTTTATCATGTCAAAGCTCCTGCGGGGCTGCTTTGAGTTAGCTGTTGACTCCGTTTATTGCTATGAAAGAAATCATACCGCGATAGAAGTGTTGCATTCAGACTCTTCAACGACTCTTCCCATCTTCCATCATAGTACATCTCTCTTGATGATTCCTGATCAGCCAGCTCTTCCGCATAATCGAGCGGGGTCTTGTAGACTAGGTCTGTGGCCGTGGCACAAACGTCCAAGACGCCTTTGCAAGCAAGGAAATCCATCAGATCCTCAGTGAAAACACCATGAATCGCTCCGTGATGCATCAGTGTTTTCCCATCAATATCTCTTGTCGCTGGATCCACACCCACAGCAAATAAATAATCAAGGATCGTGGTATCTGCTCCCTTATGATGCATGATGAGATGTGCCAACGTTTGTCCGTATTCATCGATGCAGAGTGGATCAGAACCTTCCTGAATAAGCAAATGAAATATCTCACTCTCAATTGATAGGTGAAATGAGTTCATATAGAGACCTAAGATCGTGTTCCCGGCCCCGTCGGGCAGATTGACATCGCAACCAAGCTGTACAAGGAAACTCACAACTTGAACAGAGCAAAAAACAGACGCAACATGATGATGTAGCGGACTTCTGCCAAAGTGGTCAAGGGATTTCCAAACCACTGAAAGCACACGATCGCAGGCCTTCGACAAGAAGGCTATAGTATCCAAAGAGCCACTGGAGACTGCATAATTGAATGGGCTCCGCCCGTCGGAGTCCTCCAGCATGATATCATTACCTTCTTCCACGAGTTTGCGAATTACTTCAATGTTTCCCGCCTTACTAGCGAGGTGAAGACATGTCTGGCGAGCTCGGTTCGGTTGTGATGCATCGGCTCCTTTTTCCATAAGCTTTTTTAAGATAGACAATGCCTGAGGACGATGAAAGTCGATCACATGTTGAGGGTAATCCCCATGATTGTTAGCTATTTTGACATTGATAGACTCGCTCTTCAGGAGCGTCTCAACAATAAGTAACCTAGTATCGCTGATGGTTTGATAGATATCAGAAGCTTCTGAGCCTTCATGATCGTCGATCAAGTCAGTCAATGACTCAACGGCATATTGACCAACCTCCCATGCATCGTCATTTTTGCGGCCGAGCAGCCGGCGCCTAATCGCGAGATGTAGCGCAGTATCGCCAAAATCAGAACGGGCATTGGGGTTGGCCCCACATTGAAGCAAGAGATTGGCCATCTCTGTAAGTGCGTTCAAGGCCGCGAAGTGGAGGGCTGTTAGTCCGGATTCTATGTTCTCGTCCTGCCGCTCAACGATTCCGTAAAAACTACCCAATGTTATTTGTCCAGGCCATTCCCGCCTGTGAGCCCTGAATTCTAGATTGAAACCATGATTGAGAAATGTTCGAGCCAACTCTGTACGTCGATCTCCAATCGCGTAGAGGAAGGGTGTCATGTTCTCCTCATCGCAGATGTATGGGGAGGCACCCTTGTCGATTAAGTACTTTATCATTGCACAGTCATTGAAGCGACCATTACTGCATGCCACGTGAAGTACATTTTGATGCTTATTGTTCAAAGAATCAAAACGCACGTTAGACTCGGCTAAGACACGTAAGGCTTCAATTTGGGTGTTTTCGGCTGCGATAAGTAGTGGCGATTGTCCGTGTTCATCTTTATCCTCCAATGCCTCTTGGTGGGCAGTTGAAATGAGTGGAACAATTCCCCATCGGGCTGCGACTTGAATGACGGATATGTCTAGTCCTAGATCATCCGACGTGCTTCTTTGCGAATGGTTATAATTATCCAGCCAACACCTCCATGTCCCCAGCGCGTTTTGGAAGAAGTTTTCATGCTCTTTCTGGATAGCAAATTCTGTTTTGGCCAAACTTGCGTGCTCCGGCCAATGTAGTACTGAATAGCCAAGAAATCCGTAAGTTGACTCCAGCGCTGATCTGTCCAGACCGGGCCGACAATATTGAGAAACAAGCTCAATGCAACGATATGACATGATATAATTGGATTTGACAGCCGTGAAATAACTCATCTCTTTCATTAAAAAGTCCTTGACAGACCTATGTAGCAGTCGCACGTGGATTTTATCAGTAAAAACCAGCGAGCGGGAAGAATCAATGATCTCTTGGGTGAACTTGAGGCGAGTTTCAACATCCTCGTCCAAGTACAATCGACATGCTTCGGCTATCTCAGCCACCGTCAGGCGCCGTAACGCAAATAAGACAAACATCAACAACATCTTAAATTGCGAGGCGCTATGTGAATCGTTGTCTTTGAAGGCTGCATTGAGCAGGGATTGATACAAAGGATACAGTCCTTGAGGTTGAGCCCGCAGTTTCTCGACCGCTTCTTTTGACCGTACCTTAATCAATTGCGAACAGACAATTCCCACCCATAAAAATGTTCCATCTGCCCTTTCTTCAAGTATCTTTGATACCCTTTCTCTGACAGACGCAGGATAAGCATTTCGCCTTGCAAGGTCCTGTACTTTGTCTTGAATCATGGCACGTAAGTCAGCGGCTATCTCCTTACACGAGCCGAGATCGACACATCGAAAGATAGATAGAAAACTCTGAATCTCAGAGTAGCGACGACTGATGATCAAAAAATGTACCCTGCATGGGACTTGAGTGGTCTCGTTCGCTCGTTTGAACGATTGGTTAATTTGGTGGAGGAATGTATCCTGTGATTCGGGATCGCATTCATCGAGAGCGTCAACAATGCAATACATCTCAGTCCCGTTGGACGCTCGGTCGATATCCATCAGTAACCCCCAAAGTCCGTCAAAAGACTCGAAAAGACGCTTTCCCTGGACTTGATATTTTGGCATTATTTGTTCCATGAAAGATGGATGTTTTTGGATGATTTGATACAGAGCACCTCGCAGTAGCGAGGTTGCCGTTCTGTGGTATTCAGAGTCGGAATCGCAGAAATAGAACGAGAGAATGCTATCACTGTTGGAAAAATAATCCTTCTTTGGTAGCTCTTCAGCAAGCATCATAGCCATTGTGGATTTGCCGATTCCTGGATTGCCGTGTAGCCATAAAATATTTTTCTCTATATCGCTGACGGCCTTTGCTGGTCGAAACCAATATTTGAGCTCGTCCGATTCCAAGAACCAGCTAAAGGTCCCCGAGGTGCGAAGTCCCTTTGTCCGCCTCATCTTATTGAGATCCTCTTCAGGCTCCGTTATGAACAGATCTGCAAGACATGATTTATGTTCGTTGAATTCCTTTCCTTCTCCAGTGGGCATGTGTAAGTGATTGGTGACAGAGCCGTAGTTCAAACCCGTCTGGAACCCAGAATTTGAGCACCCAAACGATATTGCGGACGCCATTCTCCCGATAGGGACTGGTACTGTTTCTACAATGCGTATGTGAGAAAATGAAAGTCTGATGTAAGCCACTGCCGCGAAGGCAGGGGAATGGGCAGATATATAACCACATCACTTAGCGTCGAAAGCTTCGGTAGGCTGCAATCCCAGTCATTCAAAACCTTGGAATGATTGGGAACGGGAAGGGGTGAGGGGTAACGAGGACCGAGCGGCTGCAGAGCTGCATTGCAATCAGCCCTTAGTAAGAGACTGGGGTCGAAGAAATGCACCACCTAAGCGCCCATCTGCATCAGCGAACGAGCAACTTCAACAACTATTGGGTAGATGATAATTTCAAATTGCACGCATTTCTAGGAACCATTGGTGACTGAAGCCAATCGCTGGCAGCAACGTCCATTCTCTTACAGATAAATTTGCCAAACCTCCCTGATATGGATATCGAGAAGCAACGTAAGGATCCGGTCGAACTTTTGCTAGAAGGGAAATACGTGGAGACGGAGGAAATGAGTAGAGTTTTATTTTTGGAAGCGAGGCGTCTGATAAGTTGAAATAAATCTTGCTAATTCGTCGAGTTTGATATATCCAATACAGCAATCGATTTAGTGTTTCTACCAAAATTACTAGTACTCCCTATCAGGCTTTGCAATCCTCTGTGACGCTATCGACCTATGCAAAATTTCTTCATCCCAAAAGTTCTGGGCACTGAGCATACAGCTGAGTCCCAGAACTGGGATCCCTTTCTTCCATTGAATAACATGCTTTGTATTAAAGAAAACCGGAGCCATTCTATCTATTGTAAAGGCCTTATAGTACCTCAGTAAACACAACTTCTCATGATGATAATTGAAGCAGAGCAAAGCCGTATATGTCTGGGTAGCTTAGAAAAGCATACCCTTGGTTTGTATGATGTGCTTAATGTTGCGGTCTTTGATAAACGCCACGCAAATTAGACCCAACGACATAATACAAACACCTGCAATCAACATATACTTGTTTGTCGCCGCATATGCCATGCTGGTAGCCTCTCGCGTCGGATCACCCACAGGGTAGCTCAATGCCACGTCGAGACTGCCGAAAATGTCCTCCCACTGATCGGCCGTACTGCCAGGAAGTCTCTTTTGAAGCTCGCCAGGCAAGACATTGTTCCAGATAGCGCCCGCGATACAGCCTCCAATAGCACCACCCATATAGCCAAAGAGTCCCAGCAAGCCCAACAGAGCTGCGATATCGTTGTGCTCGGCAGACGCCATCAGAGCAACCTGCTCACCGATAGTAATAACACCACCGCCCGAGGCGATGAAAATCTGGCACATAACGATATATCCGATGCCGTTTCCAGGCTGGCGGAAATAAATCATCAGGCCAACGCCGAGAATGTACATGGGAACTCCCCACATAAGAACCCATTTATAGCGGCCGGTGTAGCTGATCAAGGCACCGACGATCAAGAGCTCAACGCCCGCAACGACGTCGTAGATGCTTCCGATATAACCAGCTCCAGCAAGGGAGGTATTATAAACGACCTGCAGGTAAGAGGTAAACTGCTGGTACCAGCAATAATAGGCAATCTGGTAGAAAAAGTCCAGCATGCAAGCACCAACGACAGATCGACTCGTCAACAGCGACCAGGGAACGAATGGCGCACGAGCACCGAATCTTTCCCAGAATGGGAATGCGACAAGAAGGACAAATCCGACAATCAGCATGGCGATAATATTACCGCTTCTCCACTTGTCTTCCGCGTCGGCAGCGATGATAAAAGGTAGGAGGAAAAGGATGAACCCAGCGACCAGGAGAATGACACCGACAGCTACGGAGGTTAAGTAATTAAACTGCTCAAGTTCAACAAGACGGGGATGCATTCATACCATCAAATTCGATAAAGTAATGCACCAAGCTTTCGGACCATGTCCGACCACTGGTCTGACGAGGGGCCAGTCCATTCTTCTTCGCCTTGCGCTTACCCAGGGTCATCATGATGACCAAGGGCGCAGCGACCGCGGGGAGAATAATGGCCCAAGCGCCAAATCCCCATCGCCAGTTATCAGCATAGATGGTCTCTGCTGCTTTCGGGCCGCCGAAAGCAGTGATGATATAGGGAGAAGAAGTGAATGCAAAGGCCAAGCCACGGTTTCGCAATGTCGAAGTATCGGCGGTGACAACATCAACACAGAAAGTCATGCCAGTAAAGCCGATGGAGTAAAGACACTATAAGTAAGCTTCCGTTAGCTATGCCGACTGATAAAATTGAAATAAAGAAACGATAATTGCCTTACATTCGATGCGGCATACAGCTCAAAGCTGTTGGTAGCGGCCATCAGGATCATGCCAAGAATCGCGATCGAGAGCATCAGCACGAATCCAACAGTTCTATCCCAGATGTTCAGAATCTTGGCGACGGGCATGTAGGTGGCGCCCGTCAAGACCTGGGTTACGACGGTGATGACAGACATCAGGGAATGGTCGTTGAAAGAGCTGGTTACATAGGGTGTAAGATTGTTGGACAACGACGCCTCGAAGGCATTGCTGAAATACAACAACCACATACTGTGTGATGGCAATGAGTATGGAGCTTCAATCTTACCAGTGATTCAATACGGTCACTTACCTCATGTAAACTATAATGAGAGAGGATTTGGTCCACGACAAGGTGATGGCCTCTGCAGACTTGACACCATATTGGGCATTATAGTCAGGAAGATCCGGATTATGAGCCAAGTCCTCGCCATCGGCGGGGATCTCTTTCTGACTTTCGACATTGACATTCATCTCCGGCTTGGAGGCTTCTTCCTCCTTAGAGAATTGGTGATCAGCCATGACGATGTCGAAGCCTGACTTGACAATTGAGGAACAAAAAACGCTTGAAAATTGACGCCAGAAGCTGCAGTTGGAGGAAAAAAGAAGGATGAAAAGTTTAAGACTTCTGATCAGCGTGCCGAGAAACGAGCAGGCGGCCACGTTAATAAGCTCATTGAGATCAACTGATCTCGGAGATTCACGCCAGACTTTCCGTTATTGGCCCCAATATGTATAAACCCCTGCAGTTCTCATGCACATCAATCGAACCCTGTCGTGGAATCCTGCATTTCCGACCACTCAAACAAGGTCAACACCCTGGTAAAGGATCGCGAGTACCCTACTCACAGCCAACCATCTAATCTGATCCCACCCTGGTTTGCATGTGTTGGGTGGGGAGGGGCCGCAGGGTCTCAAGGTTTGTGAGCCGCTCTACACGCGGGTCCAATTTGGGGGCAAATGCGAGACATGCCAATCAAACTGGCCGGCAGTGCAACCGTAGCAAGGGTGTCGAGCATCCTTGGGTGAGTTTGGAGCCCCAGGCGGCTCTCTCATTTGGCCAGTGAGCAATTGATTGACACCCTTCTCCATCGCCCACCGCACTGCCAAGACGTTCCAGTTGTTTCTCCCTTGATCTTCAGAGGTGGAGACGATCAGATAATTTCGAAGTGTGATTTGGCTTGCCCATGGTTGCAGACCACTATGATCATTGTCCACGCTGTGCGTCGCCACAAGCAATACTGCATCATGCAAACAGCCCAGTGGTTGCAATAGGCTTCGAGCTACTGATTTCTCGATCGATATAGGGGCAAACTATCTATAGAACAAGGCTTTTGTGAGCGTCACAGCTCTCAGTTAGATCAGCATACTAGCACCTATCGAGTAAGTGAAACGGTCTTCTCCGACAGATTTGCCCCCGCGTCGGAGATGGGGGCCAAACAACAGCTACATTAGCCAAGACAACGCTACATTGCTTCTTTTCAGGGGATGAACGTCATCCATTCGCGCAATTGCCGCGGTGACCGGCCTAACCGGGTCGACAGCTCTTGAAACATTGGGCAGTGTTGTATATGTGGTGGATGTTGATTTCGGATTCAGTGACTATTATGGCAAGCAAAATGGGTCGTGGCCAGTCGCATAAGTCATGATGATGTGATAAGATGCCCAGTGCCAGTGGGGTGTGGGTATCCTCCTATTTTGTTCGTAGGGCGTGCTCTTGCTCGCACTCCTGCGCGGTAAGCCTATAATATGTCCTGCTAGGCGAACCGAATCGACAGAGAAAATCTTTCCTCCTTCTGTCTTGACCGCGTAGACGGCACTATCCATGTTTCAGAAGCAGTGTCCACCGCTAAGTGCGAGTCGAATGCAGGAACCTGCCAGCTCGGGTCATTTGGGCCTCGCTAACCGAAAACCGCCCGATTATTCTGCGGATGGTGGGTTGCACGAGGGATCTGATAATCATTTCCCCGTTCGTGCGTCGCGGTGGTTGTGGCGCGTAATGCGGGACGGTGTTTTGTAAATCTATAACAACATCTTACCGTCTGTAATAAAATCTTGTTTTTGTAATACCACCTTCATACAGCCTTAGCGAGTACAAGCTTATACAATACCAAGCGTAACCAAGCTCCATCCTTCATCTCTTGGCGCTGAGCACTAGGAACTTCGAGTCTGACGAAGTTTGTACGGTATGGAATGGCCTTTGCGGGAAATATTAATTTAGCCATGCTGCATTGTGTTAATTTCCGCGCTGCCCGCGTTAACGTCCGTCTCGCTTTCTATTTGTCTAGCAATGCAGCCCTGTGGAAATGCTAAGATCGTGCGGACGAAGCGAGTAATCTAGACTAAATCTGACGTTGCATTGCATGGCATGGCATGGCATGGCATGATCCAAAACGCAGGCATCAATTTAAATGAACTGCGCGGCAATTGGATGGTAACTGAACTTACCTACAACCTTTAAACAAAGTAGGTATACTATGCGATCGTGGTATAATTTCTACTAGTACCCACACAAACATCTTAGAAGCTCAATGAATGCAAAGTTATACTAGTATATACATGGTCTTTGTAATGATTCCAAGATTACAATTTGCTGTCAACCCAGCGAGGCTCGCGCTTCTCAGCAAAAGCCAACAAACCCTCTCGTATATTCTCGCCGTCATTCAAAGCAGCCTCCCAATTTTCACTCAAAAGACGACTGGCGTTTTCCGCGCTTCCGTCCTCCCAACCAGCCACAATCCCAGCACGGCTGATAATTACACTGTCGGGGCTATTGTCGCAAATACTAGCAGCGTATTTCAAGGCTTCCTTAACGACCGGCCTGTCCAGAATTTCGCCATCCGCCGCACCATCCTCCGTCACCGCATTAATTAACCCCCATTCCCTGGCCTCGGCAGCAGTGATACTCCTTCCTGTAAGGGCAAGTTCCGTCGCCCTAGGGCGACCAATAGTGCGAGCAAGTCTGGGCAGCGAGCCGGCCATAGCGACCACACCTCGCTTCGCCTCGGGTAAGCCAAAGAGCGCGCTCTTGGCAGCAACAACAAGGTCCAGGTTGGAGACGATCTCCATCCCACCTCCGAAAGCTATACCGTTCACCGCAGCGATAATGGGCTTCTTTCCGTGTCGTCGTGAAAGAGCGCCGAATCCAGATCGTGGCATTGGTGCCCCGTTGCTGTGCTCGCCCTTTGCGCGCCGAATGCTGACCTCGTTCCATTCCTTCAGATCCATTCCGGCGCAAAATGCGCGTCCGGCGCCGGTGATGATAGCGCAGCGTAGTGATGGCTCACTGTCGTACCAAGTGAAAAGTGTTTCGAGGTCATATTGGGCAGCACTGGTCATGGCATTGAGTGCCTTTGGCCGATTAAACACGACCAGCATGACATGTGGTGCTGGGAATGAAACGTAGGCATAGGATTGCGGTGGCGGTAACCGCTTGAAGGAAGTTGATGAACCCATGGCAAATATTCAAGTTGTCGAGCTGTGCGCCGAATCGAAGTCCTTGGGTGTCGAGTCGAGCTTAGCAATTGTGAGAGCTGTGGTAATATCCAAATAAGACAGCTCGAACGTGCCTTGTACGCCCTTTTGACCCGCCTTGGTAAATCGGGAGCTAGCGGGTATTGATGGGATGCTTTGAATAATTTTGAATGGTAATACAATAGTGCCGAGGTCCTGAATATTATCTGATGCTGTCTTTCATCTGATTATTATTACATCGTACCTGTACTCCGTACTCTGTACTTTGTATTCCGCCTCGTCTTCAGGTGGATTGTATTACGAACAGTGGCTGCGCCCCAATTACAGCGGGGCGTATCGAAAACTCGTATCCACGGAAGACGTAAAGCATAATTTATCTGATTACTGGTATCTGATTAATCTGATAAAAAAAATTCCGCTTTGGTCTTGGTTATTTTCCCCACCAAAAAATCTGCTTAATCAACCCCTTTCGTAGAATTTCGATTTTGATACTCCGTAGAGTCGGCCAAGACGGCATACATACCCGCAATAGTGGAGGTTCCACCAGGCCGCAGTAGCATGTCCTTGGAACATTCTCTCGGCGATGCCATGCAGAAAATGCCAAGGTCGCTATGACCATCTTCGTCATGCTCTAACTTTGCACCACGAGCCCAAAGTGGAGCTTTGTACGCAACCAAGTGGATCGTTACAGGATTCATGAAACCAAGCTTATACTTACAAAACCAAGCTTATACAAAAGGTTGTCTTTTAGATTACCCGGACGGGTAGATGGCGGGAAATTCCGTGTCTGGGCCTCGTAAACAACCCCAATACTGTCTGTAAATGCCCTCCACCTCGTGTATCCATCCCTCTATGGACGGCAACATGTGGGCATCGACTGAATCCACAGCGCTGCTCCACCAGCCAAGTCCAGCTAGCAATTTCTTTTTGGTCCTGGTTCTTGCTCTGAATTGCGCGGACTTCCGGGTATCACTTCGTCGTTTGATCTTATCAGATTTTTCCTTTCTTCAGCTCGACAGCTTGTGGTCAATGTCGATCCGGTATCGGCCCACTGTGTCTATCTCCTTTTGCTGAATTTGAAAGCTGGCGAGGAGACTTGAAACTTAGATTGCGCCAACCCCAAACGGAGAACTGAAGAAACGCAAAAGCTCGGTAATCGAGCTCGTTGACTTCTCTCAAGGTCGCACCCTGCCCTCCTGAGTACAGCGCCATTGCTGTGCAAGGAACCTCTCGCTCACCATGGCCGATGCGACTACACCAGCGGAGACTCCCGCGGAGATTCCCGCAAAGGAGAGCCCACGTGTGGTTGACAAGGTATGCTGTCGCTGATCTGACTCCATGGCGCGCGCGCATGAGACAAGAGAGTCAAGCTAATCCCTGCTATAGCTGAAGGACTTCTTCACTTACTTCTCGATTTACTTCCGGACAAACCCATCGAATTTTGACCTCCTACTGCTCGTCGGTGGAGTCGTGTGCGCCATTGCGTCTGGTATCCCCTTTCCGCTTCTGGGTATTATATTCGGTCAACTTATCGACAATTTCAACTCGGAGAGTTGCGCCGCAACTGAAACTCTCAATGCCGCAACTCAAGCCTCTTACCAGGCCGAGGTCAATAGTAAAATCCTCTATGTCTTGTACCTCGCCATCGCCCAGTTTGGCTTCATGTATATCCATCTCGTCTGCTGGTCGATGGGCGGTGCCCGACTCGCTCAACGATTGCGCGAACTTTATTTCCAGAATCTCTTGCGCCAGGAGCCCTCATTCTTTGATAACCTCCCATCCGGCGAGGTGTCTTCCCGATTGAACAGTGATATCCAAACCATTCGCTCCGGTACCTCGGAGAAGGTTGGCATCTGCATCTCCAGTGTTTCTTTCTTCGTCACGGCCTATGTGGTCGCATTTATCAAAGACACGAAGCTGGCGGGGATTTTGGTTTCGCTACTGCCCGCCTACTTCCTCATGTCCATCGGAGGCGGTTGGTTCATCGAAAAATATTCCAGCCGAGTATCCGATTGCTTCGCAGCCTCTTCCTCCATCGCATCGGAGGGCCTGTCGAATGTAGCAGTTGTGCACGCATTCAATGCGAACGAAAGACTCGAGGCGAAATTTACCACCCATCTGCGCACTGCCAGAGACGAAGGCATGAAGAAGGCCCTTGCAACCGGTATCCAGGCTGGATTGATGTACTTCATCGCTTACTCCGCCAACGCCCTGGCTTTCTGGCAAGGAAGTCGCACTATCGCCAACTCTGTCGCTAATTCGAGCTCCAATGGCGGCGGCGGTGCCTCTGTTGGATCCATCTTCACTGTGATTTTCTTGCTCGTGGACGCTACCCTGATTCTCAGCCAGGTGGCTCCGTTCTTGCAGATCTTTGGCGCTGCATCTGCGGCTTTCAGCAAGTTGAAGCGGGATATGGATCACAAGTCTCTTATTGATGGTACCTCTACCGAAGGTCTTGATGTTCCTTCTGCCACCCCTGGTCATTTTGAGCTGCGCAATGTGTCTTTCACATACCCCTCTCGCCCTGAACGACAGGTACTTCGCAATGTTTCTCTGGAATGTCCTGCCGGCAAGCAGACTGCCATCATCGGTCTGTCTGGTAGTGGTAAATCTACCATCGCCAGCTTGATGCTCCGACTATATGACCCGTTGGAAGGCTCACTCCTGCTGGATGGCCAGGAAATCCGAGGTCTGAACACGCGCCAGCTACGTAGCTGTATCGGCATGGTCCAACAGGAGGCAACCCTGCTCGACCGTTCCATCCTGGAAAACATCGCACACGGTCTCGTTAACTCTGCAAAGCACGAACACCTTAGTAACGCTCTGATGGGTGCTTCGCTCGCTGAAGTGGCTGCTGCTATTCGAGGCGGACAAGATGCCACTGAGGCGGCTCAAGGCTATGGAGCAGACGTGGTGGAGATTATCGGCATGATCCAGCACGCTGCAACCCTCGCCGATGCTGCGCGATTCATTGGGAACTTATCGGAGGGCCTGGGAACGATCGTCGGATCGAACGGTACCTTGCTGAGTGGTGGTCAGAAGCAGCGTATTGCTGTTGCTCGTGCACTTGTTAAAGACCCCAAGATCTTGATTTTGGACGAGGCCACCGCTTCCCTTGATTCGAAGAGTGAGAAGGAGATTCTCGCGGCTGTAGAACGCTGCTCCGAGGGCCGGACTATGATCTCTATTGCGCATAGACTCTCGACTATCCAGAAAGCTCACAAGATCATTGTCATGCGCGATGGTGTTGTCGTTGAGAAAGGTAACCACGGCGAACTCATGGAGAAGCAAGGGGCTTATGCGGGCCTTGTCGGCCTACAGAATCTCAACACACAACCTTCGGACAAGTCAGTTGATGCCCAGTCAGGCGATATTACGGAAACAGAGCAATCTGGCGACGATGCGGAATCAATCAAGTCGTTGAGCAAGGGCAAGGAGCAAATCTCCATCGATGCAACTGAGAAAGCTGATGACTCCTCCCCGCCTACATCTTCAGGCGATGAGTCCGCAAAGCCCCGGAAGAAATCTGTCTGGCACTTGATGAAGGGTGTTTATCCCATCATGCGTCCCTACGTTCTCATCGCCCTGCTGGCTCTCCTAGGTGCCAGTATCGTTGGTGCGGCCTTCTCAATCGAAGCTGTGATCTTCGGTAATACCGTTGGCAGTCTGACACCTTGTAAATCACCCGAGTATATCCGCTCGCGTGGTGAATTCTTCGGGTTGATGTTCTTCATCTTGGCCATCGTTGAGTTCTTTGCCAATATTGTTAGCTGGGTTGGATTCGGTTGGGTATCGGAGAAGTCCATCTATAACATCCGCATTCTGCTCTTCCGCTCTCTTTTCGAGCAGGACTTGCAATGGCATCAATCGGAGTCTCGCACACCAACTGGATTACTTGGATACATTACAAATGATGGTAGTTTGATTGCTGGTCTTAGCGGATCTGTGATTGGCACTATCTTCTCCATCTGTATCAACCTCGTCATTGCCATCGTCATGACTCTCTGCATTGCGTGGAAGATGGCTCTCGTCTGTATTGCCGTTGTACCTCTACTTCTAGGAGTTGGATTGATGGAACTGAATGTCCTAGCCAAATTCGAAGAGAAGCACGAGAACGCATTCAACAAATCCGTCAGCATCAGCGTTGAGGCAATCAATTCGATCAAAACAGTCGCCGCCTTGTCCCTCGAGAACGAGACATTGGCCGTCTTCCGCCGCACACTATCTGGACCACGTCGTGAAACAACCCAGATCAGTCTATGGGCAAATTTATGGCTCGGCCTGGCCTTCTTCATCGGTAACCTGTCCTACGCTCTCGCTTTCTGGTGGGGATCAAAGCAGATCTTCAACGGCACCTACAGCGAAACCCAATTCATCATCGTCATGTTCGCTCTCCTGGTCAGCGCCCAACTCTGGAGTCAAATGTTTGCCCTCGCACCCGAGGTATCCAACGCCCGCGCCGCCGTGGCCAGAGTCCTAGAAATTCTAGAGCTCGGTCAATCAGGCCTGGCGTCTAAGGTCAAAGCCCTGCCCGAACCATCCACCACACCCTCATCATCCGAGAAGGACATCGAGTCAACCGGCGAAACGAAGTCCTTCTCGCCAAATGCGCAGGGAGGCGTCGACGTCGAACTCCGCGACGTGAAATTCTCATATCCCGCCCGCGCGCACGCCCCGGTCCTCCGCGGCCTAAACGTTCACGTCAAACCAGGCCAATTCTGCGCCCTCGTCGGTCCCTCCGGCGCAGGAAAGTCAACCATCATCTCGCTCGTGGAAAGAATGTACCTCCCCAGCTCAGGCGCCATCCTCGTCGACGGAACGGACATCACGCAACGAAGCGACATCACCTTCCGTGACGAAATCGCCCTCGTCCCGCAAGAAGGGACCCTATTCGAGGGCAGTGTGCGATTCAACATGTCCCTCGGCGCCCGACCCGGCACCGAAGTCTCAGAAGAAGAGATCGTCCAAGCGTGCAAATTGGCCAATATCCATGACACGATTATGAGTTTGCCGGACGGATATGAGACTGAGTGCGGTGCCAATGGTAGCAAGTTGTCTGGTGGACAGAAGCAACGGTTGGCGATTGCGAGAGCCCTGGTTCGCAAACCACGACTGCTTATCCTGGACGAACCGACCAGTGCGCTGGATGCGGAGTCTGAGAAACTTCTGCAAGAGGGACTGGAGGTTGCGTCGCGGGGGATCAGTGTGTTGGCGATTGCGCACCGTCTTAATACTATTCGCAAGGCTGATAAGATCTATATGATCGAGGCTGGTGTTTGTGTTGATTCGGGCACGCATGAGGAGCTGTTTGCGCGGTCTGAGAATTATCGGAGTAACGTGCTCAGCCAGACATTCGAGGGTTGAAAAGGGCTGTCTATCCACATGGCCAGTCCTGCATTCTTTCATTTCTTGCATTTTCCTTTTTTCTTATATACCTCTAGACTTCTTGCATTGCATATAACCCCTCATTAGATTTAATTGATAGATTCCTTTCACTTCATTCCAATCAAGCAATTCATTGCTATTTCATTCAGTGCAAAGAAGCATGACTCCACATCTGCTATATACAATCAGGCGTAGTTATTCAACTGGAACCGAAAACAAACAAGTAGTAATACTATGTGCTATGCACGAGTCTTGGTAAAGACAATCCCTCAAGAAAATTTTATAATCCAAACCGAAATCCCAATCAAATCGAATCATCACACATTCACAGCCTCGGCTTAAACCCCAATCCAGTCCCCGCAATATGCGGACTCACCTGGTTAAACGGACAAAGCTGGAAAAACCGCTCCCGTGTACACTTAACCAGACTAGCCCTCTTATGCGGCAAATCAATAACCTGATCCTGATGCAAGCCAAACGTATAATCATAAGTAAGAACCTTATCATTCGTAGACATAGGTTCACCAATAACATTCTCCGTCCGATGATCGTCCAAAAAGCAGTAGTGAATCATACTAGGCCACCAAGCCATAACGCGATGCGGGCCACGGAACGCATCATTTCCAACGAGCGTATGCCGGCCGCGATCAAAGTCGCCGGACGCATAGTGCGCGCCAACATTGTCCTCCTTACTCCAGAAGATCTCGTAGTACGAGAAGAAAGTATCGTTGAAGCGGCCCAGCACGGTCAGCGTGTGCGGATCCTCGTGCTGGCGGCGCAGATAGTCGCGGTGTTCGTCGAGGGTGCCGGTTTCTTTCCAGCCGGCCGCGACGCGCGGGTCGTTTTGCCAGGTGTGGAATAGATTCAGGTGCTCCGGGTTCTGGTAGTCGAGCGCAATGAGGGAGAAGTGCTCGTCCAGGAATGGGATGTAGCGACTATAAACGACGTGGCCGGGAGTAGGCTTGGGGTGACGGCGCGGGTGGCGGCGGTGCACTGTCTCGGTCGAAGTCATGGTGTAGTCCAGGCTGGGCACGGCGGCCGCGGGGTTCCAGCTCGGGAGCCAGATTGGCTGTGCGCCTAATGGCGAGGCGCAGCCTTGCCAGAACGAGCTGCGCATGATGAGGAGCTCGTTCGGGATGGGCTCGTAGGCTGTTGCGCTGCTCACGGGGCGCGGGTGGTCGATTGCTACCATTGACAGGCGCAGGGCGTGGGCTAGAGACTCGGCCTCGGGACCTTGGAGCTGGAGGCGGAATGTTTCAATTTGCTCTTGAACTGTGAAGATGGAGTAGAGGAATAGCCAGATCTGGCCGACTGTGGGTGCGGAGGAGGTTTCCCAGGTTGCAATGCTTGCCGGGCTGCGCTGGGCGCGTGCCCATGCTGTGTTGTTGGAGGTTGGTACTGCGGTCTCTGGGTTCACGGGCTGCGGGGCGCTGAAGTAGAGCTGGCTGTTCTCGAGCTCATGGGGGAAGGGCTGAGCTTCGCCGCCGGAGGCCTTGTGCAGCTGGAACAAGCGGTTGCCATCCTTGAGCTTGCTGGAGGGTACCAGGTGGTAGGTGGTGAGGTAGGGATGCGGCAGCCGGATCTTGATCGGCGCCAATTGCTGAGGGTTGGCCATTTTGGAGAGAGGTGAGGGGAAATGTTAATTAAGTTTCAACTTTCCTGAGCATCAAGCAATAAGGGACACTTATAATGTCTGACACAGCGTGTTCTTGGCCCAGCTGCTACGCTTTCCCGAAAAGCTCCGTGGGCAGCGCCAGCCGACCTCGCTCAGCGTACGAGCTTGCCACGATACGCACTCGTAAGTGAATCCAGATTCGAAAAAAGACATGATGCAAAGTGGGGAATTTGGGTCCCTTGGCGAAGTTTTGGGAAATGGAGGAGGCAGTAAATGTGATGATCAGTACGAGGCCCCACTGTACGCCTCGGTATGTTCCGCCTTATTAGGAGTGACTAGCTACGTACAGTATTCTGTAAAAAAAAAAAACCTCGGGAAATGAGGAATAGGAGATTCATTAGATTGCCCCGATGTCCGCGTCGGATGCAGAGTTCGGAAATTGAACCCGTGGCTCAAGTTGATTGCCAAGAGGCATGGTTGATCGCATTCTAGTGGGTATTATGCAGATCGGTCTTGATTTTGATGCTCGAAGCGACACTATGTACTCCGTACTTAGTGATGCCTTCGGAGATAAATACCCTTTTGCATCCCCGATTGATAAACCAGTGTATTCTGAATAGTAATTTATCTTCTCTGTGTACAGTGGGGTACAGTTGCTCAATTTGGAAGATGCATACTCTGTACGTTACTCTGTACGGAGTATAAGAGTGAGACAAATTGTCGATAATTTACGCTTATACAGGTACTAATGCAATACGAGGATACATACAATACCTGTGGCTGTAATATACACCATGACAATACCACGATAACCGGGAATACCAGGAAGGTGCCAAGAATACACAATACCATACATACCATACATGGGATAATCTGATCTTGACAGCCACTCACATTCGACCTCACACTAGCTTTCTCTGGTAGGTCAATATTTTTGTTTCCTTCAGCTCCAACCGGTGACACACCCGATGATTTCCACCGTGGGTCTCACTAAACCCCGAACACCGGGCCTGCGGGCTCGTGTTCTGGAAAAGCAATGCGACGGGGCCCAAATGTTCCGAGCTACCTGGAAGAGAAAAGCGTCGCGCGCGCCCTTTTGATCTTGAATAAGTTGGATTTGGATCGCCCTCCCTTGAAGTTCTGACTTCCATCATACTTCGACACAATGGCGGGCGCCGTTTTTTCCTCCCAGCGAGGCGCGCCGAAGGGTCTGGCCAGATTTGCCCGCTTCGATGTGCCCCTCCTGCGGGCGGCCGAATATCGCGGCCACGAGGTCGATCTTCTGCTGCTTGCATGGGCCCTGCTGCTCTATCGCTATAGCAATGGAAACCCTGTCGAATTTACTTGGGGACGGAATGGCACTGCTGCTGATTTCACGTTCAACTGCGGTACCTCGAACCTGAACTGGGACGTGACCCTTACCATCGAAAAGGCCCTGGAGGGGTTGCGATCATACCGAGAACAGATTCAAGCCGATAAATTGATCGATCTTGATAATGCAATTGTGTTCTTCAACGATGAATGCGCCCCGGCCGATCTTCCAAGCAATGCTTGGGTCAGCGATGGCGATGCGCTTGGTGGTGGAATGGCTTGGGTAAGTTGGAAAGAGAGTAGCTATAACGAATGTCAATGGGAACGGGTATCTAATCAGTTGCCTTTGGCCTTGTTTAGGGAAATATCCAACTCCAAGCAACCATCTCAGATGGTAGTCTGTGGCTGCGACCCTGCTGGCGCGAGCCACTCGGCGCAGAGTACCTTGCGACACACTATGCGAACGCCCTGGTCGAAATCCTCAACACACTCATCTCCGATCTATCAAAACCTATCTCCTCTGTATTAGAGCTGAGCGAGACCGACCGATCCGAATTGTGGCGTTGGAACAAGGATGTGCCTGCCACGGAGGACGTCTGTGTCCAAGACTTAATATTCGAACAAGTGGAGAAGCAGCCAACAGCTCAAGCGATCTGCTCGTGGGACGGCAATCTCACCTACGAGGAGATCGGCCGATATTCAACTTTACTCGCCCACCACCTTGTCCGAATAGGAATCAAGACTGGCCAGATTGTCCCCATCTGCTTTGAAAAGTCGCGCTGGACAATTGTCGCAGTGCTCGGTGTCTTGAGAGCCGGTGGCGCCATGGTGCTGATGGATCCCAGCCAACCCTTAGACAGACGCCACACAATTGCCGAGCAGGTTGGCGCAACCTTAATTGTGACATCTCAGACACATGCGCCCTTTGCTCCCAAGATCGCGCCGAGTGCCAAGGCAGTTGTCGTCTCCCAGGACACGCTGGACGAGCTGGCAGAACAGGCGACCAAGACTGCCAAGCCTGAACTCCCAGTAGTTCCTACTGACTCTATTCTCTACTTAATCTTTACTTCTGGAAGTACAGGTAAGCCCAAGGGTGTCATTATCAATCACCGTACCTACACCACGAGTGCGATTGCGCGAAGTGCCGCCGTAGGCTATACTGCGGAATCGCGAGTGCTTGATTTCGCTTCATATGCATTTGATGTCAGTGTTGATAGTATGCTTTGCACAACGCTGCGTGGCGGCTGCCTGTGTATTCCCTCTGATGAAGATCGCCTAAATGATCTCAGTGGCGTGATTCGCCGCATGGGAGTCACCATGTCCAACATGACCCCCTCAGTCGCACGCATTCTAGACTCCGACATCATTCCGTCTTTGGATAGTCTTGGTCTTGGTGGCGAGTCATGCTCTGTCGGAGATGTGTCTGAATGGGGTCAATATACGAGAATTGTCATCGGATATGGTCCTTCAGAGTGCACGGTTGGGTGCACGATCAACTCTAGTGCAGCAGGTAAACCATATGTCAGCATTGGCCCTGGTAATGGAGGCATCATTTGGTTAACAGACCCTGACGACCACAACAAACTGACGCCAATTGGTGGTGTTGGAGAATTATTAGTCGAAGGGCCTATTGTCGGTCAGGGTTATCTTGGTGATCCTGAGAAGACTGCTGCCTCGTTTATCGAGGACCCCACATGGCTTCTTGCCGGTAGCAAAGAAGTCCCGGGACGCAAAGGCCGATTGTATAAGACAGGTGATCTAGTTCGTCACGATCCAGATGGTGAACAAGGGTTTGTCTTTGTTGGCCGAAAGGACACACAGGTCAAACTTCGTGGACAGCGCGTTGAGCTCGGTGAAATTGAACATCACCTACGACGACTTCTCCCATCCGGGACCGATGTGGTCGCAGAGGTCATTGCACCACAGGGTCGAAGCAAGGAGTCAATGCTTCTTGCCTTCGTTGCAGATCCCAATGCCGAGAAGCCTCAAGATGCTAAGGATACTGAACTTTATCAGGTCGAGTTCTCTTCCGCCATTCGCGAGAAGATGACTGATCTCAGCGATCAGCTCTCTAAAGCTCTCCCGATCTACATGGTTCCCTCAACATATATTGGTATCAATCGTATGCCGATGCTTGTTTCGGGCAAGATCGATCGCAAGTTGTTGCGCGCGTTTGGATCCCAATTAACTCTGCAATCCAACTCCGAAGCCTCCGGTGGGGAGAGCCAGAAGCCTACCTCGGAGACAGAAATAAGCTTACATGAAATTTGGTGTCGTCTTCTGGGGTTAAAGCCGGACGAAGTTAGCACCACTCACAATTTCTTCATCCTAGGCGGAGACTCTGTCCTGGCTATGAAATTGGTGCCCGCAGTTCGTGAGCGAGGATTCGTCTTGACTGTGGCGGATATCTTCAGCTTCCCTGTCCTGTCAGACATGGCACGAGCAATGGAGAAGGAAGAGGAAAACTCGCAGGTCGAAGTTTCTCCATTTTCTCTCATCGACTCTGCCTGGGACCGCAAGGCTGCTTGTGACGAGGCCACTAGCCAATGTGGCGTTGATCTCTCTTCGATCGAAGATATATACCCCTGCACGCCTCTGCAGGAAATTCTCATGGCGTTTTCCGCACGTTCCGCTGAGAGCTATGTCGCTCAACGCATTGCGGAAATTCCTAATGTGGAGACGGCGGATAAGTTGAAGGAGGCTTGGAATATTGTCATCAAGGAGAGCGCGATCCTGCGCACGCGGGTCGTCGAGTTCAAGGAGCACGGCTTCATGCAAGTCGTTATTAAGGATACCCCGGAGTGGCAGTCTAGTAACCAGAGTCTTGAGGAGTTCCTGGCGGACGACCAAAAGACCCCGATGTCTGTCAACATGCCGCTAAGCCGTGTCTCAATCGTCCACGACGATGCTGCAAGCAAGATTTATTTCGTCTGGACAGTTCACCACGCCATCTACGACGGCTGGTCGACAGACTTGATGATCGAGCATGCAAAGAACGCCTACAAGGGTGTCCCTACTCCCCGACCAGCCGAGTTCAAGCACTTCATTCAATTCCTCGTCGATCCTGCGAGAGAAAGCTCAAAGGACTACTGGCGCGTCCAGCTTCAAGGCGCAACCGGTCCCCAATATCCCTCCCTGCCATCGCGCATGTACATCCCCGAACCCAATGCTCTGGTCCAGCGAATTGTTCCCGTAGAGCAAACCTCTCGCTCTGCCATTACCACCGCGACTCTCATTCGAGCTGCATGGGCTCTGGTAGCCTCACAGTACACAATGAGCGATGACGTGGTCTTTGGCGAGACATTTTCAGGACGCACACTCCGTCTCCCTGGCGTCGAGCAAATTGAGGGTCCCATGATTGCCACTGTTCCCGTACGTGTGCGTATCGACCGATCCGCGCCCGTTCAAGAATTCCTCCAAGGAATCCAAGAACAAGGTCTCATTAGAGCCGCGCACGAACATCTGGGCATGCAAAACATCCGCCGCGTTAGCGGTGACGCCCAATTAGCATGCGAGGTGAAGATGGGTCTGGTCATTCAGCCCCGGCCAGCGGAAGGCTCAGAGGAATCCGGAGATGAGCTGCCGCCTTTCCGCGTTGAAGATGCCGCTCACGAAGCGCTGCGATTCAACTCTTACCCACTCATGCTTGCCTGTTCGCTACGCTCAGATGGCTTTGAAGTCACGGCTAGCTTCGATTCAAACCTCATCACTGAGCCCCAGATGCACCGAGTTCTCGCTCAACTCGAATATGTTGTCTCGCAACTCTGTAGTGATGATACGGTTCAGCTGAGCAATATCACCTGCATGAGCAAGCTCGAGCTTGCCGAGATCTGGCAGAGCAACACGATCACAGAATCTTCCACAACAGACGTCGCTAGTGTCTTACTTGAAGAGACGAAGGGTCTTACAACGGGAGATCAGTACAAGACGGCATTTGTGCCCTGGATCGTGAACCCCTCCAATTACAACCAACTCATGCCAATCGGAACCGTGGGTGAGCTCCTCCTGGAAGGCGTGGGTGATGCCGCAAATCTTGATGCCCCCGAATGGCTTACGAAGGGAACGGGCAGTGCTCAAGGCCGTAGCGTGAAGCTCTATCAAACTGGTGACCTTGTCAAGTATTCTGATGACAAGAGTCTGATTTTCATGGGCCGCAAGGAAAGTCTCCGCAAAGTTGACGGCCATGTGATGGACTTGGCCGCAGTGGATCTCCAACTCCGACAATGGCTTCCGGAAAATTCCCACGCTGTCAGTCAACTGATCGTGCCTAAGGACTCGGGCAACCAATCACCAGCGTTGGTTGCATTTGTGAGCGAGCCTTCTCTGAAGGAAGGCCGAGTAGTTGACCTCGGCCTCAAGAATCTGAGTGTAGACCTTCCAGTTTCTGCTGTTATCTCCTCTGAACTCGCGGATTCTATTGTAAGCTTGAACAAGAAGCTCGCTGACGTCCTCCCGCCTTACATGATTCCTTCTATCCACATTCCTCTCGAAAATTTGCCATACCTTGGTGAACAAGTTGACCTTGAGTCGCTAAAGAAAATGGCCGAGCATGTCACTCAAGATCTGTTATTGCAGCTGCGAACTGCTTTCACGAACCTCCGCTCAGGCCGGGGCAAGCAAATGACCATGAAAGAACGAGCGCTGCGAGGCCTTTGGGCGAAGTCTCTTGGCATGGAAGAAGAAAAGCTGGCACTTGATGACAACTTCTTCCGACTTGGTGGTGATTCTATCATGGCTATGAAGCTGGTCTCCGCTCTGCGTCTGGTCGGGTATCATCTGTCTGTGACAGATATATTCCGCAACATGCAATTGAGTTCCATGGCCGGCGCTTTGGAAGAGGTGTCTTTGGACGGTGAGCGGGTAATGAAGGAATACAAGCCTTTCTCGATGATCAAGGCTAGTGATATTAAAGAGTATTTGTCGAAGAACATCGTGCCTGCTCTTGCCGATGCAGCATGGGAGGTTGAAGATGTGCTTCCCGCCACAGATCCCCAGCAGCGCGATATGGAGACTACTGTCTCCAAGCCTCGGAGTGCCGTTCAGTATAACATGCTCTACTTCAGCAAGGATGTCGATATGACTCATTTGTTGGAGAGCTTCCAGAAGCTTGTCTCCGCTCACCCCATCCTACGCACCGTCTTTGTCAAAGAGGGTAGCCGTATCCTGCAGGTTGTGCTGAAAGACCTGAAGGTGCAGATCTCCGAAGATACCACCGAAGATCCCGTAACGGACTTCTGCAAGAAGGTAGCAAAGGAAGACATTGAAGACGACTCCTACTTCAACCTCGGCACATCGTCCCTAAAACTCTTCGTCATTCACGGAACCGAGCAAAACGCACTTATGATCCGAATTTCCCACGCCCAGTACGACGGAATATCCTTCCCAGAAATCCTCCGCCAGCTCGAGCTCCAATACGAAAACAAGGAACTCGAAACCTCCTCAGCTCCCTTCCACAACTACATCCAATACCAATCCGAGTCCAAGCTTGAGAACATCCAATACTGGCGTGAGGTACTACAGGGCTCATGGTTAACTTCTCTCCCGCCGGCAGAGTCCACCAGCACACCGAAATTCATCAATAAAGAAGTTGACCTCTCGTCCCGATCCCCGGATACAACTATGGCAACGCTCCTCACAGCAGCCTGGGCCCGCGTTTTATCCAACCACCTAAGCACAGACGATATCACCTTTGGCGGCGTCGTTTCCGGCCGAACGATCGACTTACCCGACGTTGACAAGATCATGGGCCCGACGTACCAGTACATGCCACTTCGCGTCAAGTTCGAATCCGGATCGAGCGTGAAAAATCTTCTATCTGGCGTACGTGATCAATTCCTGGAGGGAAGTCGCCATGCTACGCTAGGCTTCCAGGAGATTTCGGACAATTGTACGAGCTGGTCGCCAACGATCCCATTCTTCTCGAGTATTGTTCACCATCATGATATCGAGTACTTCGATACGATCCCCTTTGCCGGGACTGAGTGTGGTGTTGATTATACGAATCCGCACCCTGAGGCTGCGGATACGATCCGTGTTACTTCGTACACCGAGGGGGGCAAGACGTTTGTTGGGATTGCGGCTGATGAGGAGAGGGGGGTGTTTTGGGAGGAGAGATTGAGTGAGTTGGCGAGTGTTATTGAGGGGTTGGTGAATGATCCTGAGGCTTTGATCTAATTTTTTTGGTCTTGAATTTGCCCTGCGATGGACTTTTTGGCCTTGTTGTACTTATGCATACGTGTATATATGTTGCATTTTCTTTCTGTGATTTGATGTTTAACTAGAACGAACTATTTCTTTCCTACTTTGCATAAATATTAGTAAATACATTTCCGAGAACTTAGACAAGAAAATTTCCATGCAGTAGTGGCTCTTGTGCAGTAGTATCTACCTAGGTAGTAACTGCTAATGATGATGACTTCAAAAGAACTTGAATGTTTCAGCACCTCATGATCTTCTCGTTGGTATTGACATTTGCCCACCAATATGGCCCTCAATATCCATGGATAAGCAATCTTATCAATCAGATTATGTTGACAATAGGACTTGTCTACGCCACTGCGTTTTCAGCAGTCTGCCGATCCAGCTTCTAGGCCTGAAAGCAGCAATCTACTTTTCACAGCGCCCTATACACTTACCCCTTTAATCAGTTAATTTCGGAAACTGCGGATGGAACGGAGGCAGTGTAAAAATACACGTATTAACAGTGGATCCCGTTATTGTACTATACAGCAAGCCCTAAATTACCAAATTACCTGTCACGGCAGTCACGAACAATATCGGCACTTGCTTATCTGATCACTGCTTTCTTATCTGATGTGACGACCTTCACTCTCCCTCCGCAAAACCCTTCTTCCCCCCAATTCAATTCCTCCTCCTCCCTCCCACACCAATTGCCTACAAAATGGAACTCAAAGGACTCGCAAACTTAGCCCGGGGCCAACCGGGCATTCTCCACCATATTGTGAGTCGTTCTTCTCCATCTGCATCTCCATCTCCATCTCCGTCGCACCGCCACACGACCCCCCGCTAACCCATCCCACCCTCAACAGACCTCCAACCTTGTCTCATTCGAATTCACCCGCGGCTCCCCCCCGCAAACCCCACACCCTGATCTTCGTCGGCGGCCTAGGCGACGGCCTCGCCTCTGTCGAATACCTCGGCGACATCGTCCGCGCCCTCGACGCAACAGAATGGACCGTCTTCAATCTAATCCTCTCCTCCTCCTACGGAGGCTGGGGCATGGGCCGACTAGGCAAGGACATCGACGAGATCGCCCAAACAGTAAACTACGTCCGCGAATACAAGACCCCCGTCTACGGCTCCGGCAAGGTAGTCATCATGGGCCACTCAACCGGCTCCCAAGACGTAATGCACTACCTCAACTGTCCCAATCCCCGACCCGCGCACCCGGTCTTTGACAAAGGCTGCCCGGGTGTGCTGCGTCCCCAGGTCGACGGCGCAATCATGCAAGCACCCGTTTCAGACCGCGAGGGTATCCTTTGGGTAATCAAGTGCGGCACGGCGAGAGATAGCCCCGAAGCAATGCGCGAACTATACAATAAAGCCGTCGCCGATGCGCGGAAACACACATACGAAGACAACGACTCGGTCGACACTGTCGTGCCGCTCTCCGTCACCGGACGAATCGGTTACCCTCCCACGGCACCGGTCAGCAGTCGGCGGTTTTTGAGCCTCGTTAGTCCCGATTCGCCGAAGGCACCGGAGGAAGATGATCTGTTCAGCTCGGATTTGAGTGATGCGCAGCTTGATAAGACGTTTGGCCAGGTTGCGGGCCGGGGACTGTTGGGTCATAAGTTGTTGGTGTTGTATTCTGGTCGCGATGCGTCTGTTCCGCCTTGGGTGAATAAGGAGGCGCTTATTAAGAGGTGGGAGAAGGCTATTAATACTGAGGAGCGGGAGTATTGGGATCGGAGGAGTATGGTCATTCCTGGGGCTTCTCACGCGTTGAGTGATGATGATCAGGCGGAGCCGAGGAGGATTCTTGTTCGGCAGGTTACGTCTTATTTGAAGGATATTGAAAGCTCGTGATCTAGGCTTGATATCACCAGCTTGATTGGTTTTAGTATTGGCGTTGATTGAGGCGATTTTCCAAAAGGAATACCTGAAAAAGTACAGCGTTGGTTAAATTGAAACAGGGATGACTACCATTCAGAGACCACAGCTTTATCGATAACTTAAGTACTGGTGTTGGAGGCTTATATTCTATCTCGACCAGAATGTGACAAGTTCATCGAAGTCTTCCTCCCGCAGGTCCTTGCCGTCTCTCTCCACTCCCGTGATCTCGTGCCGCATGGATGCCGCCTCTCGTAACAATCTTTTTGCCTCATCCTCCTGCCTAGCTTCTGAAAGCACCTTAGACTTAAGGTATGAAGTCCGCGATATCTCCCGAGCATATGTTGCTGAGTCGACGCTCCAATTCTTGAGGGCCTGATCGATAAATCCGATGGCATCGTCAAGAAGCCCGTTGCGAAGGCAATGCTGGGCCATTTTGTGGCAGACATCTGCAGTTCGATGATGGCGGTTGCGGATGGTTGATTGGTATTGCTGAAGGGCTCTTCGATGGTAATCTTCACTCTCTTTGATTAAGCCCTGAGAGAACCGCACGTTTCCAAGCGCGTGGAGAAAGCGACCGGTCCTGCCAGCAAGAGTTGGAGCGTTAGCCAAGGGGTGAAAAAAAGCAAAGTAAAACTAGAGAAGGTGCCTTACCTGAAACAATGGCTGTCCATCTCTCCAAAAATTTCTTCTCGATCTGCAAGACCCATTTCTAGCACTTCAGAAGCCCGTGTCAAGTCCCCTTGTAGCCACTTCGTTGTCCCAAGATTTACAAGGGCCAAGGAACGCTTGTCTTTGGTGTAGTCCGGGATTTTCTCGTACTCCCGTGCAGACGTCGCAAAAGATTCTTCCCCCTTTGTGTATTCGCCAGCCATCATCCATGATATACCCATCCCGTTATAAGCGCTGGCGAGTTTCTCGTCCACTGCTCCCCGTTTCTCTGCTATTTTCAAGCGTATCTCGAGGACCTTTTTATTATGGTCCATACTGCTGGCTGCGTCGTTTGTCCCGCTAGCGACTGCACCAAGTGTGTGCCGGATGTCGGATTCTAAGTCTTGGTGATCGATTTCTTTGCTGCGATTACAAAGTTCTAGGGCCAGTTCCAATAAAGGCTTTATGATAGGTGATTCGCCGCGTTCGTGTTGGTACCTTCATACGGGTTAGCAATCCACGAGAATCGTTATGTAGGTACTAGAAGGGCCGCGGTAACTCACCATCCAGCGCGATTAAGAAGTCCAGCAAATTCAAAATCACCGTCAACATATTCTTCATGCTTGAAGTGTTTTTTATACGCGTCTTCCAGACTGATGACATGCGGGTAGAGTGCTTTGTATTCCTCCCATAGCTTGACATCATGACTTTCAACTTCTCCAAATGGCCAGGCCGCTGCGACCATTGCGACCGCGTTTAAAAATACCCTTCGTTGCCGCTCAGGTTTAATTTGGCCACGCACAACGTCTCGCGTAACGCGATTCATCCAATACTCCCTTGTTTCCTGATTATGACGAAAAATAGAAGACCCGATCAGTTGCTTCCTCGCATTGAAAAAGGCGCCCTGTTTCTCAGGATACGAGGGCATATCTATATTAGTAGCAGAGCTCATCAAGATCCTCTCCTGGATACTATCTGGGTCCAAAAACGATGAAACTTCCAAAATTGCTCGGGCAGCATCCGACAGCTTCTCCAAGACTGTTGACACGTTGCTACGAGCTGGCACCTGTGGTGGTTGATCCTCCATCTCAAGAATTTCCCCAGCATCGTAAAGTCTCATGAACTCAGTATAGGTTAAAAAGTCGAGCCTAATAATGCCAGCCATCTGGGCGAGCCCAAGTGGCAGCCCACCTAGTCGGCTACCGACCTGTCTTGCTTCTTCAAGCCGGTCCTGGATCCCTGAAAATTTTTGAACAAACAATCCAGAGTCTTCTAGATTAAACGTGTGGACATCGACAGAGATCGCATGTTGTGAGAAGGCTGTCCTCGCGAGGGGACTTCGGCTAGTGATCAAGACTGCTCCGCTATTGGCGATTTCACTATATTGCCTCAAGATGTCAGGTTCATCGGCATTGTCGAACACAACCAGCCAGGAAGCTCGTAATTGATTCCCAGTACCATGGTCTGTCTTGAACGGGTTTCGAAGCCATTCAATTGCGAGCGCTCTATTGTTGATCTTGTCATCTGGCTCTCTGGGATCCTGGATTTCTAATTTGATAGCGATCTGGGCGAAGTCCGATTCAAGTTTGAACACATCATCGGCTCGGATCCAAAAAACCGCATCGAAGTTTTTTTCGCGAGTAAAGGCATATTCCATAGCGATTTCTGTCTTCCCTAAGCCAGGCATGCCGCATAATATTCCCACGCGTATTTGATCGGGCTGCGAAGATGGCAGCGTGTCTTTTGAAGGGAGAAGGCAATCATCAAGTTTGCTTAGAACATCTTGTCTTCCGTAGAAGTCTTTGTTCCTCACATATGTGTCCATCATGAAACAGGGGATTTTGGGTTCACGTTGTTCCACGGAGAAGAACTCCAGGAGAGCCTCGAGATATTTATGTCCAGGGCTTGATTCGGTACTAACGTAAGAGAGCGTGCTAGGATCTGGCCGACTGGAGACTTCGGCTTTGGGAGCCTGCTGTGTGATAGCTGAGGTGCAATGTCAGTCGTGGATGGTCTATGAAAAGTATGTTTAACTCACATTGATGGGGCTGGTTCAGTAATAAGTTGTCGTTCGTCGGTTCCCTCAAAGTCTCTACGTCGTGAGATTTGCCTATATTCGTTCAGTAAGCCAGATCAATGATGCCAAGAGCTAAATATCGTACCGGAGGGTTCTCGCGAATACTGGTAGGCTCCAGATTCGATGATGCTTTTGAGGAAAGCGTCATCCTCGGGTGCAAGTCCATCGCATTGTCTTGGGACATCCTCGAGATCAAGGTCCGTGTCGGGGATTGGGATATCATCCACGACGACGTCATCATCAAGATCCATAATGTCCACCGCGTTATCCTCGTTGTCCATGGTTTTCATAGTGACATCTGCCTGGGAGTCGATGTCGGAGAGCCTTCCTAGGTCATTGCCCTTCAAGGCGCTATTTCCGTCGGCGCTATTTCCGTCGTCGATATCGACATAATCACTCTTGAAATCATCATCCGAGACCCCATCGTCTTTCTGCAACGCCGCGAAGCGTAGTGTCAAGAGCATTAGCACTTGTAGATGTATCGCAATGTGCTGAGCTACAGCCTTCGAACGGTCATTGCTATGTTGTGGTCTATGCCGATGAGAACCCATGTCCTCTGAATCAGAAGAAAGATCCGAAAAGTCAGGGTCTGGGCTGTGTTGACCAGGATTCGTCATGGCATGAGCCTTCCTGGCACATTTGGCAGTCTTTTGCTTCGGCGATTCTTTCCCTCGTTTAGGGAACACCGCCTCGCCACTATCCTTTTGCTCTTCCGTTGAAAAACAACACAAAAGACAATCGTTCCAAGCTCTTGGCTGCGCCGTCTTGCTTTGCCGCGAAACGACTTGAAGCTGCTTGTTTGTAAAATCACCATCATGTGATTCTTTCAAATGCGAGTAAAGGGCCTCTGGGCTGCTGTAAACGTTTGGGTTCAACTCGCAGACAGTACATATCCAGCTAGACGATAAATAAACTTGCTGATGCCATCGCGTATGGTGAAGTCTCATGTGGCTAAACCATTCATCGAAGGTCGAATAGGTCGGGTGGTCATCTAGGCATTCCTCTGAGAGGCAAACGTAAGGATTGAGGTCTCGATCTATATGTCGACTGAGATCAGGTCAGCATAGTTCGTCTCCACTGCCCAGGGATGCGTCAACATCCTCATAAGCCTATACGTAAACGTCGTAATGGCCTACGTATAAAAGGCAACACGAAGTCCTCCATAAGAATGGATGGCTTTCGTATAGATATCATAAGGATTTATATAACCACATCCTTGTGCTTGAAGAATGAGTTCTACCTACCGCCATTTGCCCTCCGAGAGTGATTTCTTGCTGAGCAGTTCAGAACACCACTCGCAAGTGAAGATATCGCTGCTAGGGAGTCTTGGATAGTTACTCTGGTTTACTTGAAATGTTGTCTTAGGAAATTTTGTCGACGCTTCATCGGATGGTCTGAGACGGCTCCTGATCTGTCGAGTATTGACGCTGGATAGATCGGACTGAGAGAGTGCGATAGGCTCTTTTGGAAGATTAGCTACAACTGGAATCCCTCTCGCCGGCTGGGTGATAGGGACGTTGTTCTGCATCTCGTTATTGGGTACTTCCGGGATAGATGATAGACCTATACGTGGCTCTCGGCGGCTCTCGAGCTTTTTGTGGCGAGCGTTCAGAAATAGCATCTTTGCATATCTATCTGTCATGGACTTGCTGAGATAATCTTTGAGAGACTGGTGGGCACCAGGATATAAGGCATGCACGGCGTTCGCACATAGATAGGCGAATGGCTTCAGATCAAGACCTGCGGCGAATGTCTTAGCCCTTTTGTCGATCTTGTCACGACTTGACCGGCGAATTGTGACACCTAAACGGTTTAGTCGAGCGAGGGTGTTATCGATTGCTGTCAGAGTCGCAGTTTGTATCGAAGCCTTAGGATATGATTCAACCAAGCCTAACGGGGCCTGATCTATCTCCCTTTAAGTTTTCGTTTCGTCTTTACATTGTTGTAGACTGCGGCGGAGGATATCCAGTAATCGAGCAACAAGGTCTTGAAGGTCTGGGAGGTTTCGGAGTCTCGTATCTAAGCATTGGCTCTTCCGAGCAAACACCCCGAGATGCGCCGCCCATATAGAAAATCGTTGCTGAAATTCGGCGAATAGATCGGTAGTCGTAACTTCTAGCTTTGTTTGAGGCAAGGTTTCCTGTAGTTGGTCAAAGAGCACTTCACATTCACAGGCTAGCCTGTAGAGAACATCTTCGCTATCGATATTAAGCGTCATACTAGGAGGCCTTTAGCAAGAACTCGAGCATCGAAAAATAAAGTAAGACGTGCGATGGTGAGTCACTAGGAATATGATAGAGCCGGCTGCCAGGCTATGGAAGGAGGGATGTACTCAACCGCCCGGAAGAGGAGGGGTATAGAGGGTAAACTAGTTCACAACCGGTCCACGTGATTTTGTAGGTTCCAACACTATCAGCCGCAGATGTCCCTGGTGGGGAAGGTTGTGAACATTCATCCCCGCACATCCTCCTGCCGAGCCTCGTATCCGCCGCCTTCATGTTACTCAAGTCGTTGGACCAATTCTAAAAGTTCACCGTAGTTAGATAAACGGGGCCTGACAAACTGAAATGCCTTACCTCGTTGAGTTGAATGAATGGCGCTTGCTCCACGGGCTTGGGGGCCTATTGGGCCAGAAGAAGGCGCGATACCAGCTGCAAGCAGGACCGCTCAACGATCACAACGGTGTCCAATCCAACACCGAACTAATCGAAGTCGAGCTTCGCCGCGTATTCATGGTCAAGGAAATTCCTCGGAATCTAGATCCAGCAGAGTTCGAACAGTGCCAGGAAAAGCTGAACAGCCTCTGCTTGTTGTTGGATAGCCTTGCGCGGTCTTCGAACACCCAGGGTGGCCCAGAAGGTCCGAGCTATCCCCGTTTACGAGCGTTAGCCGTTTTCCTAGAGTCGACTTCTGGCGCGGTTGACCTAGCGAGTGGTCCCAACGAAACTATTTTCAGACTTCCTCGAGACGCCGGCAAGCTTCGCGATTGTCTGCGGATTATCACAGAGTGCAATGATGTCCTCAGTCGGCTACTCACGCCCTCTCTGCAAGAAGCAGTCATTCAACCACTCCAGAGGCGGCGGAAAAAGAGCGCATGGAAGAAATCCACGATACGGAATCGAGCCGTGTTCGTTTTTGAGACTTTGTTTAAGCATTTTAGATGCGGAATGCCACATGAAGTGCTGCTGAAGCTCATTGAGGACCCCTATAAAGATTCGGTATTACAGAGTTTACAACTCGTGCTCTCGCCATGTCCAGAATTAGAACTGTGGCAAGAAGCCCGGTGTGACTCCGTTAGTTTGTATGTTTGCAAGCCCCCGTGTTCGTTAGTGCTTACCTCTTTACTTCTTTGCTCACTAGACTATTAGAGACGAAACTTCGATTTCACCTATACCCGATATCTGCATGGACCTCCGACAGCATACTGGGCAAGGAAAGGTGTTGACACTGCTCATTCAGAAGTACGGGTTGTTCGGTGCCTGGTCGGGTCCTACTTCTTCTGCGACGGGCTCAGCATCTAAGGAGTCTCTTGACCAAATTATACTCAATGGAGCTTTCAGGCCTCTTGACCTCAATATGTTTCACGAGGCATCACCAGCCAGGATCAGCACCAAAGATAAGCGAGCACTTGCTGTCAAGCTTGGGTTTTGTCTCATGGACTTTTTCGACGCTGATTTCAGCTCGAAAAGGATATATTTCCTGGATTTCTCGAAACCGGACCCCGAGAAAAAGCTCCCGTACCTATCTTTTGGGTCAAAGCTTCCGGCGATGGACGACTCGTACAACTTCCGGATGGGCCATCCTACACTACTATCTTTTGCAAAGTTACTGCTAGAAATAGACTATGGCGAAAATATTGACCTTGATATCGATCCAGACAATAGCAAAAATAAGCCGGCTTGGACTCAGCTCCTGGATTTCCTAGATCGCCTTGAAGAGGAGAGAAGTGACTCATATCTCCAAGCCATCAGAGGCTGTCTTGTCGTTCACAGAAAGATAGCAAAGGCTCTTAGATCTTGCGACCTTGTGCGCAAAGATGCGGATTCAATCATACGAAAGCATATCCACAAGGAAATTGTTCACAAACTCGAGCTTGGACTTGAAGAGTCTATTCCTAGGTCTGCTCGCAAACGGCAACGATCAGAAACACCACCTTCTGACAGCTGGAACGGGGACCAAGCTGTCAGTTCTACCAAAAGAATGGTCATGCGGTCCGTGAAGTATGAACGAACAGCACTAGGAAACAAGAAACCACTTGCCCCCGAACCACAGAAGTGGACGCTTCCTGCTAGCGGCTTGTGTGACGATAACACCCTGGCCGAGTTCCCTGCAGACTCGTATGTTTCCACTCACGTATCTTTCAATATTGCCCCTTTTCCACTCGTGGGTATAGTTATCATTTTGAGATCAGTGTGTTCTATTTCGAACACGACATGTCCTTTTCTGCAATGCATGGTTATGGCTCTCTGCGGAGACGTGCTAATGTAAATCTCTGTGATGCAGATGCCAGCTTGCGCTGATCAACGACCTGGATAGCAGAAAACATGAATCGATTGCTGGCCCTGAGCCAACTTTTCCTGCTAGGGGCTCAAGGAAAATGTCCTCTCTGCGACCCTCTAGCCGAAACGACTTCGAGATCGCTATCTTCTGCGCGTTACCGCTCGAGTACGACGCGGTTTCCTACATCTTCGACGAATTCTGGGACGAAAATGGCGATCAGTACGGACGAGCGGAGGGAGACCCCAACAACTATACGACTGGCCGGGTAGGCAAATACAACGTCGTTCTGGCCCTCTTGCCGCACATGGGCAAGACCAATGCGGCTAGCGCGGCAGCCAGTATGCGATCGAGCTATGGCGGCTTGCGGCTAGCCCTCCTTATCGGAGTGTGTGGTGGTATGCCTCACGGGCGTTATAGCGAAATCTTGCTAGGTGACGTGGTCATCAGTAAGACCGTTTTTCATTACGATTTTGGCAGGCATTACTCAGACAAGTTTATATGCAAGAACACTGTCGAGGATAATCTTGGCCGACTAAATAAAGATATCCGCAACCTGATCGCCACATTCGAGACCGATCGGGGCCTCGACCAACTCAAGCAACGGACTGCCCATTTTCTTCAGCAGCTCCAGGCCAACGTCGCCCAGGCTGGTCGTGAGAGCAAGTACGACTACCCTGGAATAGCGGAAGACAAGCTATTCGAGCCGACCTACCGCCACAAGCACCATGTATCGCCGACCTGTATTTGCCGCGATTGCTTTAATGACTCAGACCCCGTTTGCGATAAGGCGCTCAATTCGTCATGCGCGGATCTCGGATGCCACGACGAACGTCTTATCGCGAGGAAACGGCTCCAGGCAAAACAGCAGTTAAGAAACGACGGGAGCGATGCGACTCCACAGCCTGCGGTGCATGTGGGAGCTGTCGCGTCGGGAGACAAAGTGATGAAGTCGGCAGCAGACCGGGATAGGCTCTCAAGAGAAGCAGACGTGATTGCGTTCGAGATGGAGGGCGCTGGGGTCTGGGATGAAGTGCCCTGTATAGTGGTCAAGGGAGTTTGCGACTATGCTGACAGTCACAAGCACAAGGGATGGCAGAATTTTGCTGCAGCGACGGCGGCTTCGGCATCAAAGGCAATTCTAGAACGCTACAGCCGAACTTAAAAGCTCTGAAATAATCTGCTGGAGATAGTGAGTGCAGCATGTCTTCGATGTTTGCGAAGGTAGCAAAAAAGATAGCAAGCCGCGGTGCTTTCCGTGGCTGGTATGGATAAGGTTGCGATGAGCGTGTATTACAGTCAAAGGCCGTGGCTCGTGACTAGCACGATATCCGCTATCCCTGATCGAGGCAAGGAGCTTGCTATGACCAGACGCTCCCTTTTGTGGCAAGGGTGTTCGCCCTTACAACGCAGAAAACCATACATATAAGACTACTACAGCACCGCAAACTATGTCCAAATGTCACCGCTTGCAATTGTTCTGAAGATAAAGCGGGAAGGGCAGATGTCCCAACGAATGACAAGAAAAACACAAAACAAAAACATACAACAGATATTGTATGTCGGTGGTTACCTAGCGCCCACGATTTTGTCCTAGGCGGCTCGCCGCTCTAGCGGGGCGCCCCTTCAGCCCTTCACCTGAAGAGCCGGAACTAACATGCAAAAGTCGCCTTTATGAATTCCAGCAGGGAAAGATTTGATGAGGTGCTATAGTACAGACAAGAGATAAAATAAACAGTTTTCGCTCTTCTTCACCGGGCCCTCTTTACCTCTTTACCTAGCTGCCACTATTAATCCCTCACTCAGTCAACTCTTTACTACTCTCCACTATAAAGAACAAAAAGAGTAAGTATCTCTTAATCAATATTAACAGCATCAACAATAAGGAGATAGCCCATACAGTACTTCTGTAAACAGAAAGAGACTACAAGGAGACTTTGAATCTATTTGATATATAAGGTATCTGTTTCTTAGTACTCTGTTTCTGGCTAACGATCCAGTTTTATCGAGTTATATCCAATATCTTAAAATCCGCTAAACCTTCAAATAAGCAAAGGGTTCTTACTCTAGATGCCCCTGAATAAATATAGTTGTATTAAAGAGAAGCCTACTTTGGAGATGTTATAGGGGTTCCGTTAAGACTTCTAGGCGGGAATACAGAAATTCAGAGAATTTATCTTTACTATAGAGTATTCTACTATACTAAAAGAGATCTAAAGTACCTTAAACCAGAAGGTATATTTTGACTAACCTTGTAGCAGTATATCAGTAGTAATATAAGGCCTTATCTATCTACTATAGAGATAAAAAAGAATACTTTTTCTCTAAATAATCTAATAATAGTAATAATATAACTCTGGTGTTGAGATCTATTTAAATATTACAGCTACCCTCTGGATCAATCCTAGGTCTAGCTAAGTACTATAATACTACTCTATTACTTTACCTCTGTAAGAATAGAAAAAGTCTACAAGTCGACTACACAGTGGAGGTCAGCCAGACAGTATAACAAAGAAGATTCGGATAAGATACTTAAGGCCCTTACTATGGCTACCTGCTACAAGGTAAGTTTAAGCAACCCCGGTGACCAGTTACACCTATCTCATATAAACAGCACTTTATACTCACCATTAAGGTTATAAATAAAGAGCCAATACTTATGTTGACCTATGAAAGAGAGTTTGTCAAGGGCTACCACAGGAAGAATAAGTGGCAAATTTCTATCTATTGTAGTGGGGATTCCGCTCTTAACATCGGAGTCATATGATCAGAGCCTTAGCAACAAGGTGTCTGCTTACAGGGAGATATTTAGTTCGCGCGATGGCATTCTAGAGATACCCACACCTGTCAAGTGTCACAATTCGGTCTTTTCCTTTCCTGCGGCGGTAGCGATATCGGTGTACTGCTCATGAAGGCTCGGATGCCTTAGGAGGTTATATCTCAGTGGCCATCGCCTTGCCTACCCGCCTGCACACTGCGTGTGTGGTGGTTTTGTCTCTCTGCGATCGACCCGTCTGCTTGACAGACAGCCAGCGAGCATTCCCATCTTTCAGTAGTTAAAGGCCGCCCTGGAGGGATGGCCCTTGCTACTTGTCTTGGGTATATCCATCGATGAGGGCTTCAGTGCTTGTGGCCATGGTCATGAGAGTGGCTACGTTTGTGCCGGCTCAAGTGTTCCACATGGGCCTCTTTCTCTGAATTATCGGAAATATCTAGCTGCTCAAAGAAAGCTTGAGCAAGTCCTTCCGGGTCGTCTTTGGAAACAGAGATTGCTGTCTCTTTCCAGTCGTCGGGGAGCGTAATGCCTTAAAACAGTCAGTGATTGCTCGACAAACATAAATCACGTCAACGTACTTTCTATCTCCCAGTCATCAACATTGCGCTTCGTGGGATTCGCAGAGTCCACGTATGTGACGTCGCATGCTGCTATTTCATATTTGTAGATGTTATCCGCTTCATCAAGCGCTTGGGTAGGCTCAATTTGACAAACTGAATTTTTGGCGGTACTCCTGGCGGTTTTCTTCAACGTCAAGTGTGGAATTTCAAGGAGGTTAACACCACCCAAGACAATCGCCACTGGGTAGGGGCTATTCTGCGAGATATGCCCTCCTTTTGTACCGATTGCGTTGCCCTGGTGTCCGTACATGAGGTTGACGGTGTATGATCTGGGCTTCCCGCCCCAGGCGCCACTATAATCTCCCCATGCTTGCTTGTTGAATGTCTTGGTGATATGATTAGTTTCGATAGGTCTATCACAGGGGTTCTCAACCCTACCGTGTCTCTGATGCGGGGTATGATTCCATTGAGGACTTTTTGATAATCCTGTTGCTCTTTGGGCGTGCAAGCAGTTGACTGAAAATCATGGTTTAGTGGACTCAAATTCAATAGGGGGGTGTTGAAAAAAATCTTACAGCGCCTGTGCCTCCTTGTGTGGCTCTGTTTGCTTTTTGTCAGTAGATGTTCAAAAATTTTAGGGACTGGGAAGACATTACGAGTGGACTAAGAAAAAGACTTGTTAGTAGATGTTGGACTGAATTTGAGAAAGCCACTTACAAGGGAATTCATCGCAAGAAATGGATTCACTCCAACCTTGCGTGTGGTAATGGCCATTTGGGTCGTTTTCGAAGGCATGTTGCGCAGCAGTAGACCACAAGGCACGTTTCTTCTCTGCACAAGCCTTGGTGGAATCAGGGCCGGCTTGCCCGCACGCCGCACCTCGATTGGTATTGCCGGCGGCATCCTTGTAGTCCAAATTCATCCAGTTGTTACCAATTCCCGGTCCGTTGTGCGTCTGCAGGTAGTCACGTATATTCGAACAGATGCCCTTGAAGGCAACATGCGACGCCGCGACGTTGGGGTTGTGATTCGGAACCCATTGGTCTCCGAAGAAGTCGCAGTTGTACCAGAAAGCTGGGCGATCACAGGATGCAGCTCTCTTTGACACTTTGGAATCAGTGTTATCATCGCCATTACCGCCATCATCGTCAGAGGCCGAGCAGCTGTCCTCCTCGGTATCAGAACATGCGATCAGGCCACCAAAGCATGCCTTTTTGTCCGTCTTTTCAACCAAAGTACCGGGATCACTGTCGTCACGTTTACTCTTGGCATCGTCAGAGCTGTATGTCTGACACGTCTGGTCGACCAACACGAGAGGATCTTTTGGCGATGCGACGTCCAATCGATCTCCCCAATAGGCGAGATCCCCGATGAAGCTAGAATGTCAGCATTCAAACCATCCCACAAACTGGAGTGACTTACTTCATATCCGCACGAAGGAAAATAGTGTAGACGAAGTCTGCCCAGTAGCAGAATCCGGCACCTGTCTTTCCATCTTTGTCGACGTGGGCGGTAGCATTGATTCCCATGGAAATCGTGTTATCAATACCAGCTGTCACCTGTCCAGACATCAAGTCTCCTCCCAACACAGAAATACCAAATCGAACCTCGGGAGTGAGCGTGACTTGGAGAGATTAGCAAGGGTCAGGATTCACAACAGCAACCACTTACGAGCCATGTTTCCCTCGGCAGTCAATTGAGCATCAAAAACTGGCTCAAATGAGAAAGTTTGGTCGTCATCTTTCAAATCCTTAGGCGCAATATCCGCCTTTTTAGCAGCTTCGTCTTGAGGGAAATAGAACTCAGTACGCTCCCATCCGACAGACACTCCGGCATTGAGCTCTCCTGAAACCTTCAATGAAGCATCAAGCTGTCCGTTAAGCGAAAGCTCTGGGCCAACACTAATGAGACCCTTAATGGAAAGACCAGGGAAGCCAGCTGACAGCAGTTCCACTCGGTCGGAGTTGGACTGCATCACAGCCTCCGCTCGGAGGGTGAGGAGGATCTGGGAATTGTGTCAGAATCATACAAGAGACCCAGGCCGATGTTTAGTATCCTCACCGCGGCAGCAGGATGAATTGAGAAATAACCATATGAAGCAATGAGCGACGGGGTAGGCAAAATAGCACCCTCAAAGTAGTAGCCATACTGGGCATCGAGTCCCAATTTGATTGAAGCATCAATATCAAATGTGGCGTTTATGTTGAGCTTTGGGCAATACTTTTCGGCGTGGTAAAGCTTCATGGTCTCCTCGAACTCAAGAGGAAGAGAACCAACTTCATCTTGCACAATGGTGGTCATCTTGGCCAACCAGTCGTCAAAAGATCCATACCATCTCTTGCGACTAGACGAGGCAGGTGCATCGGTAATCTCATTCCTACGCGAAAGTGGTGAGATGTATCAAAGAATATTGGGGAATGACTGGTACTCACCAGTACTCTTGAAGATTGGTATAATCAACTCTGAAATTGACGTTTCCTTTCTTCTCCGGTGAGGCGGCCTTGAAATCGTAGTCCACGGTCATTTCGTATTCCTTGTCAGCACTTCGTGGCTTCAGGTTTTGTGTGGATGATCCCCATGGTGTAAGGCTAATAACCCTCGCATATGGGCCAGCACCAATATCTGTGGGCATTTTGACAATTGTGCTGGGTGCACCACCCTTAAAAATATCATCACATCCGTCAGAGGTACATCTGATGTGGTAGACTTCAACGGCATTATCGAAGGTATCTTCACGGTACTCGAAAATGTGATCTCTCTTATGAACTTTCAGGTTGCGCTTGGATAAAGTCTCTTCGTCCGTCAAGAAGGACCATTTATCAACCAGTGACTCGGAGTAAGAGTCAACATCGCCATCAATCATGACAAAAGCGAACGGATCAGTGATCTCATCATCGGTGTCTTCGCAAATTAGGTCAGATGAAGGTATCCACTATGGCTCGCTGAATCGGACTTACCGGCATCGTTGCTGGACTTTTCGACATTGTAGTAGTAACTCACATCATCCTCATCTGGATACTTGAAAAGTTTCTTTGGGTCGACCGGTGCGCTGTCTGCCGCGTCGGGGGGATCACAACACAGCATGTTTATGCCATGGGTTTGTAGAGGCGAGCAGTCGCTAGTCAACATTGAGGTGTTGTGTCCAATCTCCCTTCTTTGGGAAATTAGAACTTTATCATTGGGGCAACTTTCAACACAATGCTTCCATTCACAGCTTTTGTATGTGTCTGGTAGAGTTAGCTCAGCTCAAGTTTTTCACGACGTCAAATATACCTTCTGAGGGACAAGTCCAAAATGATTGCCCTAAGCCACCAGGTCCAGGGCACCGTTCACTATCTTGGTAGAAATCTAGGAAGTTAATTCGTATCAGACAAGTCTTTTTTGATGAGATTCCATAGACAACTCACTTGTTCCACCATAGAAAGACACTATGTCACTGGTCCAGTCATCAAAGTCGTCCTCACTTGGATTGCATGGCGTCCAGTGGCACTTCGTGAGCTCCGGGTTCTCGTTGCAACAAAGCGATCGCTTGCCGATGCTGCAAAAGTCGTCACCGGTGCGATCCATGTAGGTATCAGCTACCAATTCAAAACTGCTGTCACCGCATGTGTCACTTTCGCCGCCAGTACAGACCCCGTCATCAGAAGTACCTCGCCAAGCGCATCCTTCAGGCATGGCGTCGGTGGGGCAGCAAATAAGTCGGTACTCTGCGTCTCGATCTCCTTCGGCCCCAGTTTTGCAGAGTTCATCATCTGGGTCATCGATGACTCCCCTCTCTCCCTTGTGCACGTAGTCAAGGACGCTGTACCCATCCTTGCACTGCCCAGAGTTCCAGACAGCGCAGTCAGTGATGTAACAATTGGTACCAGTGTACGCCGCGTATTTGTCTGCTCGCTCCTTGGAATCAGTGCTCCCTGACACCAAAGTGTCACTACTGACGTCCTTGTCTAGCAAAGCCGTCATGGCATCCCATTTATATGTATCTTGATCAACAGACCAGATCATAATACCTCCCAGACAGACCTTGTTCGCATAGCGAATTTTCTGCTTGAATGTCACATTTGTATCATATGACACCCATTGATCGTCATCGAAGATTGCATACTCTACCGCATCATCTTCGTCGTAGAACGTCACAGCAGAATATTCATCAATCGCCTCCGTGATTTCTAATATTGTTAGGATCAACGAGCTCTTCAATTGGGTGAATAATGCAACAAGTACCTTTATAGGATAGAGTCCCCGGGGAATTCGTACAAGGCCCAGCAGTCCCCGCGCCAGAGAATGCACAACCAGGAGAAATGCAGCTTGTATCCGACATTGTGAAAGACCGACCATAGAAAGCAACTCCCATGACGACTTTAGAGGGATCGACTCCCACTCTCCAGAAGAGATCCAATGCCTCTATAATCTCGGTCATGTTAGTATGACCGTGCATGACCGATCCAATCCAACTAGGCTTGTTAGTTATACGAAAGAAGACAGTCACTTTCAAGCCTTACTCGTCGTTTTTATCCCAGACACCATGTAGATCGTAGGACATGACATTTGTCCAATCTGCACCTGCGTCCAACATTCCAGGAACATCAAAGTGCTGCAGATACCAGTAGCTTGATGGGGTAGTGAATGTAATGCCATAGGATTCACCCGAGTCGTCAAACTCCTCTCGCAGCGCTTTGATCAACAGGACATAGTTGTCTTTATCGTCTTTCATGCCGCCTCGCTCTGAGGCAACAGGATATTCCCAGTCGAGATCGACACCGTCGAAGCCGTATTTCTGCATGAATTCCAGGAGATTCTTTGAGAAAGACTTTCGGCCCTTTGATGTAGCAGCCATCTCAGACCAATACAGCTGTCTGGGTGGATCCTCAAAAGACCATCCTCCAACAGAGATATAGCAGGACAGAGATGGGTTCTTTTTCTTCAATCCGATGAACTCTTCCACCAGGCTTTTCGGCTCATTCACGCCATCTTCCATGAGTTCAAATCCCCATGATGTGTTGTCGGCGTTGTTTGGCTCGAATTCCGCAAATGCGTAGTTGATGTGTGTCAATGACGAGACGGCAATGTCGTTGGGTCGGAACCCATCACAAGATCTTCCACTGGCCCAAGACTCATAGTATCCGATTTTGGTCTTGAATACATCGTTGGTTTGGCAGGAAGGTCGCGTGATATCTCCACAGTTGTCTCCCTGACAGCCCTTGCCGCAGAATTCCTCAGTTGTGCCGCAGAACCCAAAGGGTGAACAGCAGACCTATGGGCTGTTGAGTATATTGGGGGATTTTGTTGTAGGAAGATAGTGGTTGAACTCACATTCAATGGGCAGTTTGCAGATGGGTCCTCCGCGTCTTTTCCACACTCGGCTTTGGCGTCACAGTTGCTGATACAAGTATCACCACACCAGCTATCGCCATACCCACAGACCTGTGATAAAAATCTTTTAGTGTTGCTGTGAATGTTGTAAAGCAAAGATACATACACCCTCGCCGTCAGAGAAGCCACAGCAAGCGCCGTTGTAGCAAGTGCTAGTGTGGTTACAATGATATGTTTGAGCCCGGGCTAAGCCTGAGAAGACCAAGCCCACGCAAAGGCTGACGAACACAATAGATCGCTGCAAGTGCATGGTAAAGATGCAGTGCGGACAAGTGTGACCCTAAGTGACTGGAGCGACCCTCCGATGTCTTTCTACTATATACGTTCTCTAATGAAATCGATTAAATAATTAAAATCTCTCAGATCGGCACGCAAAGCAGGATTAAGAGACTAGTCTCTGATACTTGCTCCACTGGGGCCATTTCAGTTCCTGAAACTTCGGCTGAAGTTAACATAATCGCTTGTGCTTGTCGACCATGTATACACGTGGGTGTGGGTGTGAGTCTGCTGTGTGAGCCTTAGCAGCCGCTTCCAAGGTTTCAAGTAGTCTTAGAATTAAAAACCCTAAATATATTGAAAGGCAGCAAAAAAGACACCAAAAAGGATATGAAAAAATATAGAAAAAGGCTGTCCCGGAAAGATGCCCCCTGCTACACTTGTGCTAGTATATCGCGACCCGCCATGCAGGTGGAGCTACGAGGGCTCCACCGGAAGCGGTTTTCATCTTAAAGGAATGGCCCCATTCTGTGCCAATAAGCATTTCTTTAATAAAAAAAACATGTTTTATTAAACTGCGTCGAGAGTATTCAGAATAGAGCTTTGAAATGATTCTGGTCATCGCAAAGATGGCTCATGGAATGATTTTATGTACACTGCTTTTCACAGCCACATGGTCACTTGCTCTTGCATACTCCAACAACACTCTTCAAATTTACAACTCCGACTCACTTAGCAATGTCTCCGCCTCCGATAGTTGCATCTCCGCACTCAAAGAGAATGTGACTTGTTATGTTGATCTCGGTGATGCTGTAACTCGCACCACTACATGGTCTTCCAATGCACTGGATTTGATGTGTGTCGACAGTTGCAAGAAATCCCTGGATGACTATGTCTCGAACGTCGATGTATCATGCGGTACCACAAGCACATACAACATATCGGGCACAGAACAAGCGGCCAGTCTTGCTGGGCAGAAGATGCAATGGAAGCAGAGTACTACTTGTCTGGAAGATCCTTCGACCGGAGACTATTGCAACCTTGTCCTGCAACGTGCCGCAAGCAATGGCTCAAAGAACTTGGCCTGTGCAGACTGTAATCTCAAGTACCTGACGGCCCTCGCCAACTCACAATGGGGTCAAAAGATGATATCGCCTTCGATGGTACAGAGTCGAATCTCGAAGTGCTCAGCCAGTGCAAGTTACACCATTACACCGACATCATCTTCGGCGACAGTGACTACTTCAGGAACATCAACTACGGCGCCAACTTCGAACGCTCGCTGCAATGTGACCGATCCGGACACTCGCACATACCGAGTTCAGCAGAACCAAACATGTGTGGATATCTCCGGTCTGAACAACGTGTCGACCCCAGCTCTGCAGAATATGAATGCACTGGGCGCCTCTTGTGGCTATCTGCAGGTGAATCAGACCCTGTGTCTGCCATCTGAGTGTGCTACCCTGAGGGTTGGAGGGAATGATACTTGCTCTTCGATTCTTGCCTCTCTGGATCACAAGATTTCGACCGTTACATTCCGGTCTTGGAATCCTAACCTCAACTTTGACTGTTCTAATATTGGACCCTTCGTCGGGAAGGATCTGTGTGTGAGGTATGTCGCTAATGCGATCTTTGCTTCAGGAATTCTACTAACAGGCCAGCCCTCCCGGTTCTCTTTCTATCCCCGATTCTTTCCCATTGGCACCCGCAACCACCAAGGCGTAGGTATTCACCCTTCATCCATTATAATAACAAGTCACTGACGCTTCCAGCAGTCTTGTTCCGACCGACGCTGTTACCAGCTCTAACACCAAATGTGGGCATTGGTATAAGATCCAGAGCGATGACCATTGTGATGATGTGGAGGAGAAGTTCGATCTATCGGCAAAAGACTTCTACTTTCTTAACCCACAGCTGAACAATACATGCGAGCAATTGTGGGTGAACAACAGCTACGTCAGTAATACATTCTCATGCCTATGTGTTATTAAAGCAGTTCTAACAAGCTTGCAGTGTGTTCAACCAGTTGGAAACCTCGCCTCCTACTCCGGATATAACAAAAAGCATTATACAACTCTTAAAAACACCATCAATCTCAGTGCTACTCAGACTGCGAACCGGACAACTAGGTACGACATTTCCTGATTTTCTGAATGTGTGACACTAACTCTTCCAGTCATTTCTTTTACTCTTACCCGCCAATGACAACCACAACAGCAAGTTACAATGCCACATTTGATGAGCTTAGGGCGAACTATACTCTCTGTACCAGCGCCCTGAGTTATTATAATGTCACTGGGAGCGATGTGGGCGACTCAAATGACCCGGATTGGACGTCCGAGTATCAGCGCGTATGCCTCCTGAATCCCAATTCGGCGATTCCGACGGTCCCTTTCAATACGAGCATTCCCTTGACCACTGCGAAATCGACATCGGGCACAAAGTCTTCCGGGTCGCCTAGCTCCGCTGGAAAGGCTACTGCAGGGGCAACATCCACTGCTCCACAGGCGCCCCAAAAGACGACCACCTAGATTGAAAGGAAATGCACACTATGGGTCTTGGCAGGTTTGGGGAGGCTCTGAGGGTTCGACTTTCCTTGTGGATACCATCGCCAAGTAAGCTTGGGTGAACTTGGCCGGCCTTCTAATTTTACTTGCCGGGATGTGGCATTGCTTATCGGTCTATGAATTCTTTTTCTTTCCGTAAGAAAAATATCTATCCAAGGTTGGCGCGCTCCATACAAGTACCAGTACGAGTAGCTATCGAAAGATTCGGTAAGGCCAAATTATTCCCGTCTCGCGTATCTCAACCTAGTTACCCATCAGGGGGAGGGGAGTGGAGGATTATTCCAACGTCACATTATGAGCCCCACATGGTTCTTCGCGGAAAAGACGGAAGTGCGAAGAGAAAAATGCTCATCACTTCGTTTTACGCTGCGTATACGGAGCACTAGAGTGAAAGTCGGGTCGGGTGGGGGGGGAGGGGGGGGTTGAATCGCGGCACAGGGTCCATGTAGTACCCACAGGATTATCTCCACTGCTTCACTAAGCGAGAACCGTTCTACGGGGTGATCCGACCCCTTGCAATCGCTGCCTTCCATATTCCTCACGTCCCTCGTTGTGGAAGTTCAAGGATGTCTTCCGACACTGTGCATTTCTGGCCCGGTGGGGTTCCTGCAGATCTACCCCTCTATCAGGGTCAAGAACAATGGTTTCATGAGGTAGAAGAGGAAATCAAGGGATGGCTTCTTTTTGTCAAGGTTAGCCTGCCGTATCTTTCGAAAAGCTTACTGGCTAAAATAAATCAGGAAAATTGGACCACAAGTCAGGCAGCTGGCACGGGCGAAGGTGGCATCGAGTATGCACCAAGTCAACGTCGTAAGCTCATGCTCCAATGGGCCTCCTATTCGCAATCTGTTCGGGAGGTTAGTAGAACACACCTCACTCACACATGGGTTTTCCTTTCTCTGAGGTCGATTGTTTTGACAATATACCCTACAGGAATATCATGATCGGGCTTTGCCACAAGAAATCACAGATTTATGGTATTCTGGCGATGTGACACATCAACTAAAATGCTGTCCAAATGGTGCAATCCTTTGTTTGTCACCAGTAGGGACAGACAATCCGGCCAATCGTGCTCGTTGGATCAAACTCCTCATCCTCATGAATCGGTTTGATCTTGCTTGGGAGAATCCCTTTGCAATGCACGAGTCTGATCATCAAATATTTTGCGCAGAGAGCATTTCACCCAACCTGCCTGATATAGCATCAGCGTCACGATGGCTGTATCTTGAGAATCCAGCATTTGGCTTTGTCCATATGACACGATCTGGAGAGGTCGTGTTCGATATTGGGGATCTTTTCGTTATCGACCAACATGATCTTCAAAATGGGTTTGTCTCTCTCGTGAAGTATGGAGTCAACGGAGAGCCAGTTCACCAGCTAAAGGTGAGGCCTTGGAATATGCCAGCTGTCATGAGGGAGCTAGCTATGCGTTGTACCATCGATGGTCAGATAGATTCCCTGCGGTCTATGCAGTTCTTGGCCTCTAAAGTGGAGTAAGTTCAAGAGCGTCATTTACCAAGGCTGTTTGCTGACCATCACAGAATCGACATGGATGCTCCCATATTGGAGATCTTGCAAAAAGAGAAGGACGCTCGACCTAACAGTCCGATACACAAGTCAAAAGATCTTGCCCAAGATGTTGAAACTTACGCCCCAGGGTATCTTGGTATGGAAAAGGAGGGCCGTGGCGCCGAATACAATCTTGAGGAGTTACTAGAAATCTTTCAAGAAGATGATATACTCCCGATGAAGCCGAATGACTGGCTAAACTCGATGAGGCCGGGTCGAGCTCAATGATCATCGCGCCATTGCAGTGATTATCAAACAGATTAGTAACATCCCCATTTGGCATGCGAACGCTCCTACTTGTAGGTGCAAACAAGTAGTATCATGTTCATTTGTTACAGCGATTTCCTCTTGTATACTTCGTAAGCAGCACGTGACTGCATGTGACCCCACGGTCAGGGCCAACAACTTCCCGACTTGTCCATGACATCAACCCACCTCCCTGCCCTCCTAGTTCTTCCTTTTGATGCAGTGCGCGTCCCTGTCGATCATTCATGCTTTTCTCCTCCCCGGACTGTATACCCTGGTTTATTTTTCTATGTGAGATGTTTACCTGCCGGGGAGATTGGTTGAGGCTTCACGTTCCAGCCCTCGGTCTCGGGCGGAATTTCAGGCCACGGCATTGATTTCCTTGCGACCACATCTATATCATGAGGTGTTGCTTGCTTTTAGGTTACCAACGGTGGACTGCTAGTGCCGAATTTGATTTCAGCAACTTAGGATGAGGGGTGGGGTTGGATGAACGCGAAGGGCTTAGCCTCTTCCGAATTACTGACGGGATTCAACTAAAGAAACCTTCTGTTTTTGCAGGCGCTGTGATGGGAACCGCGATTTGGATGTAGTACCTGTGTGGCTGTGAATACCTCGTACATTGATCCCCTACTTTTAGTATATCTGCTATTATCATCCGCTACTTGCCCAGGTCAATCCAGGAAGCAGACTGCGCCCGATCGACATGAATAGTCAGCTGAATAACAGAACGAAATACTCAGATTTGACAAAGATTGACTGGAACTGAATTCAGGATTGGAGGATTCGTGTGGTTCCTCATGGTAGTATATGTTCCCGGATAATGGATCATCGATCTATCCGTTGTAAACCCCGGTCTCACTACGGCAGCTCTCCCTTTGGCAGAAACGCGTTCAGTCTTTTGCCAACAGACCCTTCCACGAGCGCGCTGGAGAACTTAACCACTGGATATAACACATTGAGACTTCAACATCTTATCAGTGAATCACACAGTGACTAACCCTCCTACTGGCCGACAGCCCTGTGGTTTATGGGAGTGACTGATAAAGACGCGCCCCGTGGTTTTATGTGACCTGAAGGTCCCAAATGGGGACCGACTCAGCGGGATGCTTTGTGGATGACGGCCTATCTGGCCTTGTGCAATATGCAGATAGTTCTTTCTGTGGGAATGGCCAAAACGGTCTTTTACGGTCTCTTACGGTCTTCATACCGCTCTGCCAGAGGCAAGTTGCTGTACAAAGTGCAGATTGAGCACGACAAGGAAACGACCCAAGGCTTCCAGAGTGACTCTTGCCGACTTGCCTTTTAACTGTTTGGCTCACACAACATCTGATCGGATTAACATCTGAACAGACAAGCCTTGACTCCTCCAATACAGAGGAAAAGCAGAGCACCGGTTGCACTTGTCTTCGACAGCTGCACACCAATCTTCCAGCGTCGAATCAAGTAGAGCCCGGAATCAGTCAGCAACCCTGAGGTCATCCACCTGACCTGCGCTCCTCTGTAGTTCTTTTTTCTTTTTTCTCTTCAACAAAAAGGATTGTATTCGATAAGTTTGAATCGGTGCGTACAGCCCCAATTCAATTTCCCATGGTGGATACCCTGCGGATATTCAGTCAACGAAAGCGGTTCCCGGATTCTCCGGTATATATATCAAAGACAGAAACATACCATCACTGCCAACTCGGCACTTCCAGATAACCTCAAGTTTTCGCACCATCACTTCGCACTTACAACTAGCCTCTACCAGCTTGTCGATATATGATAGCACTCGGAAAAACCCAATATCCTCCACCACGAAGAGGATTGTACCGAACCAATAGAAACTAAGAGGGTGTCTATACAGGCCAAGGACAGTAACCAGCTACTTGCTTCTTGCTTCGCAATTACAGTACATCGTGATATAGCTTCCATGTAAACCCAAATCAAGACTTGGCTACCATGCAAACTGTTCGCTACATTAGTCTGTCTTCCCAAAATACAATATAAAAAACAGGAAGCTAAAAGAAAGCACAAAAGCTGGTCCGAGATATCCAGAGCTGTATGTACTGGCTAGGGTAAATCGCTCGGTTAAGAGATATTGTGATGTCAAGCCAGAGGAAATTGCTTATAGAAATTATTATTACCTCATTTCAGAGAGGTTTCTAAAGCTTTTAGTCCTATACAGCCATCAAGTATACAGCAGCGCTAATAGACAGCTATAGACATATAGTACCTATCAGATACCACCGATATAGTAAATATTATTCCACAAAGTAATAAAAGAGTATGCTAATTGACGTTGTTACAAGAAAGTAGTAGCATTTCATCGCAAGCTATATATAGCGCCGTCGGACCGCTGCATAGGTTACTAGAATTACAAGAATAAGAGCACATCCTACCTACACTTTATCAGCTGTATACACCTATATTAATAGCAGGCAAGGGGCCTAGGAGTTTGATACCTACAACTATTAGGACGACATAGCACGGGATTACTAGGGTCGTTGTTCTAGCGATACTCACAAGTAGCGAGCTGTGCAAAATACAATAAAACACATAGATGCGACCTATCTAGCAATAGAACCACACGAGCATTTATCGGTCTACATAGAGTAGATCGACAGAAAGGCCAAAGCTCACACCAGAACATAGAGGGATAAAGTTAATCACTACCAACAAACCGGCTCTTTTCTATACTTACATCTAAGATTAGATTCGAAAGTAGAGACCAAAAATATTTACTACAAGTATAACTACTAGTAGTAGTACTTATCGGTACTTTAGAATATCTAAACAGGCCATACCTATAGATAGATAGATATAGACAAATTGTCATCAAAAGTATCTTATTCTCAATTGGAATAGATAAAAAAAGACACTATAGCATCTTCTCCATAGCCACCACCACAAATCATGTCCAATCCAATAGATCAGCCAGGCTACTAGAATTAAAGCAGTACAGATAGTATACAAGTTAGGCAGAGAAGTCTTAGCAACCTATCGATATAAATCCAGCCCAATTAAGGGTATTCTTCTTAGTTATTAGTAGTATATAAGGAGAAAGGAGGAATAAACTACTTATAAAGCCAGCTAGACATTTTATTGTTCATAGTTCTTTTCCAAGGCTAGCAAGAAAATTTATCTACTACAGTTCTAGAAGTAACAGATCAGCTCTCTTTCCAACCGGTCCTTTTCTTACTAGCTTAGATACAGTAATATGCTGGTATACTCCTCTACAAACATAATATCAGTTCCCGTATAAAACAATCCTTCAGTATTTTTCTTGTATCGTTAAAAGTAAGAACATTCACCCAGCCAGCAAGCATACCTAGAATTCCTCCAACAGTAGTCCCCAAAACTAGTTATCTGAAATCCTTAGAACATAATCAATAAACAGAGGAATAGCAACTACAGTATATAGAGAAGGTGTTCAACTCTACTTTTCTACAGGGTAGTCCGGACACTCTTATCTTTCCTTCACCAGCTGGTACTCTAATTCCCTATTCTTGAACTCTAGGTTATAAGCTTTCAGTAAATTATCTTAATATACTCAAACAACTACTAGTTATATTCCTCCAATTCAGCTTTTTCAGTTACTTGCTTACATAACACATTTTAACAATTTCGCAGCATAAGAATTGCCTCGTACTACTAATATTACATTTTTGACATTTCAGCATATATACTCGTAAAGATTCCCTCGAGTCTTTATACTGGGTGTTAGATATCTGTTTCAATATCAGGTTGAATCTAGCTTTTTACTTTTATTCTATATTAACCTTAATAGGTATTGTATATAGAAAAAGGGCTTAGGCAATACAACACCAGTTATCTTCTCTATAGAGGCATCTTGATAGTTTATATAGTCAGTATAGTCAGATTTAAAGAATTAAGAGCTACCAATTTTCGAGCCCAATGTGTCACGGGATTTGGAAGTATACAGCACTCAAGGTATTCGACGTCGACCCGCGGTCGAATCCCTTTCGAGCCGCCTGCATATCGACCTCCACCCGAACCCTAGTGTATTTAAGATCCCACAATCATTCAGGATTCTTGGTCTCTTCAAGAATCAGTCTATGTATCGACGACCTATCAACCCTTCGTTACCCGTCTGATTTATTGCCTAGTCACAGGTCTCTAGCCTGGCAACTTAGTAACTATTACACAATGCCTTACTTAAATATGTTCCAAAAAAAATGCTTAAGTATTGCTATCGTCATCACCAAAGGAGATCGTCTACTTATTATAGAATTACAGGCTCCTAGAATTATAAGGACATACTCCTAGGAGCAATACAGCTCCCAGGATATGGTATAACTGTTCCTAGGAAGCAGCCCACCTACTTCTGGGAGGTATACTAACAAGACACTCATTAGTATGCCTGTTATACATCCTGTGCAAGATATTTAATATTCTTAGGAGCGGTGTCTCTTCATCTGTGAGAATGAATTAACAGACCTTCTTTAATTATGTATTTAATTTATGACAGTGATATCCTACCTCTGTTAGACATCCCTAAACCTCTATATTACTTAACTAAATCTAGCTTGGTTTCTTCGATATAACTAATTTCCGATCTACAGTATTTAACTTTAGAATAATAGTAAGAATAAAAGACGAACTGTATGCTTCTCACTTGGTACACCTCCGCCGATGCCGACTATCAGACCTATTCTGACGTTGGGAAAGCTATTTAGTATGTTCGTCGCGACGCTGGCCGCGGAAGCTGTTCCATATTTTCCATCCGGCAAGACGGCGATAACGATATTATGTTCACTAATTTTCCCTAACTTATAGTGGTTTGTATCATTTGGCGACACCAAAATAGGCCCTTCGTGCTCTTCATCAAGAAACACTTGTGCAGAAACAAATTCGGTGGCTATGGCACAAATCCAGCCCACGACGTAGTTCGCGGGGTCTGCCATGCCTACCTCTTTGTGATTCTTGTGAGGAATAGACCGAAAGGAACTCTTATATTGCCTGCTTCTCAATCTCTACACCGCCGTAGTGCTGTTGTTTGTTTGAAAGCTTTGTAGTGGAAAGGAGAGGCGTCAGAACTGGCTTTCGAAAATAACCCCGTAGGTTCAGGTCAGTCATTCTACCGAGGGGCTGCGTGTAGATGCCAAGAGACTAACTGTTTCAAATGGGAGCTCGTGGTCCAATGATATTCTATTCTACCTGATTCTCACCCATTCTTTAGCGTAATCGCCCTTCTTACCTCGGTCGCGCGACGAGAACGGCTCTCATCCTAAACTCCCCTGGGCGGCAGCCACCTGACTACTGGCCGCACAAAGCCGCCCGCCAGTAGTTAATTAGTTCAGTGGGCGTCTGTAACGACTGTCTAATTACGCGATAGTAGAATAAGTAGGTTGCGACCAGTATTAAGTGGGCTAGTAATTCTATTCGTCGAAGCAAAAAAACTTTGCGCTAAACACAAGCGGTTACAATGTCCTCACACAATGGAGCTGCGACAGAAGATCACCAGGTTCGTCCCGTAGCAGGGAACTGTTTTAAGCATTGCCATTTTCCTCAACTCGTCCTATTCACTTCCACGCCTCGTCGTTGGCAAAATTTTCACAGCGTCACTCGAGAGAAGGTAACCAAGACCAGAACAAACAGTGGTGATGGCCGCAACGTGTCAGTGTGTACAGCGTCAGCAAGCTATGTTGTTCATGGCCCCCAAGACGAGGGTTGGAGTGATGTTGCAATGGCACGAAGCATGGCAGGTTTAGCCGAGGGGCCATGTCAGCGGTTCAGGGCGTTCAGGTGAAAGACTGAAGGGGCCGAAGTGGTAGGGCGGCAAGGGCACTTGCCCAACGAATCAAAAAGAAATGGGTGAACACGGACATACAACAGCAGGGATTCGCATGTGGTCACCCACCATACTACTAACCTGCCGGCGTGTGGCTTAAGTACGGCTGAGCGGACGGGAAGCCCTGTTCTCCACACCCTATGGTCGTATGTGCTTGGCGATATTGAGAATGGGTTTATATACTGTTCTTATAGACTACAAGTTTGGGTGCGTTTTGGATCATGTGTCCACTGCGTGAGAAGGCTAGCGCTATTATCATCCCATTTGCGGTATAGAGATGATCCTTATTCAAATTTTGAGTTGTCTGTCAAGCAAGGCCAGTAGTTCGGTGGGTGCCGCCAAGACTTACTATAGCTCAGGTTTAATGCCAGAATGGTGTCGAGGCAAAAACACCAACGTTCAGAGCCAAACCTGTGCCTGCGCGCTTTTCGGTCGAATGGCATATTTTGCCCAATTCTGTCTCGAGAAATCATAAATGGCGGGTCTATTAGTCCAGGCCAATTAGGGCCGTTAGAAACACCGCAGCACGCTGCCTTGCTTGTAGTCTGCCTTGCTTCGCCCCCAGTCGGCCGAATTTCACATTTCACACTACCCCGCACCTCGAAAGATTATTGAGATACAAATCCAACAACCCTAGACACCTGAGCTCCGGAAAGCCGTTTGTTCTACCAATAATTCTGTTTTTGTGGTAGTGAAGTTCTGGCCGTTCACCAAAGCAATTGCTACCATGTCCCAGCCCAAGGAATGTCTAGGCTCGAGTGAGACAATATTCACAATAGATGGTTTTAGATATATGATACCCTCTTCAGATAATGTATGGCGCGCAATCAAAATTTGCAGTGAGCGTGCTGATCTAAGTATACCTCAAGGAAATTGAATTGGCTGATTCGCAAAACATTAGCCTTGTCACCGTATTCGCTATTTCGGGGTCAGCAAAAGCAATTATAACAGAGGAATGGGTTCGCGAGATTGTGGAGAGTTGCAAGAGCACCGACGATGTGTTTCATGAAGCCTTCCTCGCCGGAGTTATGTTTTATGGAATCCGCGAGGATGAGGCAAAAATCACGGATCAGGCTCGCATGTACCTTTCGAATTTCGGCAACAAGTGGATCAAATATGTGTCCTCAGCTGACACTGATAGAGAAGTACTACCTGGCCCCTACGTGCTTCTGAAAAACCAGCTTCGAGACGTTTGGAGACTTGTTGATGATGTCAACCGCACATGTATGGTTACGTTGCGGCCCCAGCCGGGGTTAGTCTGTGAATTCTTCCACATTGTGAGAGTAATACTCATACTCCATAGGGTTTCTAAACCACTCCAATTATACAGCAGTGATAGCCAATCGCTCAGCATTGCTTTACCTTCGCGGCTGAGATCACAACAAAACAGCGCCAATTCAACCATCGCGGGATGGCGGGTAGTTGTTAAAGACAATATTCATATGCAAGGGATCAAAACATCACTAGGTAATAGAGGGTTTTATGATACTTATCCACCACAGCCACAGACAGCGGATTGTATTCAACGGCTGATGGATCTTGGTGTTGTTATCCTTGGCAAGGCAAAAATGACTTCATTCGCAAATTGGGAAGAGCCAGTCGAGTATATCGACTACCAGGCGCCATGGAATGACCGTGCAGATCACTATCAGTCACCGGGTGGCAGTAGTTCAGGAAGTGCCTCCGCGATCTCTGCCTACAACTGGCTTGATATTGCAATAGGAACTGACAGTTAGCGCCCACGGCCCTTCATCTCTTGCCCCCTTCTGAAGACTCAAAGAGGATACTGACAAATAAAAAGCATGGGGAAGCATAACGCGGCCCGCTCTGTGGTGTGGTTGCTTTGGTCTTCGTCCCAGTATTGATTCAGTCTCGACACGCGGTGTTGAGCCTTGTGTTGAGTGAGGTCCTGCATTTAAATCTATTTACGGTCAAGCTTCTAATATATTCAGGTCTTGGGATATCCCTGGATTTCTTGGTCGTGACCTGGCAAAATGTAGGGAGTTTGCCGCCGCATGGTTACATACAGAAGCGCTTGTCGAGGAACCAAAGGTTGTCGATCTTGAAGATCATATCGAACATTGTTAACCTTTCTGTAGCCCATCTCAGCCATCATCTGGCCAAAAGACTTCTGGAGCATCATTGATTCCGATCAATGTGATCTAGCGCTAAAATTTGTGAAAGATATGGAATCGCATCTTGGGCTGCAGTACTGTGAAGTCAGTTTTGACGATATCTGGAAAACCGAACCCCCTCATGAAGCCAGTGGTCTTTCCCTGACAGAATTTATGGGACAGGTAATATATTTGTTCTTCGCTCTGGATAATTACTAGTAACTTATTCTAGCTAGGCAACTGCGGCACTGGCATACGATGGCTACCACAATTGTGATGACTTCCTCGACAGATACCGCAGGGAATTCCATCATGCACCACACATAAGTCTTCCAACCCATAAGTTATGGTACGAAAGCCCTGCTGTCTTCAAGTTCGATCTATGCTATTTCAAGCTAATACGCGAAACAGGGAGGAGGGTCAAAAGGTCTCCAAAATGAAACGAGACGATGGCTTCAATAAGATCGAAATTTATGTTCGTTGGATGAGGAACAAAGTTCTAACAGGAGACCGCGCCAATGCATTCGTGGTGCTTCCGTTGGAGAATATGTCTCCCAGGTATCGCGATGAGATACCGAAGTGGGTCCTTGGCTTAATCAACGATGCGTGATTTCCAATGCTCATGCTAGATGTTAGTTTCAAACGACCTCCCCAAGGCGGCATCAACGCTCTAGCCCTGGCCCCCGTTTTGAAAGCTCCTGTGCTCGCAATACCAAGTAAGTGACAGCCTTTAAAGCTCTCAACTTGAGTGCAAGTTACTGAAATGTAAAACAGTCAACGAAATCCCTTACGAATCGAGGATCACTGAAATTACCGAAACTTTGCCTTTCGCAGTTGCAATCATGTCCCCTCCAGGTATGTGTCCGCTCTGGTTGTCAAACGAATTGCGAGGCTAAGAGATTCTCGAGGCACCGACTTGATGCTCATGGAAACTATTCATAACATTCTAAAAAGCGCTGGCCGGCCAACTGTGGTCAAAACAGGGAAGACAATGTTCTAAGGGCAAGAGAAGGAGTTTTGTTGGAGGGGGACGCAGCCAGCATCTATAGATTTGCCCAAAAATCTTCCAACAGGAAGTCTAGCACGTTGACAACAGGTTAATGATGGAAAGCTTGTGTTTGGCCAGTGAAGTTCAATTTGGTAATAACATATGATATACAAAGGGGGAAAGTACATATAAACAAGAGGGTTTGAGCGGCAAGCATGATATTAGTCTCGCGACTGCTTCAATCTTTTCCGACCTGTCTTGAAAAGCCAAGTGACATCCCAATAGAACAATAAAATAGTCAGAATTGACAAAGGAATGGATACCACCGCCCACCAAAAAATCGAAAGGCGATTGTTGGCTAGCTCTGTAACGTTCATTCCAAAGAAAGAAGTAGTGAACGATAAAGGCACAAACAAGAAAGCTAAAAAGGTTAGTCGAGTTACCCGGGAAGCTTGACCGATAGCCTTCTTCGATTCGGAAATTGAGACGCTACTCATCAAAACGACAATCGCTTCATTGCAACGCTTATGCATCATTTCCGCTCGTCCGAGAAGGTGGATAAAATCCTGTTCGATTGCATCCGCCGCAATTTTCGTTTTGCCGCGTCCTTTCGTGCCGGCCTTGGGCCACTTGTGATGTTTCGCGTTGCGGATACTGTCGAGGGTTTGCTGGGTCTTTTGAATGTGACGGTAGAGGATTTCTTTGGTATATTTCAGGCTTGGCAAGCTCCCGAACTCATTTTCGGTAGATTCGGTATACTGGTCCAACTTGGTATCGATGAGGTTGAGAAAGTGCATTTCGGACGAGGCCGCGAAAGAAAATATCTCATTGAGAGCATAAAAGGCATCCGTGGCCATGAGTGATGGTCGCAGTGAGCGACCGTAATCAACATGTAGAAGTGATGCGCTTTGTGACTGGCGTGGATCTCCTGGTCTGTCGTCATTCGAAAAGTCGGCGAATAGATGACTTTTGAGGGCAACCATGGGCATATGTCGAATCACCGGAAGAAGACGTGTTTCCGCTCCTGGGGCCCCAGGCATGGTGGAATCTTTGGGAAATTCTTTCCCGCTGTCTATCCATACAAATACTACCAAAATAATGATCATCAGTATTTCGTCACGGGGTTTCAAGCACAGTGGAATGGGGAAATTACATTGGAACGTTGGCCCCGTCTGCTGCATACAGATAGAAATTCTTTGTTCGATGGCGAAGTGTGTGTTGTCAAACAGGAGATAGTCTCGGACCATCGAGTCGCCTATAGTCATACCTGATGAGGATAGACGCGTAATGCGGTGATGGTGGTCTGATAAAGCTTCTCTGCCCTTCTTACGAAGGGTTTCTATGGCATCGAAGTCTATGGACCCCTTCGCGCTGTCTTTGACCCCGATCGTGAGAATTGGGAGCTGTATCAAATGCCAAGAAGACGAGGGAAGAGCTGGTATTGAGAAATTGTTGGAGTTTTCACATGGAGGTCTGAAATCAAGATGTCGACAGAAATATTCCGGGTCCACCCTGTACTTGGCGCCGATGCTGTTCAACCAATCCGCCGTCATGTAGCCTCGAAGAAAGACCATGCAGCTCCGATATCTATTCGGGGATGAGAGACGGTAGTGATAAAAGAGTGTAGCATCTTGGAAATGTTGGACCCTCCTAGCATCTGGTGTATGAAGTTTCTCCTCGTCTGGAGAGGCATGTTTTTGGGGTTGGACGTGGGGCGTCTCCTCGAAACTATAAAGTGTAATAGATTCATGTCGTCTTTCCGGGCTGGAGTCAATATTGATGCTCGTCGGTGGCGTATCTGTGAGAAATTGGCCCAATGCGACATGATTCTGACCAGACCCCGTGCTTAATAAGGAGTATGCGCGGACGGAGTTGGCATAGTCTCGGGGGGTAACTGCACCAAGGACATACTGGTTAGCTCGATGTATCTACGGTCATATCGAGGGGGATATTGAAGCTTACTAGGCCTGGTTTTGGAGCCTCTATGAGATGTTGAGCCACCCCCAGAGGTTTCATCGGGAGATGGCGATATGGTGATAGTCGGAGTCGATGGAGATTGTGCGTGTAAATCCATCTGATTATCCATGCTCATATAAGAGCCATCTTGAAAGACTGAAATGTGGTGGATGAATGACCTGCGTCCGCGAAGACGGACAGCTTGGGGTTTAAATATATGCTAAATACAGAAGCCAACACAGACCCCAAGGCGGACCGGGCCACAGTCAGCGCTGCCTGGAGAAGGCTAAGCCCTGGAGAACCTTGGAAGTCCACCCATCGCGGCGCTAAAGACCGGGACCCACTAGTACCTATCAGATGGCCCCGCACAACCATGCCCGAACGCTAAGAGTCACGATCACAGTCTCGCGCGGTTAACGTATGGATAATACCACTCATAAAGCTACATGGTGAAACCAGCATGTGGGTCTTGTTGAAATACCCTCGGGCCATTACTTGAGTAGTCGGCAGTTACAGCGCCGAACTACTAAGTATCTGTTCGAGAAAGTGACCACAATGTGCCCAATGAGACGCCGGTAATAAATTACGCTGTCTGGCCACCACATTGGAGCCCCTGTGGTTGAGATCGCAATTCTGGATTCGTATTACAGATACCCAGCACAGCTTGATCTTCACTTTAACCCCTGGTTGTATGAGCACTCAGCTGTTTGTTATTGTAAAGTTACAATGGCCAGCACTAATGCACGCCAAGAGTACCCCAATCCCCCGGGCAAAAAATGTACTCCGTACCGCCTCATTCGTTTAATTTGGCAGCCTCACCAGTTCACGAGACGTCAGAGCGCTAATCAAATACGGGAGATAGCGATCCCTGCCTCTTCTTCCTCTTTGCGTCATCTTGCTCTGCTATTGTGTGGATCCTATCCACTGGGGGATTTTAAGACTCAGAGACCAAAATCGCGCAGCCTTGCAGGTTTCGGCGCCTCATATCAAGAGAATTACTCCGTAGAACAATTAGACATGCTGTTTAACACATCACACTTCGGTCTTACCACGTTGCTGTCTGTGCATGTTTGCCCCCTCATCGCGACCAAAATTCAACCAGTATGTCGAAGTCCTTCTCTTTCAACTCCTCCAGCGGACGAATGTCATCCGGCTTCAATTTCTTGTGCAGTTGATAAGCTTTTGACAGTAGCTCATTGGATTCTGCGTCCCTTTTCATATAGCTAAGCAATCTTCCTTTGCAAAATGACGTTCTAGCGCGTTTGCCGACTAGCAATTCACGTCTACTGAATATTTTTAGCGCGAGGTCGACATATTCCCTTGAGAAAATTAGCACTTGTCTCGTTTTATTTCCTCGAGCTTCTGCTTACTCGGCTTCCTTGTACGCTCCCTGCCGTATGTAGTGACCTGCAAGTCTGTGGCAAATGTCACCTGTACGCTCGTGCCTGAGCCCAAGTGTTTTCTTATATTGCTGGAGACAACGGCGATGAAAATTGAAACTCTCGTCAAAGCGTCCCATGTCATGGAGGACGTTACCCATCCCATATAAAATTTTCCCTGTTCTGTGGTTCCGAGGCTTAGTTTCATGAAAATGTATGGATGAATGCTCACACTTACTTGAATGATGTCGTATCGTCCACCCCCCACGCTGCGACGTGTATATCCAATATCTCGGTAAAGACATGTTCTGCGTCCTCTAACTTGCCTTGCAACCAATACATAAATCCAAGATTGGGTGTTGGCCACCCCAGCATCGTCTCTTCGTAGTCACTTAGTCCTTGGAATATTTCAACGGAGCGGAGGAATGCCTGCGCTGCTTCTTCAACTTTATTTTGAAAACCATATGCAACCCCAATCTCATTGTAGGCATATCCAAGCTCATAGTCCAGAACCGGAACGCCGGGAGTGGATTCCCTTTCCAGTAGCACGTCCAACCATTTCTGAATGTGGAACATATGCAAGGTGCTATCGTGAGACTCTGCACAAGCTATGCCCACGTAAGAGTGACTTTCTCGGACTGTTCGCAGAACCTCCTCGTCGCCTCCCCGAGCTTGTAGTTGTTCACCGATCTTCAGACTCAATTCAGCAAAGGTCTTTAGCTCTTCTGGTACACCACGTTCATACATATACCTAGTGAGGTTAGCAAACGGACTGTCAATATGTTTGAATTGAAAATTCAATACCATCCTGTGTCATTGAGCAGTTTCGCAAGTTCAATATTCAGGGCATAATCACGTCCATCCCTGATAAATTCTTCGGCTCTGCTCTTCAAGCGCAGAATACTAGGGAATATTGTTTCGCACTTGGGAAATCGTGCGATCCAATGGTGCTCTCTCATCGACTGGAATGGCCATGCCTCAATGACTAGCTGTATCGCTGTCTGAAATGCCTGGAAGAGCTGGTTCTCGTCCATTATGGCTCTCGCTGTCTCTTGGGTAAGTCGATGGAGGGAGATCTTTTGCTGTTCAGCATCGTGTTTGATCAATGATGATGATAAAAGTTCTGCCCTCGCTTGTAGGTAGTCCCTTAGGGTTTTGGGGTAGTTTGACAACGCAACGTGCCCTTTCTTGTAGTGAAAGGTCTCTTCCGGGATTTCGTCTGGATCAAGCAAGCTGATCACCCATAGCAGTTCTTTAGTACGGATAGAAAGACGCTTGAGAGACCACAGGGTCACTAATGAGCCAACTTTATCCGATGTGGCGGAGAAATTTTGCATTGTCTGAAGTCGTACAATTCCTTCTTCGTTGTATAGCCTGAGGAAGTCAATATAAGAGAGCCTCAAGTCTCGGAACGTGCTTGACATTTGATCAATCACGATAGGCAGGCCATCGAGCCTCTCGAGAATTGCCGCAAGCGCTTCACGTTGTGGCGGATCGGCTTTGACGTGTGTCAAATGTTGCATGAGAGTCTCTGATTCAGTAGATGTGAGAGGAGATAGATCTTGGCCATTTTCTAAGAGGTGATTATGCTTCGCCAATGGATCACGGCTGGTAATCAGCACTGAGCCACGTCCTGTTGTGGGCCAATAGTCATAGAGAACATCCAGATTGTCCACATTATCGAAAATCATAAGCCAGTGGACCTGGTTCTCTGGGATATCTGGCTCCGCGACCTTTCTCATGGGCTTTGAAAGCCATCCGTTCACAATGTCACGACTTGCCACAAGATCCTGTGGACCATCTTCAAGCCCGAGTTGCTGCGCTATATTGGCAAAGTTTGATGCTAGAACTTGGACGTTATCGGCACCAAGCCAAAAGATTGCTTCAAAATACTCTTTGCGGGTATATGCAAATTCCACGGCAAGTTCTGTTTTGCCCATTCCACCGAGACCACAGATGGCGAAGGACTGTAATTGCTCCCCGCCCTCTGATTCAAGCTTATTCGGCGAGGGGAGTAGGCACTCATCCATTTTTTGGAGAACATCCTGCCTACCACAAAAATACTCCATTTTCCTTTTTGTTCCGAAAGAATAACATGGCAACTTAGGATCTCGTCTAGTGATCTCAAGCGCAGCGATGGCCGGGACAATCTCAAAGGACCCCGCAGTCGATCCCGCAGTGGCGCCGAATGGAGAAGAGATTGGCAGAGAGTCTTGTACGAGTGACTCTTGCTCCATCAATTTGGTGTATCCCGCTGTACTGGGACTGCGAAGGGTGTCAACTTCCAACCCGATGGGTACGTTATCTCGAACACGTTAGCAAATTCGACCCATTTGAAGGGTAACTCTCATCTAGATAATCTCACAGGGCTTGAATCTCTCCACGATGGTTTTAGGAGCGGTTTCTATAATCCGCCCGAAGAGCTCCACACAGGCCTTGTATACCATACCTCCAACGGGAACCTTGCAGATATCCAAGTGATTGGCCTCGCCGTCAATGACACTTTCAGAGATTGTCCGTAGAGTGCAAACAGGCTTCGTAGCGATCTAATGGACAATAATTAGCTATTCATGTGTATTCCAACGAAGCAATAATCAATCTAGTCCGTACTATTGAGCTCCGACCCAGTAACCTGGAAAGGCGATGTCGTTGAGTCATGGTTTCCTTGCTCTCGTATACTGAAATGACAGGCACCCTGAGATTTACATATTCGAAGGCTTTGCAAATGTCAATAACCGTTTCGACGTCGCTATTAGTGGATGAACTTCGCACGATCCCTCTTTTCCGGCATCTGAGCAGAAGGTCAAGTGTCTGCTTGGCCTCTGGAGTATTTGAGACGAGCTGTGGAGATCCCAAAAATATAGCTCCCGATATCGTATCAATGACTGGCCGGTAGTAGAAATGCTGTTCTCGAGAGATAGATAATGCCTGAGATCTGTAAGAACTTGCCCCTAGCCTGGATGTTGCCCAAGAATGCCAGCGGGTTACAAATCAAGTCCGGTCGCGACAGCTTCGCACTTACCTTTTTCAACACAAGCCCACCCGTGCCATGGCAGATAAAAACAAGGGGGCATTTCTCGTGCTGCCTATCGGGTCAGATCGCGTCAACTATCAGTATGTCTTGCATGGACCGTGGTAGATACCTCTGGTTTGGAAAAATGACTGTAAAGATCTTCGAGAAGACTCCGACCATCAGCAACAAGTTGCTGTGCTAGAGACCCCTCGTGCTGTCCATCGTAGATATACTCCCACACTCGTGTGGGAATCAAAATGTCATCGATCAACTTGCTCAGCCACGATCCAGACGGGTCAACCCATTCAGACACTCGTGACAGGCCCTCTGCAGGGATAGCGACTATTCTGCTCTCCGACATATTAGTTAGGCAATTCTACCAAGATAAAAGAATTTGCGAACGCTTACGCAAGCTGGCTATTCCTATTTTGGGCCCTGAGCTCGCAGACTTCTTGCAACATTATGAAGATGTTTTTGAAAGCGGAACGAGGGCACTGGGAGTTCTTCCTTCCGATCAACAAACCGAATCGCCACGATGAAGTCACAAGCAGAGAGGTGATGTTGGGAGGGGAGGAAATATGAGAGCCCCACAACTGTAACGTGTTAGTTAACTATGTGACGTGCACAGTGGTTATGCATGCACTCTAGTGTGATTTGACGTTTTGAATACACTTATTGAATACAGTGGTTATTTGGCCACATATTTATGAAACCAATACTCTCTTGCGTGACTAGTCAGCCGGTCTTTAAATAAGCAAATATCCCACAACATTGGATCTTATTCTGTTGATCACATTTTATTTAACATTTGCTACAGTCATAAGTTTTAGCGTGTGATAAAAATTCATAAATTATATGGCAAGATACTGTACATCCCGCTGTCAGTATCTATCTCTCTCTCGCTGACATCCAAGAAGATATTTCAACATGATGCAAAGCGGGGGAGTTTGCTATTCGCAAGTGAGGGGTTTCAGCTCTTGGGTATGGTCGCCAATAGGCTAGGTGACAGGCGGGCATGCCAAGAGCCACGTCACACACGGAGCAAGGATCACAGTGGAAGAGGTGCCCTGTGCGCTCGAAGTCCCGTACCGTACGTGTTTCGTGGCCGAAGAATATTTGCAAACAATGGGAATTATTGTGGGGGAGGGTGGGATGTTCGCATGAATTCAAGTATACATAGTCTGGATAGGGAAGCGCGTCAGCGACGACTCTCTGCCTGGATTTGGCGTGAATTTTTGTTGAACAGAGGGACTGGATATAATGGGAGATGTGATGGATCATGGATGCATACATGCTGGCATGTGACTCTGAAGCTCAGACTACTACATGGATGGTGCGCATGACGCAGCACCGAGTACTTGAGGCCTGAGACCTCGAAACAATTTTATCATGATTTTGGTTTGTTTCGTGAAAACTACAATGCTGGATAGTTGCGGCTCAATTTCATATGAATAACACCTCAAATTAACCGAATTCTATGAGTCGAGAAAGACCTGGGACCGAAGGTGCAGTAGGACTCGCAGTTCGGAGATATTTTTATCTATTCTTTGAGGTCGTTTAAAGCTTGTTTTAGACTGTTCTCGAAAGTTGAACTAGCTATAAATATATCTGTATAGAGAGACAGAATAAAGCACTGTACTTTATACTTGATCTCATTGGTTGCATATTGATCTGGCAGAATCTTAGTCTTCAACATTTTGTCAATTCTACGGTGCACTCGCAAGTCGCACATCTCCACCGCTTTTGCCTGGGCCATTAAGCTGGTTGCCCAATAGTTACGCCATCGATAGATGATTATTTTGGATGAGATCGCTCTTTAGGTTTAAGCTCATGGTTCCTTTTGTGACGATGGAGGGGCCCCTAGTGTTGTTTATGCTATTACTTGATGTATACTATTCCCTATCGGGGCTAGCGAACAGGCCTACTGGATGCAATCAAGGCTCCTAGATATGGAAGTGAGACCGGGATATAGTATATGATGATACCTTGAATTGTTTCGTTTACTAGTCAAGATCGAGGCCCTTTCAGGTGGCCTGTTAAACTCAAGCTGCTTGCTAATATGAGGCTCATTGCCTGTACGTAAATTTCAGCTTTTCATTCATCCAAATTCTGCATTTTCATTGATTTGGTCAAGTGATATATGCATGTACTCCTTGCTGAAAAGGAGCTGAGTGGAATTAATATTCATCCGGAAATAAGGAGCGCCAGTACCAACCACCTGGGCATAGTCGAAGCTGAGGTTGACCAAGTTCCATTTCTTCATTGACGTCTCTTCTTCGTAATCTCTTACGTTAATCTTTGATTCTCGAGGTCTTTTATCGGGCCAAATATATTTACAACTTGAAAGGAAGCCGGTCCAAAAATAAAAAACTCATCCACAATAGTTTGCCCCAGATTCTTCTTAAAGATTTGAGACCTCTTTGAATTGCAATGAACACCGTGACCACGATGCTTCCAAAGACGCGATCCTCCCTGGCAAGAGAACATTTCTAATCAGAGCGCTGGAGATTAGTCTCAGCTAACAGTCCCAGTTGTTCTATCTAGAAGGTCAACTTATTACTGCGAAAAACACAAAACAGCTGGATCCCTGCCGTATTTATGTGCACTGCCTAGAGCTTGAGAGCGGTTCATTCCGTCATAACATTCCATCTTCAGTAAAAGCAGTCCTCGTCAAACAACAGAAAGATGGATGGGAAGACGAATTCTGGCTGGAAAAAGAAGTCTATGAACGATTAAACGAGATTCAAGGGATAATGATTCTACGACTTTCTGGCCAAGGTACATTTCATGGAATTCCGTGTCTTATCCTTTCTGATATAGCGGGAATCACTCTGCATGATCTGGCACATAACAGAACCGAGTTCCAAGAGATAACATTCCAGCTTTTGGAAAATAGGCTCACGGAATCCCTCAGAAATTTATATGAGTAGGGCGCTGAAAATTGGGATCAGAAATTGGATAAATTTTTGTTCTGCGACTACAACGATAACAAAGTGATGATTGTTGACCTCGAGGAAGTATCTTTCCCAGATCAAATTGGAGACTGGGAAACCAACGTCACCCTGGGCGGCGTGGGTGGTTTGATAGACGACATCAAAGGCATTCGAGATCAAAATTATAAACCATCTCCCGTCAGATTTTAGATAGATAAACAGATCTTAGAATAGGGATTTGGTGGAAAAGCCTAGAGCAACAAGCTTTTATAAAGTGTACGTAAGAGGTAGAACGAAGTAACATGAATAGCGTTTGGTAGACTTTTGTGGGGTCGCTACATTGATCTGTCTACCAACATGGAAACGTGAGCTTTTTTTTTTCTCGTCAAGTTGGGAGAATAACCAGGTATAGCTTGCATTTGAGAGACATACCTCTTGAGCTATAACTACTAGGCGCCGTAGTCAAGGCAGAGGGAATGGTGAAGTAGAGCAACGCTCAAAGAACAGAGCGGTTGTGAAACTACCACCACATCAAGTGTTATTTGCTACGCCCATCAAAAAGTAGAACCAGACAAACAAAAACAAAACATACAACAGATATTGTATGTCGGTGGTTACCTAGCGCCCACGATCTTGTCCTAGGCAGCTTGCCGCCCTGGCGGTTGCCCCTTCAGCCCGTGTAAGGACTCAGATGCTTTGAAAGTTAGCAGTAGTATTTAGGGCTGTTGACGATATTGCCGATATACCGATATTGACGATACGATATCGACAGGCGATACGATATCGGCTGCTTTTGAATTTGCCGATGCCGATTGCCGGTACGATATCGGTAGGCTTCAAACTTGACGATATCGCCACTCACGATATCGTGATATCGTATCGGCATCGGCACAATTCTCTTTTAGAATCATCTAAAGAGCGAACGCAATTTTATTTGACAGTTTATGAATGCAGAACCGGAATATTAATTTAACCAACCTCCACCCCTGGCCGCTACCACTTATACCCATCGCGAATCAACATCAGCATTCTAATGGTATCCCCTTTCAAAGAATATCTCCGGATGCCTAGCACATCCCTCGCTATACTAAACACTCTCTCAACAGCAACTTCAGAGGCTGGAATCGCTAGATAGTCCCTGGCTGCTGCTGCCATCCGCGGATACTCGCCCTTGTGCATCTTCCACCAATTGCAGAGCCAGTTCTGGCCAGTAGTATCTGCGACGCTGATCAGAGGGGTGTCAAAGTACTTATCAATATCTGAGAGCGGTGGGTCTCGTGCCTGCAACTTCTTCAGCATTCTAGACTCCACATCACTATGCTGCAAGGAAGACAATCTTGATACAGCGGCATCATACTCCGGTTTACTAGCTGTGTAGACCTGATATAGATTGGTGCGGATCGTCTCCAGAATCATTGTCCCGGCATTGCTATCTTAAAGTTCCCGTAAGACCATTTCACCTTTGACTCGGGGATCCAAGACAAGGGCAGTGTAATAGGTATCACAGTCATCCATAATAGAATAGTACTTTTTGTATTTCTTCATTCCTTCTTTCACTGCAGCTATGATATCTCAATCCAGTGTTGTGAAGTCACCATTGCCCTCCGTCACGTCATCAAGCAATTCGTGTAGCTCATAGTAGATCGGAACTGCAAGGCTGATTTGTGGATTGCGTTTCGAAATGAACAAAGTAAGCTCATTAAACTTGTGGAGTACTTTGTAGATCTGTTCCAGCCGTGACCAATCTTGGAGAGTGAAAGGTAGGAGCTCCTCCTGAAGGCTCAGGAACTTGTTGACTTATTGTCTTGACTTTAAGCCATCATCGATCATGCGAAATGTCGAGTTCCATCGTGTCATAACATCGTATACAACAAATTTGTCGGGAAGATTATTGAGTCTACAAATCTCCTTCCATTTCTGTCGGCACTGAGGACTTCTGTTAATCCAAAGAGCGAGGACTCGTAATCTCCCTATTGCTGAGTGATCTGTAATCAAATTACTAGTCCGCAAACAGTCACAGGCAACTTACGCTTGTTCCATCGTCCCCGACCCCAATTTACGGAGTATATCTTTCACAATCAGATTGAGGACATGAGCCAGGCAGCGGATATAGCTGTCAAGACCTCGATCGAGTGGTGCTGGCATAGTGTCTTCCACCCTAGGTCGGTCAGAAAGAGAGAAGTATAACTCAGATGCCATAGACTCATTATTACTGGCGTTGTCGCCTGTAATAGAAATAAGCTTATCCTCGAGACTCAACTCAATAAGCATATTTTCCACTGCAATCGCCAGATTTTCGCCACTATAAATACCTTAGAGCTCAGTGAACTCGAGTAATCTCTCGCAGTACTCAAATTCACCAGTCAGCCAATAACCAATTATCCCTAAAATAGGAAGATTATTCTGGCTTGTCCAGATGTCCAGTAATAAGGCAATGGTTTTGCAAGTCAAAGCCAGCTCACTTTTCAGGTTGGTACACTATATGACAAACTCTTGCATGATTCAATCCCGCAAGGTGTGGCGAGAAG